AGCTTCCTCTCTAGGCCTTCCCGACGCTCTCTTTCCTCCTCCAACCGCTTCTCGAGAATTGCGGTCTTTGCAGCAGAGGCACCAACCGCTTCTTTCAATGTACTGAAGTTGTTATTGAAGTCGGCCAGACGGCCAGAGTATTCCTCAACCTGATAAAGAAGCTCTTCCTTATCAAGAACCAGTTGCTTCAATGAAGCCTCAGCTTCCGCACGCAATAGCGCCTCTTCACGGGAAGAAGCTTCCGCCTGGTGCAACTCTGCACGCAGATTCTCTGCCTCCAGAGCGTTGCTCTGCATCTCAAGCTCTGCCAAGCGTTTGCGGGTAGCCTCGTTGGTGTCTTCTGCCAACTCTTTAGCCTGCTTCTCCTGTTGAAGCTCGGTGGTCAGCACATCGAGTCTCGCTTTGAGTTCAGACTGGGATGCCAGAGCCAATGCAAGACGGCGGCCCATGTCGGTTGGGCGTTCGCCGTCCTCGCCTTCCCGGGAAACCTCAGGTTGCGGAGTTCCACGCTGGCTGCCGCCGTGGGCAGCAAGCCTAGCACGGGAGTAAGCCGCTTCGCTGACAGCCACATCACGTTGATGCTCGACTTCTGCAATGCGCTTGGATGCGATGGCAGCTTGTCTGTCAACAGTGGCTTGCATTTTAGCCAGTTCAGCTCTCATGCCTAGGAATGCCTCGACTAGCGGGCGGTCTTCGTCATTCAATGAATCCCTTGCACGCTCATCGATAGCAGGACTGCTGGAAGGATTTGGCACATAGCCACCCTTTCTCGCCAGGGCTAATTCAGAAGCGTACCAGGCATTCCGGGCCTTGGCAGACTCCAGTTCTTTGATCAAGGCCTCTTGATGGGGAGTCAGCCTTGGTGAGCGAGGTTCGTCACCCAACGTCTTGGAGTTGCGGAAGCTTCGAGCCTCGATAGAACCATCAATGCTAACCTGGCGGCCTAGCACAGACTCTTCTGCGCTGTCCATTGAACCACGCTGCCGTTGTGAACGCAGTGAACGTTGACGGCCTGGGGTGGTAATCATTGGAGCGGCCTCACCAGCTTCCATTGCCTTGGCAGCTATTTTTTGTTGCTGTTGAGTGGGAGTACGCTGACCGCTGGATGCCTGAGAGTCCATAGCTATCTCTTTAGCCACCGGAGACTCCGTGCCTCTATCGGCATTGGCTACCCGTACATCGACTGTGCCTGTGTACCCACGATCCATCTTTGTCGGGGTTTTGGCGCGAGGGTTCATCGCAGGCTGAGGTCCATTAGCTCGAGGGCCGGGAGAAGGAGCCTGTCCCGGGGGAGGCGGTCCAGAAGGCGCTTGCGCAATTGAGGCGCGTGGAAGGCGAGAGCCCGGCCCCGGTCCAAGGTTGGGATTAGATCCGTAATCGCCCTGTCTGCTACCCATGGGCTGAATCAAGCTTTCACGAGACGGTGTTGGGCCACGACGCGACTGGTCAGGCGTGGCACTTTGAGCCTCTCGAGATGTTCGGCCTGAGGGAGGTCCTTGTTTGTCGAGACTGACTTTCCTTCCGTTTGGAACAGCGCTGCGTTCAGATGTTCCTGAATCATTGGGGTATCGGATCTTAGATGTATCGAGAATATATGCCATGCTCAGCTCATTGGCATCACGGGGAGCGGAGCTAGGTTCACCAGCCATGACGATAATCTGCTTTCCAAACGCCGTCATGCTATGACCGGATCTAGGAGATGGAGCCGGCCCCATGTTCTGGAAGGAGTACCAGCGTCGAGAGGAAATACGGAAGGCCGAAAGATCACCCAAGTCAATTCCTTCATCGGTCCGGCCGCCAAACACATACATCACATCACCCACCAAGGCAGCTGCATGGCCCTCTCGCGGAGTTGGGATGAATCCGACACAGTCAATTTCGGCCCATGCGCTAGCACGAGGATCGTAACACCAGACGTCGTTGAACCACCGCACACCGTTGGTTCCTCCAAATAGGTAAAGCTTGTCATTGTGACTGACAATGGTGTGGTTAGTTCGGGCCGCAGGGATTTGACCTTCAGGAGGTCCACCTTCGTGGCTGTTTTGCACGAGAACCTCCCACTTGTTGGATGGGTTCTGTAGCTGATTCAAATCAAAGGCAATCAAATCATTGAAGAAAAATCCTTCAACCTGACCACCAAACACGTAGAGCTTTGAGCCCAAGATATTCAGAGTGTGACCATACCGTCCAGCGGGGCGAGGTCCGGGTGGTATCGCACGAGACCATTGCCGAGATGCTAGAAACGGTGTTAGTGCAAATTTACGAGGAGAAACGCGAAAAATAACATACAAGTATTTAGGAGGTATAGTGTGTCATCCAATGCATCCGTCTCGTTGATCTTGGTGTCTCCTCCAAACACGATACACGCATTCCCAACAAGCAAACTAGCGTGGCCAACCCGAGGTCCTGGACCTTCGGAGACGGTCGCAATTTGGAAGCAGGACAAGCTCCCACCACTGCTCTCGATCATCCACAAATCTCCCTTGACGGTGGACCCATCCACCAGTCCACCCATCATGTAGATATCTCCCTCCTTGGACGCAACGGCATTGATGGCGGCTCCATATCGTGGAAATGGTGTTGTTTGCGGGGAAGCGAAGTTCAGGCGTCGTTGTGACCATGGATAGAGGGATGAGTTAGGGCTCTGCGGGCCCCCATTAGGGCCTTGTTGTGATCGTTGGGCCTGGAAAGAGGGTTCATCAGGAACTGCCATTTCACCATTGCCAACCGGCAAGCTTACCTGTGATTCGGACTCCGCTCTCTGGCGCGGTCTGACGGGATCTGGGCTCGTGGGGCTGGCCGCGGAATTTAAGGAGTTGTTGTAGCTGCTGCTGGGGGTTGGGGTCTGAGAGAAGCTTCCCTCGCCTTTGACCCCATTGGTCATGGCAGACGGTCCATTGGACGGGGCACCTTCGGAAGTGTGGACGTTCCTGGTCGCAGGAGGAAGCGCCGCCCCCTGTTGGTTTTTCTTGGATTTAAACAAAAAGGCCATCGTTAAAGGTCGTATTCAGTCGTGCACGGCGCAATTTGGGTGGAATTCTGCGGCCAGAATTCGGGTGCGCCGGCGCCGGTGTTGCGTTCGTTCGGAGTCCCAGCACCGGATTGTTTGTCGGCGTAATCGGAGGTGTATGTAGATTCAAGGGTGAGACCGAAAGAGACCAGAGTGTGTTTTCAAAGATGGTGTGGAGTTCGGAACCAGGAACCACAAGGAACCGTAGAAAGGTATTCCATCCACCGAGCCAAGGAAAAAAAAATTAATAGGCCAGGGGTCGGGCGGGATAGCGGGATCAAACACGAGAGCGATTGACGATCCTGGACATCAAGACCGGGTTCGACTTCGAGAGAATAAAAACAAAGGCCAGCAAAGAGAAAAGGGGGCCAAGCAAAAGCGAAGATGAGAAGAGAGGATTCAATTTCCCTGGCGGAGATGGTCTAATCGAACTAGTCTTAGTGTATGGGGAACAGGCTGCATACTCAGGGGCACTCCAACGGCCTTTGTGTGTCAACATTCCAAGTCTGCCAGCCCCCGGTCGTCATGGCGAAGTGGGAATTGTGGCTGTCACTTTCCTCGTGCTAGTCTTTGAATTCTTTTTTATCTTGCATCTGACTTAGAGCAAGTTTGGGAAAGAGACCATTCAATGAACGCCATTGGGGCCACCATTCCATGGTAAATCGGAATGAGATACCAAGTAGATATTGAGGAGCTGAGGTATTCTATGATATTTGGCTACTTCTACATAGGGAACTATAACAATAGTGCAGTCTAAGTGAATGCATCAAGTCTACACTGTACAAGGGCAGGGAAACATGAAACTCGACTTTGAGAAGTGCTATAATTAAGCCGCGGGGCTGGCTTTTCGGTAGAGAAAGCAACCGCCAATTGCTGTAGCGCACGCCCCCGAAGCCCACACGGCGATCCACCCCCCACAACGTGCAGGGAACCTACCCAGAACAGGTCCCACGCATGAAAGGGGTCTACGTCACATCTCTCAAGTATATACAAAGAACAATGTTTGTATTTTTTGACTGCTGGCAATATTCGGGGCGCAATAATCGGAAAATACACCGAGATAAACAAGGAATTCCCTCGAAGTTTAGGGTTTCGGTTACGGTATGCTGACTACACCACAGAAGGGGTGTTGATCTCTAAGTTAGACTTTCTGCTCTCTGGGTCTGAGGCGATGGTTCATTCCAGGGTACAGATGACCTGGATCGAATGTATCACGCTCATTGTCTCTACCTCCAGTGAAACCTCTTAATGTATCGTGTACATCATGATCTCCAGTCTGAGACAATGTGTTCATCGATCTCTCGGCAGGGAGCAATCATAACATGCAATTTACCTGATATCATATTTCCTAGACTGGATTTCATTATTGGTCAATGACTCCGAGGCTCCCAATTTCCTGTGTTTTAAAGAGTTCTAACAACAGGAGGCTGGCCAGTGTAGCTTGGATGACAAGCAACTATGAACTCCGTCCCGTCGAGGTCTGATGCCCCGAAAATAGCCGTTAGGCTCTACACTAAAGGGAGCAATGATATATTGGAATTGAAAAAACGCGAAATTGTACAATATGTCGCAAATTCAATTCAGAGAAAATTGCAAGCTATCATCGTTTAAGACGTATAAAGCAACTATCGTACTTGTAAAGGCTGTACAAGTGCTGAAGCTCAACTGTCAGAGCTGCGGTTAGTCAGCCGGGGGCGGGGTGCCGATAATCCGGCGAACAGCACCTGGGCACCCGGCACCGAGCCTCGTTGCCGCGTGCGTCTAGATCGCTGGCTTTCCTCCACCTGAGCTTATTACGAGGCGTTTTGAGAGATTTGTCCTGGAATTTGCAACTTCCTGCCTTTCTCTTTGAACGTGGGGGTCTTCTTAATCTTTTGACGTTCATCTTAGTTCGGGCATCTGGGAGGTCTCAGAGCTGCCCATGCTCTTCACCTCCCATCCCCCGCCGTCCTACCTCTCATTCAAGTAACACGATGACCGATACTACAACATGAGGGACCCTACAGCAGAAATGGAACCATCTACTCAACCCTTCGCCACAAATGGGTCATCTGAACCCCGTCGCAATAAATCAGTCCGAGTTGCATTCGGTCCGGACCTGGAAACGACTATTCCCACCCGCGAGCGATCACCAGCACCAATATCTAGCCACCATCGCTCTTTCACCACCGTAGAACAGCGGCAGCCATCAATCACACCCCCTGTTCGACCCCTAAGCTCAGCCGGCGATAATGCGGTCATAGCACCGGATGAGCCGCCGCGGCGGCCGTCTCCTCGCAGATCAGAAAGCAGTCGACCTGCGATGTTAAAGCGGGCAAAAAGCGATTATGGCCCAAGTCGGGTTACATTTGACAAGCCAGCCGGGGAGGACGAGGAAGATTTCGCCATGCGACACGGATGGCAGGAGGAATACACTTCCAGCGAATATCTCAAGATTTTGCACTCGGTAAGCTGAAGCCGATGAAACATAGAGCTAGATTGTTCTGTATCCGAACTAACGCCGGGGGTGGTCAGAATTTCTACATGTATTTCACCGAGAAACGCCACGAGACCAATGGCATCCCCCGAGACCCCGTGGGGAGTTGGCCGAGTCAAGATTGGAGGATGAAGGACCGACTGAAGACCGTATCAGCCGCATTGGCTATTTGCTTGAACATCGGTGTCGATCCTCCCGATGTGGTGAAAACAAACCCGACCTCGAAGCTCGAATGCTGGGTAGATCCTACGTCAACCACGGGTGGCGGTCAAAATAAGATCATGGAACAAATTGGCAAGAAGTTGCAAGAGCAATACGAGACGCTGAGCCTTCGAACAAGATATAAGCAGTATCTGGACCCATCCGTGGATGAGACTAAGAAGTTCTGTATCTCTCTACGTCGGAATGCCAAGGATGAGCGGGTCCTCCTGCATTACAACGGCCATGGAGTTCCTTTGCCGACCCAGTCAGGTGAGATCTGGGTTTTCAACAAGAATTATACTCAGTATATCCCCGTGCCTCTGTACGACCTGCAGTCCTGGCTGGCTGGGCCTAGTCTTTTCGTCTTTGATGTGTCGCATGCGGGAAATATTGTCCAAAATTTCCATACTTTTGTGGAGAAGCATGAGAAAGAGAACATCGAAGCGAAAAAGCGAGATCCTAACGCCGTTGTCCAGAACTATGGCGATTGCATTCTGCTCGCGGCATGCCAGAAGAACGAGTCTCTTCCGACCAATCCAGACCTTCCAGCCGATCTTTTCACCTGCTGTTTGACAACCCCGATTGAAATCGCGCTGCGTTTCTTCATTCTGCAGAATCCTCTGCGGACAGACATTTCCATTGATGATTTCAGAGTTCCCGGTCGCCTTCAGGACCGGCGTAGTCCTCTTGGTGAATTGAACTGGATCTTCACCGCGATCACCGACACAATTGCGTGGAATACGCTTCCTCGTGCATTGTTCAAGAAACTTTTCCGGCAAGATCTCATGGTCGCAGCATTGTTCCGGAACTTCCTTCTGAGCGAACGCATCATGCGTACGTATAAATGTAACCCGATCTCCTCACCCGAACTCCCTGAGACCCATCATCATCCCCTTTGGAAGAGTTGGGACCTTGCCGTGGAGATGGTCCTAGCGCAGCTGCCCGCTTTGATTGATCAAGAAGAGGGCCGCCGCCAATACGAGTATCAGCACTCCACATTCTTTGCTGAGCAACTGACTGCGTTTGAGGTCTATCTTTCATCTGGACCTACGGAGAAAACGCCTCCTGATCAACTCCCCATTGTGCTACAAGTCCTTCTTAGTCAAGCACATCGTCTGCGTGCATTGATCTTGCTTAGCAAGTTCTTGGACTTAGGGCCGTGGGCGGTACACCTTGCCCTTAGCATTGGTATATTCCCTTACGTTGTCAAACTGCTGCAGTCAGCTGCCCAGGAATTGAAGCCAGTCATGGTTTTCATCTGGGCAAGAATCATGGCTGTTGATCACACCGTCCAGAACGACCTTCTCAAGGACAATGGAATTCACTATTTCATCTCCATCTTGAACCCTGCTTCACCCATTCCTGTTGGAAATGCCAGTGAACATCGAGCTATGTGTGCATTTATTGTTTCCATCTTCTGCAAGAACTACCCGCAAGGCCAGAACGTATGTCTGTCTGGTGAATTATTTGACTCGTGTTTGAGACATCTCGGCGATGTTGAGAACCCCCTGCTGCGGCAATGGTCTTGTCTGTGCCTGAGTATGCTTTGGTGCGACTTCCCGGAAGCCAAATGGATGGGAATTCGGTGCGCCGCCCCAGCACGACTCTGCGAGCTGAACTTTGATCCAGTCCCAGAGGTCCGCGCCGCGATGTTGCACGCGGTCACCACTTTCATTGGGATTCCGGATTTGACAGACCAAGTTGCCCAAATTGAAGAGTCACTGGCCCTGGCAGTCTTGCCTATGGCTGCTGATGGCAGTGTTATCGTCAGAAAAGAGCTACTGGTGTTTTTCTCTACCTTTGTCAAGCGTCATCAAAACAAGTTCTTAGTGGCAGCATATGAGGAGCTTCAAAATGAGAAGCGGTCTCTCCAGCGTCGTCTACAGGATTCATCTCCGGCCACTCAAGCAGAATTTCAGAAGACATCTTCGGAATTTGATGCTAAGATACCCCAGCTCTCTCGCAACACCACTTTCGGCACTCTCTGGAAACAAATTTTAATTATATCTGTCGATCCGCACCCTGAAATTGCCCAAGGTGCTGGTGTAATTGTCGATTATATTCACCTTATTCTTCTGGAGTCACCCATGGCGGCTCTCGCTGACAAAATCAGAATCGAGATCTTGGACCTCACCTACCGTTTGTCGCAAAAGCTTCAGGTAGCCGAACGTTCAGAGGCAAAGAAGACAGCCCCTCCCTCTACGCCGCCGTCCGCCAACACAAACCTTTCTAAACAGGAAGGTTATTTATCACTGGGTTTCAAGCGTACAGCAAGCTACGCTGCCTCCCTGAGGAACCTCGCATTTGGCTCGGGATCTGGAGATCCATCATCCGAAAGTAGTGCTCCTTCTTCGCCCACCAAGAGCCGTATGCCCATGACCCCCGTGGCCGTGCTCCACCTGAGTGGACCCGACCTCCTGAGGTGAATGACCATGTCGCTCCTGCCACCGCTTATCACCAAGCCCCTACACCCACATCGCGCGGCTTTCAATCTATAGGTTCAGAGGGGCTTCCTGTTATTCCCCTTAAAAGTAGATTCCTGGACTGGTCAACAGAGGTATATTGAGACTCCTTTGAACACATCGCAAATTTGTTCTACAATATTTATGAACACTTACTCACTGTTGAACAGTATTTCCGGGAACCCCAGATGAAACCCAACGAGCCCGACGAGCCTGGAAGCTCCGATTACAATGAGCGGCTCTGGAGGCGTGGTCGCAACGAGAAAATTATTGCGGAAACCCAGCCTCTCAAAGGAAAGGCAGGTACCAGTCGATGGGATAATTCGGTTGCACTGTTATCAAATAGCAGTCAACCTTCGAGGATGTGCTTTCATCAATTTGAGGATCACATCGCTGTGGCAGACGATCGGGACACCATTGCGTAAGTTTTAGATGACTACAACTGTCCTCGCTATTTACTGACTATTTCCCGCAGTATCTGGGATTGGCAGAGTCACAAGCGTCTTAACCAGTTCTCAAATGGAAACCCAGTCGGATCCAAAATCAACGAAGTTCGATATATCAATGAAGATGATCAGGCCCTTCTGTTGACAGGTTCTTCGGATGGTGTGCTCAAGCTGTTCCGCAATTACGAGTCTGCCAGGGGTATCGAGGTCGTAACGGCATTCCGAGCGCTGCCTGACTTAATACCAAGCAATCGCAACGCAGGCCTTGTACTTGACTGGCAACAAGGGCAGGGAAAGGCCTTGGTGGCAGGTGATGTCAAGGTGATTCGAGTCTGGAATGCAGCTACCGAAGTCTGCACTAATGTAAGATCAACTGTCTTCTTTTTGTCTTATCCATTTCTTGAGTTAAATTCTAACGGTTTACTTCTATAGGATATTCCTGCACGATCCGGGTCCTGCATCACATCCTTGACTTCAGACCAAGTGGCTGGCAACATCTTTGTTGCTGGATTTGGTGATGGCGCTGTTCGTGTATTTGACCAGCGATTGAAGCCCACTACATCTATGGTCAAAGTTTGGCGTGAGCACAAGCAATGGATCACCAATGTCCACATGCAGCGTGGTGGCTTCCGAGAGCTCATCTCTGGTAGTCGTAATGGTGAGATCCGCCTGTGGGATCTCCGTATGAACGATGCGCTTTCCACTATTTATGCCACCAAGGATACTCTCCGTACCTTGAGCGTCCATGAGCACGCTCCTGTCTTCAGCATGTATGTGCTTTCTTTTCGATATCTTCCTTTGTGTTGAGACCAGTAGCTAACTTTCGATCCAGGGGTACAAACCGTCATGAGGTGAAGACGTTTAATGTCGATGGTACATATCTTTCCACCTTCGAACCGTATTCCAGTTTCCTCCATCACAACCGCGCCTCACCCATTGCCACCACTGCATTCCACCCGCATCGCACTATGCTCGCCTGCGCAGCACTGAATGACAACCACATCAATCTTGTTTCTTGTTAGACAAATCCAATTCCTGGATTACCGAAGATTAGCGAATTGTGTTTCTTCATACCCCAAGTTCAATTCTTTTGCCACCCTTTGTGGCGATTTTCTTGTGATATGGCGCTTGGTTGCATCAGCAAATACCTACGGCACTGAACCAACGACTCGAATACTGATACATGGGCGCTCCTTGCTTTCTCTTGTACCTGTGTCTTGAGCTGTTCGCTTGAAATCTCAGAAGATTGAGCGACCTTGTTCATTTTTTCACGATACGAAACATATTCTCTCTTGATGCTTCTTTCCTTGCCCTTTTTCTTTCCTGTTATTCCCTTTGAGTTTTGAATATCCCGCCTCGGTTATGTGGATCGACACGAAGTCTGAAGATGAGGTATCATGGGTACATGCGACTAATTGCTTCGGCTGGCTATCGCAGTCTCTGTTTTCCCTCGGTGACGGTCTTATTTTCTTCTTCCCTGTTCATCATTCTGTGGTAACGCAAAAATGTGTTCATACAATTCATACTTCTCTTCTTGATCTCGAATTATTCCTGCAATAATAATGAACCACTTGTGAGGAGCGTACATGCATGATTGCATCATATGGTACATCGATTATCATCTAAACTTTCATATGCCCCTGCGCCGGGTTGCACTAGTACGGAAACATCGAAGAATGAGCCCGACGAGAACCCAATCACGTCCACAAACATGGCAATTTGGGGAACTCGCTCGGCTCGTATATGCCAAGCTAAGCATTAAACCATTCATTTCAGGAAGCAAACTTGCAAATCCTCGCTCGGTCCCCGGCCGCCGGCCCCCAAACAGCCCGTGTGTGCCCTGAGAATGGATGCAATGAGCCTCATCAGCCCCGGGGAAGTGGATCCTTTCCGTCATTGACCCCCGCTTCTATTTTCATCAGTGGCACTGACTAGAATATTTAAATGATGTCCTTGGCCTCCGAAGCTTGCACTAAACCTCTTTACACTTCAAATTTCATTTCACGTTCTGACTCCCGCGATAAACATAACTACAAAATGCAGTTTGCCTCCTACGCTGTCCTCCTTGCCAGCTTATGTTGTGCAGCCCTCTCCAGTGACAGTTTCGATCGAATTACTCAACCAAGCAAAGGAGAAGTCCTCCAAGCGGGCACAACGTACAACATAAAATGGCACTCTACAAGTTCTGACAATGTCAATCTCATGCTGATGAGCAATAAGAAATCTGAGGACTCTTCTGACTCCTTGAATGTCATTGCAGGTATATCTTCCTAGTTTCAACATGCCCCACCACCGACTATACCTGCTCTATATCCACTACCAAGCTTGACACTGGCATGAGTACTAACTAAATACAGCCATTATCGACGGTACCGTGGGCCACCACTCCTGGAATGTCACAGAAGGCCTTTCCAACAATGAAACATTCTACATTAAAATTGGCTCGGTGGCCGATGTCTCGAATTTTAGCTATTCGCCCGGATTCAAAATTCATTCTAACATTTCGTCGGTGACGGCTACTCCTTCTGCTACTGTTACGGTTTATCCGTCTGCTACGGGGTCTACTACGGCATCGGCTAATGTTACTGAGTCTCCCTCTACCTCGACTTCTACTGCTGGTGGTTTTGCTACATCTGCTCCTGCTCCGCTTGCATTTATTGGGGCTGCGGCTATTGGCATGTTGGTTTTCTAGGTGGCATTATTGTTTTGAAGGGGTGATTATGGCAGGATGCTGAACTGGCTTACGACTGTGCAAGGAACTTAATGATGTATGACTTGAGTTTGTATATGATTTGTTTATAGTCTTGATACCAGTTTGCTTCTTGATACCAGTTTGCTTCTTGATACCAGTTTGCTTCTTGATACCAGTTTGCTTCTTGATACTAGTTTGCTTCTTGATACTAGTTTGCTTCTTGATACTAGTTTGCTTCTTGATACTAGTTTGCTTCTTGATACTAGTTTGCTTCTTGATACTAGTTTGCTTCTTGATACTAGTTTGCTTCTTGATACTAGTTTGCTTCTTGATACTAGTTTGCTTCTTGATACTAGTTTGCTTCTTGATACTAGTTTGCTTCTTGATACCAGTTTGCTTACTTTGCTTTCGCTATGTCTTGTATTTGGATCGAGGGTATTAGTTAGGGCCCTCGGTCAGAGCAGAATAGTCATACCTCCCGTAACCGTTTAGGCATTGACTCACAGAAGGTGAGTCATATCATCGTTGTGCCTCTCAGCATGGAAGATTACCATCTCCTATATATACATACTGGCCCCTGCGCTCAAAGGTAGACCAGCGAGACTGCCCACTAAAAGCGGTCAGGTCTGAGTATCAAATCAAAAGAGGAACGCCAAGTGGCAGATGAAATCTGGTGCGTAGATAGCTAGGGATCTCGAAGTTGAGTTAGGTACCTGTGGGAGCTTATCGTCTTAGGCGTATGTCTATGTATAGACTTAGCGGGGTAGACAACGGGTTTAGGCACGGATATGGCTGTGATAGGTCAATGATACATGCAGGGCTGGGTGGGGCCAGAGAGGAGAAAATATAGCTATGCCGAGGCACTGAGCTAAAGCGATATAATACTTGAACAGACGGTATATACAGACTTGGAAGAGAGTGTGCCTACCAAGAAAATGTCTTTTCAGTATCGTTTATCTGAAGATATAGAGCCAAGTTTGCCGTGGGGCTGTGGGTATAGCGGGGCGTCGGCAACGATAAGTAATCTCTCGGGTTTCCGAGGCCCAGAATCTGCTTAACCGAGACCAATGAGGCTAAGTTGCCGATTTTGCCGTGACATCTGCTTGTTCATGCTCCCAAACAGGGCATTGGTGGGGAAGGATTTTTTCTGCCTGATTCATGGTGGATTTATAAAGAAACCGCTGTCCTCCAATCTCCTGTTTTGAGTGTGGACAACTTTGTATGCTGTATCCAGTAGCACTATTTTGCCAAGGCTGTCAAAATGGGTGGGGTCTTGGAAAATTCGACGGATCCAGTCGAATGGTCCGCCAAAACAGATGTCGAAGCACTGCCTGTGAAGCCCGTTGTCACAGAGAAGGATCACAATCCTGATCTGGTCGATTGGGATGGTCCTGATGATCCTGAAAATCCATTTAATTGGCCTTCTTATAAGAAATGGCGACAGTTAATTTTTATGGCCATTAACACATTCCTGACGTATGTTCCTACTTCCAATGCTTCCCGTTCATGTTTTTACACTCTCCATCTACTATAGTGGATTACATATACACATCCTCTTTGCACTACCATAACTTTCCAATTTTGACTGTACGCGCTAACAAATCACACAGCCCTCTCGCCTCTTCAATGTTCACACCAGGTGTAGCAGATATTCAGAAACAATTCGGCTCCGACAGTACAATGATGGCCTCATTCCTTGTTTCAATCTACGTCCTAGGTTATGTCGTCGGTCCGTTCTTGATTGCGCCGCTATCGGAATTGTATGGGCGCATTCCGCTCTATCACACTTGCAATGTCTTGCTGTTGATTTTCACTATTGCATGTGCCGTCGCGCAGAGCTTGCCCCAACTCCTGGTCTTCCGGCTGCTGGCTGGGATTGCGGGTGTCTGTCCGCTGACAATCGGCTCGGGCACAGTGGCTGATATGGTGTACAAAGAGAAACGTGCCGGTGTCATGGCCATTTGGGCCATGGGCCCGTATATGGGACCGGTCATTGGTCCTGTGGCAGGTGGTTTCTTGGTGGAGGCTGAAGGGTGGAGATGGGTGTTTTGGGTTCTTGCTATTACGGTATGTTTCTATGATTTCTGTCCACGTAAGTATCAAAATGTCTAATGTGGAAATAGATTGGCGTTATTCTCATCGGTACAGTATTCTGCTATAGAGAATCTTATGCGCCGGTGTTACTGCGACGGAAAGCAGCACGACTGCGCAAAGAAACTGGCAACCCTAATCTACGCTCTATTTTTGATGATGGGGCTAGACCCCCTCGTCAAATCTTCTTCTCGGCTCTTTCTCGTCCGATCAAACTGCTATTCACCTCGCCTATCGTCTTTATGATGGCTCTCTTCGCCGCTATCACCTATGGATACCTCTACCTGATGTTCACCACTATGACCTCCATCTTTGAAGATCAATACGGTTTCAATCAGGGTCTCGCAGGCCTAGCCTACCTGGGCTTTGGAGTCGGCTGTTCCCTGGGGCTACTCATCGTTGGACGAACAGTCAACAAAATCGCAGCCAAGCACTCAGCTGAAGGCCGTTTCTCGCCAGAATCTCGTCTCCCACCAATGTTATACGGGTCCTGGGCTATTCCGGTCGGATTATTCTGGTATGGATGGTCTGCACAAGAGAAGGTTCACTGGATCATGCCAATTATCGGCACTGGCATTTTCGGGTTCGGCCTTGTGGCTGTTTTTGCTACTGTCAGTGCCTACCTGGTCGATTCATATGTTCGGTACGCTGCATCCGTGACCGCTGCGAATGTTTTCCTGCGCTCGCTTTTCGGTGCCGTCTTGCCGCTGGCTGGTCCATCAATGTATGATGCGCTTGGATTGGGATGGGGCAACTCGCTGCTGGCGTTTATTGCGCTTGCCATGTGCTTTGTCCCATTCCTATTTGCTAAGTATGGCGCGATGATTCGAACTCACCCACGATTCCAGGTGGAGCTTCGTTAATGCGTCTTGATTCTATATCGATAAATTACGTGATACCCTATAGACTAGACCTTATTCAAAAGTTACATATAATATACACTTTTTTCAGTTATGAAGACCAAGGATAACCGCTGAAAAGCTCAAAGAACTATGCCTCCTATAAGCTTGATGCCGAGCATTCAGTCAAGGTACAAGCCGAGTGCCGAACGTATATCGTGATTACATAATGTATTCGGCAAAGTCATTGTCGTTTCCCGAGCACCTCAGCCGAACAACCATCACAAACAGAACGACTCGTTGCTGTAGATATGCCGAGAAGACGCGACAAAGATGTGTCAAGCCGGGCGCGGGCGGTCTGCGTGCGATGCCACAGTCGCAAGGTCAGTCATAATATCTTTTAGCAAGCCAAGTGATACTAACAGCCTTTAGGTCCGCTGTGATCTCGAGGCGCGACCAAGTGGAATTTGTAGTAGATGCGAACATGAAGGACGGGATTGCCAGTGAATCCTACCCAAACCTTCTTTAATATTGATGGTGCTAATTCCATAGTCTGCACATTGGATCCCGCAAACAAAAATTATTTCAGGTGTCACTGGCTACGCCTAGCACTCATGCCTCACCGGTCCGAGTAGACCCAATCACACCTCTACAATTGACGCCTTCGTCACTGAATGTACTTGGAAACAGCATCCATCAAAGCTCTATGACAAATCACGAAAGCTCAAGTCATCCATCGCAAGGCAATGGAGCCAACGAGGCGGATCTTATAATACAGATAACTCAAGCAGCTCACTGTCCGCCTACTGTCATTTCGCAGGCCCTTGCAGACTTCTATTTCAACGAGCTCCATCATTTGGTTCCTGTTCTAGATGTGGGACAAGAAGAATTGGACAGTTCGCTTCTGCTTCGACAATCACTGTGTTTCGCAGGCAGTGTCATGCGTCGATCTCCCGAGGGACCCACTGAATGGTCCACATCGGCGATCTATAAACGCGTCAAGACGTTGATTTCCTTGAACTATGATCCAGAACCCCTCAATGTTCTGAGCGCGTTATGTATAATAGGTTCCTTCCCTATGCAGGAAGGCTATGGCGTCGCTCTAGATAACCCATGGCAGTGGATCGGAATGGCAATTCGCCTTGCTATTCAGTTGCAGATGCATAGCGAAAGTGCAAATGTGCAGTTCGCACACCCAGGAAGAATTAGGAGGATTTGGTGGTACTTATTCATAAACGATACCATGCAAATGGGCTGCTCGGGACGCCCGGGAATGTTTCCAATTCACGAATGCGATGTACGACTATTGACAGTCGCCGATTTCAATACACCAAACACCGAGGCTCACTTTTTTTGTGAGCTCACTTCCTTGTGTCAGAAACTCAGAGAGGTTCTACAAATGGGAAAGATCGACAATGCTTCGGAGACGCAGGTGTTTGAAATGCTTGGATCGCTCAGGATCTGGAGAGACAACTTGCCATATGAGTTACATCTTTTCGAAGTAACAGAGATCAGAAGAAGATATAATCGAGCGGCCGCTGAGCTTCAGATATTCTATCTGGTGACCATAATTCTAACCTGCTTTCTGGGTCGTCGAGAAAACAGCCCGTTATTAAAATGCGCCTCCATTGTTGCATCGTCGTGTATCTCACGACTGTACGAGGAGATTCTTTACCACGAAGGCACTTCATTTCTCCTGCCAATACACGCTTGGGCAAACCTGGTCGCTTCAATACCACGTACATTCAGCAAAGATGAACAGATTCCGAACCAAGTCAATGAGAAGCACATTAGCCGTATGGTTCTGGAGAAAATGAGCGAGAGACATCCTTCCGTGTTGTTGGTACAGCGGCGGATCGATGAAATCGGCCGTACAGAGGCGAGCGCATTCAGCGCGTCTGATACGCCTCCTGATGCCCCAAATACGGCTACACCGTCTACGGAGATGACGCAGGAAATCCTTTCTCTGTTCCCTTATCCGTCGAGCTTTTGTCCGACTCTAGAGTTATTGGAACCTTACGCGAGTGGAACTGAGCAGTTTGACCTATTCTCGGATCTTCTTGTGGATGTTAATAGTTGGGATTGGCCTGTGGACTGGTCCTCTTTTCTGTTCTAAAGGTCCCAGTGCCAGGGATGTGACGTGACTCGAATATTAGGATTCTTTCCTGCAGCACGTCGTACGCTTACGCACATCTTGTTTACTCTCGTGAGTAATCGTGCCTGAATTGACACCAACTGTCAGAATCACAAAGCCTTTGTGAAGGTGATCGATGGGCACGAGAGATGACAATTGAATTTACGTAGACTCAATTCTACGCGTCCTGGAGCGCTGGTTGCCCATGATCTCTTTGACGCGTTGACCGACACTGAAGGATCAAGTACAGTCCATTTCGTTGGATGTACGCCTATAGGCGATAGTGTGCGTACATTCGAATACAGTATGCAACTATGCACACTTATTAATGTTTTACCGCCAAGTCTAAAGATAGTTCTAAATACATCGATTCTGCCTCTTGCATCACTCGTCTCTTGTAATCTGCTTCATCATAAGATAACCCGTTCTTGCAGTATATTCTTCCTGAAGCAGGTAATCGTTCGGCAAAAGCGCCTGATCCCCATTCGCAATGAGTGCCTCCGCAAGCGTATATTTCCCACATCAATGAATCCAAGCTGCAGATATAGATTGACCACCGCAATCATTCCAGGCTTAATCATCGGGCGAACGCTGACACATTTTGGTTCATTCCGATAGGACACGAGGTATTCCAAGGCTTTCCGAGTCAGGACTTTCGCGATGCCCTTGCCGCGGTAAAAGGTAGCTTCCAAAAATCTACAAATTGCTGCAATATTACGTTCCTGGTCCATTTTCAACAACTTATCCGCTCGCATTTTCGTCAGTGATAGCTCCGTAGCCACCAAATATGAACATCAACGGCTTTTAGCAACCTCCCTAATCCACGTGTTGATTTTCTATGCCCGCTTAATATAGTATTGGGTGCGGCTCTATTTCTCTCGGAAGCTTCTCCTATCCCTACTCGGACAACCCAAGTTTCAGACTGTGATATGATGTGGATTCAATGCGGACTTCGAATTATCTCTAGGCATAGATTTTGGTGGTTCTGTTATAGCGTAGAGTTTTATAGTATGTACAGGCATATCCTGCATTTTTTTTGTCTATACTCGCCATTTGATACGATAGTGGACATAGTTTAGTAGATCCTAGTTGTATACTCTTCCTTCCTCCTATGTAGATAACTTAAGTTCATCGTTACCAGGGAATACAATACAGTTTTACAGGGGTCACGGAGAAGAGGCTAAAATTAGACCAGCGTGTTCCAGGCTAGGGTTCGGGAATGAAAGTCAAAGAGTGTAGAGGTAAATCTGATTTTGAATACTACCAACTGCAACTGAGTCGAAACGCAACCTCATATGAGAGCCAGCACAGGCTATGACTGGATTAGCAACGCAACGAACACAAAACCTCAGCAGCGGGATCAGGGATCAGAGCTCAGGGCTAGGAAAGCCATGGTTTCTGTTGTACCGGCCATAACCTTCCGCCATCACGCGGTCGAGTTCAAACTCCAAACCCGGATCAATCTCAGAAGGGCGAACTGGAGATTCTTTGTTACCCTCGTTCACTAAGTGGAGTGGGTTGGCAGCACGTCGTTCAGCAGCACACTTTTCAGCAGCATGTCGTACGCCTGCGCGCATTTTATGTTTTGCCCTCGCAGATTCCTCGGTTTCAGGCACAGGCATTTGATCATAAATTTTAGAACAAGCATTCTGCCAAGTCATGGCGGCTCCTCGAATACCCGTTGTAAGGGCGAGGCTACGTTCTCCCGCGTGTGAGCGGGGAAGAACGGAAGTGCGGCTGCTCTCAGAGAAGAGCGCTTGGCCGTTGTATTCGGAGCATTTCCTTGGATATATGTTTGGGATGGTTCCGAAGGCGATTGCGGTGGTGCAAGTGGTGAACCATACGCTGATGGCTGTTGCCAGTGCTGTCTCTCTGTGAGGAGCACATATGGCACATCAGCTGGAAACAGAGTGGAAGATGCCCATCTGTTATTGATTTGCACTATGCTCATCCGGGCTGTAGCTGTTGAGAATACCTTGTCAGTCAAACTTTATGGGAAGCTACAGTCAGTGCTGAATGATTCTTTAAGCCAAACATATCGTGTTTTGGAAATAGGTTATCAAGTATTGCAAGAACCTACCATAGTTCCCAATAGGGTTACCAAAACAATCATTAGGATTATAAGAATGATAATTTTGATATCCGTAAGATTAGTGGATGGCCAGGGAAGGCTGTTGATGCTGGTTTGAATCCATCATAGCATGAGGATACGCTCCATGATAGAATTGGAGAGCATCGTATTGAGACCCGGCGGAACCCCTGGAAGCATGAGGATGAGTCGTATGACAACATAGCTGTGATTTTCCATAGTCTTGGTAAATTTTGTCAGGCGGGTTCAAACAAGGCAGCCAAGACTGAGCAGAATACGTAAACACCTGGTTAGCCCGTGGGCCTTGAGAGATCTTTGGGGTCTCGATCTCTCGGGAAGCCAGGCTACTAGGAATGTCTGAAAGACCAACGTGGCCTCGCATACCTCGAGGCATGCTTGACTCATCTAAGTTTCGAGGGAACAGAGGACAAGGAGACAGCCTTGGCGAAATGCTATCAGAGTCTTGATAGGATTTGCCAGACAAGTTCAAACAAGTAAAGACTGGGCAGGACACGTACAAGACCAATCACTTCTCAGTCTTCGCTCAGCTCTTTCACCTTCAGACATGGTCGACTTTTCGACGCTCAATGATTTTTTTTGTCTTTGGCAGGAAACTTATTTCTCTTTGGCGAGATGTTGTAGGATCAAAGAAGGTTGAAGGATGAGGTAGGAGAGAGAGAGGGGATACGAAGGGGAAGGGTATTTAAAGAAAATGCCGAGGAAAGGAAGAAGGATGGGAAAATAAGAAATGCGTTGAATAGAGAGAGAGTCAATGGTGAATGAGACATTAACACTTCCTACTTAAGGCTTCAATCGAACCTTTTCACTCTCTCGGATCTACTTCCTACACCCTCTTTTTTCAGTACCTTTGAGTTCTAATCAACTGCTTAAAGGTCATCTCGGTGCTTCCCACAGGTTATTCAATCTCTTACTTTCGTATTCAATCTATCCGAACATTCCAGAAAATAGAATTGCTATGATTTCGATAGAAAGTCCATACGCCGCAGATCAAGGCAACACCCATGCCTGGTTTGGCGTATTTCTGTTCATGAACTCAAGCGAGCCCACTTGAAATGACCGTGATTTGTGAAGGTAGAGTGAGTTAAGCAGCAAGCCACCTAGATGCATATGAGTTCCAGGAACTATCATATGCCAAGGCGATCACGGGACCTTCTAGTAAATCAAGGTTGGAGTAAGCTTGGGTCCGTGCGCCTCGTGCCAAATCAGTCGCACAACGGGAGACCCACTTTAATGTCCGCGTCTTACACCTGGCTCTCCAACTATCCGGACTTAAGTCATGGAGTTACAATCGACTGAGCGAGCTGGATATAACAAAGCGCATGATGACTCCAATTCTCCTGGCTATAAGTGCATCTGAAATCCCACACGAAACCTCATCATTCTCTTCTCAAACAGATCTACTTGAGTACAATACATCTCGCAATGTCCACATACACCAAGCCCACTCGTCCTCTAACCTGGCTGATTACCGGTTGTTCCTCCGGCCTAGGCCTTGAGCTGACACGCAAAGTCCAGGCTCACGGGGACATCGTCATTGCTACATCGCGCCAGCCTTCTCGAACACCCGACCTGGTCGAAGAAGTCAAGAACAACGGGGGAGAATGGCATCAACTGGATGTGGATGACCCAAGTGGCCCCAAGTCACTTATGACGACTCTCGAGTCGACGGGACACCATGTTGACGTCCTGGTCAACAACGCCGGCGTGATCGCTTTCGGTGTCATGGAGCAATTCACAGACAAGGATTTGCTCGGCCAGATGGAAACGCTCTACTTTGGCCCTCAGCGACTCATTCGTGCTGTGCTTCCGGGTATGCGAAAGCGTCGATCTGGATTTATTGTGAATATTAGTTCCGGGGCTGCGTTGGATGGATATGGTGGTATGGGCGCTTATGCTGCAGCAAAAGCTGCACTGGATGGTAAGTGTGAACCTAATTCTTGGAATCCTCTGTTCTAAGCTTGTGTGGTACAGCTTCGACGCGCATTCTAGCTAAAGAGATTGCTCCTTTCAACATCCGTCCTTTGACGGTGTGGATAGGTACCCTGAACACGAATATCGGGAATGCCTCGACGGTTGCGAAGGGTCCGCTCCCTGAGGATTATCGTGGCGGCGGTGCCGAGCAGCTGATGAAGGCTATTCAGAGTGGAATGCTTGTTGCCAACAGTGACAAGAAGAAAGCTGCAAAGGCAATCTACGAGGTAGTCGTGGGGGAAGGTGCTGGTGCCGGGCACGAGAATGAGCGGTCCATGGCGCTAGGACGTGACATGCTTACGCGGCTTGCGTCGGTCCGTGATCAATACGCACATACTTTGGAGGTGCTTGGGGATGTTTGCGGTAGTGTTGACTTGGAACATGAGTAGATGTGAAGGGGTAGGACTCCTAGACCTATTACTATCGTCCCAGCCGTTCCGTCATTTGGGATTCAGTCTACAGGCTTCTTATGGGTTTTGAGATCCGTTACAAGTGCAGATTTATGATTTCATTGAGCAACCATGACAAATCAAAGATAACCCACATAATTGTAGTCATAAAGCAGTATTGATGGTAGAGATGCAACAGCGAAGCCCAAAAGTAATGGTATCTGTTAGGATTTTCATCCACTGAAGAAGTAAATGTTGAAACGATCGACCTGCGGTATATCCCAGCCGCTTCAATGATGCTCGCAGATGCTTCGCAACACCTCCCAGCACTCCGAGATGTACCAATTAAACGCCCCGCAAAGTCAAAGTCATAAAGGGAATCAAAGGATCGCTAATACAGCATGTGTCAAAGAACCAAACCCATGTTCCACTACTAGGTGGAGAGGATGACAGAAAGAGAATAAACACAAGAAGAAACAAGAATACTTAATCAGCGATTCCGATCAGCACGAGCCTGGTGCCAGATGGTATCACCGCTAAGAGCAGATAGACTCAAGGAAGCTAGATTCCTCCAACTTGCCTGTGGTGCAGAGGCTGAGTGACCTCCAAGAAGACCTCGATTCTCCCCAGTATCAGAAGGGTCGTCGCTGATTCCCGCGATCAGAACAGGGGCAGATGATGCATCAGCCGAAGAGTCCCCTTCTTGGATACCAAGGCCAGCGGACTGCTCGCTATCAAAGTGAGCATCGTCGCCGTGAGAATGGGCCATCGAACGTACAACATCACCCTTACAGATAGGGCAGGTTCGTCGACGGGTGGTAAGCCAAGGGGTGCTGTAATTGTTAGTTGCTGTTTTTCCTATTGGAAGTTCAGATAAAGCCACTTACATGCATTCAGCGTGGAATTCGTGGCCACACGGCAAACTCATCACCCGACTTTGTCCGTCGATATACTCTTCAAGGCAAACAACACACTCCACTTGTCTACCAGTATATTTGCGTCGCCATAAAACCGAGCCCGACTGTAAACTAGTTGGTTTCTCTTCCTTGTGAGATCCAGAATCCAGTGTAGCCCCCGCAATGGTCTGAGATGATCGGGTTTGTCGTGATGGACTCGACTGGCAGTCATTGTTAAGAAGAGGAGAAGTCGGTAAGGCAGCGCCAGGGCTGCATGGACGTGGAGAGTTTGAGGAAGAAGAGCTATTGGAGATGGTATGATACGTTCGAACGGGAAGGCGCTCAACAAGAGACTTCGGTGCACGCCAGCGGCGCCGTCGCATGCGTGATCGGAGAAGCAGAAGCGCATAGACCACTGTGAGTGTCAATAATGGGCTGATCACGAGGACCAGGAGAGTATCAAAAAATGGGCTTGTCGACATGCTTGTAGGTGTCAAAGTCACCCAAAGACCTTCATGCTCAGAGAACATGGTAGCTGGTGTACTCGAGGAATGGGCCGCATTTTGTGTCTTCTGGTTGTGGACAATGTTCTGGACGGAAGGCGAAGCAGACGGTTGAGCATCCTGCTTCTGATCATCACTCCAACCAAAATGACTGGCGAACCAGCCCTTTTCAGAAGACTCGATGTCTTCTTTAGTCGCATGAGCATCTTTCTCAGAGACTTTCATCGCCGGATCCCGGGATTTTCCAGTGGATTTGTCGATACTTTGGTACTCTCCACTTCCGGGGGTGATGCTACCACCACGTAACACATTGGAGGAAACGGCCTCCGACCCCGGGGCGGAGGTTTTGGAAGCATCTTTCCCTGTTGCAGTATTGCTTGTTGTCGGAGGACCACTGCCTCGTGGGGGCATCAAGTCAGGGTCTCTCCAATCTTGAACGCCAATAACAAAATCATCAGCCTCAAAGCTGTCAGCGACCAACCCAACTTTGTTGCTGTTCAAAGTATCATCGGTTTTGCCCTGGCTTCGGCTGTTAGATGCCAAGGAGTTCCTGGTGTGGTCGACTCGGGCTTCGGTTATATCCCAGGTCATCCAGTCAATGTTACCACTGCTCGGCGGACGTCGGCTATCTTCGACACCCCTTGAGCCGCCAAATTTATTGCACAGCCCAAAGAAGGAGCCTAGGGTACGAAAGAATCCAGGCCCAGACTTAGTCGCAGACGTTGGTCGTTCTTTCGTTGAGGACTTCGTAGAAGTGGGCGTGGAACTTGCGGTCGCAGTCGCAGTGGTCGCAGCTTTTTGCAAGTCCGCATTGACTTGGCCAGCAAGAGTTCCCTGGGCGGTTTTCAGGGCTTCACCCAAGCCGGAATTTGCGCCAGAGTGCGCCGGTATCAAGGATGAAAGAAGGTGGGCGGTCGTATGGGAAGTAAATAGAGCAGGGATAGTCACATTCGAAGTGTCGCCCCGCGCATACATGGTAACTAGACTACCACCACGAGTATCATCACCGACAATCAACGCGATAGCTCCCCGGCGTTGAGCCCATTTAACCTTCTCAAGGAACCCACAGCCACCGCGGCTTAGCAACACAACTTTGCCCTGGATCTCCGCGGTTTCTTGTAGCGATTGAATATCTGCATGGGCGGACTTCTTGACCTGTACGTAGTCTCCGTATTTCTGGGTTGCGCCAGTCTCCGATCCACTGGATTCAGGCAACGGGTGGTGAAGATGGTCGTCGGTACCGTCACCCGATGAGGGGGCAGCCGAGGTATCATCTTTGACATTCTGCCAACCCTCAGGCTGCGATGGTGACCGTGTATTCTGTGAAACTGTCCCCTCTTTCACTGTACCACCTCCGGAGTTGCCGGGTTTTGGGTCTGCGCCCCTGGGGGAGGTGTCTGGCAGCTTGTGACCGTTTCCTTCACCCCAGCCAGGGATATCAGAGCAACCTAATTCCCCTTCCACGCCGGCAGCCAGCCCTCCTTCACCGAATCCACTGCCTACCCACAGTTGGCCGCTTAGGCTTTTGCTAGGCAACAACGGACCAAATGCCGCCGGGCGGGCTAGGAAGAAGGTCGAGTTGTCATCGGTCAGACTAATGATCGCCGATGGGGGGAAAAGTGAGGTCGGAATGTTGAATGAAAACAGGGCGTGCAGTCCGGATGGCTGACCAGTGAGTGAAGTGGGCGTGGCTACATCAGAGGAAGAGAGCGCTGAAAATAAGGTGACGAAGATAGGGAAGAAGATTAGGCAGAAGAGCACCACGAGGAGGCGCGGAGGTCGCATCTCTGGCAGATGATTGAACCACAACGGTTCCGGGGCGGGGAAAAAAACCAAAAAAAAAAGAAGTGCAGAAAGTTGGACTGAAAAGGTGGGTATTCGAGGGGAGCGAGGGACGTTGGCAGGAGGATTGTATGACAAAGGCTGACGAGTCGGAATCTACCAATCCAACGGTTGGCGTCAAACAAGCAGGCTGCCACTCATCGGGAGCAATGAGTAGCACCGCAGGTCAAGAAGAAACCAACGGCCACAGCCTACGCTTCCACGGGTCAAAAACAGGGAAATATAGGAGATAGGGAGAAGTAGAATGAGAAGGTTAGGCAGGTGGAGAAGGAGACGGGGAAGAGTGAACTGATGGATTACATAAACAGCGCAGTGACGGCATCGCGATATTGTCATGTTGGTACCTGAGGCCATAAGGCGGTGGAATCACCTGACATTGGCGCCTGACCTACCCCGCGCGAGGCGCTTATCTATATAGAACTTGTGATGCTCTTGGTATCTTCGCAGATAGAGTCCAGAGATATCTTGGGTCTTCTTTGTAGAGCACGCAGCCCCCTGATGGAGCTTTCCCCATTAAGATTTGGTTTATGCCGATCATGTTATCACGACCCGCCAAGACAAGCGAGTCGTCCTCCGCTACTTCGTTTTTCGACTCATGTGATCTAGAATTTCTGCAGTTGTCATATGATGATCTGTTACTTTACATCAGACGACTGAGGAATCATAGTGTGATTTGGACCTTATCAAATGCACTGTAGCAACATTGGAATCCGGGGCTATGCTCCACCCGTACTAGTCCTAGTTGGGTTGTTATCGGTCCCAATTAAGACTAGTGATTTTTGGCCGCAACCCACCTGGGCAAGTATACCAGCATCCCATTGTTTTTACTCTCTTTCCATCCATTGCATCTTACCCGACATCCCATTCCCAATACACAATTCGTATTCTCAACTCTTGAACATTCCATCAATATGAACTTAATCACAAGCCGCTCGCTTAAATGTATCGAGTCCCTCAATGCGGGCTATGAATCACTTACTGTCCTGAAGCAGAAAAAGCTAGCCAATGACGAGCTAATCAGCAAATTTTGTCAACCATGGCATGAATGTCGGCCAGTTGATTTCCATTACTATTCACGGGCTGCTCGAGTAGAGTCAATCTATCTCGAAGGATCTGAACTGGCGCGAAAGATATCACTCTATCTTTTCGAGGGAGATGAAGCTTCTTGGGAGAAAACGGAAGAGGGAAAAGCTATTATTGAGCAAATTCGTGCCCGAGAGCAAGGTTTCAAGATCTATGCGAAACGCGCGGAGTTTAATCTAAATCCCGTGTGTGGACACGTACGAGATTTATTCACGACTTCGAAACCTTTTATAGGTATAGGCAAAGTGAAGCATGAAGACAACTATGCAGAGCAGTCCTTGTTTCGTCATGAGCTGATTGACCAATTTCAAGCCCAACATCCCAGCCAGCCCTGGCTTTGGTGCCCGGTTCTTGGCAGCTGGGAGCATGAGTACAACGTCTCTGCCGTGCAGCTTTTTCCGTATATGCACGGAGAAGAAACCATGAATGCAATATTTGGAAATAAAAGCTCCCAAGAGCTGTTCTCAGCTCGGAATGGCATTTTGATGTCGAGGTGCATGGAAAAGCCCTTCAAATCTGGTAAATTGGCAATCGTTCCCTCGAACGACTCAATGTTCGCAAGATGCCTCCCATTCAATGGCAGTGAGTATAAAATCAAAGTCATGGACCCGACATGGGAGCTTCGGGATGAGTATATAAGCTCATGCCACGAGATACCCACATTCGGCGCGTTCAAAAATCGAAAGCTCACCTTTGGTCAGTTAAACGATCGCAAGCTAGTATTCCGCTCTTCGGTCCGCCCCGCAGCACGCTATCTGTTTTATAGCTACTGTGTGCAGACAATGAGATCAAGCTGGCAACTTGACTGTCAGAATGTTGATAACCAGACCACAAAAAAACTTCGAAAGAAAACGAAAACCGAAACGCCATTCTGGAGAACTTCAGGGTGCTATATCCCCCATTCAATGCTGCGGGCTTGCGTGAAGGAGCTTGGTCGCAACTATAAGTCACTGTTACGTGGAGCTAGATTGAGTCCTTTTCAAAGGGCTTCGAATCAAACGCTCTTGGAAACAGTAGTGCATCAAGTGAAGTCACGTCAGCCGGTGCTGGATACGGAATTATGTGACAGCAGCAGCTCAGGCTCTGATTATAGGAATATGGATGACATGAGTATGGCAGAAATGAAGGCCGCGGCTGAGAGCAGACGATATGCCAAGCCACCCAAGAAATGTCGATTCTCTAAACGGTCGTTCATGGCTGAATATCGTATTTCTCAGTTGCGAGAAGCCGGGATGCTCAATTAGTATTACGATCAGTGGTTTCGGAAAAAGAGCTTGCTGTTTGATACTAGGCAGAGTCACGGAATATACCAAAAAAGTTTTATTTGAAATTTCCCGATACCAGGACATGGCAGGGTCCACGTCGTCGTGTACGTTAGCTCAGACAAAGTCACTAGGTTTAGTTAAAAGCTCACGTGGGAACAATATAACGCTGCTACCTCATGATTCCGACGAAAGACCTTTCGACACTGCACATTCACTAGCGAATCCAAAACACCTCAAGAGCCAACCTTGACTTTGGTAACTCAGTTCAATGCAATGCGGCGCCATGGGTACAATTCCACCTTCGATTCTAGGGCTCGCTGGGAAGGCAGATTTGTATTTTTCCACAACTTCGGCAGTAGAAACCCAAAGCCCATCGAACTCCCCCGAGCCGTACAACACAGGGACCTGTATCAACGTGGAATACTTGTGAAAATTGGTGATCCGGGTGAAATTGATATCATGAAGTTCGGCGGTAGGCAATGGCTTATTCAAACGGACAGTATGCTCACACACCCGTGGATTGACTAGCTTTTTGTGCGGAGCTTGAAGCATCACCGCATTCCTTGCGACGGGATCGAAAGTAATGGATTCGGCTTGGGTGTCAAGTAAGTGGACCATGTGCTGCCTACTTGCATCGACGTGTTCGGCGCCAATGCCTGAGGTGATGAGACCCGCGAGAGGATATCGCCCTGTTCCACTGTGGCACCCGGCCGCAACTGTAGTCACCATGGCTCGATAGAGTGTGCAAGAAGTACCACGCTTGTCGCTCCACTGAGCTCGCCGTACTCTTTCCACAGTGACGGTAGAATTGTCGAGTTCAGATAATGTCCTTATTGTTCAGCCCAAGATTCTCCATCTGCGAGTGGTCGAAGAGGCGAGTGGTCGAAGAGGAGTGCTCCCCCCGTAACTAGGTCGGCTGATTGCAATGACGGGGATTCTCAAGGCCTGGGATATTCCTGAAATGGAGTGTTCCTGATCCATATCGAAATATCCGGCATCGCTACTACCGCCATGCACACACACTAAAAGAGGTCGGTATTTCGAGGTCGTTGGCGTTGGAGGCATGAGTAGGCGACCGGCGAGGGTATTGCCATCGGGAAGTTAGAGCACAAAAAGTTGCATTGAGCTCATCGTGAAATGGTCAGCCCCATGTGTAAACCTTTGGTATACATCAAAGATTCCTATCCATTTCGAGAAGCGTTTTACCTAAGTGCTTACCCGTACTAGATTCGCGGTTAGACCGCAGAAGTAGCGGTGGGACTGGCTCTGCAGGACCTGGAGAGTTGTACAACAGTGCAGATGGCTGCCTTAAGCTGGATTGCGCTAGCGTGGTGTAGCTCGAACACGCTGCCCATACAGAATCACATCCGAGCCAGATCCCTGACCCCCTTCAAGGTTGCTCTTTCTTATACACGGGTTGTGATCTCATTTTAGCGCTTCTTCTTATTTTCGCGATTTAGCTGTCACACGGGGAAGGACTGCTCCTCATTCTATTTTTCGAGTTGGCACGTCTGCCTCAATTTGCTTCAGGAAGAAAGACGTAGGTGAAGGTGTATACACGTTCATGATTGGCAGATCGGCACCCATGTATGTCGTTGCTGAAGGCCCAGAGAAAGCAATCAAAAAGAGTATTGGGAGGAACATGCTCCAGTGAAGTGCACTCTGAATTTTGCCATGGGCTAGAAAATAGAAACTTACTAGGCAAGTGAGTGTTCGATGGTCGGAGAGTGGTGCAATAGAATTAACTATTGTTTCCACATTTGAGTACCGCCGAAAACTGTTCTAGAAAACTTCCGGAAATGTTACGCCCCGAGATTCCACTGATAATTTTTCAGGAAATTGAAATCAATCAAGTGACAGGTTTGGAACCAGCCAGTTAAATGGCCCCCGACAGTTTGGCATTATTGCCACGCGCCCACATCGGGCAACTAATGACAGCGAACCCTGGTCCATGAGCTCTCCACCTCACATGACTCCCGCAGCGATGCTCTGGATACCCTTGTCCGGTTGCGTACATGGCTGACATGGGAAATCATGACGATGGCACGACTCGTGTTACTTTGTTGTTTGGTACACTTATCCCCGCATCACTCACGTCATCGCAGCCCATGTGGGAAACAATACGGAGTAGAAGGCCTTATTCCGAGCTCAGTGGTTGCTATTTTATCCAACCCGTGTTGTGTCGTCATGGATTGAGTACCACGACCAGCGATTGAGCAATCACGCAGTGGAAGACAAATTCTAGAATTTAAAGCCCCTCATTTCTCTGCTTACTCTTTCCATTGTAAACAACTTGCCATCTAGCTCGTTCACACTCACACTATCAATTACGTACTTTGTCTCTGTCTATCTAAAGACTCATTCTTTACGTACCGTTCATCATGTCGAACTTGATGCATAAAGTCAAGGACGCCCTGACGGGCCACCATGATGAGAATAAGGGATCATCTCATGACTCGTCAAAAGTGTCACAGAAAGTGGATGGTAGGCTCTTTGTATACCTTTAACAACATGTATAGCTACTTATCGCTCATAGATGCCCGTGATACCTATGGCCAAAGTGATACATGGTCCGCGACCAAAAATACTCAAAACCCTACCACCACCGGCGAGTACAGCTCGCAGCCTATGGGCTCTGACAGCTATGGTACCAGTGGCTACAACGCCGGTGTACAGCACGGTACTAGGATGCCCGGTGCAGGGGAAGGTCAGAAAATCCTTACGATTATCAATACTCAACGACTAACGTTTCGCGCTATAGAAACTGGCAATACCTATGGATCCACCAATACAGGCCGCAACGAATATGGATCCTCCGGGATGGGTATGGGTACCCAAGATACCATGTCCAACCGAATGGAGGGTGAGTTGATCATCGGTTCAATAAACAAGGATACTAACAATTGTCATGGCCAGATACCGGCAACACTTATGGTTCATCCAATATGGGCAACATGGGCACTGACACCTACGACTCCGCCAACAAAGCCAAGAACTACGACACCTATCAATCGAAGCCAATCGGCTCTGAAACCTACGACTCGAGCAATCGCGCCGGAAACTTTGGTTCGGGCATGAACACCGACTCCTACGGCTCAGCTACTCAAGGCTATGGCTCGAATCCCATAAACACCGGAATGGGCGAGTCACAGATGTCCAACAAGATGGACAGTGGCTTCGGTAAGACAATCTCTTAACCCCATCATTCACCCCTTCTGTCAATTTCCATTCTAACCGCCCATTTCAAAATAGACAACCGTGCAACCACTGGCACAGACCAGACAGGTGCCTACACCTCAAACTATGGTGACGACCTTGGCAGCACGGGCAGGTACAATACCCGTTCAACCACAGCTGCCAACATGCCCAGCCAATTGGAGTCCCGTTCAGAATCTGGGATGGATACGCAGGGCTTCGGTGGTGCTGCTGCTGCAGGAGGTAGCAATTACAATACTGATGCTCCTAAGAGACGATCTTCTGGTCCTCACAGTTCGAATCTGCTCAACAAGCTTGATCCCCGAGTGCACAGTTCAGAGTATGAGGGCACTGCTATGGGTGATCAACGCGGAAATTAGGACTTTTTTGGATTATTTCACGGGTGATGGGATTTGCAGTCTATCTTAGTTGATTCGTTCTAACAGACTAAATTGGGTACCGAATTCAAGTCATGGTTTCTACATTTATCTAGGGTGTGAATAATGAGCTTATAACAAGATTTTATCAAAAGTAGTACCTCGTAGGATCGAAGTGTTGATTTCTGCTGTTTCCTAGCAGCAAAGAAAATGGTAGTGAACGCTTGAAATATGTCGAAAGTATACTTTATCGTAGTTACTACATGCGTCAAAGGCTATCTTATTTGGGGAATTGACCATTAAGCATCTGCTCTGTGCTAGCGCTTGTTGTTGTGTCAACGATTCCTAAGGTTCGATGGTTATGATAATTTTTGACTGATCATGATAAAGCCCCATCCGGCACCACCATCTTGTCTATGCAAATACACATCAGTTAGAGTGAAGAACACTTGTACGAAGAGACCAAGATTCAAGGTTTACAGTGATAAGTGCAGTCGTGAAGGTATCCCTAATAATTCCATCATGTACAAATAATAGAAGATAGGCGCCAAAGTCCTAAGACCAAAGCTCGTGATTAACAAGACAAGAAATGAGAGGCAAAAGACTGTATCGGCTAGGCTGATGAGGCATGGAGTAGAACACAGGGGGCATAACAAGAGAGGTAAAAGGCAAGGAAACATCAACAAGGTTGAAGGATAGGGACATCCGTCGTCAAGGGTCATGATTGACGCGAACTGAAATAGGGCTAAATACCATGAGACAAAAAGACAAGAGAGAAGGTCAAGAGTATGCAACGTATGCAAGATGACGACAGGGAATCAACGCCGAGTCCCAAAACGAATCAGGCAACTAGGCGCTGCACGGCAGCACTAGGCCCAGAAATACAGGGGAATCAAGTCGTCAGGAGAAATAATCATGCCAGGGTGCTCCAGGGCGCCGACTTTTCGGGAAAGATAATCGTTAATGTGTCAAACAATGCAGACGAAACGGTCAAAGCGTATTATTTATTTGTCCAGCTTTTGCCACCCGTTGAGATAGGCCATGATGCCAACCCCAAGAAGAACGACACCAACCATGGACGCATAAGGACTGGTATCGTGCAAAAATTGACGTCGGCGCCACTCTGTCGCCATAGCGGTAGCCGCTGCGTCCATCTCTTTGGCATCTGCAGAAGCTGGATCCAAGGGCTGCACAGACGAACCACTCTTCTTATCAGGATCCACTGCACCATTCTCGATCAGGTGTGCCTGCGCGGTAGTAGTCTTTGACTGGTCATTGCCTTGGGGATCCGACTTGGAGCCAGGCTTTGAAACGAGGACCTTCTCTGCACGTTCCCGGCGGAGTGTCTCAATCATCTCCGCCAAAGATGCGCGGGACTCGACATTTTCCTCCTCGGCCTTCTCAGCGCGTTCCTTGAACGAAGCCATCTGCTTTCTCATCTCCTCCATCTCTTGCATCATCGTTTCCAACCGATGCTCAAGCTGTGTGGTGTCCACGGTGGTAGGCTCTGGCAAATGAACATCAGGAGCGGAAGAAGCCTCGGATGGCAAAACCGAGCCGTTGGGTAGTTGGGCCTCTTCGGAGTCCTCAAGTTCATCCTTGATGGCCGACTCTTGTTCCGCAAGACTATCCTCGGATTTTGTAACTCCATTGGTCTGCGGCGTCAAGTGCATCTCCAGACTCCTAACCTTTTCTTCCGCCGACTCGCGCGCCGCTCGTTCTTGAAGAACAAGAGTCTCGAGTTCCTTAACACGGGCACCTTGCGTATCAATTTCTCGCTTGGCAGATGAAAGTGCCTCGATGAGGTTCAAAATCTGGCTCGAGTCCCGCGAAACAGGGGAACTTGTAGCGGGCTTCGTTTTTTCTGTGTCGCTGCGCTTCAAAGGCGAGAAGGAATCTGAAGCATTTCGTAGAGGGGCATCCGGTTTCTCGGGGAGCGGTTGCTGGGGAGGAGGTGCGGGGGGATCGGAGAATCGAGAAAAGGAGTCGACGCGAGGCATTTTCGGGCGTCCGTTTAATTGACGAGGACCATTACTTTCAAAAGAGGATGGCTTGCTAGCCTTCTCTTTTTCGGCATAGCCTGGCTTCATTATAGCTGTCAAAAACTCGTCAGTCTGGCGAAGGTCCATGGACTGCTGTTTGGCTTGTTTCAATTCCCCCTAGAAGAGATGTTTAGCACGTCGTAATTATAACAGCAAGAGCCAGGGCTACATACAGTAAGTCTTTTGACAACCTGTTCGACGGAGATGGGCGAGTTCCAGTAGTTCATCTGCCTTTGCTGGTGCAGAGCATTCAGCTGGCTACTAGCGGCGCTCTGTGCACTGCGGTTGCTCGCATTACTACCGGACCTTCCGCGTAAATGTGAGAGTGGTTGGCTCAATGGAGATGGAAGAAGACCGCCACCTGAGGCAGGGTCCAAGTCTCCAAAGTTAAGATCAAGAATATTGGGCGTGGATCCGTATAAACCAGCGTGCTCGACTTTAGCCGAGACTTTATGATGAACAATACTGTTCTGGTCCTCGCTCACAATATCAATTCCCAACTCCAATGTATCGTTTTCACGCAGTTCATGCGGCTCTGATTCCCGATTTTCCGGAGACAGCCGGTGGCCATTCACGAAAGTGCCGTTGGAAGATTTCACGTCTCGAATCCAAATTTTTCCAGTCTTATCGGCCCAAATTTCAGCATGTTGCCGAGAAAGGACCTTAGAATCGAAGAAGCCATTTACTGGAGTTGGCACAGTCTTCGCATTAGTCTGCCGACCAATTCGAAGAACTTCGGGGTAAAAAGGGACATTGATTTGTTTCTTTTCAAAAGTGCCATTCATTGGAACCAACCCTAGAATGGCAGGCGGTTCTGCAGACCCGTTGGGTTGCTGTCGAATGCCATTCTGTTGCGAGGACTGGAGCATGTGTTGTGATGGGACGATAGATTGTGGTTGGTGAATGGCAGACATTGTAGATGATGCAGTTGGCCCTGAGAGGAATGCAGGGACTGCCTGGGATCGCGTGTTGGTGACTCCTGCTACCGGTTCTGACTTGGAGCTGGGCCAAGGACTTCTGGCGGGTTTCTTCTTCGATGACCAAGTACCGTCACTGGTGGAACCTTGCCCAGCATTAGGATCTTGAGTAGTGATCACCGTGGTCGTAGAGGTATTCGACCCCAGGGAGGATGAGGAGTTTGAGCGCTGAACCGGCTTCCGTTGCATAAACATCCGGGATACTTCGTCGTCCACTGAAGACAGAGCTCCTTGTCCTCCGTTACCAGTGCTGTACCATCCCAAGCGAGAGCCCGATTGCACACTAGGAGGAGATACCACGGCAGTCATGGAGAACGACACCGGGCAGAGGTTCAGCACAATATGATGTGATGGGCAGAAAGTGACGATCGCGCGTGTGAGATTTCCGTCACAGTCAAGGGATTCGATAATAGAATGACAATATGTATCTATCGATTTATTTGGTCACGCGTGTAGGGCTGTTGTTTCTGGTCCGGCTTCTTCAGAACGGTCGCGTTAGCGTCTCGATTCACTCCAACAATTTATTCGCCGCCTCGAGACATTCGTGGAATTTGAACCACCCACTACCTTATCAGATGTAGTGGATCCTAGACTTACTTGTTCAAGGTGTTTCAAAGAAGTTTAATCGCGGATGGGGGGCCAAAATAGTCAGTGCTCCAGACCAGGGAGGCGTGTGAGGTCTTGCCGAAAAGTGAGCAGCGACCGGGTGTTTCACTGCCCCAGGACAATGGAAGAAATGCAGGACGGGACTTCCGCCTTGCCACGGGCTTGAAGACTGCCCTAACAGCAGTTTAAAGAAGGAAAAGTCAGACAAGATGGCAGGCCATAAGGAACAACTCCACGGGAAAGGAGGGTCATGATCTCCTGCTCCCCTTCCACCATCGACGCCCCAGGCATGAGGTCACGTGCAGTGCACGTGTGGCACCCGTTAGATGCACGTGACAAAAGCGGAGACGGAAGTGAAAGTGATGCGATTCGTTTGAAAAAGCTCCCGAATCCCTTGCGAGATACAGTTGCACTTGAGGCGCATTATTATAATCATATTAGCTGTGTCCAGCTTGAGCTCTGTCTTCTCTCTTTTTTTTTTTCATATCCAACCCACATTCTCCTCTGACTACGTTCTTCAAAATGCCTGTTGTTGCTGGTCCCGCAGCCGGTCCTTCGACCTTTGACAAGAGTATGTCAACCTTCACAGCACCAATTCACTATAATGCGGTATATTTAGGTTGAGCATGAGATGAGCTAACTTACTTTATAGTGAAAATGGGTGCCATGATGGGCTCAAGTATGTGCACACCTCACGCTTAGCCGTCTACTGAAGAGCTTCGACTAATGCGATACTCGTTCTTTAGCTGTCGGAGCTATTATGGGCTTCATCGGTGGTACGTTTGATTCAGACATGATGTGTAGCGTATTGATGTAATTTTGGAAAGCTAACATCGTTCAGGAGCTGTGGTCATCCTCCAGCACGGTGCTGGTCCCAACGGTGTTATGCGCACTCTGGGCAAGTACATGGTGGGTTCCGGTGCTACTTTCGGGTACGTATTAGCTCTACTTCTCCTTCCCTGAAATGAGAGCCTGTCTTGCTGGGTTTCCGGCAGTTTCAAACACAACAAGCTCATGCTAATCCTGCCCTTCTCTAGTCTTTTCATGTCCATCGGCAGCGTGATCCGTTCTGAGGGACCCCGCAACGATCTCTGGCTCCGTGCTCAAGGACCCCCGATGATGCTTCCTCGCCAGACTCCCCTGCGCTCGATGCGCCAATAAACTCGCCTTTGCCTCGGCCCGGATGTCAGATGGACATGCGACACGATCAAACCGATGGGGATGTATTTTGTACGATATAAGCAGTTTATTTGAGCGGTTCCGATAAGCTGGAAGGAGGAAGGTCTAGGAACGCAAGGCTTTGGCGGAGAAGTCGGGCCGGGCTGGATATTCAAAAGCTATCCAGCTCATCATGTAAATACCAGGTACCGGTCACGTCTGGGGAATGGTACCTTATTCGGTGGGTGCCCAGCACCCAGGCTTCGTTGAATTGGTATCCTTGCTGTTTTATAGCCTGAATTTCCGAGATATGATTCAGTGGAAAAATCACCTCATGCAGCCATAGTTCATGGGAAGGTCTCCAAACCGACCTCGGTAATCAGCGCAAATCTTTTCATGTACCATTGCTCCAAACAATACGCTAGATGATATTATCGATATTTCACGGCACCATTGCCCAGGTGTGAATGCCAAGATTGCAGTTACACCGTGGACATCTGATGTCATTGTCAATCCAAGACTGAGTTGTCAAACTCCACCTACCGAGGTACGTAGATGTAGTCGGTGTATTGTTGTTCCCGGGGGTAAATGCCCACCATAGAACAATGCAAGCTTTCACTAGCTCTGAAGGTATTGACCGGTTTTGTTGGCTTCAACTTTTCAAATTCATTTTTTAATAAAAAATCTACAATGACTAGATATTTTGGGTCATGGGCACCTAGCAGCCTTGAATTGAAAGTTTAGTTGTTGACCCTTGGAACACGGAAATATATCCTCACATAAAGCAGTCACTTTCTGGATACTCGCTACACCTCTCATTATTTTACTTCTCAAATTCTCTCAAAGCTACACTTCAAACCCAGCTACATCCATATGTATTTGTCTATCCAGACCCAGTTATATCATTTCTAAATCCAGGGCCCCCAATTGGTTGGAGGTTTCTGGGCCTTGCCCTGGTTGTTTACATGAAGAATGCGGAAAAAGCGGTCCAGGGAGCGGTGATACCGCCGATTGCCAACCTTGCAAACTGACGACACCCTTTTCTGCTAACACATGACTGGACCCCCGGGCTAATGTATGTACGAGCAGAGCGCATTCACTCCAACCGCATTATGCCACATCATCAAGGGCCCAAGAACATGTGTTCCCCCAGATTAACGAACGTCTTTCTGCAAGGAGATCAAGCCAATTAGGGACAGGCCAAACTTTGGACGGGATGATCAGTCAAGTTCTCGAACCCTTCAAGCTCTCTTCATCCGTGTATCCAAATCACTAACTCGTCGTGAAGGGAAGGTGAAAAGGCCGATCCATCTCTAGTAGATTCCGGCTTGAAAAAGGTTCCATGGATCCCGCCAGGAACAGGCACGAGAGTAGCTCCGAGAGCCCCAATTCTTAATTTCCCGCTTCGCTCGGTGGATTTTGCCAAGCCCACCTTTCACAACATGGGAAAGTCCCCCTCGTGGTGGAGGACTTTCGGGTCGCACCCCGATCCAGGCGAAGAGCGACAAACTCTACAGCCAATCTCGGCTAATCCCGTGGCTAGCCAATCCACATCGAGGTTGCAGGTGATGAGAACAAAGCCAGAGCAGCGAATCACAATCCTCCAGTCCGGAGGAGATCCGTGTTATCCGTTCCTGCATTCATGACGCCAGGGGTAACACTGGTAATTTACGTGAAAACACGGTCTGTCCCAGATGCATAGAGAAAATCCTCATTTTGGGAGCAGCGCTTACGGAAACATGTCCCAAACATCAAGAGGTTTCTTGTTTCTTATTTTTTTTTTTTTTTTTTATCTTTATTTTTTTTTTTGTCTAATTTACTCCGTGAGTCCGTCTCGGTCAACTATTGTTGGCCCGGAAATGGTCTATTTAACTGCTTCTTTGGGATTTAGGGCTGTAACACCACCTATGACCTCCCTTTAGGGGCAACTCTGTCGGGCTTTCTCTCCCTCTGGATTGTGGAGAGTAAGCCTCAAAAGGATAAATAAATTGCATCCGTGTTGTTCCCTGGACACGGCGACATTGGGCCCGCCCACATCATGTCCCACGTCTACACCGTCAACAAGTGATACTGCATTCAATAGCTCCCTATGACGCGACGCAGATTGGAATTTGCATCCCTCCAAAATCCCTCGCAGGGAGTCCGTGCGGGTCAACCGATCCAGACCCTGCAGTGCCTGACGCTAGTCACATTAGTTAGGGTTTTTTTGATTGCTTGGGCTCCATAGTTCGATTTTGGACCGCCCTATTTCGGATAGTCCCAGACTCGCGTGCCCCGTTGACCCAATAGGATCGTCAGAGCATCCAGAACAAAACAATAAAAAAAATCTAACTTGGCGCCACTGCTCCAGAGTGCCCAAATGGCCCCTTCCCCAGGTTGGCACTCGTATTTAGGGCTGGCATACCGCACCCTGTCATACTTCCCTCCTTCTTCCTTCTTAGGCAACTTGCAAGACTTCCTCACCCCCAGTCATTCTTTATTCAAGTCCCTCGTTTTTGCCAACTGGCCCCATCTGAGCCGCGCTCTATACCACGATCTTTACCCTATATCCCTTTGAGTCCCAATCCTTTGCGCTCAAAGTCGATTTCTCCCGGAACAGCAAACTCGCACTTGCCTCAACGGTATCTACCATACTGCAATCCACCCCAATCAATCACACCTTGCTGTGCACGACTTCAATTCTCTCAGACGAAATTATTTTCTTGTCTATATCAATCCCGCGACAAAATGCAGATTAAGGCTTTTGTCACTTCGTTCCTCTGCCTGGCTGCAGCCCAATTCGCTGTCGCAGATGAAACGACTACCTCCACCTCAACAATGACCATCACCAAGACGCTGGTTCGCGTCCACTCGGTCACTTCCACCCCCAGCGTTAGCGCTAGCGCTAGCATGACTCCCAGCTCTAGCATGGCCACTATGACTTCCACTCCTCTTGTCCAATCTGCTACCAAGACCGCCGCCGCTACCTCCGCCACCCACACTGGCGGTGCCGTCAACGTGGCCGCTGGTATGCCGGCTGCTCTGATCGCTGGATCTTTTGCGCTGATTATGGGCGCGGCCCTATAATCACCTTTACGCAAAGAGCACCGTGAATGACCTCAGCGGCCTTGAGTTGCGATGATATCCACCCATTTGGTTGACTCTGCGATTGCTCGGTGACTCAATTCTTCGCCGTTCTCTCCAGCAGAGCCCGGCTTACCTTTTATTTGGACTATTTTCGATTCTTCACTTCAACAAATTTTTTTTTACGGCTCATGGTTCACTGGAGAACCTCATTCGGAGAGGAAACGGTTTTATGCACTTCAAATACCCCTTTTTAACGAATTTTTCCGGACACGATTTGATGTCTTTTTCTACCAACCCCATTGTTCAATTCTATTGTTCATATTTGTGTATGGGGGATTGTCTAGGATGATATCAGCAGGGGCGTGTTTGGCCCGGAGTTATCCAGACTCCGATCAACAACACGTCTGTTCAGAAGCTGAAACCTGGAATCAATCCCTTGGCGCCAAATGAAACCCTTTTTTCGTATATAATCTATACTTCCAAAATAAATATTGACCTGCTTCCCTATCCACACATCTACGCGCCCATGTCTTATCTACTGAGACCTAATTAGCAACCGGGGCGGAATGTCCGAGGATCGTGGAAATGACCCGAGTTTTGTATTCATATCTACGTGTATAGAGTTGACGTGACGAAGATCATGTCGATCGAACATTCCAACATTCCGATCTGACTGCCGTGAGCTCCGAGGTCGACTGATAAACTCAGGCCGTGCGCCCACGCGACCCGTTTCAGGCCGTTTAGATCTGATCTTATCTAATGCGAATCTATCGTTCATATTGAAATTTTGTTCTATTTCACACATTTCCTCGTAATCCCAAATTCCCATTGCATTGATTCAGAATTCTCCTTATCTTTCATCCGTATCGCGAACTGATCGCGCGTTGTTGACACCCGCCTCCACTCGGGCTCCACCACGCGTCGCACCCCCCAACCTTCACACGCATTGTTCATCTCTGAATGATCTAAGAGGGAACCGAGGAGCGACTCGTCTGCCCCGCGACAAACACGATCGCAATGGACAACGAGATCCCCCTCCCACCGCCACGGCGCATCCGGCATCGATCGCCCGCACGCGCAAGCGGTTCCCCCGCTACCTCGCTTGCGTCGTCGTTCCGCAAAGCGCGTCGACTTTCGCGCTTCGATGACCGCTCCAGTCAGCCATCTAGTGATCCGGCATTGTTCTCTAGCGACGATATTCCTGCATCGGGATTGGAGAATTATCATGCGCCTGCGGTGGGGGCTGGCCGGAAGAGGCGATATCGTGGGACGTGGTGGGGGGAGCAGGTGATTGATTCGAAGAGGAAAAGGCGGGATTTCAAGGAGAAGCGCAATGTTGATAGTGGTGTTTGGATGGGAAGTGATGAGTCGGGTGCCGATTCGCTTTTTCCTTCTGAGGATGGTCCTTGGGGCGAGGATCTGCTGAAGACGGTGCTTGATCCTAGAACTCCTGGGAAGTCTGCTCAGGGCCCTTTGCTGCTTCCTAGTGGTAAGGCTGCGCCACCGGTTTATCCTTTGCCCATTTTAAAGGGGCCGAATGAGTCGGAAGAACACCGGTTCGCGAGGTCGGTGGTTAATGATTGTTTAGAGAAAGGGGAGGATATTGTTGATCTTGGGTATGCTGAGTCCTTTCATCTGATGCCGAGATGGTGGCTTTAGTCCGAAATTAACATGATATCTAGGAACTTGAACTTAAGGAATATCCCATCGGGTCTTCTCCAACCTCTACAGCACCTGACAAAGTTGCCTTCCATAGAGCAGGCCCCCTTGTCTGAGAATGTTTACTCCTCGCTGCAGCCTTTCCTCAGTATTTATCTCCCAGGGAACTCTCTGACCCAACTTCACCACGAGTTGTTTGAGCTGAGCGGCCTCAAAGTTCTCAGTGTGCGAAACAACGAACTCCACGAAATCCCCTTCACAGTCCAGAAATTAAAGGAACTGGAGGTCCTCAATGTTTCTGTGAACAGACTGACTTATTTGCCATGGGAGCTCCTACGTCTACTCCAGCATGGCGAATTGAAACACATGACCGCATGTCCTAACCCATTCCCGTCAATCGAAGAGGCCGTCGTTGCCAAATGGCATCGCGAACCCGAAAAGAAGACCAAGGACCAACCTTACGATGAATACGACTCCGAACAAGAAGAACCTGAAACTACTCTTGAAATCCCTCGATTTGACATTTACGAGGACTCTCCTCCACCTGAGGCATGGACTACCATTCATGTCGCTACAGGGCCGACGACACGGTTGGACATGGAAGGACGACCAATCGAAGAGGTACCAGCCTTAAATATGATCATTCCATCAGCGGATCCAGTCACCACCGCTCCCTCTCTACGCGAAGTCGCACTCCGAGCGGTTTGCAAACTCCCTGACCTCGAGCACGTTACCGACGAAGAACTCGCAGATTTCCCTGCTTTGGTGATTCCGTTAATGCAGCAGGTAAAGAAGATTCGTGCCGCAGGTGGGCAGCAGTGCTCTGTTTGTCAGAAGGAGTATATCATTCCTCGGACGGAATGGCTCGAGTGGTGGGATTGCACGCCTTATGAAAATGGTATGAAGCTAGCACGAGCTTCGGGTGAGAAGCTTCGCCCGTTGCCGTTCAAACGGTATGGCTGCAGTTGGGTCTGTGTCCCTTGATTGAAGGTGTATATTATTACTTCTTTGTTGATTTTATATTGTATCTCGGTTTGTATGTACTAGATCTCGGTGTCTATATCACTTATTCCCCATGGCTATGGGAACATTCCATGAAATCTGGTGTTGTTCATATCTTTCATGGTAAAATTTCTGTTCAGGAGATATTTTCCGTGGAATGCGAGACTGTCACCCACCTGGTAGCTTGGCATGCGGACTTCGTATATGCACCTATACAGACTCCGCCCGGTGGGTCTTTCCTAAATTGGGCTGCCGCCGCTTTTATGAAGGCGCTCAGGCTCAGGCTCACGGAGTAGACGTGAGCACGGGTTAGACTCAGTGATCACGCTCAGGGTAGTCATGTTATGCATGACTTACAAATGGCACGCTTAGTGAGTGCTCAGTGAGTGCTCCGGGACTACTTAGGCGCATATTCTGAGTATATGTAAGTCTCATCTTTCCTTTTTAATATTTGATTCAGATTCCTGGTAGAATGTAGATTAGTTCTCATAAGTTGACCACCAGATGCTCATTGAAGTAACAGTGAATGATGAATAATTTATGTCAATTGATTCAATTAAAGTATAACACGTCTAAAATGTATAAATATCTCAGAGTCACTGACGTCTATTCGACTTCCCGCCACTTGCCTGTGGAGACAAAACAATTTTGAAAAATCGAATCTACCAAGAGCATTGGATCTTGGGAGTAAACTCAACTGGAGCTAGTGCCTCATAGCATGTGTATGTGCCTGTGTCTGGACTCTTCTCACACGTCACAGTAGATGTGAGGTCGGGGCAAGTGAATGTACCCGCAGCATCGGTGGTACCCGTATAAACACAGTCACTCATACCGTGAATGTCGACTGAGATATCGAAAGTGCCATCCGGAAGGCCTTCGCCAGATGAGAGTGCCTCTGAGCCTCCACCTACATCATCACACGCGCTCCAGCTCGCGCTATATGTTGGATCAAAGTATTGCCAGGTGTAAGGGTTGCCCAGCTCGTTGTCATCTTCAGCGAGAGCAATAATGAATCGTTCCGAGGGTGTGGCCGTTGCAGCGTCTGATGTGGATGTGGATGTTTTTGACGAAGTAGTCGATATAGATGTGGATTTTGTCGATGTGGATGTTGTGTACAGGCCGGCTGTGAGAGAGTACTGCTCACCGGAATAAAGAGATGAGAACTCTTTAGCAAACAGTGAGGCGAGTGACGTGAGGCTTGCTATGGGATCTGTCGTAGCACCCAATGAACTTGAAGGAGGAACTGCCCAGTTTGTGATTGTTGTTCCACAATTTGAAAGGCACCCGTTTGTTCCATTCGCTGCGGTTCCAGGGTTATTGTTGTCCGCAAAGGTGCGATTGCAGTAAACCGGTGTAATACCGCACTGGCCAAAGGCGTCGCAACAGGCATTCAAAGGACATGGGTTGTAGCTCTCCCAGTCCCCGGAATCGGTGCTATTGAAGACCGTTCCCGCAACCTGAGGTCCACACTCTGCGTTGGCAATCGGCAGAGGATAGGGAGGGTTGCCTGTCGATAAACAGATGTTTTGTCCGGCCTGTAGCTCGCTGCATCCATACCAGGCCCATGTCTCGTTGTTGTAAGTCTCGATTTCGGCTTCGGTGAGACTGTATGTACTGGCCAGATCAGAACAGCTGTCTCCAGATTGCACACTGTACGTGTAGCATGTTCCATTCGAATATGCAGATGGCGAAAAGTCCGGCAGCGAGCCAGAGGAACAGCACACGTACTCTCCCGGTACTAGTGCAGTACAGAGGTCTGTTGCAGTATTGTACTCGTAAAACTCGTCAGAGGTAATTCCGCAGTCTGTGATCAGTCCGTAACATGTATCCCCGGAGACCACTTCTCTGTATGTGCATGTATCATCTCTGCGTTGATGAGAGTGAGATACGTAATGACCGTGAGAGCCATGAGAGCCATGAGAGCCATGAGAGCCATGAGAGCCACGCGAATATGTTGATTGTGTTCCGTTTGCCTTGTGGGTACCCAGGAATGTCAGAGATGTACTGCCGGTTGCACTCTTGTCAAAGCCTGACAGACACTCGCCTCCATGCCAGCTTTGAACGTATTGTTGAACAGTTGGAATGTCGCCATTAAGGTCAACCGCCACACCAATTGTTTCGTTGGAACTATATCCACAGTATTGAATGGCAGCAGTGCTGTAGGTGGTGTCGGAAAGGAAGCTTCTCAGTTTTTCAATGGCAAATTCAACATTGGAAACCTGTTGAACACTGCCACCCAAATAAACACCAGCGGCTACTCCATTGGAGTATCCAAATATTTCTGGTTTTTGTGGGTGCCCAGTCAGATAGGTTTGCAAAGCATCCAGAAGCTCAGAATAATTGCTTTCTCCAGATTCGGAAGGACTAGAGCCCCAAGCACCGATCTGGTATGTAATTGATTTCTTGGTTGAAACGGAGGAAGACGCAGTTTTGACAGAAGATGAGTTTTGTAATTTGTCGAGGACACCAGAAGCGCAGACATGCAGAGTGGAATGCACCTGGGGGTCATCCAGGTCATTGAAGATGTTGAACTCAAGGAGCATAGTCTCATTGCATCGAGTGACTTGTGGGACATTTCGAAAAGTGAACCAGTCGACTGGGTTGTAGCTAGCGCAGCTGTCTGGACAGAGTGCTGGTCGTCCAACCCTGGTCGCCACGGCGTGACCAGCAAAGCCACCGAAGGCCAGAATGGAGGCCGCAGCCCCGAGGAAGGAGTGCATCGAGTTTATGGTGATCTCAGGACACGAGGTAATAATTCAGGTACCATGCAGAAAGGAGATCCAAAGAGAGGAAATGAAGAAGTAACTCAATAAAAGAGTGAAGAATCAGTTGCCATAGACATGAAGTCTGGCAATTTGATATGAGTTGAAGTTGGAAATAATGCGGACCCGTTCCCTGGCTCTTATAGATGAATTATTGAATATGAACGCAGAAATCTTTGAGGAAAATTACTTCTCATCAACACTCCAGTCCGACCATATCTGGACTAGCCATTCTCCACTGCAAGTTTCTATCAATCCTTCAAATGTGGCAAGCCCCAAGACGCCGTCGTTTCAAAGATCAAATCTACTATCTCGCTAGTGTTCATTTCTGTCGAGGTTGCAAATTTTCTCTATGCTAAAGCGTGCTCCGCTAGGATTCCCAATTCTGACTAAATTGAGCACTAACCACTAGCCGGACACATTTCAGCCTATGATATCTCGAAGTCCGTGTTGGGAGTTGGAAATCGAAATCTAGAGGCGAAGAGGATTGATCCACCTCAGCTACAGTGCGGGATTCATCTGGTATGTAGTTAGGAGTGCGCAGTTAGTATACTACTAGTACGGAGAGTATGCACCGTTTAAGTACTAGACCCTTCCATCTTTAGTTCCTGATCGGCAAAGTACTTTCCGAAATAAGTCTGACCCGTTGATTCGGTCCGGATCCGGCACTAAGGGTTGTCGCATGCTTTGCCATACCGAGAAGCCGATGGGAGTTTCAAAACAATATAATTCAAAATAACGGTGCGATGATTGAAGATTTAGTGGGCACCCAGTGGCCTTTATCGGTGGTTCGTATCTGTACGGGTCAAGGGAAAATTGTAAGACTTCAATATCTACGAAGTAGTATATACCAACGAGTACTAGCTGTGACAAATTATCAGGGTTCAATTCAAGGACAGGGAAAATTTGAACCCCACGGGAGTACGGAGTACGCAGTACCCGATGAACAACCCCGAACTGAATTCATCTCGCCTTGTTGGCTCGTATTGGTTTTCGTGAGTTTTACCTTCTCCATAAGCGTTGGATCTGATGCGTGGACGACGTTCATCTATCTTGGCCATGATTGGCGAAAGCTTGGCCAACTTGTCTAAAAGATCCTAGGGGCAAATGAATGGCTCCAGGGTGATTAGTGGGTCGGATGCTAAAGCCAAGCGGGGATTGTCCAAGCTTGGCCCCTATGGCCCCCGGGGCCTCGATCCCGCGTGGACCCACTTGTGTTCAACTAATGTTCAGTATACAAATACGAAATCAAGATAGCTTGTCACTATATGGAACTAGTTACCACAATGTCCACAAGCCCGTAATAAGCGAGATTGAAGGGCAGTGGAGGATATCAGAAGTGGAAAAAAAAGTAAAAATACACAAAATGAAGGATCGAGAATGGCGAAAGAGCCGATGCTCTCTCTCTTCTGCATAAAGAGGCTTTGCAGTTACATGAGAAGGTTAGAATCACAGCGAAGGCTGTCCTTCTCACTTGACGAAGTCGATTTTCTCCCACTCGTTCGCCGGTACCATGTTGGGATCAAGGAAAATAGTTTCTTGGCTTTCCTTATGCTTGGGGGTCAGCAATGTTGCAGTTCTCACTGTCTCTGATTTGTTCAACCTCGCTTCCGTTCTCCCCAGCTATGGGGACTGTTCTTCGTACACAACGAGGCTAAACAATTATGCCGACGACTTCTCAACTCTTGCTACTCAAATGCTCTACGCAGTTCAATGGGCTCAGCAAACAGGGCAGACGCAGCAGACCATCGTGGCTCGAGAGCTCTTCACCGCTTGGTTTGGTATTAAATTTGACGGCACTGGAGCGCTCCTTGCAGAGAGTAATACTGCTTGGACTGTTGTCACAGGTAAGCAATGTTGGATTCTCAAAGAGAAAAGCTACTGACAGTATAAATTTCGGATTAGAGCACATCACTCGTCTCCAATCTCTCATTACGAATGGCGGAGCGTACCAGGCTTGGAAATCTCCAGCAAATCTCTTTTGTGGTGATTTTGGAGTGCAATTTGGATGGAACACTGTTATGTTGAATAGCGATGGGCAGAAAGTGGAATCCCTCGCGACAGTGGAACAGATGTATCACGACTGGAAGACCTACATAGGAGGTGAACAACAACCATACTGGGTTCCATCGTTGAACGCGTACTATCTTATATCCCCCACGACTTTCAACGGGGGTGCTATGTGTTCCGACACCAATGGGTTGGAAGGGCTTAACTCCTTTGGCAATTCTGAGTCCCTGAAAAGTATAACACGCGATGGCTTAAACTATCCCGTCTATCGAGAGGCACTCTCGGATTTTGTTTTGATTTGCCCCAATGTGTTGGGGGCCAGCACGGCCAGTGACAGCTCGGCTGGTAACATCCTGCTGAGTGATATTGGAACTCTTACCATGACCGCGGCTCTGATCGACAGGCCACAACTGTCGTTTGTCAAGCCTATGAGCACTGTGATGCTTCATGAAATCTTGCACATGGTGACCAGGTGGGATGTGACCACAGCCGGCACGATAAGCGGACAAAATATGATTGTTGATCATAGTTGTGAGTACTACCCTTTAATGATCTACATAACAAATGCTGATTGTCCCATTCACACGCAGACAAAATGATGGACTGTCTAAGCATGGCGCTCAGTCCCTGGGTAGTCACCAAAAATGATGGAAGTACCGTGACAAAGTATGCTTATCCGAATACGGAAAATTATGTCCATTTTGCTTTGGCTTGGTGGTACTATAACTCCCAAACCCGGGGAACCGACACGCCGGCCACGTTTTATGCTGGTCTTCTTCAAAAGTGGGACTATACTTAAATGGGGCGATACCGTTTCTTGAATCATAATTCTGATATGACTTCAACTGGGAATTGGGCAATGGGCTGTTAAATCACTTGTCAAATATTTGGGGGAGCTATGGTACTATGTGTCGTTCCGGCTGTTGTGCCGGCGGATAATCAATCACGAGTTGCAAATTTTTTTTATAGGATATTCCTAAAAAAGAAACACTGTGGATATGGAAAAGCACTAGGCATTGAGTTTTCAATCGCTTGCAAGATAAGTGTAGTCTCTCTCGCTGGTTAAGTGTGGGTGGGTCCTGAATAGTGGAGCGCTAGCGTTAGTGTATGTAGTGCGGTCTGCCCCCGACGAAGCCCCAATCAAACTTGTTTGCTGAGGGGATTGCTGAGGGTGACATGATTCTGGTGTTCGGGAGTGGATGTGATGATTACTTAAACCCACATGATTCCAATGTTCTGAGCCGAAATCCCTCCTCTAACTGGCTCTTCCACTTTCCAACCCCATCCCTAACCGTTCACGTGACTATTTATTCAAAATGTCTATCACAAGCCTGCCTCCAGAGATATTGTCTCATATTTGTGAATATCTGGAGCCTCAGGAGTGGGGTGCGCTCAGAATTACTTGCCACCAAATACATGGCAGTACACTGGAAGCCTATGCAACGCGCTACTTCAAAACTTTGACACTTCTTCTCACCCGTAAAAGCCTTGACAATCTGGAGGGTGTTGCAGCAAGTGAAACCTTACGAGGCTCGGTTCGAGAAATTCGGATCATCCCAAATTTGTTCGAGGGGTGGCCAGAAAGGGATAAGGAACGTTTCATAAGTCCGGGATTGGCATTCCGGCAACAGAGAAGCATCTTCAGAATAATGCGCGGTGAAAAGGAAGAACCACCATTCAATAAAACTGAGGCTGAGGCTGAGCTTGACGCTCTATTCACCTCTTATCAAGCTGCACTAGAAGAACATCGTGCTATTCTCGACTCGGAACTTACTACGGTTCTTGAAAAATGCCTGCCGCGCCTCGAAACGCCACCACAGTCGGCTTACAGTGTTACCCTATCGAATTCCTCCTGAAAGCCAAGCATCGTTCATTTCACTGCCTCGGCTTACGTGAACTAAAGAATCAATTCCATACCGATGATATGAGTGGTAATATAGCATTCGCAGATTTTCAGCGGAAGATGTTATCTATGCCTCTGGGCTTAGCATTTGCACAGATGGTCAAGGCTATAATCAAATCTAGCCACAAGGTCCGCGCCCTCCATACGTGCGGCAATATCGCATGTGGCATGAAGTTGGGGTCTATAAAATTGTCAGAGTCACAGCATCAATCACTGCTATTGCACTTGATCGATCTTACGACTCTACATATGTGCATTCGCATTAAAGATAACGAAAACGACATATTCAATGAAGACGCCTTCAAACATCTTCTTAGTATGCTGGTCACAGTCGCACCCAAATTGAAGGTCCTGACCTTCGCTCAATGGAGTCCCTTGGAAGAATTGTCTCCTCTCTATTTTCAGGATCTCTCCCAGAACATCCGGTTTTCCCAGCTAGAAGAACTTCATCTTCATTCCATTGAGCTGACAGTGGGGAATCTCAAGCGCTTTCTTCAGACAGCAGCGCCAACCTTGAGGCGACTGAGTATGAAGAACGTCAGCTTGACAGATGCGATAATTGGAGCACGAGATCCAGGCCCCCTCACAGAAGAGAGGAGTAGTTGGGGTTCTTCGCTGTCTCTCGAAGTCATCAACAAGATCCAGGAACTCTGGAAGCGAAGCTTCGAATTGTTGGCAGATAGCCCCAAGCTGCGGTTTGTCCAATTGTCTAGTCTTGGTTACCGTGGAAGAGAGATCATTTTGCAAGATGACCTATATATGGAACGCGGGCAGCCGGATGCACAGCCGGATGCACAGCCGGATTCAAATGCGCGGCGTTCGATCAACTGGTCAGAGATCTATTCCGATCCTACCAGGGGTCAGTCATCCTTGATAGATTTCTGTTTCGATGCTGAGAGAGCGAATATATCACTCAAACGATGGATCATGCAGCTGCGGATGGAGATGTGCAATCCGGCAGGCCTTGCAACTACCCAACTTCCGGGGACCAGCGGCTTGAGTTTTAACCAAGACGGCGTTAGGTCCTCTACTACGTACCAACCGGGGGAAGAGCCAGACCCTAGAAGACTCGCAGAAATGGGGGCTTTAGTCGTCTAAATCTTTGCATATACAACAATATCATGAAGCATAACAAGGGGACAATAAATTCCTTTCTATTATTAATGTAGATGTGTGAGAAACACTGACTGCTACATTGATGACCCTAGCTTTTTGTTAAGGAGATAAAGGTTAATAGTACTGGGTGAACGACTGTATTTGGATGGGGCTAGCGTGGTACATTTTATTGAGGCGAGCTGTTGGCTTGGCTACTTCCGCACTTTTGCTTAGGTCGTGCGCAGTATGTGGATCAGGCTGCTTAGGTGACGCTTAGTGCGTGCTCACTACGTGCTCACTACGTGCTCAGTTTTACTCAGTGAGCAAAAAGCGGCAAGGGGTGAGCACTAAAACGGAAGGGGAAATCGAAATTTGGCAGACATTATCTGGTATTTTATGTACCTAGATTTAGACTTCCGACTAGTCTCGCCACGTCGGGTGCGGCTGAGCCCCTAATACGTATTAGATTTAGCGAGCTGAACCCTGTTTACCGTTGCAGTTGAATGTGAGATTCGCGCTGACCCCATACATTCATTCCTTCGGTTTGGGGGCTTTTGTCCCTTCAATAAACACCCCGTGAAGGTAGGTCGCCAGGATCGCCCGAGGCATTCCTTTTGATAATAACTCATCTCACTGCTTTCAAAGTTATATGGTCACAAACCACGCGGAAAAATTCCAGCTCAACCTTATAGATAATACACCCATCATGTCCACATCAACATCAACATCCACACGCTCGAACCTCGGCCCCCTTACAACCCCATTTATCTACCCCTCTTCCTGCGCAATAGCAGTCCTAGACTGCCAAACCTGCTTAACAGCCTGGCAGGCCCAGGCATGCAGCACAAACGACATCAATAGCCAGGGAGTTCAAGATAACCCCGCCTGCTGGCCCCCACAAACGAACGACAAGTACCTCACCGAAAGAGCGTTTAATGGCGGGGGATTCTATTCACCGGCTCTCTCCTGCCCAACAGGATACTCCGCTGCTTGTTCTGCCACATATGGGGGGGTAACGGAGTACTTTTTCCAGTTTCCGTTGGCCTCATCTGAGATTGCGGTTGGATGTTGTCCTAGGTATGTCTGATTTTGGGTTGCGATGGAAGTCAAGGAAAACTAACTTGAGTTAGTGGTTTTGCTTGTGGATATACCTGGGATGGCACTGAAAATGCCCAGACGTGTTATTCTGACTATTCGACTGGTTCGTTCCCGGCTGTACATTGCTCTTCGGGGACGAGTGACGGGTTTTCTTATTTGACTGTTCCCTTGACGGCTTTTGCCTCTGCTTCTGGCTCTGCATCCGCGTCCACTGTGACGATTGACAGTATAAGAGTTAATGCTCCGCTGTTTCAATTGGTGTACCAGACGACTGATTTACCGGTTTCATCTACATCGACTTCGGGTTCAACTACGATCGGGGAAGGTACAAGTACAGCATCGCCTAATACTACTTTGGTATCAGACTCCTCTCTGTCTACTGGGGCGAAGGCTGGAATTGGCGTCGGTGCGGGCGTTGGAGGGTTGGTTTTCATTGGAGTCATTGCGTTAATATTGCTTCAGAGGCGAAGAAGACGAGATAGCTCTGCCTTGCAGGGGTTCGGTCAGCGACATACGCAATCGGCTGGGAATCGGCGGGTGGAGCTGCCTGGAGATCGTTCGGATAAAATAGAGCTCTTTGGAACTTCCCCTGCCTCCGAGGTCGAGGGGTCAAGTGTCGTAGCTGAGTTGCATTGAGCGATTAAGAGCAGGTAGATTTGGTGAGATTATAATATGTGTCCAGTATGTTATGATTACTTTTGTCTTTTTATATTATTATTATACAAGATCATTGATCATTTGATGAGTAAATTTGGATTTGAATAAAAATACCTATCTGTTGAGAAGGGCATCCTCATCGGGGATATCCGTGGCCCACAAGCTTTGCCAAAGCTGTCGAATAACCCTAAAACTGACATGAGCGCCCCGTGACTCCAGTTCACTGATGGATATCTCGGTTTATCAAGGGCTGAAACCGATAGTACTGTCGACTCTCAAGTCTCCATCGGGTTGTCTCTGCTGTGGTGTGGGCAACTCGTAAAGCTGCGTTTGGAACGACCCTGAGCTTTGCTAGCAGGTCTGGGCCCGAAGCCCCCATGAAGGCTAATCAAAGCTGCGTGACTTCTGATAGGTTTTTTGGGTCGGGTTTTTATGTGGACGGCTGTGATCGTCCTAGCAATATCTTCACAAGGCATAATGGTACAATGGTAGTACATGCCGGCTCTATGTGCCACTTCACTTGAGACTCACGGCAACCTCAACCATTTTGACCCATCGGGTGCGCGACTCAGGAAGTTCAGGAAGTTCAGCATCATCGGATGCAGCAGGTGCCTTGCGCTTTTTCTTCTTTCCGGCAGTTTTAGATGTTTCCTGGTCCTGCTTCTCGGGGGCCGACTCATCCTTGGATTGGCACTTCTTCTGCATATCGCGCTCCTTCTTCTCCTCATCCTCGACAATATCATCCACCGCAAGCACACTGCCGGTAGTGACGCGGACTCCATATTCAGAGTCTTTCTCCTCAAACCATTTGCCCACCTTGAGCGCCTTCTCAATAGCTCGCCCGGTAGCCTTGACGAAAACCTCCTCTCGCTTATCCGCAGCCTTGGCCAGCTCTGCAAGCTTTTGCTGCTCTGTTTTGCGTGTGTCTTCGAGATTGATATTGGCTGTTGCGCGTTTCTCGGCCTGGCGTAGGAGTTTCTGGACGCGCTTCACGGCGCTCATGAAGGGTGTCCCAGTTGCGACATAGACAACCTTTGGCACAGAGTTACCTGCATAAGGCGAGGCAATTGGGGGATGGTTGAGAGGGCGTTTCTCAACTTTCGCGTCTATAAGCCCCGCGGTTAGCCTCCAAGCTGGGTTCAGTGTCTGTGGTGAAGTGATTACGCACACTTTGGCAGCTTCACGAGGTCTTGGTTCTTCTTTTCAAACTGGAGCTCCCGCTCCAATGGTCCTTTACCCATCTTAAAGCTGTCTGGTGTGAAGTGTGCTAAGACGGTGCACCTGATGTTATCACTCTTTTTCTGCCGGGCGGTATGTCGCGCTAGCGCTAGCGTTGCTGCAAAGTGGGTCCAACCACTTACTTCACAGATTCACTCATGGTGACTGCACATCTCTAGGAAGCTTCCACGTCCACATGCAGGTTCTTTCACAGTTGCAGATATGAAGTGCGCAGTTGAAAATCTTCTATTTTTACTCACTCGTTGGAAACGGAGCCTCCACAAGGATCTATCGGAACCACGCCAACCTGTATGCTCTGATAAAAGCCGGAACAGGAGATTTCTGCCCATTGGCAGAGAAATAGGTGGAAATTGAAGCCATTCCCAGGAAAAAAGAATTCTCTTTGATAAAACTGAAACAAATGAAGGGGGGTAGCCTTGGAATGAGGCTTGGGTCGTGCAGGCTTGACTGCATTGTCAAAACAGCCTTCAATTCCGAAACAAAGACTAGGTCATCGTCGGAGTCTTTATTTCTACAGTAATGTTAGACTTCTCTTTTCGACACTCGCAATCGAGACCCTTGAGTCCACCCTCGACTCCTTGAACAGACGACATGTGTTGATTCAACAAAGATTATCCCAACTTGGGTTGCTTTGTTAGTACAAACAAAGTTGTCGTTCTTTGATTGAATCTTTGGGTCAGTAACTTCGAGTGTAGCATTGAAATGGAAGCCGTTGGAGTTGATGTTGCTATTTCTGACATTCGAAGGCATCTCCTACACCATCATCTCAGGACCTTGAATGAAGAAGGTTCTTTCTTGCACGCGAATAATCTAAATTTATCTCCGTGTTTCCCCAAGGACTCTCCATACACTAACTTATAAAGGCAACGTATATCTGACCATTTTTGTGCAATTACATTTCGAATCATACAATATTTCCCACAGTTAATACAATTCTTGAAAGCATAATGGGTCGCCGCGCGGGCGATGGCGAGGAAATTCTTCCGGACTATGAAAGTTCCTTGGATCCTATTGATCCTTTGGGACTTGGACCGCCAACTCCGAGCTTAGCATCCAGACATAGTGGTTCGACAGATTCTAGCGCAGACAAAGCTGCAGTAGCCGCAGGACTCGCAGAAGGCCCCGTTGCAGGTGAGGATGGAATGCTGGAATTGAACCCATTAGATGAGCCAATGACCGATTCTTCATTCCCCGACGATGCGCCACGTCCGGACCGGATGGACCGGTGGGGTAGGCGCGAAAGAAGGGGCTTAAGATTCCAAAGGTGGATTGAACACGCTGCAACCCCGGGGGATCCCTGTCCCATTCTTCCTTGTGCATTAGGGCCAGAGGACGTCGGGCCATTCGTTACTGACCTGCCCGATATGACCCTACCACCGGATATCTCTCAGGATGCTCTCAGAATGGGCCTTATTGCCAATACAGACATACTTGCCAAATTCGCGAGCGTCAGCCAGCCAGTGGACGCTGCGAGTGGGGCCCAACAGTTGAATAACTGGCAGGTGTATGTCGCAGAAGGTATCTTATGCATAAGTTTTATGTTCCGATATCGAGGGAGAAGGGGATTCCATACATCGGATGTTATGAAGGTTGCATGCGAGTATTTTTATCCAATGGAATCCCTAAAGTCTGTGTATTACTCTAAAGTAGCCAACCCGAGTGATATCAGATTTGTTGCCAGAATCTATGACGAGTTTAATCTCTTCCCGACCGACGACGAACCCGAGCGAGATACACATTTCACGCCGCAAGAATGGAAACATGGCTCATCGGAATATAGAGCTCTGCTCGGAACATATACGGGTAGAGTTGTGGCCTACCTGATCCTGGGGGCATATCCTCGAAGAACCCATCGGATTTCTCGAGTTGTCACTTGGTATACCTGGGATGACCATGATAAAATAGCATTACTTCAAATGCGTTTTGATATTGAACCCATTCCTGTCCCTACACCTCCTCTTGAAGGTATGTATTTGGACCCTCTGGGCGTGCCTGAATATGCCAAGAGAAAGGAACGCATGACAAGCCGGGGCCGGCCTCAGAAAGCCAAAGCACCTGCTCCTGGACCTGGACCTGTGGCTGGTCCTCCAGCTAAACCTTTCCTGCCTCCTGTGTTTGGTACCCCAAAGGCGGGCTCAGTTACCCATCGCATCAAGTGTCCGGAGGTGAAGCGTCCTAAAATTCCTGAAGAGCCTAGACCTCTATTTGAAGGCGGGAAGAGACCTGCTTTCCTCGCCCCTGGAACTGGGCCGAAGGATGAGCGTCCTAAAATGATTCCCGAAGAGCCTAGACCTAGACCTGGAGGGGCAAAACCTGCTAAGGGCTTTGATCCTATGAGCTTTGATGAGCCTTTGGGCTTTGATGAGCCCATTCCCACTCCTATCGCTCGAGAAAAGGGTGCTCGCGGACCAGCTCCTGCTCCAGCTCCCGGCTCAGAAGCGCTACCACTAAGAAAGACTAAGGATGTGCCGAAGCCTAAGAGTGGAAAACGTAGTAAAAGAGCTCCTGCTGAGCCCGCTGCTGAACTACCTGCAAAGAGGGCAAAGAAAGCAAAGAAGGAGACGATACCAGAGGAGCCCAAGGATGTGCCGAAGCGTAAGCGTGTTCGTGGGGGAGAGCCGAGGCAGAAGCGCGTTCGTGGGGAAGGTGGACGATTTGTCACTAAAAGCCCATCTTCAAAGCAGACAGAGAAAGCAGAGGCATCACCAGAGGAGCTCCAAGAGGTATCCAAGGAGCCTGCTGCTGAAAAGCCTGCTGCTGACCCCGCAGACCCTCCCTTGAAAAAATGCTCACGCTGCTTGAAAAGATTGCCGCCAGACCACTTCCAGCCTCGCAATGACAAAGGTCCCATCACAAAGACCTGCAAAAAGTGCAGGAATGCCAAGAGAGCCACCGCTCAGCCTCGCATGAAGACCCGAAAACAGATTGCTGCTGAGAAAGCTGCTGCTGAATAGCCTCCTTCGAAGCTGATCCTCTCCGGTTTTCCAGAATAATCGAATGAATAATGCCGTTTTACTCTATGTTTGTATTGTCATTAGGAAGATATTCCTCCGAGTCATAAGGCTTGAGTAACAGTCACTAAAGACAAAGCAACAGAGAAATAGGCAGCAAAACATCAAAAAGACATGTTTTGTTAAGACGGTTTCCATGTCTCCATGTTTTACCCTGTTTTTGTTTTTGAAGCAATTTTATAGATCTATTATGTATGTTTGATAAGTGCGTTACTGTGTTTATAGTCTCTTTTCTCAATGCATGAGCTCGGTTGTTTGTAGAACCTTTCCAGGTTTTGATTGCAGTGCGTCTTAAGACTAAAGAATACTGTATGTTGCGACTGGGCTACCTTTGGCATCATGGGATATGATATGACCTTCCTTCCGGCGAGCCTGAACAGATTGGATTCACCCTCGAGTGGCATTGGGAGTCTCTATGGTTTAATGACCATGAAATCTTCAAGGTCTTTGCAAACAACGGTAGGAAAGCTTTATATGCCATGGTACCCTTGACGTGAACCAATTACTTAACCGCACTTCACTGTCACAACGAATCCTTTCCAGTATCATGAAAAGCAGCAGTAAGGGTCTTATACAAATTTACTGAAACTCGCCAGAGTCTTTTAGTACCTGTTCTGACATCTTCTCGGCCTCGCGTTTCGTTTCTTCCTGATCATTGACTTTGACCCCCCGAGTGACCATGTCCTCAAGGATGGCATTTGTGAACACCAGCATCAACTGTTTGGCCTGTTCAGGCGAGGAAGGTTTGCCTGTTGATCTATATCAGCTTCTGCGCTTAACTGGATCCTGGAAATCTTGCCATACCCCGTTTTTCGCAGACCTTGCCGTATCCCATCACCGCTTGGTATACAAGATGTTTGGCAACCAATGTCGAAGAAAGCTCAGTCTGAATATCTGAGTTCATCACTTCTGACGTAGCTTTTTCGTATTCGCCACCTTGGATGAAAGCTGTATGCAATTATTAGACGGTAAACTCAACGAGAGAAATGGAATTTACTTACTAGCGAGACTCATTTTTGCGAATGATCGTAAAGCTGGACTTGAATAGGAGAGGTGAGCTATACTCCCGTCGATGGAGGATTCTTTCAAGATTGCCCCTCCCGAGTTCGGGATAATTCGGTTAGCGGGCCAGGTGAGCCAGTTGGCTACGGGACGGCAGTGAAAGTAATGATCAATCCCAACGAGTCATGCATATCAATCTGATCCAGCGTACAAACTATGCCGCTAAACAAAAAATCATATCGTCTCGGTGTTTGGAAATTTGGTGCAATCTAACGCTGGATTTTAAATAAGTACTATGCTGTCGTCCAAGTAATCCACCTATAACACCCAGGAAATTGTCTATAAATCATGATTGCCAGGAGATATTGATCAATCTTACAAGGAGTGATTTATCGGTTTTCAATAGCTTATAGGGCTTCAATCTCCAGGTGTCGGCAACCGTCACATGATCATAAATATATTCAGGGCGCCAGTCTTGTTTAGTGGCTTACCTCAACAACATTCCAAGACGGTAGTAAGCCATGAAGAGCTCCATATCGATTGGAACCATGGAAGGAAGACTCGAAGGCTCGAGCACGGTGTTGGAGAGAATAATTCATGGGGGAAGATGGGAGACTTAGTGTGAATTCCTCCTTCTACACGAGCCTTGGCATTCGATACTCTATGAAACTATTCGATTATCCCAGGTTTCTTCCAAAGAAAAGTACCTGCGGAGAAATGCCTGGTATGCTGCGGGATACCAGCCAACAGAAGGCGGTCATCCCCGCAGCTTCCATCATCTTGAGGGCAGACCCGCTTCATGGTCTTGGATTCTACTCTATTCCTGCATTTATATCTTATTTCGGATGGTTCCATTGCTTGTTGTGACGGTGGGGTACGAAGAGGGGTATAAGGGAGTGAGCAGGCATAAAGGGACAGAGTGTCTGGAGATGACAGCTTAGTCTAGACATATTGATTTTTTTTGACAAGAGAATCATTTCTATCAGATTGAAGATGTTGCTTTTGCAACATGTTACACCTACTACATGCCTCTAGATGTCATTTTCAAATACGAAGTCCACGACGCAGCTTGTCGTTCATGGCAAGCTGGTTTTCGCCCTTGTCTCGGAGCTGCAGAGCTCTTCTATGTCCTCGGCCGAGCCGATGAATCCTATTTGGCAGAGGCTTCTTGATACCAACGTACAGTGCTTGGGTGTATCACCTGGGAAGACATCGAGCCTGTCGAGGACCAGTTCCACCCCGCCGAGCTGGATAAGGTCATCCTGGGTGCGAGAAATTATGTGCTACAGATTGCTTCTCTATGGCTTGACCCTTTCCAGGTACCCCGACCTATGCCCTGCCAGGGTCAAGGCCACCACAAAATGACTCCCACGAGCATAAATGTGACAAGCCTGCGTGGTGCTGGAAACAGTGACGCCCTGTCAATTTTCCACGAGGAAGATTTGAAGGCAGAGGCAAATGTATTCGGATGCCTTCCAAGCCACCCGAAAGAGGGGGGGCAGTGTGATACAGATCGAGAATGAGACAGGTCTACTAGGCGATTCTCGACACGGATCAGCTGCCGCAGCAGCGTTTCAACGAACCTTCAGCACTTCCTGGCACAATATTGAATAATCTCCACAAAGACTTAAAGCAAACTTAACACACCTCAAATCACAAACATGCATCTGGAACATGGACCTAGGTCTTTCGGTCAGGGGCCACACACCGACGGACCGTTCATGGCTTGCCACTGAGCAAATACGTCAACTAAATCGCCGCGACTGGTAAGAAGAACATTCACTCCCAAAATACACAAACTTCTGTCGGAGCTAGGTAGTCGTCGACGGCGACAACGGTTTTTTTGTCGTCGTTGGTGGAGGCGGCAACCCAAGCGACTACCCGTCGGAAGAAGACACTAGCAACGTCCTCGATACCTGGCGATAGTTTGCACCATGATTGGAATTGATACGCCCGACGTCTATCTAAACAATTACGGTAGTTCCTGCTGCAAGTAACGCCACCGGAACCAGTCACCGCGTATCCCCGGAGCAGCGCCGCGATGATCACAGCGCGTGACGTACCTGGGTGGCTGATGTATCAAGGCTATGGGTGTACCCCTTTGGGACTGATGCGCAAGTCCCGCAAACCAGTTCGCTAGACTTTCCGGCCTGCTGCAGCCTGTGGCTTGGCTTGTGTTTGAGGCGCAAACTTGAATTTCTCGCAGGTGGGGGGATTGCTGACCCTCGAGACCAGTGGTCAGGTGCTGGGGTGAATGAGATTACCACCGAGCCATGCCTTGTCTTCGGGAATCCTGGTCCCGAAGCTGGGATGGTTATCCGTCTTGGTGGACCGCGGTTTAGGTTGATTCGGTGGGGATTCCAGGCGCAGGCGAGGAGGGCGTTATCACCAACCAGTTTGATAGGTTTGCTGCGCTTCCGGGAGAAGGTCTTTAACAAAGAAACGGGGGAGTTGCATCGCTGCGAATATTGAATAGGGATGAGACATAGAGTAGAATTCTCGCTATAATGCCGAATGAGGATCCGGACTACGGCGGGTTCCCGAATTGTGTGACTGTGCCCACACTATGATTGCCCAGTTGGAGCACTCGATTGAGAAGGTGGATGTGTAAAGGTCATTTTTGATATATCATTGGATCTATCTTTCTTTGTTTCCACATTTGGGCATCTGTCGACTAAAAGGATCGACACGACAACGCCTTTGCCGCGAGAATTTTTGCAGCGCATAAACAAGGACGCCGCCCGATGCAGGTATCCAGTAGCCTAGCGATACCGATGAGGCTACCGGCAGCCTCACCTTGACCGCGATCTCCGTGACCCCGCAAGACCGATAAATGGGAACGAGTTGCCCGAAGGGGCGGAAGTCCCGTCAAAGGAAAGGAAAGGAAAAACTCAAAAAACTCAAACTTAAAGCCGGAGAACCGGGACGGGCAACACATTACCCAAAAATCAATAAACAAATGGAACACGTCCGATTCCCAATTGATGATCCCTCCACCGGGGCAAAAGTCTCTGCAGCCTCAGCTCTGTAGTTTCACGAGTGCCTCGACAATCTCCGACAGGAGTGAAATCAAAACCAAATCAAAACAAAAACAAAACAAAACAAAAGGCAAAAGACAAAGGCAAAACCACACGGACCTCAAATGCCCCTTAGAAGAACTGCACATCGAACTCGAACCCAGGATCGCGGTGTGTTGACCCGATCATCTCGCTTGGGAATTAAGCCCGTCCCGGTTTTCAGGGGCATGATGCCATGATCGCCGTCTAAGCTGATTAGCTCAGGTCGTCCAACGTGATCTTTGACAGGGTCGACTCCACTTCAGAAATTAAATCATCAAAACCATTGTGAAGCAATGAAGATCAGATCTGGGCTCTCGCACTGCGGAGCTGGATCCACTCCTGAATTGGGAAGGTCCTGTTGGATGACCCACGAGGATGCTGAGTCGGGGATTTTTGGCAATTCATGCATGGTATCAAGTTTTTTTCCACAAAAGTACATTCTAAGAACACATCTATCCATAGAGTTAATTAAATGCTCAGATCGATCATACTGGAAAAAGTACCTATCGACCTCGGCCCCAAATCAAAATTAGAGGATCTGAAACGACCCACCACTCCGATGCTATAATGGCCGTGATTGGGGCGGGGAATGGCATTTCGGGTTCCATGGATCAGTCTGCTGGTTGTGGTTGTTTATTATGGGCGATCGCGCGGAAAGTGACCTAGCGATGCACATATCCTTGAACCTCGGAACCTACTCTGGGGGGCTACCTGTCAGAGTTTTTTGTGGGTGACAGCTCTAACGTCTTTGTTCAGCAGGGGTGTCAGTGGCGTTGCGAGGCTCGGCTCCCCCGATTGCGTGGTCCACCCCACACAAAAAGAGAGACGTGTTGTGCCTCGACGAATGCCAGTTGATCTATATTTGCATCTGTGTAAATAGAGTGGATGCTGAAAAACTTTGAACCAAGTGGCCACCGAAGCAGTCCTTTGGACGCGTGAGGCGTCTGAGGCGTGTGCGGCGTTTCGGACTTGGTTCTCTTTGACTGGCCTCCGGACAGGGATGTCAGGGTAATTTGAGGGGCTATGAACCAAATGGATCGAGCACACGAGTCCGAGGGATGATTTCATCGGGGCCCCGGCACATGATTCGGACACATCGTGTGTTACTGTCGAGCAGCGACAGACAAGCGAATGGGGAAAGCGGTTTAGCGGCAGGAGAAAGTGGAGTTGGACGGAAAGACGGAAAGCCAACGGTTGTCTTTTCCCTCTCTGGTTGAATCCCGGCTGGATGCATAGTGGAGCTTGGGAAACGGGCGAAACCCATGGAACCGGAATGTCGGTCGTACTTTGTGTGTACAGATGTCGATGAAGCTCCACTCCCGTGGTCCAGAACGTAGACGTTTATGATCTTAATTATCGTGGGATTTCCCCTCTTCATCTCCATTTTTTTCCCACATTCTCTCTTGCTGACTCCCACTCTCTCTCTCCAACTCCCTTCCTATCCCTTCTTTTTTCTCCACTCTTTATTTGTCTTCCAACCATTCTTTTTCACTCTTTGTCTTACCTCAACGCGACTGTGTCCTCGGTTGCTTGAGAACGAATCATTCAGCCGCGTCTTAGATCATATCTGCAAGGGTATCAAGAAACAACGTCTTCTGAGACACTTCAGCCATTTGATTTGCCACTCCCCCGGCGGATTATGCACAGTGTGACCTTTCAGATCTGATCCGGTGTCGCGTATTCACATTTTCATTGCTACATACCTTGCTCAGCGTCACTCCAAGAACGCGAAGTGGTTGGAAATCCCAGCCCACTTGTGAACACCGCTACTATTTGATGTGCCTGTTTCCGCTCCGTACTCGTTCCTCCATAACAGCAATCCTACCAATCTTTGCCCATCATGTCTGAATCCCCTCTGGACAACCCCAATGGTCGTGGTCTGACCTGGATCTTTGATCACTGTCTGCGGTACCCGACTTCCTATGAAATTCCTCTCCGTACCATGTACACCATCAACTGCAACCCCGCCAAGAACCCCAACTCCACTCGTCCCCAGGAGTCCGCCTTCTCCCCGCGCCACTCCGCTTCTTCCAAGTCTAGCTCGGAGGACTCCATTGACGCCAGCGCCGACTTTCGCTCGCAACTCATCTACCAAATTTCTCGCCTGCCCTCGCAGCCCTGTGCCCTGCCCCCGGCCTTCCTCACTTCTTTCTTGCGCCGCGTTTGGATTGCCGACCTCGATCAGGTGGATTTCCCTCAGGCGTTGACTGCTCTGGACTACCTGCGGGACCTGGACGCCCGCTGGAAGAAGGAAATGTACAATGCTATTCAGCGCCTGGGCATCAGCCGTGCTGATGTCGAAGATCCTGTTCACTCTGGGTTAGCCCTCAACCTCCCCGGAGTCATGTCTTGGCTGGAGACCATGAAGAGCAAAGGACGCTACATGGAGGCCCTGTACACCCAGATCTACGTCGGCCTGCGTCGTTGGGTACGTTTGATCCGAAAAAGAAAAATCGTCTCAAATTACTAATATTTCTATTTTTAGACTCTTCTTAACGAAATGATTCTTGACCACACCAATAAAGTTGCCCACGTCGCCATGCTCAACACACTCTTCCCGCCGGTTGAGGAGAAGGACGCTACCCCGACTTCACAATTGACCCACCATATTCTCAAGGTGCAGCGGTCAGGTTTCTTTACTTGGATCAACGCCGTCAGTAGGGACGGTAACACTAATATCCTCAACCCGGTTATCGCGCAGGGCGCCCCCGAGGGCGAGGCGACCAGCTGGCCTATTGTCCGTGATTCCGTGGAGAAGTATCTAACAATGGCTCAAGAGATGATTGATGAGTGCATGTTGATCCATGAGCCCGCGAATCTGGAGGAGCCTAAATCTCCTCAATCTGCCCACCGCACCAAAGGTCGCAAGGTCGACTCGGGCATCAGCTTTGCTTCTTCCACCAGCAACCTTAGCCTTTCAGAGACCACCCAGGAGAAGCCTCTCCCCTACTTCCCAGCTCCCACGTCTCCCCCGGCAAAGTCTGCTGGCTCGGCCCTGGAACGTCTGGCCACTGAGATTCGTCGCATGGGTCTCGGCAATAAGACCAAGAGCTTGAAGAAGATGAAGTCTACCACTACCTTTGGCATTCGCCCTAGCAGCCAGGACAGCTACGAGGGATCGTTCTTTGAGATCGACGAGCAAAAGCGCCGCCGTCTGATTGGTGAAGCCACCAGCCGCAAGAAGTCGCAAGCAAATGATCCCGCTCTCCACACCCAGTAAGGTGTATCCTTGACTCGGCATCTCTCTGAGGCCTAGACTTCACATGTATCCTCATTTTTTTTTTCTTCTGCACATTCCCTGGCGTCTACATAGACCAAAGGCCGGTTGCATATGGTGGGATCGTGTTTTTTCTTGTTTTTCTTTCGGAGTTATTTGGCGCATGGACTTGCATGGCATCGGAGGCAAAAGTCTGGCGCGTGGGTTTTATTACGAAATAATGTCGTTATGGTTACAAAAAATGTCGCAGCTAGCTGCCTATCGAATTGAACAGGATTCAATTGAAAAACAGATAAAAATGAAAAATGAAATGTGATAAAAAACCACTCTTGACCCTCGGCTCGTAACCCCAGTATCATTATCTATACGACGGACTGCACATGTTGCCTCTTCGTGTACCGTAGAAGCTGCGATAAGCGATAAGCGATAAGATAGTACGTGTCAAGATCAACAGGGGATCTCCACGTTTATTGTGAGCGGCTCTGTCATTAGGCCGGCTATCTCTCTTTCAATCTCTCCACTAACACTCAATCCAAAACAGAGAGATCCACGTCACTTTCCACGGGGCCCGGTCCCTATACCTATACTTTGTTGCTTCCCCACGGCAGGATGCGGACCTCCAAATCCCTCCCGTCATGGCGTTGGTACGCTGCCATCGCCGCCTTATTACCAGGCTGGGTAGCCAATGCTAGCCCATCTGTGAACGTTGCCCTTCAAGCCTCATTCGATGCATCTCCATATCTTGTAGAGCTACTGTAAGTTGAAGACGAATGATGTCAATAAGCCGACGAGAGACTAATATGTATGAATAGTGAGTCCGCCGCAGAGGAGAACTCCACATCCTACTTTCCATTACTCGATCGTATCGCCGACGGAACCTTTGAGGATTCAGCTACCGAGAAGGAGCTTTACGACCGCTTCTTGCAGGTTGTCTCTGAAGATGGTCACTTGCGCACCGCGGAGGCCCTTTCCTCTTTCAAATTGTCGCTTGCGGTCCGATCATCTGCGCCGAGAATCCAGGCGCATTATCAGTTCTACAATACTTCTGTTCAGCACTCGTTGATGATGGCACAGGATGCAGTTTGTCCGGTATGGGTTCACTTGGAGGGCAAGCAGTATTGCTCTTCGGCCATGGAACGCGCGCAGCAGGATGTCCAAGGAGACTTGTATGTGTACAGCAGGTATTGATTGTTCGGATGGTGGCTGACCTTGGGTATTACTACCTTCACAGAGATCCTAGAGAGCTTCCCTTCGACCGAGTATATGGCGATGTGTCACTACCTCCTGCTGTCCTTTACGCCGACATTTCCGCCCCCATGTTTAAGGAATTCCACGAGACATTGATCGATATGGCAAAAGAAGGGCAGATTTCTTACCGCGTGCGTTACCGGCCACCTCAACATTGGGTCTCCCGCCCTTTGTTTGTCCCGGGATACGGCGTCGAGCTGGCCTTGAAGCGAACGGATTATATTGTCATCGATGACCGGGATGCGGAGCAGCGAGGAGAAAGCGAGAACAAGCCGGCAAACTCTTTGGAAGAATTGAAGGAGGAATCCCCAGATGACTTGCGGCCTCTGTCCGCTTCGGAGGTCTCGAGGTTGGGCTGGAACACCGTGGCCTATGTTCTGGACAGCGTGAACCCGCTTGATACACTGATCAAGCTATCTCAAAACTTCCCCAAGTATTCATCCGTAGTCGCTGCTCACAACGCTACTGTTCCGCTGAAGAAAGAAGTCCGTGCCAACCGGGCACGGATGATTCCCTCTGGTGGTAATCTCATGTGGATTAACGGTGTTCAGATTGACCAACGCCAGATTGATGCTTTCTCTCTTCTCGACCACCTTCGTCGGGAGCGCAAGCTGATCGAGAAATTCCGGGGTTTGGGCTTGTCTGCTCAAGACACTGTGAAGCTTCTGTCACACCCTCTCCTGGCGGAATCGCACGCAGATGTCGATTCACAGAGATATGATTACCGTGATGAATTGGATGGTGGCGAGGTAATTATTTGGTTGAACAATCTAGAGAAGGACTCTAGGTACCAGGAATGGCCCACCGGCCTGGAGGCGTACATTCAAAGTGCCTACCCCGGCCAGTTGCCGCCAGTGGCCCGCGACTTGCAAAACGTCGTCGTTCCTGTCGATTTGTCAAAATCGGAGGATATACTGTTGGTCCTTCAGCAGATCCTAACATTTATCAAGCGCGGGATCCCTGTGAGATTTGGTTTGGTGCCTACTGCGTCCTCGCCAGAGGCTATTGCGCAGCTTAAGGTGGCGCATTATCTTCAAGACACCTTTGGACTTTCGGCTTTTATTCAATATTTGGAAGAGGTTAGACTCCAGCTTTGTTTACTGTTTTGCTTGATACTAATATTGTTTTGTTTAGTCTGCTTCACAAACGAAGACAAGGCAACCGGATAAGTCCATTTTCGCTTCTGTGGTCAAGGAGCGTAAGCCACGCGCGGACAAGGAAGCCATGTCGCTGGATCAAGTGCAAAAGAATGAACATTATAGCACTATCGCAGATCGCGCATGCAAATACCAGAGCCGCCTGAGCCTGATTGTTGATGACCCTCACTTCCTGGTCAATGGAATTCCGATCTCCCGTGAGGGTAATTGGATGCAGGAGATGAGTATGCAGATTGGCAGAGATTTAAAGTTGGTCCAGCAGGGTATTATTGAGGGAGTCTTTGAAGAGGACGCTTGGCTACCTGCATTCTTCTTGGCGGCGGCATTTGAGAAACGTAACACTTTCTTGATGCCCGAAGACCCCAAGGATGTACAGGTTGTGGATCTTGCCAATGTTTTCGGATCCGGTTCAGAAGTCCTGGCTGATATCCCTCGTATCGCATCTAACAACGACGTTTTGGAGACTGTGCACACTATTATCGTTGCAAACTTTGAGTCGGAACAGGGACTGAAATTGTTGGCTGATGTCCTGAGTTTCCGAAAGGAACATGATGAAGTGGAGATCCTCCTTCTACACAACGGTGTTATTGATGCTGCTGGGGTTTCCAACTTCGACAGAATCCAAAAAGCGCTCCTTGAGGGCGAAGATGTTGAGCAGCTACTGGCTACCGTTAGCTCACTGGAAGATTTGACCCTGGATGAAGTGCTGGACAACAAGGCGCCCATTGCCATTCACCGAAGCCTCATTGAGAAGCTTGGCTTCAAGTTGAAAACATCGGGACTCATTGTCAATGGAAGAGTAGTGCCCCTCGGGTATTCCACTATTAGTGCGGACGACCTAGCACAGCTGGTCGCATATGAACAGAGCAAGCGTATCGATCCTGTTGCAAAGACTGCAAAGGACCTCAAATTGGATTCCAAGATCTCTACACCACTTGACTTTGCCAAGCTTACCTCATTGGTTTCTCTTTCAACGACCTCGGATATCCCCGAGGGAATGTTCGAAAACACACCCGATTACAGGTTGGATGTGTCTGATAGCTGGAGGACAGACCACTCTGTGATCACTGTCTCCAACTCCGAGGATCCCTTGATCAATGTTGCTGTTGCTCTCGACCCTGCATCTGAGGTGGCTCAGAGGTGGCTACCGATCCTCAAAGTTCTGTCTGAATTGGCTGGCGTCCAGCTGAAGATTTTCCTCAACCCGAAAGAAGAGATTAAAGAGTTGCCTGTCAAGCGTTTCTATCGCTACGTCCTCGAGTCGGAGCCCAAATTTACCAGCGAAGGAGCTCTGTCGCGTCCCCAAGCTTCTTTCTCGGGGGTTCCCGTTGAGGCCTTGCTCACACTGGGTATGGATGTGCCTACTTCATGGCTTGTCGCACCCCAGGATTCCATACATGATTTGGATAACATCAAGCTGAGCTCGCTCAAGAGCGACACCAATGTCGATGCCATTTATGCCCTGGAGCATATCCTTATCGAGGGCCACTCCCGCGATCTCACTACCAAGACACCCCCTCGCGGCGTTCAGCTCATCTTGGGCACTGAGGAAAACCCTCACTTCGTCGACACCCTCATCATGGCCAACTTAGGCTACTTTCAGTTCAAGGCCCAACCAGGCCTTTGGCAGATAAACCTCAAACCCGGCCGCAGCGAGAAGATCTTCGAACTCGAAAGCGTCGGTGGCTCGGGATACCGCCCACAAAACGGCGATGAGAGCAATGAAGTCACTCTCCTCTCATTCCAAGGCCGGACTCTCTTCCCCCGCCTCTCCCGCAAACCAGGTCAAGAGTCTGAAGACGTTCTAGAAACAGGCCAATCCGGTTCCATGGGTCTCGTCTCAAAAGGATTCAGCTTCGCTCAAGGCGTCCTTTCCAGCGTTGGCGTCGGCTCAAAATCCGAGCAGCACGCTGATATCAACATTTTCTCTGTGGCAAGTGGACATCTCTACGAACGCATGCTAAATATCATGATGGTCTCCGTCATGCGTCACACAAAGCACACCGTCAAATTCTGGTTCATTGAACAATTCCTCTCACCCTCTTTCCGGGCCTTCCTCCCCCACCTCGCAGCCGAATATGGCTTCACCTACGAAATGGTCACATACAAATGGCCCCACTGGTTGCGCGCCCAGACCGAGAAACAGCGTGAAATCTGGGGCTACAAGATCCTTTTCCTGGATGTTCTATTCCCCCTCTCCCTGGAAAAGGTCATCTTCGTAGATGCGGACCAGATCGTTCGAACAGATATGTACGATCTAGTCAACCACGATCTCCAAGGTGCTCCCTATGGCTTCACGCCCATGGGCGACTCACGGACCGAGATGGAAGGCTTCCGGTTCTGGAAACAGGGTTACTGGAGTAATTATCTTCGTGGACGGCCTTATCATATCTCGGCTTTGTATGTTGTTGATCTCAACCGGTTTAGGGAGTTGGCTGCTGGTGATCGGTTGAGGGGACAGTATCAGATGCTTTCGGCTGATCCGAACAGTCTCAGTAACCTCGACCAGGATCTGCCTAATCATATGCAGCATCATATTCCTATCCATAGCTTGCCGCAGGAATGGTTGTGGTGTGAGACTTGGTGTGCTGATGGGGACTTGGAGGTGGCGAAGACGATTGATTTGTGTAACAATCCGTTGACTAAGGAGCCGAAGTTGGAACGGGCGAGGAGACAAGTTCCTGAGTGGACGGTTTATGATGATGAGATTGCTTTGTTGGCGAAGAAGGTTGCTGTTGAGAAGGCTGAGTTTGCGGAAGGTGAGGATGAAGACCGGAAAGATGAGCTATAGATTGGTTTGGATGTCTTTGTTTACGGGGTTATTGTATAAGTCATGGAAAAGCGTTTGTTATCAATATTGCTGCATAAGACACAGCCATGCATATTCTCGTTCTTACATACATCGTAACATACACATACAGTGGACGTTCACATTCACAGTTCGATCACCCTGATACAGTATCCAAGGAGAACGCCGGAGAACCAGCCCCGTTACTTGGCGATTTCTTGGGTGGATTTCTTCTTCTTCTTTTTGTGAGACTCAGGGGATTTGGGCTCGTCGGGTGCGACGCCGTTGATAGCCGTAGACTTGCGTTTCTTCTTCTTCAGGGGCGTGGAGGTGGTGAGCGTTGCTTCAGCTTCAGATCCAGCTGTATTGGTATCGATAAGGGATTTGCGGGGTTTATCGTCCTTCTTATCGCTCTTTTCTTTCTGAGCACTCTCTCCAAGTTCTGCCACAAGCGCGTCGACCTTACTTTGCTCGCGTCGCTCCTTCTTTCTTTTCTCCTTCTCGGCCTTTTTGGCAGCCTTTCGTTCGGCCTTGGCCTCGTCGTCTGGCACAACTGCATTTTCGGGTGCAGGTTGTTGTTGTTCCTCGGGGCTATTTGGTCTGGAATTGGCTGCTGAGTTGAACTCGGGGTTGTTGTCAGCCTGGGAGTCCTGCTCGGTGGTCGGCTGTGGAGAAGCTGGTGCCTCTGGCAATGGCTTCTTCTCCGAAATAGGTACTTGAGAAACATCCCCAGAGATACCAAGGCCATTGATGGGTGCCGGTGTTCCGTTATCACCTTTGCTTCCTTCATCGTCCTCATCGTCGCCAACTAACCATGTGCTCTTTGGGGTGACCGATCCCGAACCCCATCGAGTACGCTTGTTGACGGCCTCGATGGGGTCGTATACGGCATCAGGGTTGCCGCAAGCACGCATTTGCTCAACAGATCTTCGAATCTTGCGCCATTTGTCTGCGCACTGCTGGCGCGATCGCACATTTCCCAGCTGATCACTGATAATGCCCCAACGGAGATGTTTCTCTTCCAGCTCATACATGTCCTTTCCAGCAGCGTCGCCGTCCGATGCATAGACACGGTCCCAGACCTTCTGGATTTCATCGAGCAAGGAGCGCAGCTCTTCTTCGCCCCATTTTCCTCGGTTCATCTTGCCCCGATGTTCCAGCTGATTCTTCCAGCGCTGCGTGACATCGTCGTCGCTGCGACCGAGAAGCTTGGCAACATATGCCCATTTGCCTTTGTGTAGGCTCATGAGTGAGACGAGCTCTTTGTCTTGTTCGTCTGTCCATTCGTGTGGTTTCTGGGTTGAATCCTGGAAGTGTCGGCGCATGAACCGGTACAGAGATCGCCGGTCGCGGTCGGGGACCAGGTTGTAAATTTCGGTCCAGAACTCGGATTTGGTGCACACGTCTGCTGGGCACGGCCAGTCGCCGCCGTCCCGCTCGGAGTGCTGGATCATTTCATCAAACTTCTTGTGGTCTGAAAACCCATGGGTGTTGCAGAACGCGACTTTGAATGCCTCGAGCTTGGCGACTTCTTCTTTGACGAAGAATCCGACCTTCATGTTGCTTTTTCCGCCGATGCGAGACCCGCGGAGTTTCCTCGGTTTCCCTGTGCTTGTGGTGGTTTCGGTGCCATTAACCACCGATGCGACAGGTAGAGAGGGAGTCTCGAGGCCATTTGTCGTGGGTTTTGCGGCCTTTACTGGCGTCTCAGAGTCTTTAGATTCAGCCTGCTTATTATCTGCGGGGTTGACTGAGGAATCGCCGTTTTCCACCCCATTCTGAGTTGAATGGTGCTTGTGCTTCTTCTGTTTCTTGTGGAAGGGTTCTGGATCCCGCTTTCGCTTTTTCTCCTGTGCAGAATCGTCGACTCGAGTGGGAGAGGATGCCAGACCATTTGTGACAGGCACGGGAGAAGAGCGATCCTTGATCTTGGACTTGCGCGACTTCTTTTTCTTCTTTGCGTCGTCCATGGCGGGTTCAAATTGGGGAGATGGGGCCACTAAGGGGTATGGAAGTGAGTGACGGAACGATTAAGGGAAAAAGCCTTTTATAGGGCATACCATCCATATCGACTTGGTCCATCCTTGCGACGGAGTCGGGTTCGCGCTGCGTCAGGCAAAAGGGCTAAGACCCAGGTCGAATCACGAGAACATCTAAAAATCAGGCTGGACCTCTGGCAGAACACCACACCGCCTCGAGACGGGCCACCGCCCATTTAAAGTATGGAATATCAAATGCAGGCACGCTTACTTGCATGCTTCCATCGAGAAGATGTATTGAAGTCAATACTCAGATGTTCATTTACATGCGAATGGTATATTTAAATACAAAAGTGCCAGCTCTCTATCCAGTGATCATCCGGAAATGTTCAATATCTATACATTCAGCCTGGCAGCCCAGGTTTCTCTGAGCATATCCACCATGGTTTGATTCAGGCGCCATTGGGCACCTGTTGAACTGATTGGCACAATGTGTCGTCGATGCATCGATGGTACGGGAAGTAACCCATTGAATCGTTCGTTCGAGCGGTCAACGTGGGGGTTGGAAAGTGATAGATCATATCAGCCAATCCGCTGCTTACGTCTCACCCAGACTTCCTTGTCATCTTCGGAAGTCTCAGCAGTCGATGGAGGTTCTCGCAAATCGACTTCCCAAATTTTAAGGTTGTAATTGCCTCGGTCTCCCTTGCCGGTGACAATATCGAAGGACCAGCCATGCTTGGGACATGTCAGTCCGGTACTAAGCTTGATACCAAAATCCTCAATGTCGAATAATTTAGCCTGAGATAGAGGAAAAGTGGCGTGTGGACATTGCTAGTTTAATAGTCAGTTTCGTACTTAGTCTGGATTAATTTGTCAACGCATACATGATCAACGGCATGGACTGTGCCTTTATATTTGAAGACAAGAACCTGATCCTTCAAATCGAACAAGAGGTCAAGGTCCGCCTCTTCTGGAGCCTGAGGGTCTGAGGTTCCATCCTTGGGAATGTTGAAAGCTTTGCATTTCGGGGCCATCCGATAGCCGTCGTCATTCTCGAGTTCTGGTAATGAGGATACAAGGCCAACGCGATGCCAGGCCTTAGCGGCCTTTTGCTGCTGAAAGGGATTCATATCCTCTTCATTTGGTGCGGAGCATTCGAAGGTTGATACTTGCACTTCGGGTTCCTGAATCCGAGTCTCGATTGCCGATGCTTCATCGAGATTACGTAAGGTTCATCGGTCTTGCAGTCATTCTTACTGAAGATTCAGAACAATATCACTGAACAAGTCCTGTAAGTATTACCTGAAGTCATTGGCCTCTGCTGCTTCATACGTTGTGGATTTTCCGTTTTTCGTAAGTAATCAGTTGGGCCATCGATCTTGTAGTATTGTTCAGTGTATGCTAAGCTTGGAGCCCGGACCCGAGCCCTTTATAGATCCTGTCTATTGGAAATTTTGATCAAACAGGATATCCTTAGGTACTGCCCTTACAAGAGGATGTCTTCATGTAGGGTCATCCTATGGTAAAAACAGAAACCAGCGTAAACTTCATACATAAAGAGCACCGGTGCCTCCATCTAAGTAGATTGGTAAGAACCTTCATCTCCAACTCAAAGAATACAATATGGAATTTGCCGTAACATTGTAGGGATTCTCTTCGAGGGTTTTGTGGCCAATCAGTGTATGCTTTGTTCATCTAGGAGACATGCTGTACTCAGAGTATGATGCTAGATTCCTGGGGGAGCCCATTCGCTGTTTGGAGGATCCTGCCCATGCTCATCTCCATTCTGTCTTGGATCATTATGAGCTTATTTCTTTTCAAACCGACCTTGGAAGAAATTTCGGAAAACTGATAAGCTCTTGAATAGAACGAAATGCTTGTGTGATGCAGAAATTACTGTACATATTGCTCATGGTATACCAGGAAGAAAATAACCTTTCCGAAACCCAGACTCCTCAAATCAGACCACCATCGCAAGTTCTCATGCTAACTTCATGCCCCGGAGGAGTTTGGTGACCAGCTTCTTCTGGTCTGCCGGGTTCAGGTTGTGTTCATCTGTGCTTTGCAAACACTGCCCGATAGCAACCGTAGCCTTGACTTCATTCTCCCCAGCATTCGAGCAGTCCACCCAGACTTTTCCATTGCGTCCAACGGCCAGTTCAAACCCTCCGATGCTCTCAAGTTTCTTCCCAAGCTCAGAAAGAACAACCAAACCATCCACACCCTCGTCATCGGCAGAAGAAGAGCTCGCCCGAAGCAATCGGGTAGCCATACCTGTGGAAATATCAAATAACATGCCGCCGTTCAAAGGCCCCATGCCTCCCGGTTCTGCCTTTCCAGTTGCCGGGTGAACACAAGTGATCTCGACCTCAGCGCCAGCGCCAACGCCCACGGACAAAACTCGTGCGTAGACCAAATCGCCTCCCTTCAGCATTGGCCTTGTCTTTTTTGTTGCACCCTCGAACGACAATTGACCCAGTAGTGCGTGTGCGGTGTGCGGTGTGACAATGCAGTGGAAGAAGTCAACGCTGGAGTGGTGGACCTGCGCGATGACTAGGTCGTTGATGGCGGGAATGTAACGGCGATTGGGGAAGGAGAGAATTGAGACATTGTTGCGCTTGGCATCGGTTGTCAGAATACCGGCTTGTGTTGCCGTAAGAACATGATTTGATGAAGTAGGCTTCGCTGAAGGTTGTGATAACAGGCGGAGGCCAGGGCCTACTTTGAGAGGGTTGTTGGATTTGGAGTTTGGAAGTTGATCATTAGGGACTTCATCGCCAGGAAGCAGGATGAGTGGGGTCGACATGATGCCGGGGTTTTATAAGCTTCCCAGGGTGCTCTTTCAACCAGAAATAGTGAAATTGGTGGGTGTCAGTATGCAACTATGGAGGGGAAAGCTATGACTCGGGATTTTGCAGAAGAAAACTGCTTATCGGCTTATCGACACGTGATGGGTGACAATGCTGGCGGTGTAATTGATGAAAAGTGAAATACAAGGAGAAAAACTTGTTGAAAAGCGTAGACGAGATGGTTTTTAATAATTCACTTGATCAATTAAGCATTTGATTTGTATTACTACTTGATACAATACAGGTGACAGTCATGAACTGATTTATGTGGAAGATTGACTGTACCGCCACACTCGGTATCGATAAGCACAAGCCACTTTCCGCCGAAAATCTTCAAATTTTTCGGTTTGGTTCTCCCCCTCCATCGAGACATTCCCTTCGGTCATTCTCCCTGAACTCTCCACGTCCATTGTGTCGCGGATTCTTTTCCTATCTTTCAAATTTAGGATTTTTTCACACACTTAATCAAAATGGGTGACGCAAACGGTGCCGCTGAGGCTGAGCGCTTCGCTATCGGTATCTCTTTCGGTAACACCTCCAGCTCAATTGCCCGTATCTCGCCTGTACGTTGAAATATCGCCCAAGAGAGTATTGACCAGAAACTGACAATAAGCTATAGGAGGGCAAGGCTGAGGTTATCGCCAACGAGGAGGGAGGTATGTTTTGAGTTCCATTTCGAGTTCTATGTTCAACTATTCATGAGACTGACCATTTCCAGACCGTCAAATCCCTAGCATCCTCTCTTACATCGATGGTGAGGAGTACCACGGTACCCAGGCCAAGGCCCAGCTCATCCGCAACTCTTCCAACACTGTCGCCTACTTCCGGGATTACCTGGGCAAGGAGTTCAAGTCCATCGACCCTACCCCAGCCCATGCTTCCGCCCACCCCCAGCAGAGCGAGTCCACTGTGGCTTTCACCATCCGCGACACTGCCAGCGAGAAGCCCAACACTGTCACTGTCTCCGAGATCACCACCCGCCACCTCCGCCGCTTGAAGCAGTCTGCCTCCGATTTCCTCGGCAAGCAGGTCAATGCCGCTGTCATCACCGTCCCCACCGACTTCACCGATGCTCAGCGCGAGGCTCTCGTCGCTGCCGCCAAGGAGGCCGGTATTGATGTTCTTCAGCTGATCCACGAGCCCGTCGCCGCTGTCATGGCTTACGACGCTCGTCCCGAGGCCACTGTCACCGACAAGCTGGTCGTTGTCGCTGATCTTGGTGGCACCCGCTCCGACGTGGCCGTTGTTGCCTGCCGCGGCGGCATGTACACTATCCTGGCCACTGCTCACGACTACGAGCTTGGTGGTGCTTCCTTGGACCAGATTATCATTGACCACTTCGCCAAGGAGTTCGTCAAGAAGCACAAGACTGACCCCCGTGAGGATGCCCGTGGCCTCGCCAAGCTTAAGCTGGAGGGTGAGGGTACCCGTAAGGCTCTCAGCCTGAGCGCCAACGCTCAGCTGAGCATTGAGTCCCTGGCTGCCGGTATTGACTACGGTTCCACCATCAACCGCACTCGCTTCGAGCTCCTCTCCAGCAAGGTCTTTGCTCAGTTCACCGGCCTGATCGAGCAGGTTGTCAAGAAGGCTCAGCTTGATGTCCTTGACATTGACGAGGTCATCTTCTCCGGTGGTGCCTCGCACACCCCCAAGATCGCCCAGCTGGCTAAGAACATCTTCCCCGAGACTACTACCATCTTGGCCCCCTCCACCACCCCCTCCGCCATCAACCCCTCTGAGTTGGCCGCTCGCGGTGCTGCTTTCCAGGCTTCCCTGGTCCAGGAGTTCGACCACGAGGATGTTGAGCAGTCTATTCACCCCATGGTCACTGTTACCCCCCACCTGACCAACGCTATTGGTGTTGAGTTCACCACCGGCAGCGAGACCTCCTTCCAGCCCCTCATTGCCTCCGAGACCGCTCTCCCCGCTCGCCGCATCGCCCAGTACTCCGTCCCCAAGGAGGGCGGTGACGTTCTGGTTCGCGTCTGCGAGGGTTCCCGCGATATCAAGGTTACCAAGCCCGAGCCCAAGCCCAAGCAGGAGAAGCCCGCTGATGACGAGGACTCTGACTTCTCCGATGAGGAGGATGAGGAGGAGGAGATCCGCGAGATTGTCTGGAAGACCGAGAAGCCCGTTGCTGAGCTTGCCGTCAAGGGCGTCAAGGCCGGCGGCAAGGTCGAGGTCATGGTTCACGTTAACCCCGATCTGGGTCTCCAGATTGCCGTGCGTGAGGTCGGCGGCCAGACCGCCGTCCGTGGTGCCATCAACGGCTCTGCTTAGATCAATTTACCCCTCAAAAAAGAATTCGATCTCCTTATGGTGTGATGATGCATGCATGATTGATAGAGGCTTTTTGATGTTCCCGTCATTATCTCGTTGGAGTCACACGCTACCTTTTATCTCGTTTTATTTCCCCGTCCCATTTTCTCCTATATAGACTCTCAATTGGAAGTGGCCAATGAACATGATTTTCTACATACTCTTCATACATGATGCGTAGTAGTATCTAAAGGCTGTCAGTCAATTGTTCGGGTTCCTAAATATTCGAAAAGTGGCTGTGGTTTAGCACATTCGTACCTATCCAGGGCTATGCTACATTTGCCCCGCGAGCTTCGCGTACTTTCCGTCCAGGTATAGGTGAATGATTCTTTGCTGTGATGAAATTTTAGAGCATATTATATTACAGCCAATCAAAATAGAGGCATTTAAGATACACATCAACTCAAATTCCAGAACAAGAATAGTTGAACCATGAACTCGTCAACAATTCATTGGACCGAAAATGACATAAAGGGAAACATAGATTGCAATCAATTAAGGTGTAAATGTAACGATCGTGAGTGGTTCGTGCCGCATCAAGAGAGTGGATTAGTTGTACATCAGAGAGAAACAAGAAATCATTTCAAACATAAACCAACGAGGCTAAAGCAAGTTGAGAGAGATACACACCAACGCGATGCATCTCCCAGAGAGTATCAACGCAGAAGGGAAATCGTGTACGGGTTGAATTAGCATGTTTCAAGAGGTCAACGTTGAGAGAATTGAGAAGTCAACGTGAGTGGTGTTGGTCATGGCAAGACCATATATTTTCCAGCTTGTAGTCCGGCAAAATGCGTTTACGCGTAGTTGGTAGTAGGTGGGATGTCCTCCCCCCTCTTCTCGCTGCGGACGCTGTTGGAACGGTTGGAGGAGAAGAAACCACGGCGACGCTCTTTGCGTCCACTGTAACCACTACCGTCTTTGCGGCCAACTGCACCACCGAGGCAGTAGCATAGGCAAGAAAGGAATAGGCATGCGCTGGCAGTCCACATGAAGGCGAAAGCCTTGACGCCCAGCTTGGAGACCTGGCCATTGCTCGAGAAGGCGTGGCGACCCTGGACAAAGACAGCACTGTGATAATTAGCATACATCCAAGTATAATAATTCAGAAGGTGGAGAAACATACGTCATCAAACAAGTTGTGATGACCTGGAAAGTCAGAGCAAGCCACGCGACGAAACCCGAGATGTAGCTGCCAATGCGAGTGCACATAGCCAGAAGGCCAGTGAAGAGCGAAACGACAGCGAAGAAGAGTCCAATGATGATGAAGGGGAACATGAACCGGGAAGTCAAGTAGTAGTGCTTGGATCTAAAAACCATGTCAGAAATAAGTTTGACTCGATGTATGGCCTCTGCGCCAAATTCAATTCACATACCCGATGAACTGATGAGGCACATTATCGGTAGTGCCGAAGTTGCTGGATCCTGGCGGGTCGAATGGGAAGTCGGGGTGCGAGCTACCACAGTCGTTCCGGCCACTATCCGTCACGCTGCATACGTTCCAGAAGGTCCAGCGCGAGGTGGTTGGAGCCCCTGGAATGTTGCTTGTATCCGCCTGAAGGAAGTAGATCTGGTTCAGCGGGTTCGAGTTACGAGCACCGCCTAGCAGTGTGAGGAAGATGAGCAGGATGGAGCTGGCCATGAAAAACAGGCCCAAGAAGCCCAACGCGGCTCCTATAGCTCATTAGTATCCAATTGTCTCTGTATAGATCGGATATGGGTAGATAGGGACTGATGAACACTTACTGCTGATAGGCATGGTGTATAGTATCGCTGTATTGGGTCGTTGAGGTATATTCAAAAAAGGATTTTCTTTCCCGTCGCGATGGAAGGGAGGTGAGGTATCACAGCTCGGTTTGGCTGCCCGATGTTATGTGTAGGGAATGCGCGCAGGTCGAGGCCGAAGTTGAGGGAATGAGGAGACCTTTTTTTTTCTGGTGAAAAGGAAAAGGACAAGATGAAAAAGAGCTCCAGGAAAAGGAACGCTGATCTCAGAGCCGGGCCCATCCGGAATCCCCTCTTGTACGGTGTGAGCATCATCGCACTCATAGATTGAACGAGGATCATAACGTCATGCTTGCACCTGATTTGCTGTGCTGCTTTAGGGCTAGCGTCCACTCTATATTACACTAGCTGTATGGGGTAACGCGCTAGTCCATATACAGTCTAGCGTTGGCGGTCCATGACGAAGTGACGAACAGCAGCGACAGACTTAAACCAGCAACAACGTTGCAGCTCCCTGAGTTGTTCCCCTCAGTGACGTGGATCAACTCAAAATTCATTTCTGCCTGGACTTTTCCTCCTTACCGAAAGTTTAGACCGGGCCCAATTTTTGTGGCCACATCATGGCAACTTGGGCATACCCCCCGCTGCCCCCCGATCAAGTTACTCGGGAGGCCGACAATGCGCTGGTACGTCAACTCCCGATCCTTACGGAGTGATGCAACTCGGTGGACCTAGTCCCTGGTGGATGCGCAAAAATAAGATCGCCCCAATGATCGTATCAGTGTGGATCTGATGCCAACACATGTCTCTTCTTTTTGCCTAGGCCCGTGAACTCGAGTGGCTCCTACAATCACTCCAGGAATCCCTCGTGTCCCTCAAGGAAGGGCTTCAAGAGTGCGCAGCTCTAATTGCACCAAAGGAGCCGGGCTCTACCCTGGTTCTCTCGTCACTACGCTCAGAAAATGTCAAAGGCTTCGTGACGCGCCTCGGCACGCAGGTGGTCAAAGGGGTATGTGCCGACCGTATCCATTTATTTTCTATTCGCTCGGAATAAATTGCTCACTTACTGTTGGCTGCCAGGATATTCAGCTTCGTCTACCCTCGTTACCTCCTCCACGTGGCAGCCCAAGTACCCGATTGACTCTATCACAATCCCCCGAAGCTCCTAGCTTGATTCTGCAGCAGCTCGTGTCGGTGCGAAACCTGGTCAACCAGAGTTTGGACATTGTCGATGTGAGCACATATACGGGTAATCCCCTCGATGCGACATTCATCTTCAGCCAGCTGCATCTCTTGCATGAGACCATCAGCGAGGCACGACAGATGCTGAAGGGGGAGGGGGACGTGCGAGGCAACTGGTGGGACACCAGTGCTAGCGATAATGTAAGTCTCACTTATCCAACCTAAAAGCTTTCCTGTTAATAGGCTTTACCCCTAGATGTTTGATCCGCCGCCGCCGCCATATGTCTCATTTCACCTTTCCATTGCAGACTCCGCGCTTGTTCTTCTTCTGCGCACCTTGGAGAGCACTACTATTGCACAAACTCCGTCCGCTTTTGCCACAGACATCTCCTTGACAGGATTCTCCCTGCGGGACCGGATATTCGGGAGCCATAAACGTGCGCATGACGAGGCTGGCGATGTCTTCATGTGGCAGGGCGAAGAGGTGCGTGTCAAAGAAAAGATCCGGGTGGAAAGCCAAGATCCCAGTTTAATGGCTGTTATGGCCAAATTGACGGCCTTGGAGCACGAAGTTATGCGATGGGTGACCGCATTGCGAGTGCTTATGGGAAATGAAGATACAGAGAGCGACGTATAGAACTCATAGATACCCTATTGCATGACTTCGAGTCGTGCAAGCCTATCATATATAGAAAGGCTCAAAGTTACGTTCCATACATTTCGCAATACTAGACCCAAAAAGAATCCGTATTAGCTGCATAGACAAAGCAATGGGCTTATTAAAATCACGAAAACCTGCTCTTGGCTTTATCTCATGGACCCATATCATGATTAGAGTGGATCTCCATGGGACGCTGGACCAGCCAATCAGCGACTCGCAGTTTGTGATGGCTCGGCATCAATTTTCTGGAGCTGCGCCCGTTTCTCAACTTTTTTCTTTCTACTTCCTCTGCCAACCCGTGTGTTCACCTGGCTTGGAAGATGTTATCCAGGCAATCAACATCAAGTACCGGCAGCTCTCATGCGAGGTATTTGTTGCGGGCTTCTCGCCCTACCGCGCGACAGTCCCGCGGAGCTGCGGGCTTGATTGCGCGCCAGCAACCAGACCTTCAACAATCACGATCCTCCTCAATTACTACGAACTCACGACCATGCAGGAAGTATCTTCCGAAGGTTATGGCGCCACAATGGGCCTCTTCACAGCGACACTCCTCCACCGCGGCGTCCGTGGAGCCCCCGGCACCCGACTCTGCAGAACTAAGCACGGTCGACAAGATCAATGTACTCATTGAGCGCATCGCTGAAAACGAGGAAAACATGGTGCAAATAATGGATGAATTGGATTTGTTGGCGGAATCGGAAGACGCCGATGATCTCCTGGCCGAATTTATGAGCAACCGGGACCTTCACACAACGGAATCTTGGGTGAACTTGGTTCGACAGCAATTCGGAGACACTATTCCAGAAGGCGTCCTGGAAGCAAAGGAGATGAAGCTTTATACAAGTCTCTATGGAGAACCGATCGTGCAAGAGTTCCTCGAGGAAACCATCGCGGAGGAAGAAGAAGGGGAATCTGATCAGTTGTTCCGCGAGGATGCAGAAGGAAACTGGGAGGAGGTCGAATACAAAGAGACTGCAGAATCTGAGGATGATTTGCCGGTGGTCTATGACATGGAAATTGGACCTGAAGAAAGGGAGACAATCGCCATGCAGCGGACACGAGAAGTGGCCGAGCAGCTGGGCGGCGAGATCATGCTAGAGCAGTTTGAGAATGAGGCCGTTCCAGACTCTGCTCCAAGAGCTCACCCTTTGACCCAGATGGGCCAATCTCAAACTGACCCCTCTACGATTCATCCACCGAAAGATTCGCTTACTGGACCCATCTCCGTCATCTTGTCGGAGGTCTCCAACAGACATGTCGCTGAGACTGCACATCGTCTGTTTGGCGGACCAGGCTTGCCTCATTCCACCACAACTCCGCCTCCACGCGCACAGCTGCCTCAGCTTCCAATCCCGATCCATGCATCTCAACACTACATGGCAAATATGGAGGCTAATGCCTACCTCGCAGTCCTTTACCCGGGAATTTATGCGTCTGCACTCAGTGTTCTGGTTGAAATAAGAAAACGCCTTGGCACAGACTGGCTTCGCAACCTCATTAGTCAAGAAGGCGGACCGAATGTCCTTGATGCTAGCGGTGGTGGTGCTGGCATATTGGCCTGGAGAGATGTCCTTCGGGCGGAATATGAGACCATGGTTCCCGATCAACCCAGAGAAGCGCCGGTTCCCTATGGCCGATCGACCGTTGTGACAGGCTCCGACGCGCTCCGTCTACGTGCAAGTGCAATCCTCGAGAACACAACTTTCCTTCCTCGTTTACCGGACTATCTCCACGTACGTGAGAAGCCCACAATCGATGATTCACGTGAGGCTCCCAAGCGCAAGCAGTTTGATGTGATCATCGCGCCTCATTCTCTTCTTGGCTTCGAAGAAGAATATGAGCGTAAGGAGTATGTGGAGAAGCTTTGGGCTCTCCTCAACCCCGAAGGAGGTATTCTTATTCTTCTAGAGAAGGGACGTCAAAAGGGCTTCGAGGCCATTGCCGGTGCTCGGGAGATGCTGCTTAAGCGTCATATCTCCAGTCCTGACTCAACAGAATATAACAACTCCATCGAGTCCCCCAATGAGAATGAACCAGTGACTAAGGGGACCGGCATGATCATTGCCCCTTGCACTAATCACTCAACCTGCCCCATGCACAACCCTGCAGGCCCATCAAAAGGCCGCAAGGACTATTGCCACTTTGAGCAGCGGTACATCCGACCCCCATTCCTGCAGCGCATCATGGGGGCCAAGGACCGTAACCACGAAGACGTCAAGTTCAGCTACCTTGCTGTGCAGCGCGGTGTGGATATGCGACAGGAACTTGGTATCCAGCAGAATGCTGAAGCAACAGACGCCGCTTTTGAAGGGTTCGAGGATGCCGAGGATCTATCTAAGATTCACCCGCTCTCTCTCCCTCGTGCTGTCTACCCTCCTCTCAAACGCCGCGGTCATGTCATTTTCGATTTATGTACACCAGCCGGCAAGATCGAGCGCTGGACTGTCCCGCGTTCTTACAGTCGACAGGCTTATCGCGACGCTCGCAAGTCTAGCTGGGGTGACCTCTGGGCATTAGGCGCCAAGACCCGTATCCCACGCAATCTGAACTTGGGTGACAAGCATGGCGAAGGCAAGAAAGAACGTCTCGCTCGACGGGCTGCAGACAGGGCAGCTCGCGAGGAGGAAGAATTGGAAGAGAATGAGCGTGACGAGGAAGATGAAGACGATGAGCTTGATGAGGCGCGAAGCCGTCCGGATCTGCCTGAGCCGATTCCGCGGAAGAAAGGCGAGACTATCCCTAGCTGGAAGAAGCACAACGATAAGAAGAAGATGAGACAGGCATTAAAGAGACAGGTTGATGCTGAGAATACTCCCTAAGTTGGTCTCATGGCAATCTAAGATCTCCAGCCTAGCATTGATTGAATGGCGCATCTGATTTTGGGGGTTTGGACCATACTGTATTACTATTTAACCGAAACAGCATTTCAGGATTATGGGGATTGGGATCGGATCTTGTATTATAGTATCATCTTCACACAACTATGTAAAACTGTAAATACAGTCTCTTCGCTCTGGATATGGATCGATGTTTTGATACTACTACAATATTTCAAACTTACTTTCAAGGTTCCGGACTGTTGATCAGGTTTAGCAACTGTTTCTGATGTTATCTATAGCTAGTGGAGGTCTTCCCCCAGTGCTAATGATGCTGGGACTAGTTCAATCCTCCGCCAATTCAAATGTTCAAGTACTGAATTTTGACATGCCAGCATACATGGATCCCACTTAGGTGCTCGTTCACATGATCAGCAAAGCGATCTAAGCCACGCAGGATTTCGCTCATCACCCGTGAAAGTAAAACATCCAGTAGTACCTGCAATAAGAATTTTCGGAGCAATCTAGAGACCGTTACTAGCTGCGCGGTAGTTAGCATGTGGACCATTTTTCTTGGGATGCTGTGATCTCGGTTATTGCAAATTGAGGGGGAGTAAGGTCTTGATGTAGCTCGCGCAAAGCCTGGAGAGAGAGATTGGACATAGGAATAGAGGATTGTTGTCTGGCCTTATGTATAGCTAATTTAGAGAGTGAAAGAAAACCATCAATGGTATTCAAATGAAAGGCCTATGCCTTGAACAAAGCAAGGAATCATTCTCTTGAATTAAATTGAGTGATGGATATAGTCACAAAGGCACAAAGACATTTCTTTATCGAGTTCCATTGAAGGCTTTTCTGACACAACAATGACTTGGTTACCGTGAAATCATAACACATAAAATTATTTTGAGGTGCCCCAAATTTCAGCAAGCCTCTCATAGGTTCCTCCCTGCTTGAGATTTTGCCAAAGGAATCCAATGGTGAATGTCTTGCCATTGATCCACCGTGCCTCCATGTCTGGAAAGTGAGGGCTATGCACCATATTGACATTAGAATAAATCTAGGGTTTGCTCGATGGATGGTAGGAGTGAGCCCATGCCTTGTTCACCAGGATCTGATGTGCTTCTGACATTCTCCAGTGTCGTGCCAACTCAGCGCGGGTGAGTTGGCCAACTGTAGTCGAGGCGTGGCGCGGTAGTGTAAAGCTAACGCTCCATACCTACTGATGCTTCATTGGCAACGCATCGGGTGTTGCCATCTCAACTAATAGCCGCTTGACTGATAGGCAGTCAAGTCAATCCAGCATCGACTCATAAAATTTGATCATCGTGCCAGAGTTCAGGTTCACTGGGCAGCCATACTCTTCCTCAGCTGCCTCTGTCGTTGGGTACTCTGCAACTCTAATCGGTCGACAACATACTTGAGTCGCTCCTTTTTCTGGACCAGCCGCCTTAGCTCGGCCGCCTTGGATGCCGCATTTCCTGTCGAGCTTGCCATTCGACCCCGCATCGCCGCGCTGCTCTGGGACGTGGCTCGAGTTGCAGAAGTACGGTTCTCCGGGTTCGAGGAGAGACGTCCTTCTTGGAGGTCACACTTGGCTTTCAGGCCTTGCTCGCGGCGAGCTAGCTTCTCGACGTGGTTTGAGGCGAGGGAGAGGAGGTGGGCGATGCTGGGTGTGATTTCATCTAGAAGAGATTGCTGCGCTTCTCGCAGAGTTGGCTCTGGCAGGAGCTCAAAGTGCTATATTGAGAAAATTAATTAGAGTTGCGCTAGCTTGGTGGTGGGTTAAGTACATACTCGTGTTGTTTGAAGGACTTTGCACAAGCGGGGGAAATCGTTGACACCTTCGTCCAGGATGGTGATGGAGTTGTCCAAAAGCTGTAGTGAAGATTGGAGGGATGACACAGAGGAGGCCAATGAAGACGCCATGTCGACGAAAGGAACGAGGAGTCTTTGAGGAGCTTCGGTAGAGTTGTTCAGTTGAGGGGAGATGCAAATGTTATATCAAGTAAACAAGTCGGGACCGATCGGGTAAAGCGGCCACGCCAAGCCTAAAGCGGCAAGGCGTGTCGGACCGGGCAAACTCCAACTTCACATCTCCTCTTCCTCCTGCATCACAACCCCCGCGAACTCCGATTCCTTATCTTCGCACCATCTACACCATGTCTCTCCTCGGAAAGAAGTTCCCCGGCGCTCTCGGTATGCCATTCTGAATTTGAAGACTCGTCGCCGAGTTTCCGCAGCGGGCGCTCAAGACTAACGCATTGCCTCACAGCCAAGCCTATGACCCCCTTCTTCGCTGCCGGTACGCTCTATCAAATCCCTTAATCCACTCTGGTCGTTCGAAAACAAAACGCTCTCCGATCCCACTTTCCAATCGCGGTCCCGACCGAGCCCCCGCCACGGAATTGTGTTCTAACAGGTCTCCTTTCCAGGTCTCATTGTGCTCTACGGTGTCAACTCTCTGCAGAACGCTCTCTCCAACAGTGAGTTCCCCAGCGTTTCGTGAAACTTCAGATCAGTTCGACTTGTACCGACATGGCCCCGTAATGGATTTCGTGCGGCGCGCCGCCCGATCCCTGGTCGATATACCACATCTAGAACACCCGACTAACCATCGACTCTTTCTAGCTGCCGAGTTCAAGAACGACCCCCGCAACCCCAACGCCGGCAAACCTGCCCACTAAATTAGCTCTGGACGATGAGCTGTGAAGCCACCGGGCGTGGTGTGAAGCAGGAGCGGGTCGAGCAGTTGGCCGCGGAGGTGTGAACGAAACGCTGTTGGTCTTCGGTTTCGACCCGCAAATTTGTGTTTCTGTTCGCGGGCAGTTTGCCCTCTGTCCAAGCATATAGAATATACCCTACAGGGTGACTTGGATCAATTCACAAACTGTACCACTACTGATTGCGATTCTTGTTTGTCTGCTGCCGCCGAAATGGTTGCTCGATATTCTCCATATATGAAGAATCCAGTTGCCTCAATCTGTAGTTCTAGACCGGGCCATTCGGAGGTAATAGGCTCTCTAAGGTGACCTCGAGTCGTTGTAGCCGTACAGTAGGTCCACACGGTGACTAGTGCACTCTAAACCAGGACAGTGCACACCCATCATTCAGGTATTACTGTAGCAATATATACACTCTTAATGGATTATTTGACAACACAAAATGATCAGCTCTAGATTCGTGGTTTCATACTGAGTCTGATACGGAGTACAAGTTCACCATTTGGTGGGAATCTCGGGGTCCACGCTAAACCCAATTGGGAGTTTTCGCCAACTCCGCCTGGAAAGAACATCGCGACTTTCTTTCTCCCCCAGCTCCTCCACCATTGCTCAAAACACACATCATGTCGAAGCCAGCTGCCTCCCTATTCCACCCCAAGAGGCTCAACCTCTCTGGGTTTGTCAACACCCGCCTGATCCGTGACAACAACAAGCGCATGGCCTTCGAGCAGACCGAGCCCGAACGGTAAGAAACTCTGTCCGGAGGCCTATACCTACAGCCACGAGAAAAATGGCTGGAAGTCCAATTGCTAAGACTTCAATCTGACATTTTCTTGGATAATAGCCAAGCGCTCCGTTACATGATCCGCAACACCTCACTCCCCGGCCGTACCCGTGCCCAGGCTCAGCTCCAGTTGTCGCAGATGCACGCCTATACCCGGCCGACACAGATTAAGAACCGTTGTGTGGCATCTGGTACTGCTCGCAGTGTGTTCCGGGCCTTCAGAATCAACCGGGTGAGTTGTTCTTATGATTTTAGTGAAGTGCTAGTCTGACTGTTTCTGTAGTACCAATTCCGTATGCAGGCTCTTTCTGGTGAGCTTCCTGGTGTGAAGAAGGCCAGTTGGTAATGGGGATGTATTATTACTGGATTCAAATGAACGTTCTGGGCTTTGGCGGCGTTTTCTGTCTTCAATTGAAGCTTGTATAGTATGCATATACCATATCATTTTGCATTCTCTCTATCCACCCTCACTATTCACCATGTCCTTACTACATTTGCCTTCACCATTCACATCAAGGCGCTTCTCTCCGTAAGCCCATTGTGCAGCTCGACACGTACTTGACTTTTTCGTTATTAAAAGGCAAAACGACATTTGCTTTCTCTTTCATCTCTGACAATCGATCATCTCCTCTTCCATCTACACACACCTCTGACCTTGTTCTCTACAACTCACCTCATCTCATCACAGATCGTCGATCAAAATGTACGTCTGGCAGAACAAAGATCTGCCTGCGGACCCCGACTTCCCTGCGGATCTCAAGGGACTGGGGTGTGTATCTCCAATGACTCCTAGTTATCATCACAACTCACAAACGCATCCCAGATTCCACATCAACGACAATGACCAGATTCGGCAGATCGCCAACCCAGAAGAAGGTTACAAATACAAGGTCAACCGCAACGACCGTTTCAACGTCAGGTTCCGCGAATCCCTCAATGGTGAATATCTATAGATCTCCAATTTGATCAAGGCTAGCTGATAAGAATCCCAGACTGTATCCGGAAAACCATCGTCGATCGCCTGAAGAATGCTGGCTTGGAAATCCTCCGTCTCCCCCTTGGCAGAGATGAACTTGAAAGTCACGTCCCAATCCTCACAACGCCGAATCTTGCCCAAAAGTCCCGCATCCTTGTTGTCGTCGGCGAACCTGTCCAAGACCTCGGTGTGTGGGCTTACCGGTCCATTCACGAGGGCATTAACTTTGGGTCAGCAATTGATTTCACCAAAGCTGTGCTCGGTGACGACAAGAAAAAGGACTTTGGCCTCGTTATTGCCAACACTGGACAGTTGACTTGGCACTGTGCTTCGCAGCGTGCTATAAGCCAGCAGACCTGGCTTGCAACTCCTCGTCCATATGCGAACTGGGGCCAGGCCACCATGAGCTGGCGGAATAAGATCCCCAGTAACGGTGATTGGCAAGAGCATGTCCAGTATGTCTTCGAGAAGGTCTTGTGGCCAGCTGTGGGAAAGGACACTCGCATCGATATCATCGGCATGTCTGAGGGTGGTCTGGGAGCTATCAGATACCTGCAGAAAGACTGTGAGTATCTCTTTCCTAAAATATAGTACCTATCCACTAAACTTTACAGGGCACGTCTGGAAACCTTATATCTCCGGCATCTGTCTCGGAGACCCACAGCAGACAACTAGTACTGACATCGACATGGGAACTTTTACGGATCCCTCGTCTTTTACTTCATTCCTGGCCTCACGGTGCCGCGCATATCTCCTTTCCTCTACTCCTCTCGGGAGTCGTATGGCTGGCTACCGGCTGTATGGCTGTAACTGCTACTCCTCAGGCGAAGGTCTGAACATCGAGTGCATTATTCCTGCCTCATGGAGAGACATGCTTAAGTGGCTTGATATGCTAGCCAAGAATCCGGACTATTCGGAGCATGTCATGCTGCGTGCTGAAGATATGGATGAGGAGATGTGCCGTGCGTTGGATGAACAGGTGGAGAGTGGAAAAGAGGCCAAAAAGGACGCTGGCAAGAACAGAGACGAAGAAGGCAAGGCCGCGAATATCCAGTGTCAGCAGGAACTGAAGGCTGCTGCGGAGGCGATGCAAAACGAAGTTGTCAATCTCGGGGAGTACGAACTGAAGGTTACGGATAAAGCGCCCGAATCTGACAGTATCAAGTCAGACAGCATCGAGAAGGAGGACCCTGTGGTCGAGATCACCCAAATTGTAGATGAGCTGAAGGTTACTGGTCCAGCGGTCTGAGTCTGGTGCGATGCTGCATTTTTTCCAGTGGCCCACAGAATGATAATCTCCATGACCTCTTTTTTGAATCTTGTTACAGGCGCTTTATTACCAGATCAGAGAAGTACTGCCAAAGCAAGTGAACATGATCTTGAAGTAGTTTAAATTTTCCATCGCTAGACAAGTGAATATAGGCCATCCGCAGTTTTTATGCTTGCAAGCCCAATAGTTAGTTGACTGAATATGGAATGGTGTTTTCACCAGAGTCCTGTCGGTATATCTGTAAAATTAGTCAATTCCCTTGCGAATTAATCATCTCTGAGCGCCGTTGCTTTGTGAAAGGTTGCGTGGCCTACAGTTGGCGGGAAATGGCGCCATGACATCTGATCTTGATTCAGTCACACTTAACCCCGCAATCTTCCCCTTTCCTCTTCCTTCTTCTTTCATCATTTTCAAATGATCTCCATTCTCGCCGATCAAATGAAATCACGGAATTCTCTGCATTCTGAAGCATTCTGGAATCGCCAGTGGGGGTTTACTCGATGAAAATGCAGCCCCTCTTTTATCGGAATCCGCCGCAAAAGCCCAAGGGGACCGAGAGCACAGTCACAGGCTCAGCGCTTTCGGCGAAAGGACAGGTCCAGACCGGAAATGGGATATTTCGAGGTTTTGATCGAGTAAAAGAAATGCAGCGGAGCAAGTCGGAGACAGTTTTGATCGAGTAACGGCTGATAAAGTCGGTTTTCCGATAAGGCGATGCCCGAGCCCTTCGGAGGTGCCCGATGGCCCTTTATCGGCTATGATCCATCGCTGATTCGCTCATCCATTGTTCGCCTTCATTCAGAATTTTATGTTCATGTGAACCGTGGTTCATGTCAACCCGCGCAATATGGCGATAACCGTCTGGGATCTTCAACAGGGGTAAAGTGTCATCCCCAGAGGACCCCTCATTTGGCCTGCCAGGGTGAATGTGAGGGTATTCGCCAGGATCTTGAGGCCGCAAATCCTGCATCTGTTGGGACAGCGCTGACTGGTCCGCCCGCAGGGCCGATTAGCCATGCATTTACTATCGAGTAATGGCTTCATGTACCGGGTGGGACTCCCCAGGTGGGTATTGCCTTCTACCCGCTTGAATTTTCCCTGTGGGTCGGATCCCGCAAAGTCTTTACAGTGTAGGGGTGGCCCTGGTATTTATATCTCCGCCATGCCCTTATCTTTGGACTTTCTTCTTCTCGCGAGATAAGACCGTTTTTGCTTTTGGGCCCCTCTATCATATCATCTCTCATTATCCGATCGTTCCTATTGGTCCCCTTATCTACTCGGCCTTCCTTTATATACTTTCCCCCCACCTTAATCTATTTCCGCCACTACCAACTGAAAGTCTGGGGATATTTGAAAAGCAAACATGGCGACTAACATTCCCTCTATTGCCGTGGTGGCTTCATCGCGCGCCGTCATCTCCGGTCGTTTGACCTCTGCGACTATCGTCATCTCTCAAACGACGGGCAAGATTACCGCCGTCTTCGATTCCGTGATTCCTGCATCGGAATTCCCCGAAGGCACTCCTTACACCGACTACTCGCCTTATGTGCTGTTGCCCGGACTGGTCGATGCTCATGTTCACCTGAACGAGCCTGGCCGTACTGAATGGGAGGGTTTCTACACCGGTACTCAGGCTGCGGCCTTCGGTGGTGTGACTACTGTTATTGACATGCCTTTGAATGCTATCCCTCCTACTACTACCGTGGCGGGCTTGAAGGAGAAGCTTAAGGCTGCCCAGGGTAAGTGCTGGGTTGATGTCGGTTTCTATGGTGGTATTATTCCCGGAAATGCTGGTGAACTCCAGGGTCTCGTGAACGAGGGTGTCCGTGGTTTCAAGGGTTTCCTGATCGACAGTGGTGTAAGTGATCATATCTTGCTCGCTGTGTCGCAATACCTAACCATTCCAATAGGTGGACGAGTTCCCTGCTGTGACCCAAGAAGATATCAAGAAAGCAATGATTGAGCTGGCAGATGCACCCACAACGCTCATGTTCCACGCTGAGATGGTCCCACCCATCACCAAGTCCGTCGGTGATGAGGTCCAATCTTCCGATCCTCCAGCTGCCCCAGCTGGCCCCCTGGAGGCTTACTCAACTTTCTTGGCCTCCCGTCCTTCCGAGTTTGAGACTTGCGCCGTTGAGAGTATTCTGTCTTTGGCCCACCTTGCCCCTAATCTTCAATTGCACATTGTTCACCTTTCTGCCATGGAAGCGATTCCCATTCTGCGGGAAGCTCGTGCTCGTGGTGTGAAGATCACCGCTGAGACCTGCTTTCACTACCTCTCACTGGCCGCCGAGGAGGTGCGTGACGGTGACACTCGCCACAAATGCTGCCCCCCTATCCGCTCCCAACTGAACCAGGATGGTCTTTGGGACGAGCTTGAGAAGCATGCCGGTGACGGTGTCATCAAGACTGTCGTGTCAGACCACTCTCCCTGCACTCCTGATCTGAAGCAGCTTCCCTCCCACGTCCCCGGCGCCATCGAGGGCAAGGAAGAGAAGGGCGACTTCTTCTCCGCATGGGGTGGTATCTCCTCCGTTGGTCTGGGTCTGCCCATTCTCTGGACAGAGCTTAGTCGCCGCAAGGGTCTGACTCCCTCTCCTGATGACGTGAACACCAGAAACGCATTGCAAGACGTCGTTCGCCTTTGCTGCGCCAACACCGCCGCTCAAGTCGGTCTGGAGACTCGCAAGGGTGACCTGCGTCCTGGCTTTGACGCTGACATCTGTGTCTTCGATGACTCTGCTGAGTGGACAGTCGAGCCTAGCACAATGCTCTTCCGTAACAAGTGCTCTCCCTACCAGGGCCGCACTTTGCGCGGTATGGTCCGCGAGACCTGGCTCCGTGGCGAGCGTATCTTCAGCCGTGAGGATAACTTCGGCTCGAAGCTCCCCTCTGGAAAGCTGCTTCTTGAGAAGCGGGTTTGATACCCTTTTGTGTTTTTTTTTCCTTCCATTTTGCATTTCTTTTGTCTCCATTTGGGACAAGTTGACTTTTTGGCAGCCTCGGCCTTTCTTTTCCCATGCATCTCGGCCTCGGTCTCGCGCTGTGACGAGCACTAATGATGAACAGCATCCATACCCGTTAGAGTAATGACAGCGCGTTGTAGCTTTATAGAATACGAATGAAAAGTATTTCTGATTCAATCCACGACTGAAGGGTATAAATTACATATCGTACAGTTAAACGAAGATTCGATACAATGCCCATTGGATCATTCCTGATGATCTTGCTCTTTCTCCCATTTCTCCCTCATCCTCCTCCTGACACCCCCATTAACCCCCTTGCCCCAAATTTCCTCCTTCTCCCCTTCACCGACAAGGACTCCCTTATTACTCTCCTCAACAGGCCCAATCACAACCTTTTTCTCTTTCAACTTCCTCTCCTTATTCCTAGCCTCAACAACCTTCCCAAGATAAACGGCATACAGAACCGACTCTGCAATGGCAACAGATAGCGCCGCAAAGAACGAAAGAAGAACCCGTACAGCCTCAGATGCACCAACAGCATCTCGAGCCTCCCCATCTCGAGCTGGACCTATCATCGCCGAGAATATCGAGGCCAGGATACGTGGCATGCCAAAGCTGGTTAGACCCCAATATACAGCGAACCCGGTGATAAGCGTTGAGAGGAAGATGTTCAGGACCAGTGACGGGGTGAGTGTGTCTTCGCTGTATGGGGTTCCATCGGGGTTCGTGGCGTGTGGATCTGCGTGGTCTGCATTTGGGGTGTAGGTTGGGTTTAAAAGGCGTTCATAGGCTTGTCTTTCGGCTAGGGCCTGGAGGCGGGCTTTTGAAGCGAGATATTCGGGACTCTGGGTCATTCAGTGTTAGTAGATGTTTAATGGGTCTTGAGCCGGTGAGGTGTTGATTGGGATGCACGTACAGGCTCCGGTTTCTTCGGCGGTGGTGGTACGTATACTTTTGTACCGCGCAGGAGGGCGCTGAGAATCGTAGGGCTCATTGATATCCTGCGCTCTGCGGTGTTGTATTCGGCGTCATTCTGGAGGTGTTTAGATAGGCGCAGGAGCTGGCTGTGTGCAATCGGTCCGTGAAGATCTAACGGGGAAGGAAGATCGAGTTCCTCACGACGAGGAATTGGAACGGCCTCCAGGGCCGCACGGATGCGCTCCGTCGCCATTAAGAGGACCATCGGAGTTGCGTGGTGGTGTTAGTCAAGTGTATGCGATGACGAGTAGCGGAGACACGAGCGGAAAGAAAGTCGCGGGCAGAAAGAGAATCAAGCTCTCCCCACTTTGCTGTCTTTGCACGTAACCACCTCCAGCCATGGCAGACTCCAAATCCAAGGCGTAAGTATAATGTTTTTCTCTCTGATTCTCTCCATTGAACTTTCAGTTCATCTTTCCCTTCCCAATGTTTTTCTGTGCGCTCCCGTCAAAATCTCCTAACCCCTCCATCGCAGCCCGGTCACAACACAAACCAACGCGCGGGGAATTCCCGTCGCTCCCTTCGTCGACAATGTGGCCGACTATGTCTCCTCGCGCGATGACGTCGAGCCAACCCTTCGCCGGTTCCAGGAGATGATCTCCAAGTACCAGTTCATGGAAGTGAACAGCCAGCGCCGCGGGCAGGGACTGCGCGATAAGATCCCGGATATCAAGAAGACATTGGAGATGGTGCAGTTCTTGAAGCTGCGCAAGGAGGTAGGATCGATCTGATCCCATGCTGTGCTATCTGGAGCTAATGTTGATTCGTTCTAGGCCAACCCCGACTCCGAACTCGAGACCAACTTCGAACTCAATGATACCCTCTACGCTCGTGCTTCTATCTCCCCCGCTGATACTGAGGAGGTGTACCTTTGGCTGGGTGCTAATGTCATGTTGGCGTACCCGCTTGAGGAGGCAGAGGCTATGTTGAAGGAGAAGCTTTCGGCGGCCGAGTCGAGTTTGGCTAATTGTGAAGAGGACCTGGAGTTCTTGCGCGAGCAGATTACGGTATGTTATCTAGGAGTTTGTAAGGGAGTATCCGACTGACTGTTTTTAGACGCTGGAGGTTGCTACGGCTCGTGTATACAACTGGGATGTGGTGCAACGGCGGAAAGAGAAGGGTGATGGGAAAGATGATACAGAGAAGTCTCGGCCTGGTTGATCTATGCTTCCTCGTATATCTATGCAATAAAATGACATCAATACCTCTCGCCTCTATGTGCGTGCTCGGACTTCAGGCTAGATTGTAGGAGACCTTCCAGTGGTACTGGTCGTCAATGGGGAGGGCTCTATCTCCCTGACTTTAAGCTGAGCCACGATTCAATCTACCTCTTCTGGTGTCATATGCTCCAGGTCTTTTCGATCTTCTCTCCTTCATTGTCGCGAGCCTCTCCTTCATTTCCGTGAACTAAACGTTCGTTCCTGTCCTTCCTGTGACAACAACCACCTGTACTCAAACGCGGTCCACTTCACCTCATTGAAAGGTACATGGTTTCAGCCCTGTGCTGGAGTTATACTGATTGATAGGTAACATGGAAGGCAACGTGAGAGTAATGTGGAACGAAGTGAATATAAATGCGATGAGGATCAAGTGTTGTGGTTCCTGATGAATGGTACATGAGTCTTAGACAAGTCCAACACACGTGCGCGTGCCCTTTGTCCCGATGGTTCAGGCGCACCATCTACGCTTATAAATCCACAGAAGCAAACCCTCCAAGGGACGCCTGACTGCAGATATAAACTATAAAAGCCACTGCGAACCCCAAGATCAATTCATCTCCAATCCTCAACCAATTCGTGGTCCAAAATGCCTCTCAAACACCGAATCCTAGCCCTAGTCTTCCACGACTTCGAAGCCCTAGACCTCTTCGGCGCTCTAGGAGCCATCGTCCCTCGCTCAGACTACTACACCTTGAAGCTAGTGAACGTTCACAACCTCCCCGCTCCTCATGGCCTCGAAAGCTCTTTGAAAAACGGAATCGGGACTCTCCCTAATCTATCTATTGCCGAGGTCCTCGCCAGCAGAGAACCATTCGATACCCTCTTCATACCTGGGGGCACGGGATTTCAACCACTGGTCTGGGACCCTATTTTGCTGGAGCAGATTGGGTTGTTGTCTGATCGGGCCCCGAATGTGTTTACGGTTTGTACGGGGTCTTTGATACTTGCTGCTACCGGGAGGTTGGATAGGAGGTCGTCTACGACTAATAAGAGGTTGTTTGATGAGATGACGCCTAAATGTAAGTCTTATCATCTTCTTCCACTCTCTTGTTTTCTCTCTGCTTCCCCCCTCGTATATAAGATATTCATGTGGGAATTGCTGAATGTGTATTCCAGGGCCAAAGGTAAAGTGGCAGAAACAGGCCCGCTGGGTACAGGATGGAAAATTCCTGATGTCGTCGGGCATTACGGCGGGTCTGGATGCAGCGTTGGCTTTTATGGCTATTACTTACGTTGCGCCTGAAAATCGAGAGGCACAAGGACAAGAAATTGATGTGACCGGGGAGAAGACTGTGATCCCGGGTTTTGATCATGGGAAGGCTCTGGAGTTTGCCCGTTCGATTTCGTGGCGGTTGGAGTATGAGTGGCATGAGGATCCTTCCAATGATCCCTTTGTTTGATGATCGCTGACACATGTATATTTATTGGACAACTGGTGATTGTAAATCGGGAGTAAAATCCAAAAACTGCCATAAATCGTAGTCAGTCTCATCGGAGAGCATGGGAAGGACATCCAAGTCACCAAAAATATCAGCTGGCGTATTTGAAAGAGACATAAAGGTGTTGGTAGAGCTGGCGAAGTCCGAATCATGCTCTGGGTAGGTTGACTTGTTGCCCTCCAGGTAAGTAGATAGAAGACGAATCACATGTGTTTTCTTGTCTTTGATGAGCTCCTTCGTTTCCCAATGCCTATCTTCAGGACTACTGACACCCTCGACAAAGTTCATCAAGGATTCTAAAACATAGATGTTTCGTGGTGTCAGAGTTTGGGATTTTCCGGGATCAGATCTCAGTTTCAGTATTTCAATGGCCTCGTTGATCTTGTCTTTGATCATTATCCGACTCAGATCACCCTCTAACCCATCTGGATTTTCAGACTTGGTGTAGAGCAGATTAATGAGAAGCGCAGCAGCAGCATTGAAAAGTTGAATGTCGTTTATCGACAAGGTGCCACAGACAGAGCACCGTGCCTGGATTTGGGTGCTGGTGCTAATGATATTCTGTGCGAGGATTTGACAAGTAGCACGACTTGTGCTAGACATTTTCCCCCGGTAAAGCCGAAGAAATAAACTCCAGAGTTGTTGCTGTAACATCCATTGCTGCACTGGTACCGCTGCCAAGGGACCTGTTGACGTGAGGCCAACTGTGCTTCCGGGTCTAAAGTGAGATGGTAGTGCAATCAGAAGCTTTTCGTATTTCTTGTTGAGCTCATTCATCAATTTAGTAGCCTCGGTCTTCTCCTGCGGTGCTTGAGACGAAGGATTGCGAAGGTCAACGGACTCTCGTACCAAACCAGCGATTTCGATGGCATATATCGTATAAGAGAGCATAGTGAATTCTGATCGAGGTCGTTCGGTAATGGATCCGTGATTCTCGGATTCCTCTGGGCGAAGGTCCTCGTCATTAATATGCAGGGGTTTGCGGGTGCTAAACTGCGACGGGTGGATAGTATAGTATCCCAGCACGTGTCCCCGGCACCAATCTCGCAGTACGAAGGCCCACCTTATATCTGTCAGTGATTGTTCACAGTGAAATGCAGTGTCACTCACCAGATGCGGATGCCGAGTTCTGTTCGTATGTGCGAAGGCATATCAACATCACCTGGAGAGGTCTTTAATGGATCCAGTTTCACGTCTCCCAACCGATGCAAGTGTAACTTCTGAGCACCCGAAATTGCAGTGACCAGAAGAGAGTCAAGCTCCAAACTATCATTTTGCCCATCTAGTAGAAGCATGAGGGCTGCTTGTAAGCTAGCCATCGAGGCACAAAATACTCCAATTCGCCCTCGCAGACAACGCAATGCAAGTGTTCTCCATGTCGACAAATAGAGACTTGAGGACCGAAGAACCTCTACACGCTCGCTCATACCTGTGGAGGACCAACCGAGGATATTTGGTTTGGGATGAAAAGCGAGACCGAGCACAAGCTGTCATGAATCAGTATGAATCACCTGTAGAGGAGATTGACATCACACACCGCCATGAGAAAGCAAGCCAGACTTTCCATTGAGAAAGAACTGGCTACGATGTTTAAATCGAACGATGCAGAGTGAATACTTTCACAAATTCTGCCAGCATGCTTCAGGAATGTGGGCGTGTGAAAGATATTACCCAAAGGGCCCTGACAGCGAGTGACAAAAATCCCATAGAGATGATGAGCCATTTCCGAGTCCGGGAATGCATTAGTGATCTCTTCTATCAACGAAAATCTTTCATTTTGCATCCCAGACTCTGCAGTCTCCCAGTAAAAGTTAGGGTAATCGGGAGCCGGTGTAGATGAGGTTGATCCAGAGGAAGACAACATATTGGTCCGAGATGAGCCCTCGACGAAATCCTCCAAAATCTGTGCAGTTTCGTCTGCAACTATCGCATCTGACATGGGGGATTTTGATCGAGTCCTGATACGAGTCAACAGTGTAAAATTGCCACCAGCTGGACCCATCATACTCTTCATGACTTGAGCCCATTCTCGCCCTTTTTGCTCTTGGATGACGCTCATCTTTAGTACACAGATGGCCAATATCACGTTTCGTGCATTCGATCTGATAAGAATCAGTGCCAGTCATAGTTCAGAGAGCGCCATCACAGACACATGGTTCTTTCCTGTCGCATTTGAGCTTTGATGCTCTGCACCGAGAGCAGGATTTGGTAAACTTGCGCACTCGAGACTCGGAACTTGCAGATTCCATAGAATCCACCATGATGTGAGAGTGGATGCCAAGGTGGATATGCTTGTGATCAAGTCAGATGGCAGTCTTGTAACTAAGTCAACTAGCCCGGGGCCAAAGAGTCGCTGAGTCATCAACCCCATTCTAGATTCCAACTCCCAAACACCCGTATAGGTGAGAGACCAAAATTTATGTGCGTCAAATGCGTTCTATATCAGAATTATCGCTGAATAGAATACCGTCTAGTAGGAAAAATACTAGGAAACAGGTGTACCAATTCAAATGAACCCAGCAAAAAGAAAAGAACGCTGTCTGAAATCCAGAACTCCCAACGAAACAGCGAAATGCAATCGTAAATCGTATCTCACAACATCAAATCATTAAGACATGAGAATCAGCCAAAGCAGGAGGGAGGTTTCCACGAGTAAAAGCCTCCATTAGGTGTAAGGGGAATAAGAGTGAATTATATGGGGATTGTTCGGCCAAAATGCAGATGATCAAGTGGGGAGAAACATGCTGGAGGCCATCTTATCGACATCCGAAACAGCTGATGCAGCTCGCTCACGTACTCGTTTTGTGAGGTCCATGTCAGTGTCGTCACCGATAAATGTCCACTCCTCGATGTCGTCTATGTCATCATCATGATCTGGAGAGGCTTTGGCGGACGGAGTTGGTGAAAATGGGGTAGCTGAGGCATTGGAGCGTTGCCGTGCAAGGGTCTTGGCGTATTCGAGGTCGCGGTAGAGAGACTGGATAGCAGTGGCCACTCCGTCTTCCTGTCAGATTAAAATGGTCAGCGATATGGACTGTTGAAGAAAATGGAATGTAACTCACACTACGGATCTGTATGCCCAAATTACGAGCCTTGACAACCATTCGCTCACTATGTGTCGCCTCCCAGATTGCTCGTGAGAAGACACTGACGTTGAGCTTCTTCATGCAAATTCCCACCCCGAGGTCCTCAACTCGGGAACCGAAGAAAAATTGGTCACCAAAGAATGGTTTAATGATGGTTGGTACACCTGCACGAAGACTCGCGCCAGTGGTTCCTGCACCACCGTGGTGGGCCGCAGCATCAATCTGCGAAAAGAGCCAATCGTGAGGCGCAGATTGAATCTGTAGGATGTCTGAAGGGAGTGGAATCTCAACCTTAGCACTAGAGGGGTCACCTAGTCGATCTGACCATCCTTTTGAAAGAATACACCTCACACCTGCTTTCTGAACTGACTCGATGACAGTCCGGGTCAAAGCAGCAGGGTCTGAGACCACAATCGATCCAAATCCAATGTACACAAGCTTCTTGCCGTCGGCACGGGCACGATTGATGAACTCCGAAAGCTCTGCCGGAGGAGTCCAATCTGATCCCTCACTTAGGAACCAGTAGCCCGTGATTCGAATCCAATCTGGAAAATCAAGAGGCGGTGGCACCACCGAAGGCGAAAAGTTGTACAGGAATGGAACTTTGTTCTGTTGCATCCTGTCCAAATTAGTGGCTTTAAGCCCCAGCTCCTTGTTGCGCCAGCGGTTGACCTGGCCGGCGATTGCCTTCCAGAATATATTATCAAACATCACGTATGTGAGATGGTTGTAGTAGCCACCCATGCGATTCTCGGGTACAGCAAATGCATGTGGATATGCTCGAGTTCTTGACCAAGGCATGGTGAACCCACGGAAATATGGAATTCGAAGAGCTTCCGCGATATGGATTCCAGCCATTGCACTCGGCGATTCGATGAGAAGATCACTACCTTGGCAGCTGGACCAAGCAGACGATAATAGATCGTCAATCCAGCCTCTGAATTTCGAAGAGGCCTCTCGGAGGAAGGAGTAAGTGAACATGCCGTTCTCCACGCAAATCCGCATCAGTTCTGCAGGATCACCATCAACGGGCGCAAAGTCAATGCCGTGCTTCCGAATCCAAGGCTCAAATTCAGCATGGGTGGCTATCTTTGGCTTGTGGCCCTCAGCAATAAGCCCCTTACACAAAGCAATGTAGGGCTGTACATCACCCCGGGATCCGATAGTCAGGCAGGTAATCTTCAGGGGCTGAGGGGGCTTGAAGTTGATGATGGAAGCACGGGGGTCATCGAAGAACGGATGAATTTCAGACGAGCCCTCATGGAGCATTGGATGCACTTCATGCTCCTCAGGGTTGTCAAGTCGAGCCTCTTGAAGCATTTGATGTTCAGTCTTCGCTGCCTCGACTTCCTCACGCTCCTCCTCTGCCAATAGGCCTGACTCCATCAGGAATTTGACCGACTCCAGGTTCTGATGGAGTGTGACTGCACAGTCATCTCTCCCATCAGAGGCATTGAATTCAAAGAAGAGCTCTTCATGGCCACGAATGATGACAACTAGTCCGTGGTAGCCAAATCGAAAACCGTGCTCTTTCTCCACGTTCTCAATGTCCTTCAGAGGCAAGATCATTTTGGTGCGAGTGCCAGGGATCAAACTGCGAAAGCAGAGTTTCCTCTCACTGACATAAATCTTGCCGTAGAGGGGTAGCATTCGATGTAGATAAGCATAATATGTTGCTTGCAGTCTCTCGGTCGATGGGAGAGCGAAATGAGCACGGAACCGGTCACCATGGTTAGCATCTGTTTCCTCCTCTTTGGGGTCCATCGTTTGATCCCTTGGTATCACGCCTTCAGTCTCGCCATAATGCCTCTGTCCACCAATCCACATGCCAGATACCTTTTCGATGTAGCCCATGGATTCAGTTGCCAGCAAGCTACTCATCTGCCGGGATCTGCTTTTCAGATATTCCGCAAATCCAGCAGCGCGTTGGAGGGGGTACGATCCAGCCTTGACAAGATCGTTCAGTGGAACGTTTGCTGGTGGGCGCTGTGTCAACCTCTGATTTGGAGCGTTGGTCATATCTCGGCGTGTCGCCGAACCTAACCGAGCAGATGTTGAGCGAGCCGTATCATCAGATCGCCGCTGGGCAATATCCCCAGCATCAGATGAGCGTCTTGGTAGGGACCGCATGGTTGGTGATTGGAAAACATCACTCCGGTTGAGAATTTGACTTGCTGATTCAGTTGTTTCGGTCATAGAATGTACGACATGCGACGAATCTGTCCCCTGGTCCGCAGAATGGGCAAATGAATCGGCGATACTTGTACTCCGCTCGCGCGATGTCTGATCTTGCTTCGGGATCTGGCTATCCGACGATCTCCTGAGATCCGAGACAGTTGCATCAGGCTGGATTTTCTCAGATTTAACATCTCGCGAATCTTCTGACAGATCCCTTGCAGGAGATGAGCCCACTAGACTCTTTAAATAATCCAAGGCCTCCTGGCCTGAGTTGAAGAAAGAGAAAAAGTACTAGGGGATGAAGTCAGTATTTTATAGACAATGTCCAAGGCTTCAGGGTTTTAGGGGAAACAACTTACTTCATCAATGGCGAAATCCTCATTACTGTCCACAACTCGGATTTTGAAGGTCTCAGCAAATTCCGCCATAGGGCTCTCTTCCAGGTCAATCACATTCTTGATGGGGAATGATACTTTGACGCTATCTCCCTCGTTGTGAGACCTGAAGATAACCTTCTGAAGTGCCTTCACCCACTCTTTTGCGCTCGTGGCACTATCTGCACGGAAGTAAATTGTTCGCTGGTCCGTGCTGACTTGGAAGTCCTTCACTTCAGCGCCTTGGATTTTCGGCTCTGCAAGGGATGCGGAGATCCCATATCGAAGATCCACATGGCCACTGGGGAAGTACAGATTGGAGGGATCGGCATAGTATGACAGCACATCACCCCTCAGAACAAACCAGTACCGGTTATACTTCGGATTTTTCCGTCCACGCTTCGAAACATAGCCTGATTTGATGGCGACGCTGGACTTTTTGGGCAAATATGCATAGAAGCAGATATGTCCTTCTGTGACGTACATGTAGCCTTGGAGAAGCATACTTTGCAGCAATGCACATGCATATTCGACCAAGACTTTTTCCGGTCTTTCAAAACCAAACATCTCCATTAGTCGTGAGGAGAGGGCAGAGCCTGCAGTTTGCGGTCGCTCTTGACTGGGGGTTTCCGGTCTCGACGGTGGATTTTCAGGCTCAGTTGCCGTGTCGAATCGATTCTGTGCCTGCACCATCCGTGAAAGAACGGGGGCTGCTCGTGGCGTAGCACTACGAGCTCGCCTCAGAGGTAGGGTGAGTACTGAGCCGCTGGGGGTTGACATTTCCTTCTCCTCATCCTTTGAACTTAGGGAAGGTAGCTTGCGCACCGCTTTATTCTCCGATATTGTTTTGCGATGGCGACGACCTCGTTCTTCCGTTTCATCTCGTGGATTTAATCCATACTGCCCACTAGTATTGTGATGTGATGAGGATTCTCGAGTTATAGGGTCCGACCGGTTTTCTTTTCGTTTCTCGTCCGATTCGTCGTCGCTCGAATCTTCAAACCGCGCCCGAAAGTCGGAGCGAGAGCCCACAGCGGCGATCATGGAAAATAACGACTGTTGCATATAGTGCATGTTTCCATCTCGAGAGACCATTCCCTGGGGTGGAGCTGTGAAATCCACTTGGGCATCTGCGTCGTCCTTGAAACGTTCGGGAAGCCGATCGGGAAATGGCCGCTGTACCGAAGAGACTTTCATACTGGCACTCATTCTGTGACCTCCACGCCGTTTGGCGTCATCTAATACAGTCCCCATCTTAACGGATGATATGGCGTTATAATCGATGAAAGTTGGTAGCTGCTTGGGAACGTTGGGATGTTGGACTGCAAGGTCGGAATCAGAATCACGGGTGACAGCTCCTGATAGGACGATGGGGGATGGACACGTCAGGTGGGCTTCGGTGAAGAGTTGCCCAACGAGCTATCCACACTATCATAGCAGCATGTGAGGAGAGAATGAGATGGATTGCACGAGGTTCTAGTCCAGAACGGCTCAAACGGGGGCGATAAGCGGGAGCGATAAGTCAAAGAAGCTCGGACCTCCCGGTCCACATGCCCAAGACACCCAAGGTACTTGTGCAAGTTACTTCGATGGGCCTGAGTATAACAATCAAGTGGAAAGGACAGAGAAAAGATAACAAAGCTCAGAGAATATTGCTTCCTGTCATAGACATCTTCCATTATTTCTAGTCTGGGGTTTCAGGCCTGGTCCACTTTATTCTGAGATCTCCATATAAAATGACTCTTGATTAACCTTAAAAGGTCATCACATTCTTTGTCTAGTCTCCTTGTCCTGTACTCAGCTACGTATATCTGTGCGCATGTAAGCAAGTGTCTCCATGATCTTCTGATGCAAAGGAAGCAAATGGAGCAAAATGAGGCAATCAGATGGCCTTGCATGTGACAGTGTCAGGTGATTTGGTGCTTTCATAATCATGTCACCCTGCAGAGTCATATATACAGAACTAGTCAATTTGAGTTTGTTAAAGAGATCTTTGAGCATGGTGTATCTGTACGCAGTGCATACCTGTAGAAAGACTGATGTTGGGTGGATGGAGATTGTGGAGGATGTGGACTCGAAATATGTGGGGAAGAGCTAAGCATCGTGGATCCCCTGATCTAAGCCTTGGTCAACTTGACAACACTTCAATCTATGGCCTCGTCTTGCCTTGACTCAACCAAAACAACCTTTTAGCACAAGACAAAGACGACAAGCCAAATTTGGGCTTGATGACCCCATATAACTTTCAAATGATAAATTCTCCGTCAAGCCGACCCCAGACTACCAAACCACAACTCTATAGCCGACAACCGACCAGCATCAAGCCACGACCAGCCACCAAGATGTGACTGATAGCATTGAGTCAAATGCCCGAACGCGCGGTCTGAATCCTTTTCACTCCGTTCATATTCAAGCCATACGGTACGGCAGACTAACTCGCCTGTCGGCTCCATAACATCATCACTTAGCGCTAAGGCGTGCTCGTGCGTGCGAACGAGCCTATGTCTACCTTATCCTCCATTTAGATCGCGTAATTGCAGAGCACGCAAATGCACCCCTGTACATACTCACCATGGCCCGGTCCGAGCCAAATTATCTTTTATATGTAGCCGGCTTGAGTCGCCCTGGCTGAGGATCGACATCGGAGTTTTCTGTACTCTATACCACAGCTTTCGGAAGTCCCCGATCATCATGGGGCTCTTTTCCTTCCCTGAGCTGAATACCCGTGTGGGAACTTGGCGTGCTTACCACCTCGCTGGCATCGTTTTGTTAGTTCTGTCTTTACTTAACATAGTTGGATGGGGCGTGAGAGCTGACCGATTCACAGCATTTCTTCCTTCCTGTCAGGTTATGATGCTGGTATTGCCGGCGGTATCCTCACTTTCGCGTCTTTCGAGTCCGACTTCCGCTACACTTCCGCACATGAATCTAAGGTCTCCTCGCTTACTGTGGGCCTGGAGCAGCTAGGATCCTTCGTTGCCGCAGCTTGTGTCTATCCAATCACCAATAAGTATGGACGCAAGTGGACCATAATCGGTGCCACGGGAATTTTCTGCCTTGGCGTCATTATCCAGGTTATCAACACACACTCGCTGGCAGCCTGGTATGTGGGCCGTGTTATTGCTGGTTTGGGGATGGGTGCCCAGAGTGTGGTGATTCCCATGTACTCGGCAGAGATGACTCCCAAGGAGATTCGTGGTCGTTGCGGTTCTTTTTACCAGTGGATGTATGCGTGGGGTGTTTTTCTCGCATATTGGGTTGACTATGTAAGTTTGGCTCTCTTTCCATGAGGCAAGGATTACTAACGGTCAGATCAGGGTGTGAAACAGAGTGCTTCAATTTCTGGTACCTCACGCGAGTGGCAGATCCCCGTTGGTCTCCAATTAGTGTCTGGAGGTGCCCTTTTCATCCTATCTTTCACGCTCCCGGAGTCAATCCGTTGGCTTGCAACCCAAAATCGCAACGAGGAGGCCTGGAAATCAATCGAGTGGATCCGTGGTGGTGATAACCAGAAGACTCGTGACGAGTTCGCAGAAACGCAGCTCGGTCTGCAGGCGGAACGTGCTGAGCGTGAAGGCTTCTCTTTCCGCGAGCTTCTTGAGCCTGCTAACCGCCTGCGCTTCTTTGTCGGGCCTCTGCTATTCACCTTCCAGAATGCCACAGGAAGCAGTGCCCTCGCAGTCTTTGCGCCGCAGTACTTCAAGCTTGTTGCTGGTGGCAATTCCGATATGCTACTTACTGCCTTGTTCGGTGCCATGAAAGTTATTGCGTGCTCTTTTTTCATTTTCTTCCTCTCAGAGCGTCTGACTCGTCGTGGGTCTCTAGTTGGCGGTTCCGTGTTCATGGGCACCTGCATGCTGATTACGTCGTTGGTTGTTGACAAAACACACACGACCATTGATGGAAATGTCACCTCTGCTGGAAGGGCGACGGTTGCCATGCTGTACCTTAATATCATGGTCAGTCTATATCCCCATTTTCCCTTATGACTTCTGCTAAATCACACTTAGGTGTACAACTGCTCTTGGGGCCCTATGCCATGGGCTTATGTGCCAGAGATCTTCCCGACTCGCATCCGTGCCATGGGATTAGCTGTCAGCATGCTGGCGCACTGGGCGACATCATTCTGTTTCTCGTTCGCCAGTCCCTACATGATCAAAAATGTAGGTGCAAACACCTTCCTGATCTTCATGGGCTTTGACTTCGTCGCTGCTGTTTTCTGCTGGTTCTTCGTGAAAGAAACTCGTGGAAAGAATCTTGAGAAGGCTGCCGGTACCGAATGGGAGGCTGCTGAGCGTAGCTCTGATGATGACGAGGAAAAGGGTGGTGTGATCGGTGCAAATGGAAAGAAGTTGCAGCTGGTCAGCGTGCATGAGAATTTCCACACCAACCTGCATCATTCCAAATAAGGGTTTTCTGATCGAATTATGCCAACGGTGTATTAGATATCAACCCTGGGATGTCGCTAACTTGACACGTACTACCTTATGATGAATTAAACATTTTAATGCTAGAGCGGATATGGTCTTACAGTGCTTTTTTGAATACTAGTCTTGATCAAGATTCCATCGTAATCGCATTTGAAATAGTACATTGAAGTTGTGCTGCATGTCATAGAAACGAAGATATCTTTTAGCTAAACAGGATATAAACAAACCCTAACACCAAATCATGCCTTTGTCTTTTTCCGCTTCTTCTCCTCGCCATCCTTGTGTGACTTTTTCGACTTCTTATGGCCCTGCTCTTCCTCCCCATTTTCTGTGTGCTTTCTTGACTTCTTCCGGCTGGGCAAACTAGTCGTCTGAGCAGCATCTCCATCGGTGTGGTGATGCTTCCGCTTGCGCTCCTTCTCTCCAGAAGGAACCTTGAACGAGGGCTCAGCCTCGGACTCTGAGTCCGAGCCCAGAGTCTCCGGCGGGGCAGGCAAGCTTCCGAGAGGCCGGAAACGCATCTTCAAGTGCTTCGGCTGGGGTCGAGCGGGCTTGACAGTATCCCGGAGTGCTTCCACCGCTGCCTTATCGGCTTCTGGTACACCCATCAATTCCTGGATGTGGTAAGTGGGGATGTTGTCGGCTTGTTTGCGGTATTTCTGGGTCTTCTGGTCAAAGGTAAGCAGAGACTTTCCCTGCTGAACTTCCTCGCGCAGCGATTCAGCCGGGATACCGTAGTTTGCGCCGTCGAAGGAGAGGATCGGCTGGCCCTTGGCGATCTTGGACATGGAAATCTCCTTGACCTTCGACAATGGGAGGAAAGATGGAGCTGTGATATGCATGACTTTCTTTCCGTTCAGGTTGGAGAGGATAGAGGAAGAGGTTGAGGATGGCGGGGCTTGCTGCTTTGCGGACTTGAAGCCAGGAGGAGCCTTGTAGGGCTTGGGGCCGATAGCAATGATCCTGGAGTATCAACTGTAAGCATTTGTGCAAATAACCCATATCATACTCAATTTCTTTCTTGAGAAAAAGAGGACTTACCTTTTAGCAGGAGTCTGCACCTCTGGAGCATCCTCGCTGGTGTCCATGTCACTGGAGCTTTCGTCGCTATCGGACTCCGAACCAGACGAACTTGAGGAGTCTTCAACTTCCTCTTTTGTCTTTGATGCGCCCTTCAAGGTTTGTTTCTGCTTGTTGTCCGGCTCGGGAGAGGAAGAGCGACTGGAGCTGCTGTCGCTCGAGGAGGAAGATGAGGCGGCCATGGCGACTATAGGCGTTCTTGCTCAGTTGTCGGCGATCTAGCTGGGTCTACCTCGCGAATTGGGATGGCCGAAGACGAGCTTGGAAATTTGTGGCTTAACCTTAAAAGGCAAATTCGCAGATCCAAGTTAATTGTGATGTATCGCAACCCGTATAGCCACTGCGACGTTGAAAGGACTTCAATTGGAGGTTTCGCGGATCTTTTTTTTCTGCTCCGCGGGCGCACGGACCACTCGCCAACTTTTTTCCTTATCAGCTAGGAACTGCATTATCGACCTTCCGTGAATCTCGAATTGACGCTGTCATGATGAAACGCAAGGCTGAGAAACAACAGGGCGCTGGTACGATTTACAATTATTTTGGTGGTTCTGATTTTCCGCTAATGGAGCTTCCTAGGCCCTGTCAGTGCCATCGCGGCTCGCAAAGCTCGGCAGCAAGCGCAAAATGTGACGGCATCGAAAGTTGAAGTAGTGGTTGAAGCGCCTGCAGAACCACCTTCAAAAAGGCCGCGACGATCTCTTGAGGCTGATCAATTGACCGAGATGAGTGGCACAGAGTCCAAGGGTCGCCAGACAAGATCAGCCAAAAACCAAGAAGTGCCAATCGCTTTAGACACAACCACAGGGCGGCCAAAGAAAGCAACCCAGGCCAATCCCTCAAAATCGGAGCCCGAGGTACTGGCAGCTCAGGAGGAACTTGAGAATGAAGATTCGGAGGAAGACATCGCTGGTGGCCCGGAAGAGATGGATGAGGATGAGGTCGCATCTGTCGCTGGTGACGCCGACGGCTACGAATCTCCGACAGAAACAACTGAATTGCAGAATTTCCCCTTGTCCAAGGCTAGGCTGAACAAGAACAGCATAGTCTATGCGGATGATAGTGTTCTGTGTATTCGCATCAAAGAAAAGACGGTAGGGTTGTTTGCTTCAACTTCAATCGAACAGCGCTAACCATTGTTTAGAATTTGGCTCTCATAGGTCAATACGATCTCTGGGTCAAGCGGGGAGTTGTCAGCCTTATGGGCGCGAAGTTGCATCCCTCTCCGCGGGTATATAGGGTCTATGCCCCCTCAACACACTCATTACCTATTATCAAGTGTGTCTCTGGTGTAGACGGCGAGGCAGAGGTGCAGATTAAATCCTGCAATAGTGGTCTCTCTCGTCTTCGGGACGTGTCTCCGCTGTATCAGAAGATCTGGAACGGACAGAATACCACTGCGGATAAAGCTACTCTGAAAGGTGCATCGAAAAATTCGCGGCGGTCTTTCTCAGTGGTATGTCAGCCACAATTGATTCTTCGAGCTCTTATTGGGATCTAAGTGCTAATTTTTTCTCTAGCTGTACACATCGGGAGAGGATCCCTTGAAACGCCATCTGCGGCCTCTTCATCTTGACAAAAAATGGAGCGCATCCATGAAAGCGCTGTCTCAGCGACAAGGGCGCCTTCGAGTCCTCGTGTGCGGTCCCAAGGCGTCTGGAAAGTCTACTTTCAGCAGATACCTGCTGAATCATGTTCTCAGCCCTGCTCCCGAAACGGAAAACGGGTTCACTAACACCGATGGTGTTGCGTTCCTTGACCTGGATCCAGGGCAGCCAGAATTCGCGCCTATGGGTCAGGTCTATCTCGCACACCTCCGGGCTCCATTCTTTGGCCCTCCATTCACCCACCCTTCACTCGACTCTCGCGATGGTCAAATATTACGAGCTCATCATATCGGGGCAACCTCCCCGAAAGAGGATTCTGACCACTATGCCCTGGCTACAATAGATCTTCTGGATCATTACCACTCATTGCTGGCACAATATCCCCAATGCCCTTTGATTGTTAACTACCCGGGCTGGATTTTCGGGCAGGGATTAGAGGTGGCCACATGGCTGGTCAAATGCCTCGGCCTCTCTGACGTTGTCTATATGAGCGAAAAGGGTCCCCAAGAGGTCGTGGAGCCTCTACGATTTGCTGCAAATGAGGCCCGGGTCCCGATGACCATTTTGCCATCCCAACCAACTGACTTTGTGAGCCGTTCGAGTGCTCAGTTACGCTCAATGCAAATTCAGTCCTACTTTCACTCATCTCATATTTCGGTTATCAGCAGCCCGATTTGGTCGGAAACGCCTTTGTCCCGCACGAGGCCAATGGCTGTGGATTACGCTGGATCGAAGCAGGGTATCTTGGGTATTATGGTCATGGGCTCCCAGATCAGCCCCGACATGCTCCGTGAGGTTTTGGAAGGGGCTGTTGTCGGATTAGTAGCGATCGAGTCCCCAAGTGCGATCATGGCTGCCCTGCCCACTGAATCGGCTAAAATGCCCGCCGACAACTCAGAGGACGAGAGTGATGACCATATGGACATGGACTCAGAAGAACATCAACTGAATAGCTCAGACTACTTGTCTCCCGCCGAAAGCATTGTCAGAACACCCGAGGGTCTGCCATATTTCTTCACTGGATCTGGGAGCTGCACCCCTCTGAACCCCAAGGCTTCCAACTGCCTTGGTCTTGCACTGATTCGTTCCGTGGATGTCAAATCACAAAAGATTGAGCTCTCCACTCCTGTTCCATCTTCTCGTATTCGCGAGGCCATTGAGCAAGATCACAGCCTCATGTTGGTCCGCGGCCAGCTGGATAGTCCTAATTGGGCTGTCAGCGAAGAATACTACGCTGCTCGGGCTGCGGAGCGACGCTATCAGCAGGTTGTTGTCCGTGCCAAAAAGGGTGGAGAGTCTGCTGCAGACACAACGCGACACAATAAAACACTTGCGCTACTTCGGGACAGGATTCGCCGCGCAAGCAATGTACCCTGGATGAAGGTTGTGGAAGATAATAGCCGGCATCAGCGGGAAGCTAATGCGCGACGTGAGAAATCTCTTTGGAAACTGAGAAAGAAGGCTTACCCAGGCAGTGACAGTGAGCCAGATTGGTAACCTCTAACTTTTCTCCGCATGTTATAGTATGCCATTACCTCAATCAAATAGACATACCCAATCGAAGCTCATTAATCGCGTTTTTGTATAGATCTAGGGCTGTAATCGATAAGGCTTCACCGCCTGCCCCTCATCATGTGGGCGGTGAACCCCCAATCAATCCGATTGACTCAATTTTTTCTTATCGGCTGCCCCTCTATAAAATTTGGAAATTCTTTTCCCCATTGCATTCTCCGGGGGAGCTTGTTCCTGCAGATTATTCACGATCTTGTTTAGCTCCAGGATCATCACCCATTAACATCATTTACCTCTGGTAATTGAACTTCTTCACAATGTCCTCCGAGTCTGCAGTGATCCCCCACAACGCCTTCGACACCATCCTGGTGCTCGACAATGGCTCTCAATAGTATGATTTCCTCCCATTGTACCAAAATTTATGCTTGGTTTGACTCATTCGGTCCCGATATTCTAATGCACATATTTTCTGCAGCACCCACCTTATCACCCGCCGTCTGCGTGAGATCAACGTCTACTGCGAGATGCTTCCTTGCACCCAGAAGCTGGCCGACCTTACTTGGAAGCCCAAGGGTGTCATCTTGTCTGGTGGTCCCTACTCCGTGTACGAGAAGGACGCTCCCCACATTGACCCCGCCTTCTTCGAACTTGGTGTCCCCATTCTGGGAATCTGCTACGGTCTTCAGGAGATCGCTCACCGTCTCCACGCCGACAACGTTGTCGCCGGTACCGCCCGTGAGTACGGTCACGCTGATCTGAAGGCCACTCGATTCGGTGGCCACGTCGACAAGCTCTTCGAGGGTCTCGAGGATGCCATGACCGTGTGGATGTCCCACGGTGACAAGCTCTGCAACCTTCCCGAGGGTTTCCACACCATCGGAACGACCCAGAACTCCGAGTACGCTGCTATTGCCCACAAGTCCGACCCTGTTTACGGCATCCAATTCCACCCTGAAGTTACCCGTAAGTTTGACTTCCGATGTCTTTTGCTCGATCATGATGCTGACTAGTCGGTCGACAGACACCCCCCAGGGTGGTCAGCTTCTGAAGAACTTCGCTGTTGGCATCTGTGGTGCCCAGCAGACATGGACTATGTCCGAGTTCATCGGTCAGGAGGTTAAGCGCATTCGCGAGCTCGTTGGCCCCAGCGGCCAGGTTATTGGTGCCGTCAGCGGTGGTGTTGACTCTACCGTCGCTGCTAAGCTGATGACCGAGGCCATTGGTGATCGTTTTCACGCTGTCCTTGTTGACAACGGTTGCATGCGTCTGAACGAGTGCGCTCTCGTCAAGGATGTGCTGCAGGAGCAGCTGGGTATTAACCTGACTGTCGTTGATGCCAGTGAGGAGTTCCTCGCTGGTCTCAAGGGTGAGAACGACCCCGAGAAGAAGCGCAAGTTCATTGGTGGTAAGTTCATCGATGTGTTCGAGGCTGAGGCCCGAAGAATCGAGGCCGAGAGCGCCGGTAAGGTCGAGTGGTTCTTGCAGGGTACCCTCTACCCCGATGTTATCGAGAGTATCTCCTTCAAGGGTCCCTCGCAGACTATCAAGACCCACCACAACGTCGGTGGTATTGCTGAGCGCCTGATGGCTGGCCACGGTCTCAAGCTCATTGAGCCCCTGCGTGAGCTGTTCAAGGACGAGGTCCGTGAGCTCGGTCGCCAAATGAACATCTCTGCTGAGCTTGTTGGCCGTCACCCCTTCCCTGGTCCCGGTCTCGCCATCCGTGTTCTTGGTGAGGTTACCAAGGAGAAGGTCGAGATGGCCCGTAAGGCCGATAACATTTTCATCTCTATGATCCGCGAGGCCGGTCTCTACGATGACATTGGCCAGGCCTACGCTGCCCTAGACCCCTCGCGGGCTGTCGGTGTTATGGGTGACAAGCGTGTCTACGCTAACATCATCCTCCTCCGCGCCATCTCCACCCGTGACTTCATGACCGCCACTCCCTACCCCTTCAGCTACGAGTTCCTGACCAAGGTCTCGACTCGCATTGTCAACGAGGTTGACGGTGTCTGCCGCGTCTGCTACGACTTTACCAGCAAGCCCCCGGGTACCATCGAGATGGAGTAAATATTGCCATAAAATGGTTCATTATTGTTTTTTCCAAGGTTAGCTTTTGGGTGGACGGGTTATAGGATATAATAGAAAAGCCTTCCCATGTCGATATCGGATTAGATTTATCGAGTTTATGATTCATGTGCATAGAAGAATTGAGTTCATTTTTCCCATCGTTTTACAAGACATCTAAAGCACCCAATACTTGATGATATAGCTTTCCTATTACCATTGAAACAAGCTCTGGTGACCTGGTGTTATACCATTAAATCAAATTCATGCTAGATGTACTAATATGAGACAAAAATGACCCTGAATTCCGGACAAAATAAAGAAGCAGGATCCATCAACGATTCTGGATGGGAAATGACCGAATTTATGGTATCGCCAACTTTAGAGTCAAGATTGATATCAGAGAATGAACTAAAGCTCAGTCCTTCCAGTTGAGAAATCTAAACCATCTCTTTCATCCTTTTCTCTCTGCCACGATTGAACCATAAGCGCCGCCACATTCCTACCCATCAAAGCACTCGTCTCCATTGTAGAGATAAAGCTCTCAATGCCACTGGTATACCAGACGCTGGGCGCCAGAAGAACCTCTTCAAAAGTCACACGGGGATACATTAGAGGGTATGGATACCACACCTTCTCATGATACCAGCTAACCTCGCTCTTTGGGAGATCACCAATAGTCGTGTTACCAGGACCAGCAGCATCCGAGGTAGAGGATTTAGAGTATTCTATCCCGAATAGTTCGGCAATGAATTCGGCGGTTGGTCGCTCGGGAGAGAAGATTTTATAGACGTAGTGATCCTCTGTTTGCTCCTTGCCATCTTCCACGATGATTCTAGGCACTTCTCGGAGCGTGCTAACACTCCAGAACCCAGCAGGCCCGACGCCCTTCGGGTTTGCGCCAAGGTCCAGTCCCTCAGGAAGGATAGTAAGAATTGTCTCTGGTGGTGAACTTTTGTCATCAAGACCGAAAAACTGAGATGAAATCCGGTGCGGCGAGGCAAGAAGCGTAACGTGAAGTTTAGCATAGGGGATGTCATCTGGTACACGCTCGAGAGGGGGAGAGATCGAGATATCGGAGTACTGTAGTGGTCCAGCGATGACGACTTCATCGAATTCAGATTCATCAGATTGTGTCGAGTCAAGACCAGTTGGCTTAGAGGTAATCCGCACAGTGCCTTCCTTGCTTCTAACAAGTTTGGTGACAGTTGTGTTCAATCGGACTTCGGTCTTAGCAGCTTTTAATACTCCATCAAAAATCCTCCAGTTCCCGCCGTGAACGGATACAGCACCATCCGTTGCCATGCAGACCATTGATTCCAGCCCGTGGATCAGTCCCAGATTCTGTCCATAGTTCACCCGCGTACTCGCTTGGATGATCTCTCGTGCAAATAACTCCGAGATGGAGTTTGCATTAAGAAATGCATCTCCGGGTGAAGCGGTCACGTTGACTAGATTGACGGCTGCTGCTGCCTCTGACAGCGATCGGAACGGAAACAGCGGTTCCTCGTAAAGTTTCAGGAACCTTCCAACAATTTCCTTCATGAGATTCTGGGTGCGTAACGGTGCCAGCCCGTATCTCCAAAATAGCTTGGCGATGTTCCACCAGCTCGAGGAGTTTTGCACTGTGAATACAAACTTGGAGCCATCCCAGATTCCTATAGAGTCATCTGTCTGACGTGGTCTGGCGTGGTCTGCGCCGAGGACGAAAAGGCCGAGGTCGTCTGATGCATTCATGAGGATTTGATTCACTTTTACGAATATTGAAGCGCCCAGCTCGATTGGATAGGCCGGGTCATCGAATGCATCGATTGTTGTCGATCGTCCGCCGATGTACGAGGCTCGTTCGAATACGGTGACATTGACAGGGATGTCTGAAGCGTCTGCGAGCTTCCGCAATTCAGATGCGGCAAATGAGCCTCCAGCTCCAGCTCCTGTATGGGATTAGTAGGTATTCAATGGGTTTTGGGTGGATTTTGGATGGGCTTTCGATTGGAGATCTATCTGGGCTATGGAGCCTACCGATGACAGCCACCCGCTTCGGGGCGGCATCTATGACGGTCTGCAGTGGCTTCTGAGCTGCGCTGCTGAGAGCAAAGAGCATATTCAGGGCAAATAGAGCCCAAAGACACCTCCAGGTCCCCATGATAGCCATGATGGACATGCTTGTAAGCTCCTTGATGGAATGAGGTCGGAGAGGAACCAATGACGGTGTCCAAGTGGGGCGATCGTATCGCTTATCGCAACTTTTTTTTTTTGAACAGCGGGGTTTTGCGACTTGACTCTTCCCAATTCACCATGGATCCCTACGACAGTGACTCCAGTGCCGACGAGGACTTTACCGATACCGGCGTCCTTCTCGGTTACGCCGATGATGAGGTTATCGAGGACACCGTCAGCCACCTAGGCGGTTGGCCGGTATGTGCATAGTTCCATACCAAAAGGACCACACTAATAGACGGAACAGAAATGGCTCGCAGACAATGTTCCCCCACCGGGTGAATTCGCCAACTGCAAGGTCTGCAACAGTCCCATGTTGCTACTCCTCGAGTTGCACGGTGACCTGCCCGACCATTTCCCCACCGACGAGCGCCGCCTGTATATCTTCGGTTGCCCTAGAAAGCCATGCAATCGCAAACCAGGCAGTATCCGCGCATACCGCGCAACTCGCAAGGTCAACCTGAACTCTTCGCCGAACCAGGACGAACAAGAAGGTACCAAGGAAATTGAGAAAGAGACCGCACCACCTCCACCCCCACCCCAGCCCCAGCAGCCTAGGGATCTAGGAGCCAGTCTATTCGGGGCAACCTCGTTGACGAGCAGCGTGTCTGCAAATGCCAACCCATTCTCCTCCAATTCGGGCTCCTCGGGGGGTTTTGTCAATCCCTTTGCGATGCCCAAACCCTCCACAGCCCCGGCACCGGCTCCTACCCCAACCCCAGCTCAATCTCAATCTCAATCTCAATCCGCGAATGCGCTCGCCGAATCCTTCGCTGACAAGGTCCGGATCTCGTCTCCAGAGCCATCAAGTAACCCCGCTCTCACCACCTTTAAACCCACGCCGGAATCATCAGGGGCTCTCGCACCCTGGCCCGAACAATCCGCCTTCCCGTCTCCCTACCAGAACTACTTCCTAGACGCCGAATATGAAACACTCTCACGGCCATCAACGCCCACCGTCCCAGATAACGTTCAAATGGAACCAATGGAAGAAGAAGGCGCCGGTGCCGATCTCAAAGATACGTTCGAGTCCGAGCTCGATAAGGCGTTCATGAAGTTCTCTACCCGCCTCTCTCATAACCCTGAACAGGTCCTGCGCTACGAGTACCGCGGTACCCCGCTGTTGTGCTCGTATGCGGACCCGGTGGGTAAGCTTTTACATCGTGAGCAGTCGGGTCATGTGACGACTGTTGGAGGAGGTCATATGCCGCGGTGTGAGTACTGTGGTGCGCAGCGTGTGTTTGAGGTGCAGCTTGTGCCGCACGCTATTAGTATTCTTGAGGATGGAAGACCTGGTGTTGGGCTTGGGGAGGGAGATGCCGGGATGGAGTGGGGAACTATTATTATGGGTGTTTGTTCGAAGGATTGTGCGCCCGAGGCGCTTTGGCAGACTGGTTGGAGGGAGGAGTGGGCTGGTGTGCAGTGGGAGGAGATGAAATAGATTATACCACTCGAGGTTGAGTCTCGAGACAGAAAATAGATTTCATGAGATTGATATAACAGGTTTACCAAGGTTGTTTCGTAGTGTTTACTGAATTTCCTCAAATATTCCAGGCTCCAAGGTACTATTTACGTATTGATCGGTATGTCTTAGATTTTGAGCCAGATGAATTGGCTCGGCATAGGTATGGTATGAACATCTCTCGCAACAACCCTTCATCCGCTCATTTCAAGCATAAAGCACATTCCAGTAGGGACAAAAGAAACGCCTGCGCCAGATCCCGACTCATCTTCCGAGCCTCCTCATGCGAAATCTATCACCGTCTCACGGAGGATTCATGAACTCATGTCTTTTTTACTTCTCAAACTCTTTGATGCAAGTTCGAGAAGCGAAGGTACGGAGGATGAAAAAGAAACAAAAGGAAATAAAAGTCGCAATGAACCGCTTATGCGGGTTGCTCGAAGCCACGGCGAATCACACGACCGAACATGTCGACGCCGACACGCTCGCTCTTGACCTCGCTGCGGGCCTCGTTCTCCTTGTTAGTAGGAACGGAGACAGCGGTGCCCTCGACCTTCCAGCCGCAGACGTCGGTGACGAACTTCTCAAGTGTCTCACGGTTGCGGAGATCGAGCCACTGCTCCAGGAGCTCGGTGTTGACGGAGCGGAAAGCCTTACCGACCTCGACGGCGATGCGGATGCGGACAAGCTCCTCGAAGCCGGCGACATCGGCGGTCAGATCGGCGTAGAGGTCATCGGAGTTAAGGGTGGACCAGAACTGGGTGTACTGAGCGGACTCGAGGAGAGTTGACAGGCGGGAGAGCTTCTGCACGGACTCGACGAAATCGGAGGTCTGGGAGGCAGCCTGGGCCTCTTGGGTGGTGGGGAAAGGCTGAGTGTGGGCAGGGAGCAAGGAGAGGCAGAGCGAGAAGGCGGGAGAGGGGAACACGGTCAGAGCCTTGACGAGAACGTTGGTGACGGTGTCGGGCTGGGTGAGGTGAGGGTTAAACTGGTAACTATTTGTTACGAAGTACGCGAGTTAGTGACTGGAGCAATCGACGTGTCTTGAAAGATCCGAGCTGAGGACTAGTGCTACCATGCAATGCTATTGCCAAGGTAGTTTCAGGAACTTGAAATTCTCAACAGCCCCATACGCGACAGGTTGTCAGGTAATAGGAAACGCGAATTGAAAAAGATTGTTCATCACATAAACACCAGAAGATATCAAGGACAGCGTCCCAAGGGTATTGATTCAGAGGCGACTCACAGCTTCAGCAAAGCCAAGTTGGCATAGCAGTCGAATGTTCGGTCCTCGCACTGCTGCACCACGTAGTCCTGAAAGACCGTGGTGGTCTCGGGGTTGTACCGATCGAGGCCATTGAGAATGGCATCGATGTGGGCCGGTCGGGTTTCACACTTGTCGAAGGCGACCATCTTGCTGGGTTGACGAGGGGGTTGACGAGGGCGGGTCTTTGTGAGGTTCTTTTTGGTGGGATTTTTGATTGTGGCCCTGGAAGCGGAAGAACCAGATTGGGGTGGTTTCTCCGTCCGAACTATATCCCGTTTCTAGCTTTCGTCTCTCCTTTCAAGGTTAACAATTATTGTCCTAAATAGACATATTATATGGATCTCAACCTCCTTTTTGTGATACATAGCCCAAATATACATGTTTCATATTGATACATCTTGGCACGTACTCGGTGAATTTCTTATACCCGGGGGTCTTTGAACAGGTCTTTGAACAATCATGTACCTTGTGTTTGATTGAATGGGAACTATTAGGACTACATCTCTAAAGATATACACTACAGCCTTGGAAGGACTGTGTTCAGGTCAAATGCCAGGTGGAATAAATAGCTTTAAGATAAATGACTAGTACAATTGATATTAAAAGTATCAGCCCGAAATCGGCTGTCGTTGTCGTGTTCAATAATACATAGAATACATGTCTCTTGATAGCCTCGTCGCATCGTCCAATTCCGGATCATCAGGCCAACCCCCGAACCCATATGCTAAGGGTCCTGGGCTAGGAAAACGAAAAGAAATCAAGAGAAAAGAAACGAAAAGAAAATCAGAAAACAGAAATGCCCAAAGGAATAAACTCCGATCCCTGTCTGTGAGACGCCATAGTCTATGTCCCGTACCCATCATACAAAAAAGCACGAGTATGCAGAGAAAAATCAGATCGCGAAAAAAAAAAAAAAAAAAAAAAAAAAAGTTCAAATCGCTAGGAACCAGCAAAAGCAGCGCAGAAGAGAAACGGAATAAATTGTGCCTGGAAAGAAAACATGCAGGCGGGGTATCTCAAAGGAGTAGATGTCGGTGAAAAGAAAGAGAATCACTAGGCCACGACGGACCTGCGAGGGTTAATGGGAATAGGCTTTGGGCCTGCAATGTCGAGCTTGGACATGTCGATGTCGTTGCCATCGTATTTGGTAGCAGTGGAATTGCGCTTCGAGCGGGCGGCAGCGGAGACGAGGACAGGCTGCGTGGCGCCAGTGCTTTCCTCATCTCCCATTGTACTGCAGACGTAGCGTTCATCAGAAATAGGCACACCACCAAACATCGACCCGAGTTGTTGAAGGAGCGCAACAAAGTGAGCGTGAATCTCGGTAAAAATGTATTCATTACCCACGATTTCGGCTAAATTGCGCGCACGGATCTGACCAAGCCGGCGTGGCTGTCCGGCCGGGTCAGTAGCTCGACCGGTTAGGAAAGAGGACACAGGCGTGAAATGACGACCACCGGGGTTCCCACCGGGGTTAGCTTGTTCTTCGCGCTTCTTCTCGTCTTCCTGGAAACGTTCCGCTGCGCTCACAATTCCCGTTGCGATACGACCGAATGCCCGCCAGATGACGGGGCATGCTCGGAAGGCCCTTCCGGCATCCTTTCCGGCGAGAGCCACTAGAGCATAGCTACGTCGTTTGCCCCGGGCCATCGGGTCGGGCAGACGGAAAATGTAGGCAATCGTGTAGCCAGCGACGGAGTCGCCGAAGCAAATTGGTCCGGAGGAGAGACCGCGGGGTAGGAGTTCGCAGCTCAGTGTGCGGATGGAGGACCGGCGCAAAAGCGCGTAATCTGTGGGGTTCGGTGGGCCCCGGAGCGAGAGGTAGGTAAGGATATGTGAATGGCAGGAGGAGTCGGAGGCGACTGAGGAGGAGTGAAGAGAATCGGGTGGAGAGGCATGAGCGTGAGGATCGGGGGTGTGATCGTCGGCATCAGAGTGGTTGTTGCCGCATGAGTAGACGACTTCCCGGGACCGCAGGACTGGACTGCCATTGTTGGACTTGCCGTCGCGACTGGGTGACGGGAGCTGTTTGCTCACTCCTTCAGGAAGAGACAAGCTACAGCTGGCGCACGTGTCGCCGTCGACGCCACCAGCGCGGGTATTTCGTTCTTCGGGCGAGGCGGGCTGTGGGCGCATGAAATATGGGTGATCTTCAATCTTTTCGACCTTTGCGCCATTGAAATCGGCCGTCGAGGTGCCGGGAGATTTAGGGCGAGGAGAGTTGGACGGGCTGTTTTCCGGGGAATGTTCCGCATCCGGATGGCATTGTGAACAGGCAACTGGGGTGACCTGGGAGCAGATGATTGAGGTCGGACCATGCACTTCGCAGAAGTGCGTCAGAGAAAGCTGGATCGAGATATTAGACATGGCGACAGTATATGAGGAGAGGAAACTCACGATAAAATCCATGGCGGATCTGGTAGGCGGATCAGCAGAACCAGTTCAGGCCATCATAGCGGCAGGCTGGTATGCGCCGGGGAAATATCCACAAACCAGGTTCCCGGGAGAGAGATAGAGATATGTGAAGTGACAAAAGGCGAAACGCGAATGATATAGGAATGGGGGGGGGGGGGGATCTTTTGCCACGGACCAAAGTTACATTTGGATTTCCGCGTCGGCTTCGGTCGAAGGCCGAGTGGAGCCCAAACCAGACTCGTGAAAACCTCCCTTTCTGAGACGATGGAAGGCCGATGGAAGAAAAGAACAACTCCACTTTTGACTCCACTGAGGCTTTTCGATTCCAGTGCTCCGTGGTTACTTGAGGAAATCCTCTTTCCTCCGGATCTAGGGCTCTTTATGTATGTACTTCGCTCTTTGTCCAAGCCTTCTACGTAGTCTTCACTTTTATACTGATATCTCACATTCCGTCTCCTTACTGGTTCCCCCTTCCCCGGCTTCCGTGTTCCCCGTGAGATTGTAATACGGCACCCTCGTTGATCCGTAGGATTTCGATTTCAGCATTGGCTCGGTGGCTCATGGATTAGTTGATGGATAATATATTAACATGTGAATCGTCGGCCCGACTGCAGATGAATTGACGACCCAACGAGTTCCCGTGTTTCGAGAGCACGGAGAATGGTGGCTGCAAACAGGGGCAGTTAGGGATCATAGACCGCCAGATTACTGATCTATCACCTGGACTAGTCCGACAAAGGCCGATCATTTGGTTTTTTCTTTTCTTATTTCTTTTTTTCGGGTTTGTTCTTCCTTTTTTCTTCTGGCTGTGGTCCCGGGGGCTGGGAGGGAGATTGTTTTACAGGTGCAAGGTGCAATCGACTCCGTAAACTATCATTACGCATTCATGATGGATCATTTATCATGTATCGCATTTATTCAGAAATCTACAAACTCACAGTAGGCGGATTCCCAATCCTCCGATTTGCTACCGTATACTGATGTGTCCCCGGAAACTTTACCCTCCACCCTGAAATTAATCTTAGTCCCGAGGATTTCCCTTGCGGCCCCTTCGGTTCAAGGATGATCTGTTGATCGTTGCTGCATTGGGATCCGGCCTTCCAGAACATTTTCCATCTCAGCCGAGATAGCGGAGGACACTGGTCCCGAACTTTAGGGCGATTAGCAACGACAGGGATCTAAACCTTGACTTGCTTCTTCTCGAATGAAGATCCTCGTATTCCTTCCTAAAGGACGCTCTTGGGGGCCATTAACCGCGTTGTCATCTTTCTCAAAACGTCATCACTCTCTGCGACGTTGCCCGCATTCTTCCCCGATCGGCGACTCTAGGGCTCGGAGTGTATTTCACCTGAATCATGATTGCTCAAGCCCTGTATCCGCACCGCTGGGACCGCGAAACAAGTAGCCGGAACGGCGGACAGGGATGTAAACCAGTCTGCGTCCCTAGTCTTGCGTCTAGAATGTCGAAACCCCCTCACTAAACTTGGTCAAGTAGGCAGGCTAAGTCGCAAAGGTACATGAAGGACCCTCGGTGGCGGTAGGGATTACATACACCGGCGTATACGACTGCAGGCCGGATTCCTTCCCCTCACCCCATTTCTCTGAAGGATCCAATGGCGGCTAAGGCAAGTGGGGAAGAGTAAGACGGATGGAACATCGCTCTTCCGAGTACAGTCGAGGCGTGCCGCATCTCCGACAATCTTAGTCATTTATTGTCTGTCAGATCATTGGTTGATCGAGTGGGGATCCAGGTGAAGAACTCGGATTCATTGGTAGGTTCACGAGGCGTCATAAGGAATCAGAGAATCAACCAATGGGGGCCATAGTCTAATGGTAAGGCGTCAGATTCCAGTTAGGAAATTCCTGAAGGTTGGGAGTTCGATTCTCTCTGGCCTCAACTTTTTGTTTTTGTAGACACTATGTAGTGGCTCTAGTTGATGCAGGTACTATATTAGCAGGTACTATATCAGATGCCAAGTCTGAATCCTGTCAGTTTAACTCTACACATACGGTAACTAAGTAATGTAAGTCAACGGTTTTACTTCCTTGTCAGCGTATTAAGTTCGCTCCATAATTTACTGTGGGGAACTCCGAGAGTAGTTGAAACAGGTACGGAGTACATGTTCGGTACATGTGGATGTATGGGAACGCTAGAACCAGCCAAGTCAAGGAATATATTATATCATCAAAATATCAAGTAAGTTAAGCTAATGACTAGTTATATAGTCACCAATCACTTCCACGTAAGTTCTAGGAAACACATTGACTGGTGGAATAACTTTAGACATTCAAAAACACAGCAATTAGGATAAACTCCGCAATGCCGGCATATTCCTCCTAGAAAGCCGTCCCGTCCTCTCCGAAATCGCAAGCCTCTTTCCACAAAAATCAAAACAATGTAGAATGAGGGATTTAACTCCAAAACAAAGGTCTGTAGAAGCCATGGATCCGGTGACTGCCTAGCGTCCCGATTGTCGCCCAATCGAACCCGCTAGCCTGTGGAGCCATGGAGCCCGGCTCCAGTATTGTGGTTTGCCAGAGTTTTCCCTTACCCGCCTACCCACAGTAACGCGTTCGAGGTTTCTTTTTTATTTCTTTCAATTTATTTTTCGCTCGCGTTGTTCGAATCTTGATTGGTTCCGCAGGACGAATTGGCACACGACAGCTTAACGGGCTGAGGGGCAGCTGGGTCGAGCCATGCCGATATTAATAATACATATGGAGACGATGGAGACCGGGGCTACCGATTGCCAATTGTGAACTGCTCTTCGACTTGCCGTTTTCCTTTCCTGTGACGGGATTCCACTTTGCTAATTCCTGTACTGCCGAGGTCGTTGGGCGATTGGCGTTTTCGGTGAAGTGTCGGGATTTAGATGAAGCCATGTAACTTTCTCGGGAGCCCGGAAGTATACATGTTGTGCAGAAGCACGACGTGATGATCTTAGATCAGATGCACCCCACGTGGTCTCGTTGATGTTTCACTGTTCTACCTATCACATGCCATAGAGACTCGCATCACCTTCCAAAGCAAAGCCATTGGCCCTTTACCTACAAGATGCAGCAAAACATCAAGTCCGCTGATCCAAAGTCAGTTCGAATTTAAATTTTCGCGATCGGGGGTCTGCGATTATCGGCGGTGGGGTTGCGGATCGGAGAAACCCTAACAGGCAACTCTTTTACTTGACCTACTGCTCTAGGCACACCGGGTGGGTTGCGTGGAGTCCTTGTCAGACCTCTCGAGGGGCCATACAGATCTGATTTGATTATTGCTCGTGTGAGTTTCCCTGGAACGCGGTCATTGCTTGACATCCAAAAGAACCATGGAAATGTAAAATGAGGATGGGAGCTGGATTATTTCTCCAGATATTCATTGGTTAGGTAGCCCCTCTCAAGGTGATCAGACAGAATACGCTTGTCGGATTGGTGGCGAGTCCTGGGTACTCTCATAGGCAATATGTTTGTTGATCATGTTCTTCCATCCTGTGTTTTGAAGCCTCAGCTGAAGGCGTAATTGCAGCGGGGCTCTGCATGCACACCGGTCGAATCCCGAGACCACTCATTCTAAAACGGGGAATGTCTCAACCCGTAGGTCTCAGGGAAAGTAGTCGAAATGCTAGGCAAGGCCGCGAGAGAGAATACGTAGACTTATTTCATTACAACGGAACCACTCTGTTAACTCCATAGTTCCCTAGCTCCGGTCATCTTTGGGCATGTGCAGACCCATCATCGACAGGAGATTCCCTGCAGGGCCCGCGGTACCGGCCTGTCCTTGGAGACTCTCCAGGATATTCTTGGCGAGATTGATATTGACGTTCTCATCGTCATCATCCACGGCTCCCTCGGCATCTTTTCCTTTAGAAGTATCATCTCCAGATGACAGTTTCTGCTGCTTTCCGTTTAGGTCCAAGACACCGGTTCGTTTCAGCTCGGCCTCCATCTGCCGGGAGAGTTCCTGAATCTGTTCCAACTCATCATCTTGCTCGTCATCTTCGGCTTCGAGCTCTTTGATTCGGTTGCGTAATGGTGTTGAGAGGTCCGGGCCTTCACCCGACGCGGATGGCATGCCCATCATCTCTTTCATCATTCGGGCAAATTCTTCTTCATTAAACGAAGCTTCTTTGTCCTCTCCATCACTGCTGAGTTCATCGTCGTCATCGAGATCGACGTCAGAATCGGTCTCAAAGTCATCGAATTCGGCTCCATCAAAACCGGCCGAGGTGTCATTCAAGAATTCGTCAAAGCGAGCCACGATTCGTTGTAGGTTCTCTTGTGCTCCTGCATCACCAAAATTCCCGCCCTCGTCTTTGCCCTTGCCCTTACTCTTGCCTTTCAACTCTCGATCCAGGTCCTCGAAGTTGATGTCCAGCCACTTTTCATCGTCTTCTTTCTTGTCCCATGTCTTTTCGATGTCTTCGTTTGTTGGGAGCTCTTCATCGCCGGTCTCCACATCCTCCAAAAGGAGCTTCATCTCTCTAACAGCAGCCTTATCTTGATGGTGAGGATCGTAGAGTAACATTTCAAACCCGCACGCCAGCTTCATTCCTGTTTCAGCCCGGGCATATGCTTTCTCCTCGTCTATTGGTGGCAATTTACCCGCCCATGTGCTTGGAATGGGAAATTCTTGGCTTTTGACCTGAGCATACCCCACGCGCGTGAAACGAACGCTTACTGTAACCATATCATCCGGCTTGAAGGTAAGGGCGGATGCATCCTTGGCACGAAGGGGGCGCAAGGCAATTGGATCCCGGACGTAAAATGCCTCCACGGCTGGTGATATATATCCTGGCTTCTGGTGGAGGAGAAATGCGACCTTGCGGGGAATGGTCACGATTGCTGAATGAAGGTTCTCGGATATTTGTTTGGGGTAATTGCGTAACCTATAGAAGGCTTCTTCTTGTATCATGGTCGACTTCATGAAGCGATCCGGTTCTCCTTGGATGATCTTTCGGGCTTGCACGAGCGAGAGTTTTTCGGTGACTTTCTTCCCGGGGGTTTGCTTGGGCTTGATGATTTTGAGTTCTCCTTGGTTAATCCAGACCTGTGAGATAGAGGGTGCGAATTAGATTTCAGTATCTTTCAAAAATGTGCCATTTGAGCTTACCCTGTTGTCCGCGACTTCGGGTTCTAGCCAGGCGGGAAGTGTGCCCGCAGCTTCGATGAGCAGGAACTCGCCATCGCCATCCACAACCTTAACCCAGATATCCTTGTGTCGTTTGGTCAATTCGCGCAAAAGATAGACCACAACCCATTCATCTTCGATCGAGTCTCCATAGTTGGTGCGGCCGCTAAGATAGGTAAGCCCTGCAATGGGTATCAGTAAAAATAAGGAGTTGATTTTAAGGAGATCATGTACCGTCTTCCTTGACCGTTTCCAATCGAAAGCCTTCTCGTTGCCAGATGTAGTCTTTAAGTAGATTTTTGGTCAATTCAGCGGCGGTGCGCTGTACCTCAAGCAATCGGGCCCTAGTCCCGGCGGCATCGATAACGGCGGGGGCGGGGGAAGGCAAATGATAAACGAAGTACTCGACAGAGTCATCCGGAAGCTCTGGCTTAGGAATAGGACGAAAAGTGGATTGAAACCACGCGATATCCTCCTCAGTAGCCATGATCTTGAAGAACTAATGCGACCATGACCTCATGGAATTCCAGAAAAAAAAGCGGCGAAAGTCGATGATCCACCGCGAGTGACGCTAGGCCCAATGCGGCTAGACATCAACAGTCTCCGACTCGCAACATGAACACAACACGTTCCTGCGTGCTTTGCCAACTATTGAGCTTTCTGTGAAGGTGGTGGTTGCGTGTTTAATCGCTACTGACACGTCCCATTACTTTGTTCCGCCATAATGGCGTTTCCTTATATCGACACGCCGCGCACTGAAATCGACGGGAACGCGACTTATCTCACCAACGGCTTTCGCAGCGTCGGAAGAACACACCTATCGGCTCTAGACTCAGTGGAAAACTCCTTTCATACTCCCTCGAAGGACAACGATGTGCTCAAGGGATTTAGCAATGGGAGAAGACGCGTCTCCGATAGCAACAAACTCGGCACCCCGCGCGCCAACAATTCCAAGTCAGCAAGAAGCGCGTTAAGACACCTTCCTGCAGCAGGAGCGGCCAAGGGCGAGTTCACACCATTGATGAAAAGCGCGACGAAGAACAATTACCTCAAGAATATCTCCACCACTCGAGGGGCGGACGGTCCGAAGACTCCGGGTTACATGCGAGAAACCAGTCGCTTGGCCCATACTCCTGGGCTGCCACCCATTGATATGTCTGATATATACGAGGAGGATATGACCGCCGATGAACCGACACCGCTTCCTCAAGCCGCCAGCAGCAGTGTGCAGAGTACTCCACTTCCGGGGCTGGGCCGTGGCGGTGGAGGTGTCCTGGGTGATGGGCAAAATATGACTCTGAAAGAACAAGAGAGAGTGTGTCATCCTACCCAGCTTAAAATAGGAGTATGCGCTGACTTTTGCAGATTATCGACAGGCTTGACAAAGACAACTGGAACCTCAAACTGAAGATCCACTACCTCGAAGAGCAACTGGAAAAGGCCGGACCGGAATACAACAGCACCGCACTCAAGGAGAACACCGAACTCAAAGTTCTAAAGTTGACGATGCAGCGCGATATCTCTCGGTACAAAAAGAGCCTACTACAAGCCGAACACAATTTGGAAGACTACCGCCAACAGCTTGCAGAGATGAGAGAGAAAGCCCGACGGGGACAGACTGACGAAGAGGTACAACATGAAATGGATCTGATGCGCGAGGAGGTCGATATTCGGGATAAGGAGATCAGAGAATTAAGGGAAGAGTTGAGATTGGTCAAGGACGGGCAATCCCAAGAGGTCGATAAACTCCGAGACGACGTTGAGGATTTGGAGGCAGCGGTCCGAGAAAAGGATCGAATCATCGACGAGCGCGACGAGCAGTTGGAGGAGCTGAGAGAGAATCCCAATGAGAACAACGCAGCCACGGAACTTCAAGTCGAGCTTGATCGGGCCAAAGAGCATCTCCAGGAACTCCAAGACAGTCTCGAGAAGGCAAAATTAGACGTGGATGAAGCGGCCTACACAGCAAGGCAGGCTGTGGAGGAGAAGAATCGCGCTGAAGATGATCTTCGAGAATTGCAGGACGAGATGTCAAACAAGTCATTTACAACAAAGGGACTTAGTCGACAGCTTGAAGAAAGAGCCGAACAGCTTGAGGTGGATATGCATGATCTGCAGCGAGAAAACGAAAGCCTTAGGACTGAACTTGAAAGCAAAACTCAGTTAGTAGCTCAGCTGGAGGAGCGCTACCATAATATCCAGCAAGACCTGAAGAGCAATGCCGGGAAGCTCGGCGAGGACCTGGAATTGGCCAGGCGCGAACGAGACTCGGCAGTCAGGGATCGTGAACAGACAGCTATGCGTCTACAAGAAGCCCTCGATGACGCCCAACGCCGGACAGAAGAGAAGGAACTCTTGCAGACTCGACACCAAGCCTTGACGGATGAGTCAGGAGGTCTTCAAGGCGAACTGAATCGAGCGCAATCCAGGATTCGCGAACTTCAGCAAGCAGTCGAGGAGGCCACCAACCGCGCACAAGATAATCAGAACCTGCGCTGGCAACACAAGGTGGAGATAGACCGGTTTCGGGATGAGATTGAAGCTCTTCGGAATGAAATCGAGGACAAAGAAGGCAACTTTGCGCTCGAGCAAGACCGTTGGGACAGCACCAAGCGCACATTGCAATCTCAAAGGGAGCGGGCTGAAGAGCAAGCAGCAGGCTACAAGCGGACGCTCGAGAGACTCCAGGCAGCGGAACACAGCCTTTCAGGGAAAGAGCACAAGTTTCAGGACGCTATCGAGAGTGAGAAGCAGCGCCATACCCAGGAAGAAGCCGTGCTCAGCCGCCAAATCAAAGAACTCGGTGACGACCTGGCACAGAAGAGACAAATCATCGATGAACAACGTAACGACCTTCTTACTGTGCGGGAGGAGCTTCGTATCTCCAAGCGCGAGGAGCAATCACTCAAGGAAAAGATTCAGGCATTGGAAGACGAAGTGATTGTCTTACAATCTAGCCTAGCAGATGAGCAACAGTATGCCAAGGGCCGATCTCAAGCAGGCTCGGCTGATCTGGAATTTCAACTGCAGAAAGCTCGTGATCAGCTTGCCCAAGCTCATGTTGAATTGCATGAGTTACGGACTGCTTTAGTTGAGATGGAGACTGAGCGAAACGAACTCCAGGTCCAAATTGAACGTGCTCACAATGGCGATGAAACAACCCGGTTTGACCGTGAGAAGCTTGAGCTTCGGAAGACTACCACTCGTCTAGAGAACGAATTGAAACGACTTCGAGGTGACAAGTCGGCCCTGTTGGAGGCAAAGGAAACCCTTGAAAATCAACTTGGCAGCGAGATTGAAAGTGCTACAGTAGAGCAAGGTCGCCTTTCAGCTGAAATCGATCATCTTCGGGACAAGCTGCTTGCTGGCTCTGGAAACCGGGACAGAGAATTGACATCCGCCAAGACAAAGGTGCAACGATTTGAACGACGAATCCAGGAGCTGGAGACGCTTCTCGCACAACAGCCACTACCTGATCACGAACAGTCCACCACACATGGTGAGCTGTCTGTTCTTCGTCATAACCTGGATGAGGCTCGTAAGCGCGAGAAGGTTCTTCTACAGCGAGACGCAGAACACAAAGCATCTGCGCGCGCCTTGAAATCACGAAACTCAGACTTGGAAAGAGACCTTCACGACGCCCTCATGAACAAATTCGACTCTGGTTCTGCGCAGAACTCGCCCTCTAACAAGCTCAATGAAGAGTTGCGTGGTCTACGCAAGCAGCTTGCGGAAGCACACCGGTCTCTCAAGGAGGTCAAATCTAAGAACCGCGATCTGGAACGTGCCGCCATGAAAGAGGAGGACCAAAGGGACCTCCATGAGCTGCTTAAATCGTCGACTATTGAGGCAGAGGCTTTGGCCCTAAAGGTTTCCGAACGAGACTCGCGTTTGAATGAGCTGAAGGGCTTAGTCCGCCGCATCCGTGAAGAGCGCGCCTTCTGTGTTCGCAAAGCTGAAACAGCCTTGAAAGATCTGGAAACCTTACAGCAACTTTACAACGAAGCTATGGAAAATGCCTCTCAAGGGAAATCAACCAGCAAGACCCGACATGAAAAGGAGATGCGTGGTCTAGGCAAGGAGATCATCTGGCTTCGTGCCCGTCTAAAGCGTGAGGAGAAGTTCCGCCGTGATCTAGCTTGGAGTAAGGGTCTAATGGAACTTGGTGAACGGGTTCGCGTAGCATGGTTCGTTAACCCCCCCAGCCCCCTTCACATGTAATGGGCCTTTGACTAATATAACTGAAATACAGCAACGAAGCCGATCTCCGCATGATATCCGAAATGGGCGTCCACGCTCGTGATCGCGCCTCTGTGCACTCCCCGCGCGGCAAGTTTCGTTCTGCCATCTCCCTAGTTATCGCAACCGTTCGTATGAAAAAGATGGGTCAGGAGTGGAGGCGGACTAAAAAGCTAGGCGAGGGCTTGAAGCGGGCTAAGAGTGAGATGCTCAAGCGTCGTGAGAGTTCTAGCAAGAGCTTGTTAGGCCAGTAGATTCTTTTGTCTTGGCTTTGTTTCTTTCATTTGTTTTCCAGCGTCAACCCTGCTACGAGAGATTCCCCGACATGTCATGTTACCAATTTTTGTTTTTCGTCTGGTTTCGGTGCTTTTTGAGTTCTTGAGGCGCTTGTTCTGATCTGAAACATGGATGCTGTTATTATATTGGCATCGAGCATGGTCTTTCTGGCGTGGATGTCCTTAATGTGTATCGTCAATAGAAATTGAGCCCTAAAGGCACTCGTCCATGCACTAAGGAAATCAGGAAAAAGAGCAAATAGGGCGTCTTGTGTAGATAGCGTTCTTTATTTCGATCAGATTGGCTGCTTGGGTTAGCATAATTGATTTACTTGAGAAGCTTAATAGCGTGGCTGGATGGATGATAAGCACTACAGCAAATATCGGACCGTGTTAGAATCGAGGTACTGTAGTATTTGTATGGATCACGGCTTCTTTTGCGAGCCCCCTGGACAGAAGATCCTTCAAAATAAAAACACATGGATATTTGCTCAATGAACGCCTCGCCATTGCCCAAAGTACTAGACGGAAATGGAAACAAAAACGAAAATAGAAGACAGCGCTGTCCTTTAATGAACACCATTCTCTTCAAAGCAAGCTCCTCCAGCGTCACAGAAACCCGAATGTACGAGACAGCCAGAATGCGAAGGAATTCAGAATGGCCTATCCAAAATTGACCTCAAAGGCTCGAAGCCACAGATGGATAAAGCGAAGCACTTCAAGACGATGTACAAGTCGACTAATCGATCATGCACCCTCGCTGCCGAACTCTTTCGTCCATTCTGAGTTGCGTGTAAGATCTTCATTACTGACTGTAGGACGAGAGTTCCGAACTGCTTTAATAAAGTCCTTCAGGATGAGTGGCGGCTCCAGGAGTTGCTCTGCTTCGATGTTTAGCCAAGTCATCTCCGCCGCACCGGCGTCACCTGGTGAACAGGGAGTAAGTTTTTCAGCTCCGTCGACGATGACCTAAGGAATAAGTTAGTAATACGCCTAATCAAGACTATAGGGCAAGTTGACTAGCCTTTTTATAATGTGTCGCTGTTTGAATCTTACGAATTGGCTGCATCAGGGCATCCTGCACAGCAATGCTGATATCACTACCGGAGTAGCCTTCGCTCATCTCAGCCAATGATCGATAGTCAGCCTGTGTCAATTGACACGGCGTGGAGCCCACGGCCAGCATGAACATCTTCATCCGTGCATTGAGGTCGGGCAAGCTGATGTGGACTCTGCGTTGGAAACGTCGCCGAATGGCGGCATCCAGCTGCCAGGGGATGTTGGTTGCACCCAAGATCAGAACACCCTTTGAATCCTTACCGACACCATCCATCTGCACGAGGAGCTCGGTCTTGATACGTCGGGACGCCTCAGATTCACCTTCGCCACGCGGTCCACACAGTGCGTCGACCTCGTCAATGAAGATAATTGCGGGTTTGTTTTCACGGGCCATATTGAAGAGTTGCTTGACAAGTCTGGGATCGGTCAGCCTGGTATTCTGCAGGGAGTTGCGTGCGGGTGAGATGGATGCCTACCTTTCACTCTCTCCCATCCACTTTGACACCAAGTCACTACTGCTGACACTGAAGAATGTGCTGTTCGCTTCCGTTGCGACAGCCTTGGCCAGATATGATTTACCAGTACCCGGAGGACCGTAAAGCAAAATTCCCTTCCACGGTTGTCGCTTGCCGGTGAATAGGTGTGGGAACTTGATAGGAAGAATGACCGCCTCCTTCAAGGCCTCCTTCGCGTTTTCCAGACCAGCAACATCCTCCCACTTGACGTTCGGCTTGTCCGACAGGATAGCACCTTGCAGAGCAGATCGAAGCTTCTTCGCATCCGCATCTTCACCATTGTCGTCATCTTCTTTCCTGTTCCATTAAGATTCGTCAGCCTTCAACCTCACGAAGCTTCATAGCTGATGTCCGCAGGATGGCCATCCACAGGGCAACAATAGGTAATAGCGCAACACAGGATTGGACCAGAGGCAGAACTTACCCTTTCCCACTTCCCTGCGCAACCTTCCCGTTCGCGCCCACTGCGCTTGGTTTCTGTTTACCCTCGCCCGAAGCCAAATGATTCTTTAGCTTCTCTGCGCGGTCCATATACTCGCCTGTCTTGGCACGAATCATCTCCTTGGATCGCGGGTTTTTCTCCCATTTCAAGGCCAGCATGAACAACTCCAATGCAGCGTAGTAGAGCTGATAGGCTTGCTCGTACTCGCCTTCATTGTCATTCTCGATCGCCTTCTTGACTGTGTCAATCGCCCGTCCCAGGAAATCCGTGTTACTCATTCTGACAAATGCTCTGCCCTGGCTTGTTGGTCACGTTTTCGGGGGTGTACCAAGTGAACCGCGGAGCGATAAAGCGGGGAGACCGAGAGGGGAAAGAAAGGGTGTTCGTTTTAGGCAGCGGCTTTAAAGACGAGAGTAGAGAACTGAAGAGGAGGCGAGAAGCCAGATGTCAGAGGAACAGAATCAATGGAGGAGTGCGGGGAGAAATGAACAGGTTCGACGTGGGTGGTCGGAGTTGGAGTTGGAGGGGGAAGGGAGGTTGTTGACGGGCGGGCAGACGTTGATCGGTTTTCCCTTCTCCCACCTCCCCGCCAACCTTCGTCATGGACGCCCAGAAAAAGCTCCAGGCTCTCTCGGACGAGTTCCAGCAGATGCAGACCGGTAATTCGAATCTGAGATTCTATTATGCTTCCAGATGGTGATAGCTAATTGTTATATCGCTTTAGAGCTCGAAGGTCTTGTCGATGCCCGCCAGAAGCTCGAGTCGCAACAGCAAGAGAACCAAGGCGTACAGAGCGAATTCGCCCAGCTAGACGATGATTCGAATATTTTCAAGATGGTCGGACCGGTATTGCTGAAGCAGGAGAAGACCGAAGCTGTTATGGCCGTCAATGGTCGTCTGGAGTTCATTGAGAAGGAGATGTTAGTGTGCCTCCGAGCTTGCTTAGAAACGACACTGACTCATGCCATACAGTAAGCGAATCGAGCAAGAAATTGAGGCGAAGCAGGATGCGGCCGAGCAGAAGCGCACTGAGGTAAATGAGAGGAATTTCTCCCGGTTCTTTAGTGATCACATACTGACGCTCTACGGCTAGATCGTGCAATTCCAATCCCAAGTCCAACAGCAGCAGGCTGCTGCAGCTTCCGCATAAGATAGATCGGCTATGAATTATTCGACAAAGAAGGATGTATGCGTTCGCTCAGTGGCGGCAACGGACAATCACCGGCTGGGTTTGGAATCATTTCACTCGCTTCAAGCCTGATCTGCAGTCTGTTCCGTCCAAAGCTGTCTAGGATCAAGATGTGCCCCTTTCAAGGCTGTTTGCCTTGTACAAGCACCTGAGGAAAAGGTCCGCCCACGTGTACCCTCGATGATGTATGAACTCGGCGAGACGTTGCCAGAAAAGAATTATACCCAATGAAATTTTGAAACTAGAAAGCAAAAGGACAAGCCTATAAAAGACGGACCTATGATGTTGTATGCTCTGTCAGGCCTAGAGCCTAGCATCTCTCCTATTTCCAGATTCACAACGCCTCACAAATTATACCTACTTGAAACCACTTGAGACTACCACAAGTGCTACTAAGTAGCAGGACATGTATACCTAAACAAATTAATTCTGAGCTTTAACCTGAATCCGCTGTACAGCTTTTCCCACTCTTAGTCCGCGAGCAACCCCGAGGACATGGATAGGTCGGATCGTACTGCCACAGAAAGTAAGGATCCGTCTCGTTAGTAAGAACACCAGCAATCAGCCGCGATGAATACGGAAGGTCAAAAGAGGCCTCAAAGACATCTACAGACGCAATACGGATCAGTTCCCACCCTTTCTCAATGAGCGTTGTAATCGATGTTCCATAGATATATTCGCGAAACCCTGCCCACCGAATCGCAGATGCACACTACAATCAGAGTCAGCAACAAACCATCTTTCAAGAGAAAGTACCCTTTGGGTACCCCGGCATACCATGGGACAACTCTCGGCATTCGTATATAGAGACAAATCGGTAAATGCCGCCGCCGCCTCGGTAGCAGTAAGACGATATTTGCCACGAGGATCAGTGAGAATACCCGTACAATTGGTAATTGCCGCGATCTCTCCTATACTCGTGGACATGAGCGCTAGACATATTTCAAATGGTGGGAATCGAATCTGACCATGCAATGAGGGGTTTCCTGTCTTCGAATTCTCATTGACGCCCATGCAGATAAGCTCGCCCACAGTGGACTCTGTATGATTCACTACCACGGTTCCAAAGGCTGCAAAGGGGCAGGGTGAGCCGCTCAAACCTCCTAATGCCTGGTTTGCGAGACGCATCCAGTGAATTCGGGTTTCGAATGATACTCCATTGATCATTAGACTCGGATGAGCAAGTGGCATTTGTGTTGCGAGTGTTGAAGGCAGAGACGCGAGTAGGGTGAGAACCTGATATAATCGCATGTTGATACCCGCGGAGGTGACAGAACCTCCAAATTGAGAGCCTTCCTTATTGGTCTAGGCGTGGCGTCGAGGTCAAGATTGAGTGTGGCCGGAACGTCGATATATTTATGCACGATAGGTGTTTGTCGTCAATCTGCAATCAAGCTCGGCCGCAGCCAGCCGAGCAACCGGGTGTAACATTGAGCTCTTTTATTAAAGGTAAAGAAAAACAAAGTCCTGCAGGGTGAAGGAATGACCAGGTGAAGTATGAATTGAAAATAGCTATCTGGAGCTGTACATAAATCCCTGGACCCATGGTCTTTGGCACGGACCCGAGCCCCGGCCTCTTAACGGCCTCGAACTTTCACCTACATGAATATTCATGTGTCAACTACTTGGGTATACACTACATATTACAAGTATAGAGGTACTAGCAAGTACCTGGAAGGTAGTCCAACCATGAAGGCTGTATTGATTTCGAGAGTAGCTGAATGACGTGATGTACTGCAGCAAAAAAAGCCCACACGCCAGATGTTGAACTTTTGGTCCCCTGTAAATCAGGTCTCCTCGCAGTTGAAGAAGCGAGGAGGAAATGTAGTGGTTCGTTTCACATGCTCAAGAAGAAAAAAAGAAAAGTAGAAAAAACAAGTAGAAATTACCCAGATGTCCCTCAGGTTGAAAAAGCAGACCTATATATAAACCCCATAAAACGCACCGTGTGGTATTTCGATCTCCATCGCTTTCATAGTTGATGTTGAACTCGCGAGATCGTCAGAGATTCATATCTCTCTTCGTAACTTTCATATCTTATAAAAATTCACCTCTCCTCTATTGGCCTTGTTGGAGGGCCAATTTAAACGGGAAGGGGGAAAGTGCTGGCCCAGGCAGCAATCTCCTTGCGGAGCTCCAGGATCTCAGGGACGGTGTCGGAGGCAACCTTGGCCTTGAAATCCTTGAGCTTGTTGGCCTCCTTGGGGAGGTCACCCTGGATCTTCTTGCAGAGGGTGATGGTGGTGTCAATGTAGCGGGCAATGCGCTTGAAGTCCTCCTCACCCATACCACGGGTGGACATGGCGGGGGCACCGATACGGATACCGCAGGGGGTCAGGGCAGACTTGTCACCGGGGATGGAGTTCTTGTTGCAGGCAATGTTGATCTGCTCAAGGACAGCCTCAACACGGGCACCATCCAGGCTCTTGGCGCGCAGGTCCAGGAGGACCATGTGGGAGTCAGTGCCGTCGGAGACGAGCTTGTGGCCGAGGGTCTTGAACTCCTCCTCGAGGGCCTTGGCGTTCTTGATGACCTGGGTCTGGTATTGCTTGAATTCGGGAGTGTCAACCTGCTTCAGGGCAACGGCCAGGGCAGTGATGGTGTGGTTGTGGGGACCACCCTGGTGACCGGGGAAGACGGAGAAGTTGATGGGGTTCTCGAGGTCGTACATGACATCCTTGCCGGTCTTGTCGGTGCTGCGGACACCACGACGGAAGAAGATCATGGCACCACGGGGACCACGCAGAGACTTGTGGGTGGTGGTGGTGACAACATCGGCGTACTCGAAGGGAGAGGGGATGACACCGGCAGCAATCAGACCGGAAATGTGGGCCATATCAACAATGAGGTAGGCACCAACCTTGTCAGCGATCTGGCGCATGCGCTTGTAGTCGATCAGACGGCAGTAGGCGGAAGTACCGGCAACCAGGCACTTGGGGCGGTACATTTCGGCGTTCTTCTCCAGGGTGTCGTAGTCAATGATACCGGTCTCCAAGTCGACACGGTAGGGGAAAGTCTCGAAGTAGGTGGAGACAGCAGAGATCCTAGCCGATATATATTAGGAAGCCGCCTCTCGGATGACAAGGTCAATCAGAACTCACTTCTTAGCAGGGGTCTGGTAACCGTGGGACAAGTGACCACCGTGGGGGAGGTCAAGACCCATCAGGCGGTCGTGGGGGCGCATCAGAGCCTGGTAAACCTGAAGGTTGGCGGGGGAGCCAGACAGACACTGGACGTTGACACCCCACTTGGCGGGGTCGAGGTTGAAAGCCTTGAGAGCACGGTTCTGGCAAGTGATCTCAATGGCATCGATGTGCTGGTTACCACCGTAGTAACGGGCACCGGGGTAACCCTCAGAGTACTTGTTGGACATGGGGGTACCCAGGGCCTCGAAGACAGCGTGGGAGGTGAAGTTCTCGGAGGCGATCAGAACGACCGACTCACGCTGACGCTGGATCTCACGCTCCTATTGACAATGCCTGTTAGCTATAGTTCTGGAAAAATTCCATGGAAGAGAGAGTTCTTTATTAGAACAACCCATCCCTGAATCAATCAAGACGTACCATGATGGCGGCGATCTCAGGATCGCTCTCCTTGAGACCATCGTGCATTTGCTATAAAGTCATGAGTCACCGATCTCACTAGATCTCAATTCGATGCCTGGGGAGGCACTTACAGCCCGGTGGGCATCAGACAAAGCGTAGGTGGACATTGTGAAGTGTGAAAGGGGGGGAGAATGAGGGAAGAAAGGAGGATGAAGGAGGGAAGGGAAGAGGAAAGGTAAAAAAGCAAGAAAAAAAAGGTGGTGGGGTAGAGGGGAGGGATCGACAGGCCTCAGGCAGGAATCGACGACGATATCGGAGAGTTTCGCCGGATCGGGTTGGACACTTCAGACTTTATTGTGAGAAAGTCCGAGTTCTGGTAAGACTTAATGGTAATCGAATCATCTATCTCAATGGGATAAAGATGCCCCGGTGGGATTTCTACAATGTTCGTGCTTACGCCGATTTTTGCTTTCCCCGCAGTGACCGGGCCAAGGCCAATTTTGCTGTTAAAAAAATATGATCTAAGAATGAAAACACATCACAATTAAACAAAACATTGGGTATCTCTTCCATAAACACCAGAAAATGAAACGAAAATAAAATAAAAAACTAATACGCTGCGGTCAGCTCTGCTGCAAGTCCAGCTGTCCTCCGTAGCTGCCGGTCTCCAGATGCAATGACTCATAAAAAAGAGAATTTGAGACCTTGGGAGCCACCAATTTAATTCTGTGTCTGGGCTGCGCGGCTTCCAAAGTCTGCGATGACAGATCGGAGACGGGCCACACGGTCCTCAAGCTCTGCAATCTCTCTCTGCTGTTCATCCACAGATCGCTGGACGTCTGGAAGTCCCTCTACCACTGCCCGTGCTTTTTGAATCCGAATCTTCACGGAGCTGGTTTGAGTGGGAAGATCTTTCACATCAAGCGGTGGATGGACATTCGGATCGAGGGTTGGAACTTCTTGGGCAGCCTGAGAAGTACCATTGTTGCCATTGGAAGGTGCTTGTTGGTTTTGTTGATGTGCTTCAGAAGCTCCTAGGCCGCCTGGGGCTTCTCCAGGGACACCGCCGCTCCCACTGGAGGGACCCTTCTGAGATAACAAGCGAAGCAAAATACCATGAAGTGGTGGAATGATCTCAAAGGTCTGTGGCGATGGGAAAGGCACGGTTTGGGGAGCTTCGGTCGCGTCTTTGGAAGGACTCTCGGGCGCGACGGAGGACTTCGGCAGCGGAGTAGCTGCTGTCGGGGATCTAGAAGCCATTGTGGACAGGAATCCTGCAAATCCAGGGCAAGATCGGAAGCCGGATAAGAGGGAATCGGCGCGAAGAAAACCAGTCCAAGCTTGAGCCGAGACTGGGGTAAGTGTTTAGGGAAGAGTCGGAACGGCACGGTGACGTCGCGGGAGAACCAAAAGCGTCACCGGGAACTGCCCCTCCTTCACCGGCCTACCACTTTTCGTCTCCTCTGAGCCCCCCAGATTCTCTCCCCTTTTTTCATCATTTGGAAAGGTAAGCAGCCTCCGACCGTGAAATGCAAGGTGGTTGTATATTGGGTTCAGCAATTGACATAGGTTTTTATAGTTGATTACGGGATATTTCAACTTCACCCCCACCATGGCTGACCAGAAAGTCGCTTTGAGTATGATCAGCCCTGCCACCCAGGTCCCCAAAATGATCTTAGGCTAATGTGACCCTTGCAGTTGTCATTGATGGCTGGGGTATCTCTAACCCCCATGCGCCTCCCCAGGGTGATGCCATCGCCGCCGCCGAGACACCGTTCATGTCCGGCTTCGCCGAGGCCAACTCCAAGACTGCCCAGGGTTTCACCGAACTCGAAGCTTCCTCGCTCGCAGTCGGTCTCCCTGAGGGCCTCATGGGCAACAGTGAAGTCGGTCATTTGAACATCGGTGCCGGCCGTGTTGTCTGGCAGGATAGCGTTCGCATTGACCAGACCCTGAAGAAGGGCGAGTTGAACAAGGTGGACAGCATTGTCAAGGCTTTCACTCGTGCCAAGGAGGGCAACGGTCGTTTGCACCTGTGTGGTCTGGTTTCGGACGGTGGTGTCCACTCCAACATCACTCACCTGTTCGCCCTTCTTGACGTCGCCAAGGAATTCCAGATCCCTCAGGTCTACATTCACTTCTTCGGTGATGGCCGTGATACCGACCCCAAGAGTGCTGTCATCTACATGGAGCAGCTTCTGGCCAAGACCAAGGAGATTGGTCTCGGTGAGATTGCCACCGTCGTTGGCCGTTACTACATTATGGACCGTGACAAGCGCTGGGAGCGTGTCGAGGTCGGCCTCAAGGGTCTGGTTACCGGCGAGGGTGAGGACAGCGAGGATCCTCTCCAGACCATTAAGGAGCGCTACGAGAAGAAGGAGAATGATGAGTTCCTGAAGCCTATCATTGTAGGCGGCAAGGAGCGCCGCATCCAAGGTTTGTCCCCTCAAGAAAAAGGGGATCCAAGTATATCTTCCACTAACACCATGGTCTAGATGACGACACCGTCTTCTTCTTCAACTACCGCTCGGATCGTGTCCGTGAGATTACCCAGCTGCTGGGCGACTACGACCGCTCCCCGCGTCCCGATTTCCCTTACCCCAAGAACATCTCCCTCACCACCATGACCCAGTACAAGACCGATTACACATTCCCCGTTGCCTTCCCTCCTCAGCACATGGGCAATGTCCTGTCCGAGTGGCTGGGCAAGAAGAACCTCTCGCAGTGCCACATTGCCGAGACTGAGAAGTACGCGCACGTTACTTTCTTCTTCAACGGCGGTGTTGAGAAGCAGTTCCCCGGTGAGGTTCGCGACATGATCCCCTCGCCCCGAGTGGCCACCTACGACCTTGACCCCAAGATGAGCGCCGCCGCTGTCGGTACCAAGATGTCTGAGCGCATTGGCGAGGGCAAATTTGATCTCGTTATGAACAACTTCGCCCCGCCTGATATGGTCGGCCACACTGGTGTGTACGAGGCTGCCATCCAGGGTGTTGCTGCCACCGACAAGGCCATTGGTGAGATCTACGAGGCGTGCAAGAAGAACAACTACGTTCTCTTCATTACCGCTGATCACGGGTAAGTGTGCATGTCATGAAGCGAGTGTGTTCCAGGCTGACCGTTCATCTACAGTAATGCCGAGGAGATGCTCAACGAGAAGCTTACTCCTAAGACCTCCCACACCCTCAACAAGGTTCCCTTTGTCATGGCCAACGCCCCGGCTGGCTGGAGTCTCTCCAAGGAGGGTGGTGTCCTCGGTGATGTTGCGCCCACCGTGCTTGCCGCTATGGGCGTTGAGCAACCCGCCGAGATGACGGGCAAGAACTTGCTAGTCAAGGCATAGATTAGAATTTCCCTCAAATAAGCATCTAGTTATGAAAATGAATCAATGAATAGATAATGGAATGTTGATACATACGTCACGGTGTTGCCTGTTTATGTGCCTTTGCTAGTATTCATTCCTTGACCAAAACTAATTCCTAGTCTATACTATATTTGACGCTCAAGGGGAGAACCTCCGATATAGTGTTTAGTGTTCTTGGAGGTTTGTATTCCCTACTATACACATATAAAGTTGCAGGCACACTCGGGTTCCAAGGGTCGTAATGGAAGTTATAGATTAGCTTTCCTCGCTCGTAATTCCTCTCGAGTCACGTAAGAACTCACGTGTTAACCTTATCGGAAACTCCCAACTTTGGGTCAACATCTGTCATCAACCCCGATTTTCGTTCTTCCGTATTCTTGATTCTGCGTCCGCTGTTGTTGCTGTTCTCAGACCCTCCTGGCCCCGCCCCCGACTTTGTTCTAGGCTTTACGCTCCACCGATAAGAAAGCCCCTCTCTCTTATCGCCTCGTCGGTCCCCTGCGGAGGTCACTGTGCAGATACCATTCCAGGGATCTGAGCCAGTACAACAGTACAGGATTCGGCCATCACGCCCAGAAGGAGATAATTCAACAGCAAGGAAAAGCCTACCGCATGCCGAGATGGCCAACACCGCCCAGTGTTACTATTGCTTCGAAAGCCTATCCTCCTCTTTTGAGGACCACAGTCTCATCGACCTCGCAACCGTAGAAGCCCTCTGGGAACAGCACGAACAAACCAAGAAACTCTCAAGTCTCGGATCTGCACAAGTGGACTCGGAGGAAGAAGACAATGAAGAACCAGGTCCGCCACTGTCTGTAAATGACGAGTCCCAGAGTAACCAGCCTAAGGGTTTGAAACCACCCGCCGTCAGCCGCCTACAGAGCCAGGCATCTTCATCCACTACCTCCAGCGCCTCCAACACCTCGTCCAACTCTCTCTTGTCTAACTCTACTGCTGCTACGACCCCAAGCACACAGTCTGCTCTGGGATCGCGCAAGTCTGAGAAGTACCCGTTATTCGTAACGTGGAACACCATATCGCGCAGTGGAAGCAAATCCTTGCGTGGATGCATAGGCACGTTTGAAGCGCAGAATCTTGAGGCGGGGTTGAAGTCCTATGCTAGAACTTCGTATGTCGTCCCAATTTCAATTTCAATCAAGGAAAATGAAACTTACTTGGTATAGGGCTTTCGATGACACTCGCTTCTCTCCTATAACTAAATCCCTCCTTCCTGCTTTATCTTGCTCACTGACCCTCCTGGGCTCCTTTGAGCCCTGCACCAACCCCATGGATTGGAATCTAGGTACACACGGGCTCCGAATCTCGTTCATCCATCGCGGGAGACGCTATGGCGCCACCTATCTGCCTGATGTCGCCGTTGAACAAGGCTGGTCGAAAGAAGAGACTGTCGAGAGTCTGATGCGCAAAGCTGGTTGGGATGGCGGTGCCGGTGGTATGGCTCGACGATTGCTAAGGGTTGGAAGTGGGGAATCTGGCTCGACGAAGCCCTGGGATCAGGTGTCTGATTTTAAAACTACCAGATACCAGGGCCTCAAGGCGAGTGCATCGTATGAAGAGTGGCAGGAGTGGAGAAATTGGGTGCTCTCTTTAGACGATGGCCGTGATCTTTTGGGCTTAGCTTGATCGTGCCTTGCCATTGAGTTGCTCACTAGAAGCAACTTGTTTACATGGCGGCTTATGAAATGTTACGACTTTTTACAATCGGAGATCAGGATCTATGACGTGGATTTAACATGTAAGGCGTGTAACAGCTCTGGATGATGTAGTTGTATACACATACAGATTCGACGAAACCATGGGTGTGTTATTCTGTTCATCAATCATTGCATTTAGATCAGATATGCCCGAATAACTAACGCTGATATAGGCCCGAAAGCAGGAATATAGACATGGAATCGAGCATCCGAGCGGGGAAAAATCGACCCACGTTCAGATATCCAAGATGCTGTTCGTGAGACACGAAACCGCTCACTTCCCATGCACGTTCCGATTCCATAATCCAGCCATGGTCTCCTTGAGTCTCCGTTCCTGTTCTCGAATCTGCACCTCCGATTGCCCACGTGCATTGCCCCGACTATCAATCTGCATCGGACTGCCTTCATCATTCTGCGCAGGAGTAGAGTGGCTTTCATCAAAGATCTCCGCGCCATTCACACGCTCAGGCCTCGGATCAATGCTCATAACCCCATCCATCATGAACCCACCACCCTCGCGCAGCTTGTTAATAGCGCGCACGGTGTCGATTGCCCGATGCAGCGTGCGGCGCGCATTGAAATTTTTCTTCACAGTCGGCAACAAGTCCTCGCCGGAGCCGGTCCGCGACTCATCGTATGGCGGGTTGATCCAAACGTGCTGCAGGGCTTCATGTGCTGTCATGCGCTTTTTGGGGTCGATGGTCAGACAGCGGTTGATGAAGTTGCGGGCTTCTTGGGAAACGCCACGCCAATATTCCAGTGGAGTGAAGGCGTAGTCTGCCGCTAGGATAGCTTGCATTTCTTCTAAGTTGGAGTCTCTGTCGAAGGGCGTGTATCCGCATAGAAGGAAGTAGGTAATTACACCGATGGCCCAAATATCGCTATAGAGCTTGGTTAGGGAAGGGTGACACTATGTTGATCGGGTCGCAACTTACACTGGCTTTCCATGTCCACTCTTCTTGAAAATCTCGGGTGCCATGTATCCTGGTGTTCCACATGTGGTTGTCAACACGTGGAACTGCTCCTCGTCCATAATCCTTGACAAGCCGAAGTCGGCAAGAAGGAGATCGGCATTATCTTCTGGGGTACGGAATAGCAGATTCTCAGGCTTAAGGTCTCGGTGTACAATTCCATGGTCATGCAAGTATGCCACGGCCGACAGGACGGCGCGGATTAGGCTTGCGGCATCGGTCTCGTAGTAGCTGCCTTTCCGGCAGATGCGGTCGAAGAGCTCTCCACCCAGTGCAAGATCAGTAACCAAGTACACTAGACATATGCATAGTCAGCGTATAGCTCTATATCAAATCAGGCAGCCATATTTATGTCGACCGTCTGGGAGGTTGTAACGCACAATTGTTCATGGTTTCAAAGTAGTCCACTAGCGTGAGGATGTTCTGGTGGCCCATGGATACTCTTTTCAGCACAGCAATTTCATTTCGGACCTATTACCAGTACATTGTAAGCACGATTGCCCAGTACCCAAGCATCGCGATCTCGCGCCTTGGATATGGGCTGTCCTACCATGTGTTCGCGCCCGGCCATCAGGCGCTTATTGATCACCTTCGCAGCATAATAGCGACCGGTATCGATATGGACACATTCTTTAACAACAGAGTATGAGCCAGCGCCAAGTGTTTTGCCGGTCTTATAGCGACATGGCTGAACCTGGGGTTTCGGGGGTTGTGCCATTGGAAAGGAGGGAAGGTCTTATGCGGAGGACAGTGCCAGCAGGTGGGATCGATACAGTGGACCAGGTGTTCGTGATAATCAAAGGGCGAAGATGAAGGGACCTCCAGCTGTGGTCATGAGAGTCAGCTTCATGCGCAACGTGCTACTCCGAGTGTTGACCGCAGGCGCGCGGTTCAGCCCCGCCAACCGAGACACTCACCGGGTTTCCTTATTTCTGACCCCGCGGCGGTCGCAGACGATAGGTGATGTTGGTATCAAGGAAAAATCAATATCGCGGTAGTCTAATGATAGAGTGGGAGACTTGGTAGATTTAGAAGAGAAAGGAGGTGGAAGGAAAGTTCAAATCAAAGGGTTGTGAATGGGCCGGAGAAAGATCGACGTGATCGCCAACGGCTTCTACTATTTACACTGAACACCGATGCCATGCAGAAGAACCCCAGACTCCGGAATATGAATCCTCGACAGAAAAACAGATCATCAGAGCCAAACAAAAAGACATGAAAAAAAAATTAATAAACATCTCTACACTTGAGACAGCACATCGTCGACTACATTCTCAAGCAGCTGAAGATGATGGAACTTGGCTGCACTTTGCAGCACTTCCAACTTCCTTTTCGTCTCTTTGAGATCGACCGTTGGGGCCCAGGTACCACTGCAGGAGCAGTGTTCCATGAATTCACTGATCTTGAGATTTTGGCATTTGGAGCATTTGAGATCCTGGGTTTGCCATTCCACCACAAGACCCTGCACTTGGCCAATGAGAATTTCCTCTTGTGCAAGCCGGTCGTACTCCGTCTGACAGAACGGGCAGCGCCAAGGCTTGGGGGTTTTGTTGTCGGTACCTGGGTCGGGGAGCACGTCCTCGTCGCGACACAGATCCAGGTCACGGATGAGACAGCAGGCGTTACAGGTCAATTCCGTCAGTTTCAGGTTGGTGCTGGGGTTCTCGAATCGACCTTCGTTGCTGAATTCGCGCACTTCAAATAGTGCTAGCAATTCGCGGCGCAATAGACGTGACTCGAGCGTGGTGATCTTTGACAGGCTCAGAACCTGCATGAGCAGCTTCACGAGCTCTAGTGATGGGTTGCGCTTATCATGGGCTGGATCGACAAGAACACCCGGGAGAACGGGGAAGGCATAGTCTGATGCTAACTCGGGATGTAGCATCTCGTCCCGCTGGCGGCGGATCAGACCTGAGATCTGCTTCTTGAGAGGCTTGGAGAAGCGTTCCGCGAGGATAGCCGTGATCTCTTCACTCTCCTTCTCGCTGGGTTGACCGATGGGGATTTGTGTCATTCGAGGTGTAGAGGCTACGTTGCCATCTTGGAGTTCGGGGCGCTTGAAGGAATGCATCAGCTCGATGTACTCAACAACCCAGTCGTGGAAGATAGTTTGCATGGGCGTCGGCAGGAATCGATTGAGTTGCCAATGCATGACAGTCTCGAGATCTTGATTTTCAGCTTCCACCACTTCACGACAACCTTTGCCGCCGTAATTGTACTCGTCGTACCACAGAAGATAGTCCCAGTACTCTCTGATCTCAAGATCAATGAAATGGAATGAAGGATTCGCTCGGATCGATTTCAAAACGTATTGGCTGTATGCGTAGGCATTGCCCACCTCGGTCTTGGTGGTCTGAAGTAAAAGTCGTGTAGAGCTGGCAAAGACAACGTTGGAGCCAACTCGTCGGAACTCGGCCATAAGCCTCTGGAATGACTTGCGTGAGAGCATCCGAACATAGTTGTGCAGAGATCGATCATAGAGGCATGAGACTGGACTCTCTACCCATCGGATCAAGTGTTGGACCATGATGTCTGCCATGCTATTCCCAGCACAGGCCTCTGTCCACCAGTGTTTAACCATGTCTCGCAGAACATGCGCACCTGCAGATGCAAAGGCTTTCTCGGAATATAGCACACCGGTATCCTCTCCATTCCCGGAAGCCAAAAGGGTATCGCCCCCATCCATCTCGCTAACAATAGAGGATGTGAGAATTGTGTTGATGGCGAGATTGCGAACGTCTAGTTCAATGCAAACTGTCCCATAGGCATTCGGTACATTCACAGACGGCATATTGACGACCTCCAGTGGACCTGTTACGTCGTCTTTTTCATACCCAGCGTGATCTGGCCGCGGAGCCGTTGACCACCACAGAACAACATTGTTTTGCTGAAGTCGTCTGGCGTACGAGATATCAATGAGGTACCGAGGGTCATCGGTCTCCAAATTGCAGAGAGGAACATCTCCGTATCGGGCCAGCAGAGTCAGGTGCTGTACCCAAGCAGAGAGGTACAGATAATGGGTCACAAGGCGCCTGGCGATAAATGATTGCCAGCCAAGGGGTGGCAGATCCATATCTGAAACTTCAGGCTTCACAGATAGAGTTGGGTATTCTTTCAAGATGGGAATATCGTGGCACAACCGGTCCTTTTGCTGGGACTGGATGACCAGAACGGTCGGCTGGCTCTCGTCGTTTCGAAGCTTTCTTACCAAATCACCAACCTCCAAATGAGCCTTTCTCCGTGTCATCACCTGGGTGGTTTTGAAATGGATCTTGTCCTGATATTGGAAAGCGTTCTGCGCTTCATCGCTGGATGCATCTTGTAATTTTCGTGAAAGCAGTTCGGAGTAAATCTTGTCGACGTTCGGCAGGCCCTGAACATCCCTTGTCCGGTTGAGAATGACAATATGTGCCTCAATTTTCGCTGTTGAGAATAGAGCAAAGACCTGTCTATCTCCGGAAGCAACGTGGTAAAGATAGTGGTATGCCAGAGGTGAGTCCATGAGATAAGGACGGTCTGAGGTAGTATGAAGCAATGTCGCAAGGTCAAAACCTTTCTCTAGACCCTCGCCCAAGACACCACGCTGTTCTTCATCGAAAGTACAATGGCTACCGAGTTTCAGGACCGCTCGGATACTCGGCGAAATATTTCGCTCGTATACACCTTCGATACTGGAATGTTGGAACAGGGCGTCCATCTTATCTGCCTCCTCGAGGAATGTGTCTTCTGACAAAGACACTTTGAAGAGGTGAACCGAAGGGTGGCCATTAGGCAATGTATGATTAACCTTCTCGACCTCACAGTCGGGTACTTCAATGTCGGGTAAAGAATCTCGCTTCAAGTTCACAAAGAACTGTCGCGGAACCTTGACGTTGAGTGCATGAACCTTCTGATCAATCAGCACAAAAGCCCGCACAACTCCTGGACGCCCTGTTTCGCACAGCTGCAAAACCTGCCAGGTACTGATGTAAAGCATTTGTGCTTGATTGCGGAAGAAGCCACCCAGTGAATCCGAAGCAGCGTTCGATCGGTCGCCAAACAATTGGCGCCGACGAATTCGAGCCTGCTTCTGGATCTGCCATTTCTGCTTTTGATATCGAATGAAGCCCTGGTAATTGTCCGTAATAGATGGCATGGTCGCAGGAAGGCTGGCGAAGGGATCTAGTGATGTTTTGGGAAGCCCCTCTGGATGTTTTCTCTTCTGAGACACCTTGGACTCAGCCGATTGGACCTTCTGGGTTGAATTACCCAGTACTTCGTCCAAATCACCGACATGTTGGACACGATGTTCCAGAATATTCGCTGAAATCGATGAAAGAGGTGCTTTTTCTGATTTCGTGAACAAATCAGTCATCTTCTTCTGCTTGAACTTGTCATCTTTCTGATTGATACGTCGCTGTAACCATTCGGGATGAGCAATCCGAGGCACAGGGTTTCGAATCTTCTGCAGAGCAGCGGGAATTGTGATGAGCTTCTGCACAACTGATCCCAGACGCTCGAGATAGTAGTCCCAATCGATGACATTGCGAGGATCCATGTCACCGGGGTCTTCTTTGAGCCATTTTCGCAAGAAGTATCGCTTGACGTTCTCTTCGGCAGAGAAGATGGCCACAGGAACGGCTCTTTCGGTGACAGGAGTGTTTCTTGGTCTCGAGGAGATAATGTACTTGCAGTTCAAGCCTTTATCTTTGACCATTTGCTCGCCCAGGAACTCTGCCAGGCGCTTTGCCGTGGTGATAGGTGAGGACTTCTGGTTTCCATATTCTTCTAATGTCTTTGACATGCTGCGGTTCTCCGAAATAAGGTCAATGAGTTCCTCGTCAGCTAATGTGGCTCCATGCTCGTAAAGAACATCCAACCATCGATCAGCAACTCGGGCGACAGCAGCATATGTCTCAGCAAGGTTTGTGCCTTCCAAGAAGAACTTGAAGATTTGCGTCTGGAAAATCTTGATCAACTTCAGCTCTCCTCTTCGCTTCACTTCGAAACCCTTCAGCTCAGCCAAGGAGCCATCGTGATTAAACACAGCGTATCGCTTCTTCAAATTTTTGTCCTCCTCCTTTGATGTTGGCAGAATCATGGCTCGGTATGGTCCATCAACTTCGAAGAAAATGGAGTTCTCGCTGTATGTCTCATACTTGAAGGTTGATGGGTCGGTCAAAGACTGGTATTGATGGTTGGTATACTTTCCGTGGACAAGATGATTGAGCATGACACAAGGGTACGAGATTCCTAGCTTCTTTCCATTCTTGAGAGTGAAAGAGAAGTTTTCAGGGAATGTTCCCGGAAGCATACACCAAATTCCATCGGTATCAAGTTCCAGGGGTCGCCCAATACGTTCAACAAGCTCTCGCGCCATCTGAATGATATGGGCACCCGTGAGACAGGTCACACCGGCCATCTCCAAGGAATACCAACGAGATCCCTTCCGCATGACATAGCCGTAGAAACTGTTCAGAATGACCTTGTGGGCAAGTTGAAGAGAATCAAACAGGACAATCATCTTCTTAGCCTCATCAATCTCGGCAGCGGACGCACCCGATGACTGCAATGCCTCTGTTTTGTTTTTCCAGACCTTCTGCTTCCCCTTAAAATCATATCGTCGATCACGGAAGCTTCGGACAGTATCAACGTAAAATGGGTTTTCCCTCTGACAGATGATTGCCTCCCGGACCATGGTTTTACTGTCGTGGATCTTGTGGTAGATCTTCTTGCTGTAATCTTGTAGTCGCTTTCTGATCACATCAGCCTGCTCCTCGACGCTGAGTTCACTAAACGCCCTTGTGGGAGCATTTTTGGACCGCCCAGGGAAACGCTCATTTGCAGTGGCCCGTCGGATCATGTTGTATTCATCGCGCTTAGCAGGCAAAAACTCACCACGCCAGGCCCACGGCATTCGCCTGTCGCAAGTCTTGCCAGGCCGGTTGAAATCGCACGCGGCACAATTTGACTCTTCAATCATTGAGTCGGGCTGCAATCGATTGGTAATCATGATGTTGGGATACATAGAAGCAACATCCAAGTGATAGATGAAAGGTACCTCGTTACGGCTTGGGTTGTTCTTCAGGTCGACCAAACGTTCCAAGATCTGGGCCTTAACTTCATCGTAGTTGGTGACATCATCCATAGACTTTTTTTCTTCAACCTCAATACTGAACTTGAGAGCGTGATCAAGATCGCGGATGAGTTCGTCGATAGCAGTTGGGTCAACAGTGAACGTGACAGGGATGTCACTTCGGAACACACCAGCTTCAATACTTTCGACGTGACCACCCACGTAGGTTTCGGAGTCCAGGAGGTGACCATCGTAAAATGCCTCTGCAGCGTTTTTGTGTTTGTTGGGAAGAATAATATCACCCTGATACGCTTGAACCATGAGAAGCATCTCGCACAGGGTCCCCGTTCCCTTTCGCAAGGTGTCGTCTGGGTTGAGCGGAATGACAGTACATAAGGAGAAGATGAAAGGATGCACATATTTCATGTATAGATAGTATGTCGCAACGGCATCGGAAACAGAGTACTCAGCGAGTGTTTGAGGCCGTTCACTTGCGTACGGAGTCATCAATTCGGGGTCAAGCTCATCGGGATCATACCCAAGCTTTGCGACCGTTACAGCTTTTAAACCACGACTTCCCTGGGGAAGGTAACTGTCACGATTCACCCATGCAAAACAGTCCATATGCACACAGTAATCGGCTTGATAGACGTCTTCGCTATTCTTTCTGAAGCCAATTTCCGTGTACATGTCGATTCCCTGGACACTCGCTCTTGTCTCAACGAACGGCCAATCGAAAAAGTCACCGTTGTACGTGGCAATAACAGTTGGTTTGGCAAGCTTGATGTGCTCAAAGAACCGCTCTAGAACGGCTCGTTCGTTCGGTTCGTTGAAAATCACAAAGGGTCCGGAGTACTCTGGCTTAGGCGTGTACTCGAAATCGTTGATGTCCGAGGAGACAATCTCTCGGTTCGTGATAAGAAATCCCTGGCCATCGATCATGTACGAAATCATCATGACCTGGTCAATCAGAGCGTCCGGGAATTTGAGAGGCAGTTTCGTTGTCTCAATATCGAAGGCCAGAACGACGGGATCGGCACGCGTAAGTCGGTCTTCTAGGCATTTCAAAGATATGACGCCTTGTCTTGACTCCACGTTGTACCACTTTCCGATTCGAATATCTGTCAAGTTTCAGCTTCATGCCTTCTTCAGTCTCGGGGGGAAAGCACGCACCCTTGTCGATGCACACTCGGACATGGTATGGAACATCATACTCTCGAATATCAACAATAAAATCACTCGCTTGCATGTTGCCATTAGGTCGTTGCTCATTAATTATTTCGTCATCAAACAGGTCAAAGCCGGTGGTTCCACTTTATTATCCTAATCAGCATGCAGCCTTGGAAATATCTTCAAGGAATTTGTTCCATAACCAACCTAGTCATTTCGGCGTATGCGTCCATATCAGTCGCATTTTTCTTGTTCTTCTCCGCTAGAGGTAAAAGCGTTCGGCGAACCTCAAGCAAATTGCCAACATTGGCAAAGTTCAACCTGATAAACGTCCTCCGGTGTCCGAGAAGATGATTTGGGAGGTTCAAGTCCTCTTTGTCTAACCTCTTGAAGCTCTTGATCAATCCTTCAAAGTTGCGCCTGCACCATTCCTCCACTTCCATCTCATGGCCCCTCTTGACCGCAAGGAGAAAGTATGGATCATATTCGACGGTTGCCTTAAAACTGCCTCCGTCGTCTTGGAGGAAATAGTAATCGACACCAGCGCGGCCGCCTGGTACGTTTGCGTCTTCTATTGTGGTGCTGCGCATGTTGATAAGCCAGCCGGCTCTGGCTTCGCCAGCCTCAAATCGGGCAAATCCGAGAGATTCATCGATGCTGTTAGCCAGCCGAATGGCCTCGAATTTCTCATCTTGAGAAGTTGCTTCGGTGGAACGGAGGGAGGAGAACTCGACGGTCTTAGATCGACGTGGATTTGAAGATGCGGCGCCGGAACGGTATTTGTTGTTCCCATACTTGCTGGGTTTTCGCGAAGGCATTGCGAAATTGGGGGGCCCAGCCGGGCTGTTCAGAATCCTTTTCTCAGGGCGGGTCGCGTTAGAGGAACATCAAATGGGATTAACTAAATCAGTCAGGAGGAGTTGACGAGTTCGAGTTAAAAAGAGGCGGGCCGTTGCAGAAAGTGAGGTGAGAATTCCTGCAGCCAATGTCTGTAGAATCGTCCCGGTCCAGGGCTGCTCCAATCCAGTTAATCGTAATGCGCTCGACGCGTCCGCGTTCCATCGACGCGTGAAAAAAGAAGTTAGTCAGCATATACCGGAATAACTATCCGAATCCAGCATGTAGCGGATAATCTATGTGCCGCGGTATTGATATCGATTGGCCTTTTTGCGGATGGCGATAGCTGGAGTCAACTGTCACAAGGTTCACACATTACAATATCATGGCCGACGATTCTCGAGATTCCACTTCTGTCCAGGAGGCTGGTAGCAACCTCCCCGCCAGCATTCCCAATACCGATCCCTCGAAACCCAAACACGAGTTCCCTCAGTCACAAGTCGGAAAGTTATGGGATGCGTTCGGCAATCCCGAAGAGCCGGTGAACATGCTCGCCAATGCTTCTTATAAGCCTCGTGGCAAGGATCCCAAAGATGTGTCCTATTCCGAAGTGGTCGGAGATGTGTCTATGAGTCAAATCTCATCATTCTACAAAGCACCATGTGCCCGGGAGTCGTTATTAACTGGCATTGGCGCGGGCTTTGGAATTGGTGGTATTCGTGGTGTATTTGGAGGTACGTTCAAACCTTTGCTTTTTCTTTTTCTTTTCTTTTATATCTGAGGGCTAGGCCAGTAGCTAACCTCTTATGTCCAGGAATGCGCTCACTATGGTCTGCCGGGAACTGGGCCGTCGGAGTGTTTGCGGTCACATCTTTGGCAGCTTATGAGTTCTGTCGCCGCCAACGAATCGAAGAAATGCACGGAATGAAGCAAGCAGTCGAGTTAATGAAGGAATTGAAAGACAAGAAACAGCGGGATAAGGAAAAGGCCATTGAAGCGGCTGCCATACGAGCAGAGGAAGAAAGGCAAAAGAAGAGTTGGACTAACCCTTCCAACTACAAGTTCTGGTAGAGTTGCTCAAGTATGAGCTGGAGTCACGTTTTTGTGCGATTATCCAAAACTGTATATTTCAATGCCACGAGGAGTGTGGCTATCATGTCATCAAATCATTTGTGTATCATAGCTTTCCCAATTTCCCCCCAAAAATCAAACTTGCGGGTCGAATAAATCAAAAGATCATCAGCTGCTCCTGGATGCACCGGCTTCTCGCCTGGCGCTATATGCCTATTATATGCTATGATGGGGAAATATTCCTGCTAGATATTTCGGCTTCGACATCGAATTTGACACGTTTCGGGATGGAGCTTTGTCGGAAGCCTTGGACTCTGTCCAGGTTCTCGCTCTCATGTCGTCGTTGTCTCCGCTTCTCCCGAGCCTCTCGTGCTTCACGAGTCTTCCATTCGGCGACTTGCTTCTGCCGTTTTTGAGACCGTGCCCACGCAATCGCCGCAGTAGGCTTAAAACCTACACCATTGATCCCATAGCCGTCGTCCGTGGGATCCGTTGGATCATGCCCCGTTATCTCATAATCATGCCAGGTGAAAGGGTCTTCCTTCGACACATCGGCAGGAGGGGGTGAAAGTCGTTGCTTGCGGTGTTTTGATGGAGAGCTGGGTTGAAGCTGTTTGCGCGGGTGTAGTGAATTCCTTTTGGATGGAGATACAGATGGGGCAGTAGGGGTATCATTTGTATATGGGGTGAGCAGCTCAGGTGTCGTCTGGTAGTCAGGCACCTTACTTGCCTCATTGTCGGCTGGCCAAGCCCCGGGCATATTCCTGGGCTTGCCTGTGGCGCTAATCCCTTGTTCTGGTGGTATTATACTTGGCTCGGGGGGAACGTCTGCATTTAGATGCCCCAGGTTCGTGAGACGTTCACCCCGGATTGCTAGTTCCCCAAATCGACCCGCCACTGCGGCTCGAGGGCTGTGGCGTCCGACCTCCTCCTCCCGAAACCTAGTTTCTTGCAGACTCGCGATAGAGACCGTTGATGTCGGGGATGCCGATGGACTGTAGTAATCGGACTCGGAAGATTCTCGTTTGCGCTTGGGCGAGAAGTATTTCGGGAGGTCTGTCGTCATCGTGGGGCTGGAGATGAACATGCGGGAAGATCTCGAAGGGACCCAAGTCGCGTTGATCATGAGAGTAAGAGAACTGGCCCCCATACAACAGGGCTAGAAGGGTAAACCCATCATGCAGCGATCCACATGGTAGAGTGCGGAGATCAGGATTGAGTGAGGGGTCATTGGGTGTGCAGTCTGCAGATGCGGGACCAATCGCGGTTGTACAAAATGGAATATTCTTCCAAGGTTCCATGGGATTGTCCCGCATATTCTTCAGCGACTGTACTATCCCTTATTTAGTAACCCCCCCATGTTCAGGTCATTTACCTGAGATACCTCACAAATCAGCCCTTCAATATAGGAAGTCACTTTATTCTCATACTACGCTTCTCCATCATCAGCGCCCGGGTCTCACCTTTGCTGACAACTCTACAAAGTACGATCCATGCACTTGTATTTATGGGGGAGAGTTGGGACTATCAGTCTCATCAAGTCATGCAAATGTAATACACAAGCGCAGGCACACAGGAAAGAGCAAATCTTATTGCCAATGATGGCCTAAATCGAATAATTTACAGATGCCCGAGCCCATCGAGTCGTGAACAAGATTGAACAGATATGAAAAGTTATGAAAGAAATCCCAACGCCGTGACAAAGACTCCCAGTTCCAAAGAAAAAGCACTTTTACGCCTTCTGCTTCTTCTTAGAAGGCTCAGCATCGGCGTCGTGCTTGCGCTTCTTCTTCTTCTCGGACTCGCCCTCGCCACCCTCGGACTTGCGCTTCTTCTTCTTGTCGCTCTTGTCGGACTTCTCCTTCTTCTCCTTCTTTTCCTTCTTGTCCTTCTTCTCTTTCTTGGGGGAGACGTCCTCCATCTCATCATCGCTGCCGTTCACATCATCCATACCGGCCAGAACAGCATCCATGGCGTTTTTCTGTTGAAGCAATGTTAGAATAAACCCGATTTCCCAGTGTAAGATGTAGATTTGAACATACCATGGCAACTTCGTTCTTAGTAGGGGCGGCGCCAGTGGCGTAGAACTCCAGGCGCTCCTCAACCTGATGCTTCAAGGCCTCACCGAACTTGGTGTTGGGCTCATCAGAGAAGTTGTCGATACGGGAAGCAATGGAGCACTTGTTGGCAAGGAAACGCGAGATGCGGCCCTTGTTCTTAGGACCAGCGCGGCCAATGAAGGTAGAGTGGTACAAGAGACCATACTTGGGGGTGTTACCCTTGGTCTTCAAGGCGCGGAACAAGGCCTTCTCGGCACCCAGAATCTGGACGGTAGAAGCGGGGTACTTGGACAGGTTGGTCAAGCTACCAGCGTGGGAGATCAAGCGAGCAGCAACGACCTCTCCGATCAAGGCGGCAAGGTTGGGGGCAACGACGCTCATCTTGGACACCAGGTACTGGTAGAGAGACTTGCGGTACTTTGCAAGGCTGACAACACGGCCGGCGAAGGCAGTGACGTTCTCCATGTCGGACTCAGAAATATCCTGACCCATACTGTGCTTAGCGGCATCAATGATGTTCTGAGCAACATCCTTGTCGTCCTCCACGAGAGCAGCAATATCGTGCAGGCTCTCGTCGTTGAGGTTCTTCTTATCCTGGACGAAAAGGGCAATCTCGGCGTAGCGCTGGTTGTCAGAGACAATCTTGACCAGCTCGGGGAAGTGCCACGAGTACCACTCGCGGACACGCATGGCAAAAGTGTTGATGGCCTTGTCAAGCTGATCGAGGATAGCAATGGCCTGAATGATGTGGTTGTCGTCACGCTGAACGGAGAACTTAACCTTGGCACGCGAGTAGGCGTGACCCAGACCAAGCTGGGCGGTGTCCATGTCACCCTCACGGAGCTCCTTCAGCAGCTTGCTGAAGTGCTGGCGAATACCACGAAGAAGATCCTGCACAACCTCACTAGTGTCACCGGTCTCGCAGTCGACGAAATCGAAGGCAGACTTGATGCTTCCAGCAAGACCCTTGTCGCAAAGACCCAGCACAACCTTCTTCTTCTTGCTCGGCTTAGGGAGGTTCAATTCCAGGAAAGAAATGAGAGTCTCCGAGGCGACACCCTCAGAGACATCGTTGATCTCACCAAGGGCCTGCTTGTTGTTTCTGCGGTGGGTTAGCGAGGAATTCCTCGAGGAGTAAAATTTGTGGGCGAAGATCCCAGACTTAAAACGTACTCGAAGGGAAGGAAACTGGCGAGGTCAATCATCTTTCCGAACTTAGCAAGATCGTTGACACCCTCCTGAACTTCCTTCAGGCGGTTGCCCACAGCGTCACCCTGGAGGGCGACCTTGAAGAGCGAGTAGCCAATAGGGCTCTCGAAGAGAAGGTAGTCGGCCATGTCGTTTTTTTTAATTCCGGTCGTATCAGGCGCTAGATGACCAAAATAACAATTGCAACAACCGGGGCCCACAAGCGACTTGAGGGTTCGACACGATGTTGTTGGTGCGGTCGTTCTAGAGAGCGGAAGAGAAGTCGAAAATCGAGAGCTTTTTTTCGCCGCTAACCCAATCTAGTGCGACGAATCGGTGACTGTGGGCAAAAACCACTGGCCTCACCGCCTTCCCGCTACGCCTGCCCACTCCTGTCCACGGGTTGAACAAGCTCCCCTCCTATTCTCAGTACTATTGCTTTATTGTTTGAGCTGAGCTCTTGTTCATTCATTCATCACAGCAGATATGTCTGCAACTCAGCTACTTAACCCGAAGGCGGAGTCCCGGGTATGCAATTCTTATATATTTGACCCCTCCGTGGCCCGCACTAACATTTCATCTAGCGGAGAGGAGAGGCCCTGAAGGTCAACATCAGTGCTGCAGAAGGTCTTCAAGATGTCCTCAAGTCCAATCTGGGTCCTTCGGGAACCCTGAAGATGTAAGTCTCAATTTTCAAGCAGGTGAAAGTCTCGATATAGCTGACACAACTTCTAGGCTGGTGGATGGTTCTGGCGGAGTATGCAACCTCCCTCTTATCCTTTGGAATGCTGCCGATTGAGATATCTAATACAATGGCACGATGACAGATCAAATTGACAAAGGACGGAAATGTTTTGCTTCGTGAAATGGTTGGTTGCACCCCTAATGGTCCGCGTGCTGCAGAACAGAGATGCTAACACTCAGCAGCAAATTCAAAACCCCACGGCTGTAAGGCAATACTTCCCCGAACGAATATTCAATCCCCGCTGATAAGGATGAAAGGTTATGATTGCCCGCGCAGCAACCGCACAAGATGATATCACTGGTGATGGAACAACATCGGTCGTGCTCTCCGTAGGGGAGCTTATGAAGCAGGCAGACCGTTTCATTTCGGAGGGTCTGCACCCCCGAGTGATCACCGATGGCTACGAGGTTGCGAAGACAGAGGCTTTGAAGGTATTTTATTGACATGTATGCTTGACTGGCTATGATTATTGAGTCTAACATGATGGTTTCAGTACCTCGACCAATTCAAGCTGGAGCGCACCATTGACCGAGAGCTCCTCCTCTCCGTCGCTCGCACCTCTCTTTCCACTAAGTTGAATAACGCCCTCGCCGAGAAGCTTACCCCTGACATTGTCGATGCCGTGCTTGCCATCCACCGCGCCCCCGAGAAGCCCGATTTGCACATGGTGGAGATCATGACCATGCAACACCGCACATCTTCTGACACCCAGCTTATCCGTGGTCTGGCTTTGGATCACGGTGCTCGTCACCCCGATATGCCTAAGCGTGTGGAGAACGCCTTCATCCTGACCCTGAACGTCAGCTTGGAGTACGAGAAGTCTGAGATCAACTCTGGCTTCTACTACTCTACTGCTGAGCAGCGTGACAAGTTGGTGGAGAGCGAGCGCAAGTTCGTCGATGCGAAGCTGCAGAAAATTGTGGATCTCAAGAAGCAGGTCTGCGGCAATGACCCGAAGAAGGGATTCGTTGTGATTAACCAGAAGGGTATCGACCCTCTTAGCTTGGACATCCTGGTCAAGAACGGCATCATGGCTCTTCGCCGCGCCAAGCGGAGAAACATGGAGCGTCTACAGCTGGTTTGCGGTGGTGTTGCCCAAAACAGCGTGGAGGACATGACTCCCGAAGTTCTCGGCTGGGCCGGTCTGGTCTACGAGCACCAGCTTGGTGAGGAGAAGTACACTTTCGTTGAGGAGGTTAAGGATCCTAAGTCAGTGACCATTCTCATCAAGGGTCCCAACGCACACACTATCGCTCAGGTCAAGGATGCTGTTCGTGACGGTCTGCGCTCCGTCTACAACACCATTGTCGACGGTTGTGTTATCCCCGGTGCCGGTGCCTTCCAGGTTTCCTGTGCCACTCACCTCAAGTCCGATGTTTTCCGGAAGACCGTTAAGGGCAAGGCCAAGTATGGTGTCGATGCCTTTGCCGATGCTCTCTTGATCATTCCTAAGACTCTGGCTGCCAATTCTGGTCACGATATCCAGGATTCTTTGGCTGCTCTGCAGGGCGAGTGTGACGATGGTAACATTGTTGGCCTAGACCTGAACACTGGCGAGCCGATGGACCCTGTGCAGCAGGGTGTTTTTGATTCGTACCGTGTTCTGCGAAACTGCGTCGCCTCCAGCACTGGCATTGCTGCTAACCTCCTCCTCTGTGACGAGTTGTTGAAGGCCCGGCAAATGAGCAAGCCCAGTGGACCTGGCCCTCAGGAGGAGTAATATGCCATTGATTGACGATGCCCGGCAACTCATGTAAAGAATTCGATGGAGCTAGGACTTAGTGCTTGAAAGTACAGTCTACTAGCAAAAATAAAAAAAGAATGCACGCAAGAATATGCAAAGAAACGAAACTAATCTCCGTACGATAATTGGAACGAGAAGGAAGCTTCCAAACGCTATAAATGAAGCCCGAGTTACGGATCTTCCACGTATTAGATTACCTGGTATGTAGCATCAATCCTCATTGAAGTAATTATCATTATCATAAGAACAGTAATATCTCAACTATCGTTAGAAGACTGCGTCCATGAGCTCATTTCAGTCCTCTTCCAGACTGCTCTCGTCACCCCCTGATATATTCCTAGACTGGAATCTCCTAATGAAGCCTTCTTCCCTCACGGGATCGTCCAGTGAAAGATGGTGTGTCTTGGCCCAATTCCAAACATCTGACTTACGGATCATCATCTTGGGGCCCTGTTCAGCTTCATTGTCTCCCATAAGCCGGCTCAGTTTGCGCTTCTTCTCCGGTTGAGCAACACCCATACTCTTGACAGCAGTAATAACATCTTCTGTCAACATGCCAGTGGCAAGACCAATCTCTTCCACGGTCATGATTTCACGCTGTAGTTTCTTGCGTTTCGAAGGAGAGTTTGATTTGTTGGGGGTGATCTGGGAAGCATCTTCTCCGTGCTTGCCGCGTAGTAAATATCTTGCGATTCGCTCGGCCCAAAACCGATTGTAGCTCTTTTGGCCCAAATCACTCAGTGGTTTCTCCGGACCACCGATATATCCACCGGGCGAATCCCAGCCACTAAGTTTATAGCTCACACCCATCAAAAGCTTCCCAAGCTGCCTGTGTTGGTAAGGTGGAAAGACGCAGATGCAGGCGAGGTTGTTTGCGTCCCAGGAGAGCTTTTCTTGGGAGTAGAAACCGAGTACATGGTAGTTCTCTGCATTTACCGGATCGGTAAATGTCAGGATATAGTAGAGGAACGTCGCGACATCAAAAAATACAGTCTTGTGGTCGAGGAATAGTTTTGCGAATAGGGACAGGTTCTGCCCGAAGAGCTTATGTTCCTCCCCATCTACCTCCCAAACTGCATATCCGCCGTGGTCGTACACTTTCGTGCCAGGTGGTGTAATACGGTGCTCACAAACTTGAGTGTGTGCCGCGAAAATCTCGTTGTCGCAGGAATATCGAAAGCACCAGCGACAAACATAGAGACGATCGGCGTCTTTCGCGACCAAGTCTTCGGGGTAGATGGACTGGTACCATGGCTTGAAAAGGATGTCTCCTAGCACGACATTTTTGAGATTGCGGTCGCCCGGACTTTGTAGTCGCGAAGCGGAGGTACTTGTCGCCATTGATAGGCTGGAGGTTGCGGGGAAAGGTGTAGTAATGAATGGACGTCGCGCGCTAGCTAAGGTTCAAGAAGTGTGTTCAGTGGACCAGCCATTGGCATCACCATACCAGCCAGGATCCTTTGGTATAGATATGATAGCAATTAGGTCGAGCCAACATTGGAGAGTCAAACCTAAGAGGGATGCCTCATTCGCCCATAAACAGAATCCCTGGCTTGACTTGCAACGAAATCGAAATTCATGCGCTGAGTCAGCGCAGGTCAGGTGGGGAAAGCTTTTATCTTATCCGCTGTTGCCTGCTGATGTACAAAGAGTGAAATCATCCTGAATCCCATCCTTGCATCTACTTTCGCCCCTATCAAAGGAGTATTCTGGCTGTCTTAGGCAGCAACAATCAACTCATCCCATGATATCTATTCTGTCTCCCCTCTAATATTGCGGATTCTCATGACCGAAGCCTCTTGCCCCAAGTGATATCCCGTACCCTTCCCGTGTTACTTCCCCACTCTCTCGTGAGCTAGATCACACCTTTTCCAATATGTTGAAGCCCTTCCAGATAAAGGATCAGCAAGTGTCCCCACCTTCGAAGCCAGTAGAGCCCTCTGGTATTCGGGAAGTTCAGATCTCAGCCTCTGATTATGATAACATCGCCTCAAATCATCCCCGGGCGAGGTTAACTTACCTAGATGACGATGATGGCGATCAGATTACGGTAGGCCCCACACCAAAGCTTCTCCTCCTGTATCAGGTCCCTAACTCTACTGCTATAGGTTGGGTCTTCTCTCGAGCTTGCCCAGCGCCTAGATGAGCCCCTGGAGATTTGGTCTCGGCATGAGCCTACCCAGCTCCCCCAAGATGAACCAGAGCCGATGCACATATTTGATATTCGTCGGTCAAAGTCGGTGACTGAACTGTGGAAGCGATTTGAGAATCAATCTTCCCCTGATCATAAGATTCCCGAAACAAAAAACGATGCACCGATGATGGCGGAGCCTACAGCAGGTACTTCAGCTAGCGAGAAGCCCACTTTGAATCACCACAGTGCTACTACTGCCCCCGGTGATGACTCTCGGCCTTTGCTCGCAGCATTCGAGGCCGAGTTGGCCAATATTCTTGGCTCAACGGAAGAGCCTGCGGAGAGAGCGCCTCAAGCTGAACCCTCACCTGCCCCTGAGCCCTCGACAAATACCAATTCACAAAGAATGCCTCAGGGAGCTGAGGCTCTTGCGGCACAAATCCTGCACCACTTAACTAACGGGGCCAATATGGTTCAATCTGAGCTAAGGACAAGACTGCCAGAATTGCAGCGTCAAGTTCGTGATGCCCAGAGGCATCTGCCCGAGAACATTGGCGCATCCCTGCAAGCTCTGCTTACCACACTTGAAGTTCACGTGAGAGCCGCTTTTAACAACATACCGGATAACGGACGACAATGGGCAGAAGAAGCCATTCATGCTGGGCGGCCTGTGGCTGAAAATGCCGCTGAAGGCTTTCGAATGATGGCTTCTGAATTTAACGAAGTTGGTCGAACCTTATTTGCAGCCTTTGAGCATGAGTTTGGACGAGCTGCACCTCGGGGGATGAACGACCCATCTGATGGATCAAATACTCCCCCCACTTCTGCCGCCAATGGTGTAAGCAATGCGCCTTCCGCGTCGATTAATTCTCAGGCCACCGAGCCTCATGCCGCGGATTCTAAATCCGAGGAGAAATCCTCTATGGGATATGATCTCGCATCAATGGCAGAACTTGCAACGAGCAGCCAAGCTACGACTTCCGATGCCAGAACTGCTGGTGCATATCAGCCTTTCTACCCTCAACCTCCGTCTTCCTTTCATCGTTACGGTCTTGATTCTGTGCCGAACCTTCAATACTCCTTGCCACGAACTGGGGGATACACCTCGACTTTTTATCCTCCACCCTATTATCCTTCATTCGTACCTCACCATATGCCGCAACCTCGCTCTGTTGACCACCACGCTCATCCTCCCCCTCCCCCTCCAAAAACGCAGCACTCTGACCTTGGCGCAATCTCTCCTTGGTTGGCAGGGGTGAACGGCATACCCCCTATCTCATCCTCAACCCATCGACCTGGTCCCCTACCAGTACCCTCATTAGATCATCATTTGAAAATGGGGGACACTCAAACAGCAGAGCCTGGAAATAAGACCTTATTCATTGGCAATGTCGGGTTCAACGTCACTGAAAGAACCATCCAAGATGTCTTTGCCTCAAAGGGTTTCCTTGTCACAGTGGATCTTCCATTGGATGCTGTGTCAGGCAAACATGCAGGCTTTGGCTACCTGCATTTCCCTTCTATTCACCCTGCCATGGCCGCTATGGATGCCTTGCAGGGTACGCACATTGACGGCCATGCGATCAACCTTGAATTCAGTGACGCTATGCCCATTCAAGGTTTGGTATATGCTCCCAATCAGCACCCCTCTCAACATAAATCAGGTTCAAAGACCCCTGGTTCCGAGGTGGAGCAAAAGCAGAGTAAATCAATTAAGCGGCGAAAATCTGTCTCTTTCCAGGTATCGAATCAGTCTGCCAACGAGCCTATAGGATCTCAGTCTCAAAATGCAGACAAGACTGCCCTCCAGTCGGCGGAAGCGGCGGCGTCATCTCCACTGATTGATCTCTCTATTGACGAGTCTGCCTGTGCTCCGCGGGCTCAGCAACCTTCCATAATGAAGGGGCATTGGCAGCAAGGCAAGTCTAAGGATGAACATGACATCTCTTTTGATTTGAATCCGGAATCAGAGATGAGCCGGTTCCCACCTGTTTCTCAACTGGAAGCTCAACATTTGGCGACCCAGCACCAGCGTCATGCGCCTGGACCTGTTCCCATAACTCTAACTGCCAATAATAATGACAGCATTCCTACATTCACAGGAGATCTTCCCCACCGGTCTCGCACCACTCGAGGCAATCATGATCATGCCGGCCCTGGTCTGCGTCGTGCAAGCACTACCACGTTTACTCCGCTGAGGCAGAGCACTTCTAAACCGCGTGTCCTTGACGAGGCTTTCGGTACCCCTCTGCGACGTCGAGCCAGTGAGAGACAACCACTTCGCACAACTGCCCGTCCCACCAGCGAGTTAGACACGTGGGCTCGACTGGACAGAAGGGAACGCGAGCGGTCCCGACCATCGTCGCAGCACAGTATCCCTGGGAGCTTCCCTGTTGAAGAGGCTTCCCAATCCACTCCGCACGAGGCGAGTGTAAACGACAGGCAAGACGAGGGCATTGAAGATTGTGTTTCTTCTCTAATCGACATGGGGTATGGGAGTGTCGAGGATGGTGGTCGGTCCCGGATGACTATATATGCTGCTGCATCCAATGGCAATCTCTTTGATGCCATTGAAATGATTGAAGAGGAGCGCAAAGCTTATGCACACCAGGGTCGGGGGTGATATTGATCTACGTCTAATTTGCGTTTCCCAAGTTTAGCTCTATGATCATTCTTTTGTTTTCTTATTTCCGGATTTTTCAATATCTCAGTAACAAATTCCCCTCTTTCAAGGCTTATTGTTTGTCAATTTGGATTTAGTCAATCTCACTCAATTAAAGTTACTTTTAAATATCCCTAGGTTCATATAGTTCTTTGAATGCTGTTCACATACTACCTACAAGATGTCCTACCAAGGTGTCCACCGACTAGATATATAGCTCCCGAGATCGCACCTTAAAAATCGTGTTGATTTACACCAAGGCACATTGGCACAAACCGTTGATTAGAAGCTTATGAGGTACTGTTAGGCTGGCTCCCCACCTCAATTTAATATTTATTTTACAATCAAAACGTGACAGAACTTATTTGCTTTGGACTCAAAGTCGTTATCAGAAAGCACTTCAGACGTCGCCGATCGGAGGCGGCAGCTCCCCAGTTTTTCCATTCCGCGCGCAACTTCCGATCACCAACCGCAACGCGCAATACAGCCATGCAATGGCGACGAGCTTTCACCACATCTGTCGCCAGATTTAACCAGAATGCGACAGCCAGATCTCGGGTACTGCGATGTGCCCAGATTCTCCAATCGGGGAAAGATGCACCTTGTAGGTTGGAGAACCAGGAGATCAAGGTGAATGGTTTTATTCGCTCTCTTCGCAAACAGAAGAAGATCGCTTTCGCCGGCGTCTCCGATGGCTCCACCGTCGAATTGGTACAGGCACTCATGAAGCCAGAACTAGCAGCCGAGTAAGCTTGCCCGCCTGTGACGAAGGCTGTGTTCGATCAACTAACTTGAGATTGTCCTCTCTAGTCTATCCACAGGTTCTGCAGTTACAATGACCGGAATATGGAAGGCTTCTCCACCAGGCAAAACACAGACTCATGAGCTGGAAGTGACTGGCGTGGAAATTGCCGGCGCAATGGACCCAGAGGTTGGCAGCTTTCCTTGCGCAGCCCCCACGGAGACGAACTCCTAGACTGATTGTCCACTCTCATTCACAGACATATCCCATCCAAACGAAATACCAAGGTCCCGATTTCTTGCGTCAGATCCCCCATCTGCGCTTGCGAACGCCTTTAAACTCAGTGCTTGCCCGGTTCCGCTCCGAATGTCTATTCCAGCTGGGCAACGTCTTCCATTCCTACCCCAATGGAGGCTTTGCGCAAGTGCAACCGCCGATAATTACATCCTCTGACTGTGAAGGAGCTGGCGAAACATTTACCTTGCTCCCGCGTGGTGCCGCCGCCGATCCCGAGACCGAGCACTTCTTCCGGTCACCCAAGTACCTCACAGTATCGTCTCAACTACATCTCGAAGCCTATGCTGCTGAACTTGGTAACGTCTGGACACTGACGCCAGTGTTCCGGGCGGAGAAGAGTGATACCCCGCGCCATTTAAGTGAATTTTATATGCTGGAAGCGGAAGCCAACTTCATGTCGGATTTGAATGCGCTCACCGGGCAGGTGGAATTCCTGCTCCGTGATTTGACACGCAGGCTGTACGATACCACCGCTGGTCAAGATGTCCTATCTTTCAACCGATCTCCTGATGGGAAAAAGTCCGACCCCGAAGCGGAGGCGAGTCTACGTCAGAGGTGGTCGGCCTTGATGGATGGTCCTACATGGCACCGTGTTACATATGCCAAAGCTATTGAAATGCTCCAGCGGGCCGTCGCTGAAGATAGTGCCTCCTTTGAATACCCTCCCACTTGGGATGGAGGCCTACAGACCGAGCATGAAAAGTATATTGTGGAGGTTTTGTTCCAAGGAACCCCCGTCTTCGTCACAGACTATCCTAAAGCTGTCAAGCCCTTCTATATGGCTCCATCGTGTGGCAATGCGGAGCAGAATAACACACCGGGAGAAACCGTTGCGTGTTTCGATCTGCTGTTCCCGGAGGTCAGTGAGGTCGCTGGTGGCTCTCTTCGTGAGCACCGTCTGCCCAACCTCATCAAGAACATGCGCGAACATGGTCTGATCAAACCCCGAGTGTTTGACCCCGAGGATGTGCCCACGGAGCCATTGTACCCTCACCTCTCCCCGACCGAGGACCTCAGTCACCTCCAGTGGTATGCCGACCTTCGACGGTGGGGCTCAGTACCTCATGGAGGCTTTGGCCTTGGCTTTGATCGGTTCTTGGGCTACTTGTCCGGTGTTTCCAGCGTCCGCGACGTTGTGGCATTCCCACGGTATTTTGGCCGAGCCGACTGCTGAATTGACCTGATAGTGGATCATGTATACTATTTCAGAAATGTACTATAGAGAGATAACCGCAATGTTCAAATTCTTCGACTTGCCATGGATTGCTGCAGGCCCCACCACTTTCTGATTACAGGCCCCTCCGACCCATTAGGCAACATCATATCTACAAAGTCATGCCTAACAATAGATCAAGATCACGTTTCAGCCTTTTGATCTACACAAGCATCATTATTCATATCGGATTCCAGGCCCCATGGCCCCCAACGGAACAGAAGAGCCTTGTAGTTGATTTACCAAAGCTCCAACGCTAAAACTGCCCCCGGATGAACCCGGGGGCTGAAGCGACTTAATCCTCCGGCCGCCCAAATAAGGTAAAGATTGAATCGATTGGGGCGAGACAGGGATGTCAGCACTTTGGGGCCAAAATCAGATCGTGAACGGGAACAGTGGGACTAGTGTAGATACGCGTGTGATCAACAAGGCTCTTGAAACAAGTTACATGAAGTTAATGGTCAGATCAGCGGATATATGCGAGTAAACCAACCAGCGATTAATTAGGGGGCCGAGCAATGGAGAGATAGACCAGGCTAGGGCTGTAGATTGCGGATATGTACGGAATACTAATTGTGCGCTTGTTTAGCTACATCACTAGATGAAATGGCGCAATCACTGTGACTGGACCTACATTGAGTCCGACCACGTGCTGGTCTCATTTCTCTTGTCTCGCATGCGTACTTTAGGTATCCCACTACTGTACGTCTTAGTTGCGCAAGACTTACCGTAGCTAGTTAAGTATAGTCCGTGATGGTAAGTTTTAGCCCCAAACCCACCTGGAACAAGGATTCTGGCCACGGACACTCGGACCGGTTCCAAGCAAGGCCAAGCAATCTAGTGTAGGAGACGCCCGCAGCCAAACATCAGAAAAATGGGGCGCCACCAAAGGCGAGTCCTCGTCTTTTGGACTGCGGATGCGAGCTGAAGGTCGCAGGGAGGACTCCGTCAGCATAAAACGTGGTCCGTGGGTCGCGTTAATTTCGGATTTAACTCTTTGTGTTTTCCCCCTTAAGTCCATTGTGTAAGACATCCATCCGAGGTGATTCTGTGGTTCATTGCGGAGCTCGCTTACAGATGCCGAGGGATTGTGGCCGACTTAACCGCTTGGAAAGTAGGCGTGGATTTTGTCCGGCAGGTCTCGGCATGGGGATCCATTTCCCGGGTAATTATTGGTTGTTATTTATCATACGCATCTCAGATGCCCTAATCCTAAAGCAGAATTGCATCGTTGAGAAGGGGGAGCATACTTTAATATTTATGCGTGCGTGTACAGCCTCACAGGATCGGAATGCCGCCTAGGAGTCAAGAGGAATCCAAACAGGGTACATTGTCCTTAATCTAAAAGACTTTCGTAGAGCATCGACCCCCATGCCAATCAGGCGGCCAGGATCGGCAGACCAAGGGGACCCAACCTTACCGGGGTTAAGCATAAGCAGAAGATGTTCGGGCTTTGTCCGCCTGAAAACGAGTCATGCACCGGGATCCTTGACGTATCACATTACCCATGCGCTATTAATATTTCTTCCTTTTTTTCCTACGTAACACTTCTCCCTAGCAGCCCCAGTCGTAATCTCTTCGTATTCGGCTGAATAAACTCCCCGATAAAGTCAAAAAGAGAAACCGTGCGCCACATGGTTTATGTTGGATTCATGTGTAAGACACCGGTCGGCTCATACCGGTCGGCTCATAGCGCCCGTTTGGGCATTCTGAGGTTGAGAAAACATAAAGTGTGAGACTAGCGATGAAACGAGAAGAGGCCCTCCACTTTTCTCTTTCCCTTCCCATGGTTCTGGAGAGCGAAACTGGCTTTTAGGCTTGCGGATGACAGTTGCCACCCCAAATTGTGGAGGGTCTAGAGGGGGGGCGTTGACCCTTTTTCTTGACTTGGCAAAGGGAGGGGAATCGCCTTCTTGATAGAGGTATTCGCGAGGCCTTGATTTCGGAAGGGGAAAGCGAAGGAGAAAGAAGGGGTATTTTCTGATTTATCATCACCTAGAAGGCAACCAGACCTCAGGTGCACATACAGTAGGCGGCGACCAGGCTTGGACCTTATTGGGAATAAACGTACAGTGATCTGCGCTCGAACGGGAGAGGAGTCGACTATGTGGAAGCTGAACAACAAAAGTTTATTGCTTTTTCTCTGACTTCTTGCCTCTATTCTGTAGGCTTTGTGTAAAACAAGAAATAAAATAAAATAAAATAAAATAGAAAGACTATGAGACAATCCAACGCATTCCTCAATCATGCTCCAAATCATAGACCTTAATTATGTTAGTGGAGATAAGCTCGTGCGACGTTTCACGGAATCAAATCTTGGCAACCTTTATTTCCAGGGTTGCAACCATGCGTGACAATACAGTACGCGTCGCAACCATATCTTAAGTAAAGTTGATCTTGAGTAATGCTCTAGGGTGCGGACCCATGCAAGGGTACGTCATCGCCCCAGGGGGGTAAAATACAGTAAGATCATCTGCTTTTTAGGCAATCGCAATATTACCCATCCTGGTCTCCAGCCACGTTAGATGATCCACGAGTCGGAGATTATCAAGGTGCAGGTAATAACAATAAAACAATAACCCATGGCTGAACAAAGAAAAAAAAAAAAAAAAAAAAGGCTCGGGCACCAACAAAATCTTGCGAAAACAATATATTTCCTGTGTTGCCTAAATGCATATCACATCGGAAAACAAGACTTCGTAAGATATGCACGTACGCGCCCTATGATAAAAAGCCATATGGAACAGAACTCATGAACCACGGTCGGCAAACTTGTCGGGTTGGCCCGCAAGGGCCTAGTTACGAGCGATATGCTTAGCGAGCAGTGGAGTCGATCCACCTGGGAAAAGGAGTGTTTTTTCTCGGATGATCGGATAGAGCTGAAATTCTATTCTGCATTCATTTTTCACCTATTAATGTTGTTTTCCGACCTGATTTTGCTGACATTGACAGATAACTTAGTATGAAACTACTCCGTACTTGGCCTACATAGCAAGCTCCAGCCTTGCGGTAGAACCTCGGGCCCCAAAAATAATCCTCCAGGAATACCTGCGACACACTATCCGGATTCAGTAAAAGCCGCGGGAAGGACGGATGTACAGAGCGGAATTCGGGCGATCATCAAGGGGCCTGCGCACAGAGCTCGACAGATCTCGCACATGGTACATCAAGTAAGGGTGTAACATGTGGTTCTAAGCTGATAGCAGGAATTGTAATTATCTACGTGATACATGTTTATTATCATTATTATTGTTTGATGTTTTTTATGTTTTTGACAAAATGTGGGATTTATCTCGTTCCGCGTGAACGCGATCGGATCGGCTTGGACCCTGAGCAGCCGATAAAAGGTTATGTTTAATTAACGGTTGACCCGTGTACCGTATACTAGTTTATTACAGTTTTGATTGTTTTCACATTGAATGTTTAATAAATGATAATCTCGGCTGCATATGCCTCGTCCTATTTACATTCATATCAGCTACATTTCCTTGAAAATCTCTCCCCGAGCTTTCTTTTTGCAAAGTAGTACGACATCACCTCCCACCCACCAGGTTGACGGAAGTTCACGGTGATGTCAAATTGCGGCGCCATGTGAGACATCCAATGCAGGCCATGGGTTAACACGCCCTAGGATGCGATCGGGGTCATCTCCGGGGGACGAATCCGAACACATGGACCTCTACGATAAAGCTATTTCGTGTTGAACGCGAACATAATCAGCTCGGCTCGTTCAGCCTCCGAAGCCTATTAGAGTGATTTGAGTTGTGCAACCGGTCTCCGTTGGCGATACGCTTTAACTGGACCTCTAGGACCGGCCCGTGCGCAAGCTTCGGAAACACCAGGCGAGCTTTGCGAGATAATTAATTAAAAGCCCTTCCGCTGACAATCTAGCGCTTTGCAGTGCCTGGGCGCTTCGGCTACCCGACTCCACTATTGGTTACAGCCTTTTTCATTTTCATTTTCAATTTTTTTTTTTTTGTCTTTTTTCTTCTATTTACCTTTCCAGGACTATGGTATGTATCAAGCTTAGCCACATGCAAGGTGGTCGATAGGGCTTGGTGGGTTCCATGGAAGATCGCGGATAAAACAAATCCCAACACGAACTGACCTCGGAATTATCATGGCATTTAACCTTATCAATCCAATGCAAGTCGCTACGAGGTCTCGACTTCGGAATTGGGGTTACGAAACAAAGTTAAGTCGTGTGTACTTCCCAAGCACGTTAGCTTCGAGGCCCCACGAGCCATTATTACATTGCCGATGTGATGATCGTTCCTAAGCACGAAGATCCATTACGTGGCATCTTTTATCTTTTTGTACATCCCACGGAGTGATCCGACATGGATATCCTAGGCAGAAAAGATATTTGAATATGTCACGATTTTATGTGCATTATTCCTTGACTCAAGCCTTTTAATAGTTAAAATCCAAACCGCGGCCGCGTCACGTTGATACGAGTACGAGTCACGAGGTACTAGTGGCCACTGTGGCTTTTTCCTTTTTCCTTTTTTTTTTTTTTTTTCATCTCCCCGACTCCCGATATGCTTCTTTAGGTAAAGTGCATTTCTGGCCGTTTAAGTTCCAGGAGGCTGATGCTGATGCCGATACACCCGCACAAGTTGCATTAGTGACATTAATCTGGAATCGGTGGGGGGGGGGGGGGGATTAACCTTGGAAGGGAGTTTCCTTGGTCGCGTCCGTGCTAAATGCCAATAGGCAAGTGGATTAGGCCTTGATTTGCCTCATTCTTGTCACCCTGATCCGTACCTTGACGAATCTCTTGAATATCGCTCTTCTCCGAGCCATTGGAACCGTGGTGACGAGAGTCGGCGTTCGTCAATACAAAGTCCGAGCTCCGTGTAATGCCAAGACCCGGACCCAACCCAAGCCGGAATCACAGAAAAAATAAAGGTGAAGGGTATCGCCCCACTGGCAGAAAATGCATAATTCCAACGCAATATCGAAGTAATCCAGTGTTGCCTAACCCGGGATAGTCCAAATGCCAAGCATCGAAGAATCAGAAGCTGAAAATGGACCGGGGTGGATCCGGTCTCTCTAAGCGAGCATAAAGTTCAGCGGCCTCGTGTCGGATTAAGCTTAAGCTTCAGTGAGCGCGCACTAACCACTTTTTCTTTTTCTTTTTTTCTCTCCCTTCGCGATCAGAGCGCCACCTTAAGAATGCATCTGACACAGATCATTTCCCTGTCGTACGTACGTGGCCAGTCACATTGACTGTAATTTTAATTTTCCTTTTCCCTTTCATCCTTTTCCGTCTTCTATTTTTTTTTTTTTTGCCTTTTTTTAAAATACAACTTTTTCTTTAATTTTATGTTTCGCCGTTTCCCTTTTTTGATTTTTATGATTAAGATTAATATTGTAACTTTGGGTTCAATCATTTTAATGGCTTGTGCTCATCACACCTGGAATGGGGCTGCCTTGCAAAGGGGTGAAGCCAAGGCTCAGAATTAACCTTACTGGGTCTTTGCCCCCCACTTAATCCATCCTTGTCAAGCCACCGTAAGCTTAGCCAAGGCCTAAGCCAAGGCCTTTCCAAGAGCTTCCAAGAACAGTATTGGAATGACGAATCAAAACACTTGTTCTCTTTGGATAGCAAAAAAAGGGCTTGGATAATACATCTGTCGGGGGCCACGGCCCCCGATGAACCGACCTTGGGACAGGTTAGACAAGTCTACATACGGAATTAGTGAAGGGAGCGAAGGTCTGACGCAGATACCAGGCTGCATGATAATCGGATTTCTTAATCTTTGATTCTCCATATACTCCGTGCTCCGTAATGCCACAAAGCCCGTATAGTCAACCATGTGCCACACCAGCCACAACTAAACACAACCTTTGAGCTCATTTTGGAATTCCCTGATAACCAAGGTTCCCATGCATAAGCAATGCCGATAAAGTGTTGATTTCAAATCAGATATTTTCGTTTCCTTGTTTCTTTTTCCTCTGCCTATCACATCTTGGATCGTCATTTGCTCCATCTTTCAACCTTAGTTGCCTGTCTCCACCCAACTCTGTTTTCCCAGGCTATTGTATTACACGGAAATGGATTTTCGCCCGGATTAATTCTGGATTTAATTTTAATTGAATTTTCTGATTATTTGGTGGTTCCATAAAATCTGGGTTGATAGTAATACCGGTAATCTGTATACTCGGGCTTTCTGAGTTTTTCTGGGTCTCTGACCTGTCCGGTTCCCTTATTTTTAACCTTCTTTTGATGAGTCCCTATTGTTCCCCTTTTAACCAGGATAGTCCCCTGTTTCAGTTATCCCTATGGATTTTCATGTTTCTCCAATTTTCCACTTTTTCCCTTTCTTCCCTGGATTTCCTTCTCATTTTTCAAAACTATTAACTCTGAGACAAGTATAGAGGGGCCTAAGCCCACTCCTTCCAAACCTTGTGGGGTCCAAAGTGAGTCTACCCCCACTCCGTTTCTTTGAGCCTTTTTTTCGTCCCCCTTGTGTTCCTGTCGGCATTCTGTACTCTTCCCTACCCACTGCCCCACACCCAATCTCTGCAGGTTGGCGTGCAGTCTTTTTTCCCTTTTGGGGTTCCAAATTCAAAGAAATTCTTATTTAAAAGAAAAAAAAAAAAGGTTTTACCAAATTACAAACCCACTAACCCTGTTAGGTGACGTAAAAAAGCTCGGCCTTTACCCACCTAGAACGCCGGTCTTAATCCACTACTCAGCCTACCCCATACCCGATCATCACTGACTCGGATCCTGGTTCTTCTTATATACTCGCTCCTCTCCACTGAAACTCTACTGCTACTCTTACTCTTTCCCTTTCCTCCCCCCCTCCCCCCCACCTACTTCACTCCAGATCGGGGATATTAAAGAAAGGACCCAGAGAATCTAAATCATATTTGGTCTGTTTGCTCCACTTCGCCTAAGAAGATTAAAAGCAAAAGATCAAACCCAACTTGGTGTCGCGTCTTGTCGTCTACCTGCTCTTACCATTTCATCTCAACAGTCGAATCACCCTGGCCGTGAAGGTTACTAACCCATCTGGGTCGTCGGTTGACTTAAGAGGCTGGATGGAGACTTACTACGGACACGTCCGCACACCGGCGGACGCCATCATCTTGTTTGAGGCCTGTCGCATTGGTCTGCTGCCACGAGTACAAAGGCGTCTTTCTGAGAAGGAACGACAGTCAATCAGATCGGGATCAGTATTCGTCTGGGATGAGCGAGAAGCGGGCATGCGCCGATGGACAGACGGCAAATCATGGAGCGCCAGCCGAGTGTCCGGCAGCTTTCTGACATATCGGGAGATGGAAGGCAAGCGGGGTGGTGGCAGCGTCTCACAAGGCTCCATGCCTAGAACGGGCAAGACACCGGACAGTAGAGGAAGCGACGAGGAGCGAGGTGACGGCACCGACGAGGGTCCTGATGGATACCGGTACAAGCCCGATGGATTGATGAAACAGTCATTCAGTATCACAACTTCCACTGGCCAGCACCTTCACCTGATCAGCTACTACGCTCGCGCTCACTCATCTGCCATGTCTCTTCAACAACCCACCACGGATCCCGCCCTGCGTCATGTTCGACCCCAGAAGGGCCTGTATCCGGAGTCAACGGTGAACGATCAACAGAACCTTCCGGTGGTCACTCGTGGACCCATGCCTGGAGCTGCTTACCCCATCACTCCTCACCCCATCGGCCCGTATCCTCGTGCAACCCACGCACCTTCGTATCAACAACCCTCGTATGCATGGCCTCCAACACCCTTGGCCACACCACCAACAGTATCCGTTCATTACGGTCCGGGCTATCCCCAACTCGTCCCTGGCGCCAATGGTCCCCCACCATATGGCCACCCGCATCAAGCCGCCCCTCACCCAGCCCACGGCCATGCACTCCCCCCCGCCTCCCCATGGCGCACCGGTGTACGATCGTCCACCTCACCCCGAATCAACCCTTCCGCCGGGTCCCCCACCAGGTTACCCTGGTCGATCACCTCGCACAATGCACGAGCCTCTCCAACAAGGAAGCCCCCGAGGTTACGGGCAGCCCATGGCCGATCCCCGTCTCGCCTCGCCCCGCGTCGCTCCCGCACCTGGCGCTCCACAGCCCAACGGTATCGCGCAAAGCCCGCACATGCTGAAGCAACAACTCGGTCCCATCGGTACTCCCCCCAAACCCGCTGAGCCGGTCGGTCCCCCGGGTACCGTTCCTAGTATTGGAACCCTCATGGCTAGTGCATCTCTGGCCCCGATCTCCTCAACCGGCCCTCCCGTAGGCCCGGGTAGTCCCAACCCTGCTCGCCCCGGTGCGGTAGGCGAAGGACCCCGAGATATTCCCAATGAGAAGATTGGATTTGGAGGAGAAGACATGCGGGCTTTGCGTCAGCTGGACCGCGTGTTCATCGCGTAATGGCCAAAGTCCTTTCGCAACTCAAAATTCTCAGACTGTTTCCCCAGTCTCTTTCTCGTCGTTTTCTGCTGCGCTGTCGGTCTTATTTATATTCAGGGAGCTACGGAGTTCTTTTTCATGTGATATCCATTATGTTTGTGGTTTTTCTTTAGCATTGCATGGGTCGGGGGCTGCATTTGTTTTATCCACATGTATGATCAGGTTATGGGCTATGGGTCATGGACCTTCTATCACATCATTTATGCATTGGGATCGGTCTACACGGATGGGATACCTAGCATTCGGGTTTCGTCAATGAACTTGAAGTCAAGAAAATTTGAATCGCCGTAGAAGACTACATATACCTTTGAACCACCTTTATGACTTCTCCCTTTTACCCGGGAAATCCTGAGTAAATGTAGTCGCGGTCGAACGGGAACTCCTCACCACTTTCTAGATCCCTTATCCAATGGCAGACCTAGCCTCCTGTCTCCCCTTGGCACTCGAACGAAGTATCTTCGTCCATCAGAATGGACAAGTGTTCATGTTTTAGGTGGACATGATACAATTCGTCCGGAATATGTTCTTGGTCGGAAATACGGTCTAGGGTTTTTGAAAGCTGGCTGCGGTCCAATTCCTTGAGGGGAACATTGGCATACATTGTTTAATGTTAAACAATGTGCGTTAAGGATGAGTATAGATGCTGGTACATTTGATGCTAGGACCTCTGCAAACCCCTTTCAGAAGTGTCTTGCTTGATGGCGTTGAGATGATAGGTAGAGACGATTGCAAGCGGTGACTGATGTGCGAGCTATTGCCTAGACTGATCCCCTAGTTTATGGATGAGGATAGCCTCTGTAGAAAATGGAGAAGCCTTAAAGTCTGGAATTGAAGTAGTTTTCCGATACATTGACGTAAGACATCAGACGGGAATTGATTTCACGATCCTCGTAATCGTGGATGTGTTGGTCAATGTCCTCGTTGAAATGTAGTGGAATCTTGGTGAAGAAGTTTACTGGACGGATGAGATTATTATCAGCATTTGAAACTGGTTTTCCTTCTCTATCCCGTACATATTATATTCTTGAGATACCTGTCTAAATGATAGACATTGCTCGGATAACAGAGAATGTGTGGAAGTATTATCGTTCGTGGTCATCGTGTCCTGTCCCCGTGAATTTCATTTGCTGTCAAGGGAGTGACCTATAGTGAGTTTTCCTGCACTGTTCTTAGAACTTTCATAAATTGATACCTCTTACCTTCGAAGGGCATGACGGCATTGGTTCATCATCCAGGCGATTTCAGCATATGTGTGGCAGGTGAGCTAACCAGAGTGTCACAGATATTGCTTCTTTTGATGAAGGAAAGCACTGGGTATTCAAAAGTTCACTCACGGGTGATATCTGAATTAAGCTTGGTCCCGCTTTGTTCTGTTTTGCAAGGGTTATGATGGATGGTTTCGGACTTTCGTAGATGAAAGTATATGTCATAGAGTCCTCGATACTCACAGGCTGTTCCAGCGAGGAAAAGCCTGATCATAGATATTGGGAGCTGCTAGCCCTTTTGCAGTGAGACATTAGGCTGATTCAATCCACCGGACATTCCTGGGCAAACAGCTCTGCCCTCGAGTAGTACATGAATGATTTCCTTACATATTGTGTGCTTTCAAATGCGATAGAAATCCTTGATGGTGTTGAAAAAAGACTTTTCGTTGGAGTATGTCCTCTTGTGAAGGAATAGCCTGTTTCCGGACTCGACTACCGGAAATGACCTCCTGAAGAACGTCTGGATGATATGGAGCAGCGTTCGAGCTACCAAGACTTGGACGATGAGTTCCTCTCGGAGATGTCACTCGTTTGATGAATGATTGTCAACACTTCATTTCTTCGTTTAATGATGACCTGGTCAATTCAAATCTGCTTGCTTTTAAAGTAGTCTCGTGGTCGCAGTTGAACTGGTCAGTCATACCGTAGGATCTGGTAACATAAAATCAGCTTTCTGTCCCGAGATGCTCCTGGAAGTTGGCTCGAATATATTCCTTTGTGAATCAAGATGACATCTTTCACTGTGGATTTTCATCCGCATGAGTGTGATACTATGAATCCAGAGAATCCTTTCATATCAGTCTCAATGCGAATTTTGCGGAATCCGTTGGACTAGGTCTTTGGCAAGATCGATGGGTCAGCAACCCACCTTGCGAGCTCTCTTCCTCCCTCTCCTCTGTTTTTCTTCTACTGTAAGCCTGACCCTTTCTCGCTGTATGCAGGCTTCAGCTTCTTTCGCCTTTCTGCAGGCAAGCAGACCCTGCCACTGGGAAATGTGAATACTTGGGTCAACTCCAAGCTGACAAAGAAAAGAGGTGAGTATCCCAGGCCGGTGTCTCTGAATTGCCGGGGTCAAAGTGGCCAGGCCATGTCCCATTTGATCTTGCTTTCAACCTGGCAGACCGGATATCGAGAACAGGTGAGCCTACTTCTCAATGCCATATGCATCCGACTCTTTGCTTCTCCAACAATACCAAATGTCTTAGCCAAATGCCGTTTTCTACTGATCATCCAGCCCAATCGCTGTCTCTGTGATATGTTTCGTCATGATGAGAATCGGATGGATTAGAAGTAAATAAATGGTGCTGCATCCTCTCATTCGACCGGGTGGATTCTGCATATGCAAGTACATGTCATCTGAATCTTCAGGTTTTCGTCGCTGTTGGCTGCCTTGCTCTTTGAACCCCGGGGGCCATCCCGCAAGTGGACTGTAAGGGATGAAGGAAAGGGCCGAGTCGATCAAGTTAAGATATAACCTGGCCCTCACATGAACTACTTTAACCTATTTTTATGACCCGTTACATGAATTTGCGAGAGACCAAGTCACCTCCGTGGTTGCACCAGTGTCGGAGAAAACTCCGTCCCAGCTCATCACACTTGGCCGGCATCCTGGGGCCACGAATCGCAGCGCTAAGTATGCAGCCACCGATCCTGATTAAGGATCTGGCGGAGCGATCGCCTATGTGTTCCTATCCAATACTTCAAGGCCTAGAAACATGGTAGAACCGATTCTAGCCCCTCCACGATTGCCGCGTCAGCGTCCAGAAGAACTGGAGAGCTCGAGATGTGGCTCCTATTGGGGCGCTACCACGGACCATGAGTGTGCCCCGGCGGCTGTGGAGTCGTACGACAGTCTACAGAGGTTCAGCTCACATTGAGAACAAGAATTGATTGATCTAACAAACCTTGTTCGGGCCAATGCGATGAAGAAAAGCGCACCGCGGAGATAGAACAAACATCATTCTTGGTCCCGCCGCACTATTGAACTGACAGTTTGCACCTATGGACTGAAGACGATTGGAACAATGAGTGCTTGGACAACGCATTCCTTTTCCCAAAAGCAATGAGAACTATACCCAATCGTTCCTGCGCACGTTCAATTAGTGCTAACTAGATCAAATGGAACTTGAGGGTATGCCGAATCCGGATCCATTGAAATAGATTCTACAGTTCCTTTCAAATACTCTGTACTGCTTAGAACACATTCATTTAGGGTCCTGGACTCGTATACTGTAGTCATAGCAGAGATCGGTAAGACCGGGATCAAACAACCCCCTCGTCCCCCTCTCGCCACGCGCTATCTATGCGATCCGGTGCGCTAGTACTCTCAGTCCAATTTTCTCACCGGGTAAACCATGATCGCTCTTGATGTCCGGATCGTGCCTAGTGTCGGCCTTCGAAAATGGCGCAAACGGGAGGCATGCGACCTAGAATAGGGCCACCTGGCCCCTCCCCCACGATGTGCAGCATATTTCTTTTAACCGACAGTCCAAGCTGCGGGAGTCCGATCGGAAGGTGCCGATGGGGCTGTCTAGTGGGTAAGCGGAAGCCTAACCAGCGGTAAACCTGAATTGATCGCCTTTTTCTCTCGGAATGGAATTTTTGAGGATTGGATTGAGCTCAGTGGACATCTCCATAGCCCTGAAATGCTAAGTTCTTCCGCGGGCTCATCATGACAATTGTCTGGCTTGTTATTGGGCCGTTCGGACTTGGTCCGTGGACAGAAAGTATTGAGCGATGTCGGGATGAGCATCGCCATGGCGATGAGTCTTTTGCCCTTTGAAATCTCAGTCCTGACCTTTGGCGCTATTATCATTAGGTGCTCGGCGTTAGCCGGGTGGAAAAGTTGAGCCAAGCATGGATATGCTACCCGTTATGTCATGCAATTCAAGCATTCAAGCGAGTTCCTCAGGTTGTTTTACTTTTAAATTTAGTGCAAGTACTGTCGATCTGGGATGTTTGAGGTTTTTACTCGGGAGAGCCAACCGGTGATGAACAGATGGTGCTTATGCGGCGGAAGGTTGGTATAATGCGAACTATTATAGGTGGCTTGCTTGCGATGTCCTTGGGCGTCAAGCCTCCTTTCCCGCGTTGCGCCCAAGAATTCAAAGAATGGAATCCTCGGGGGCCGTTCTAGCCCGTCAGGACCCACACGGTGGAACAATGAGTGAATCTCGCTTGAATGGGCGGCTTATTGGCTGGTGGGAGACGGTCAAAGATCTCAGCCTCTGCATCTTCCGCCAATCCAGTGCATGATCATCTTCTCGGCAAACCTACTCGACTCGTACACGAGGTCATGTGGATCTTTTTGGAATCCGCACGAAGCGCTACATTGACAAAGAAGAGAATGAGCTTAGTTGCATTGTAATTACAGGGGTCATTAGATTGTTTAGATCTCCACATTACGGAGGCCCACTGTTATAACATCATCAGTTTCCGCACTGTCCGGTTCCCAAGCAAAATGGGGTTTGAGCGGGACCAACCTTCATTTGAGACCCGCCGGTCACCCGTGGTTGCGAATGCGACTCTACATCCCTGGCTTCATGTGTCATATTAATGCAACATGTCTTGGGGGGTAATAGGTTATAGTCGAGTCCTAGTTGAAAGAAATTATTTTTCTTTTTGCTTTTTTCTTCTTTTCTTCCCTTAATGAACAAAAGCAAAAAAAAAAAAAAAGAACCTGGAGACTGGGGAATAGAAAAATCTGCGACCCCCCCTCCGCGCCACCGATTGGCTCTTCCTCTCGTCCTAGCGTCAGATCACGGTTTTCTTTGCAGGGCGATCCTCTCGGAACAGAAATTGCCTTAATTTGGCCCAGCTCCAGTCGATTGCACAAGTCGTTTGACCAAGTGGGGAGGGCCCGCGAATTCCGGTACCTGGGCAAGTCTAACAAGGCAACTAGCAAGGATCGGCCTGAAACGCGGATTTCCCCTCTGAGCCAGCCCTTCTCAGCTGATGCATAAGTAAGTTTAAATGGTTAAAAGGGCCGACTGGTCCGAAGTTTCTCCTACGGTCATACGAGGGAAAGTCAGAGGGGCCTATGACATTGCCCTGTTCGTCCGCCGACAGGGACTTAGACCTTGTGCTGCAAGTGCTATACTCGGATTAGGCAAAGAGAATCCACTTGCCACATTCCCACCCCCTTGGGTCTAGTCACAAGCACTGAACTATTACCCACTACTTCGTATGTCCCATGGAACCGGGAATGGGCCTCTATAGCAGAGCTGTCAGAAAAGAAAAGTAAAAAAAGACCAAGAAAACATAAATTCCAATTATTTCGATAGAGCAATCAATAGCAGAGACCTCCGTAGGTCCACGGTACTGCCTTGCTGACAGGACATGGTGAGACATCGACCAGAGCCTGGTCGATTCCCGGCGGATGTCTGTGCTGGTCCATCCAGAAGATCTGGCCCACTTCGTACTTTACCCCAGATTGTTGTTACAGGGGGGGGGGGGGAATTGCGTAACGAGTTCTAATGTCGGCCGATCCTGTACCTTGAAAAAGCAAAAGAAGAAAAAGGAAACGCCCCAAAGCAGCCAGAAAAGTAAGAAAAGCAAAAAAAGCCCTGCGTTTAGGCCCGACCAACTCCGTGGAGATTGGGATTGTCCCCAAGATCATGTAGCTAAGCCAACGGGGAGTTCGTGAAACCGGGCTGACCCTGATTGCTCATGGGATGTTTCCATTTTGAATTTTGGATTTTTCATGCATTTTCCATTCTGCATTTGGCATTTCCCTTCGTTTTTCTTCGACCCCTTGGCCCCCAGTGCGGCTGTGTTGGCTCGTCTAGTAGCCTCCATCGGTTAATGTGGGGAATGTCAATGCTTTTTGCTTTTCTTCCCGATGCCCTGCAAGTGCGATGGAAGTTGCTAATCCCTTCTAACATTCAATGAGCTAGTTCGGGGCTTGGCCCGACCTAACCCGTCTGAACCAATGTCCACTATGAGTTGACTATGAGTCCACTTGACTGAGTAATGGCGACCTTGCTATTGCACAGGAGCCTCGTTACAGCTTGGACATCACTGCAATCTGTAATTCGTACTTCTGCCTAGAAAGGAAATCTCCTCCAGGGCCATCGATCGTCATCTGCCCTTTTTTTAGCGTTGAATCCACGCAAACTCTCCCAGAAGATCCTGACGCTAAAAAAACGGAATAGAACTCGAATCTCCCCAGTAAAAAGATTTGCTTTTTTCCTGTCTCGGAGTCCTCGCTTCTTCACTGCAAATCAGGGCACCAGAACATGCTTGGCAGCCTCCCCCGCAATGCAAAGTTTAACCTTCTATAGCCCAAATTCGTATGACCTCAAGGCTTTGGAGTTTCCATTACATATTCGATTTAGTTGGCATAAAATTGACTTGACTTAAATAAACTTACTTCCCCCTCCCCTCCCATGCCCCTCTTTCCCTCTCGGATCTTTCATCCTGATCGGCCGCCATAACTTTGGTGTCCACTAAAACTGCACTCGTTTCCCCCTCTCGCCCCATTTATATACCCGGTCCGGGTTTCCTTTTCCCCTCTCTCTACATTTAAAGATCTTTCCCCCCTCTTTCCCCCGGGGCAAATCACAGCCTTTTCTCCCACCTGGCTTTCACCGGTGTCTAACTATCCCCTGGACAACCCATGTTCAATGTTGTCCATGCAGAACTCCCCTTATAGCATCCACCCAGGTTGGAACGCATCGGGGCTGCAAGACGAAGATTGTTCCCGCTCGGACATCCCCACCCTATCCGGGATCGACACCCTCCGAGGCAGTATTTCCAGCGCCAGCACCGGGGCTAGTCCTGATGATACCTCAACCGATTCACCAGACTGGAATGGGGAACAGTCGCCCAACTTTGATGCGACGAAGACCTTCCCGTCCGAGGGCATGGTCAACGCACACGACATGGACCTGAGCGACATCCCACCCAAGATTGAAGAACTGGACGACGACGTTCAAAGTGTCAAGCCGTCCGAAGTGGGGAACGAGTTCGACCACGAAAACTCGGGTGTTCCCGCGACCGTTCCACGGAAACGTGGGCGTCCACGCAAGCATCCGCTCCCTGCCCCCGGCGGTCAAGCCAAAGTGACCAAGGGCCGGTCTAAGACCGGTTGTATAACTTGTCGACGCCGGAAGAAGAAGTGCGACGAGACTAAGCCTGCGTGAGTGATTCGTGAACCTCGGCCGAGAGCGCCGGGTCAACCCCATTCACCCAGTATCTTGGGTCATACGAGACTAATGCGATGTGGTACTAGATGTCTTAACTGCCAGAAGAATGCGGTTGTGTGTGAAGGATACCCCCCGAAGGAGATTTGGAAGAGTGGACGGCAAAGAGTCGCGGATGGTAAGTATTTAAATCTGGACTTGGGGCGCAAAACAATCTTGGATCTCAGACTGACCAGACTGTAGCTGTCCGAACCCAGTCCCTTGTCACCGTGCCTCGCAACCTTCCTCTCCTCATCGACGGCGTCGAAACCGAGATCGATCGTCGCTTTCTCGACCACTTTGTGTATGGGTTTAGTCGGGTGTTGACCCTGATCAACGATGACTCGAACCCGTTCAAGGAGATCTTGCTGCCGATGGCGACTCAACACCGGGGATTGATGCATTCTCTCATGTGTCTGTCGGGATCGCATCTGTCGGGTCTGGACCCAGAACCAAAGCTGAGGGAGCGCAAGTACTATCATTTCCATCGCGCGATCCAGGATTTGAAGGAGAACATCACCGCCTCGTCTTCCGCTTCGGCTTCCTCCTCGGAGGAGGAACAACTGCTGGTGGAAGATCCCATTATTGCATCGACCATCGCCCTGAGTTTGAATACCATCTGCGAGGGTGAAACTAATGGTGAATACCGGCCGCACATGGATGCCGCCCGGTATCTCCTCGTGTCGCAGCAGCCGCGCAATGAAAAGTTCCGACAATTTATCGTCGAATTCTTTCAGTACCACGATATTTCAAATGCCCTTACTTCCCTAGACCGCCGCCCGGCCCTTCTTCAGGGAACCATGCGGATGCCCGATTTTGTGCCGGGCGCCACGGCTGGTATGTTCCTGGGTGTGTTCGATGGGTTATTCAACTACATCTCCCAAGTGACTCAGCTTCGAGACCGGATCCGCCAGCGATTCAATGAAGGATACGAGCCCGCGGTGGACTACCAGACTCTCAGCGAGGCCGTGCAAATTGATACCGCCATCCGGACCTGGAAGACATCGCATGAAGAAGGTTCCTCGAATTGGTGCTTGGCCCAATTATACCGTCAGTCAACCTGGGTATACCTGTTCCGCACCATTAGGCCCTCACGTCCCAGCGAAAAAATCTCTCAGGTGGTTGACGATGGTCTGGCTTATCTAGACCGCCTGCCACAAGACGCAGGTGCCTACAGCATCGTCCTAATGCCCCTGTTCCTATTGGGCTGCTCAGCTTTCTTGCCCCGGCAGCGCGAGCGGATCCAACAGGGCTTCGAGTCTCTCAAGGCGTATTCCAACCTCCGCAACATCGAGCCAGCTTTCAAGGTTGTTGCTCGTGTGTGGGAGGTTATGGATACCAAGATTGAGGACAGCTGGGACTGGGAAAAGATCATCAAAGACATGAACATGGATTTTCTCATTACCTGAAGTTTCGTTTCTCTACTCCATTTTTGATACCCGTTTCTACCCTTCACTTCTCTCCCTTGTCACAGGGACTTACTTTTTATCCTTTCTCTTGCCTGAATGGCCAACGAGCATGATGACCCTTGCTTCTTGGTGATTATCCCACGCGGCGTTTTGTTTTTGGATATGCATCTGCATTCGGGGGGGGGGGGGGGGGGGGGGGGCTCATTTCTGTATTTATTCTTTAGCTGGTGCAGGCGGTGTGTGTGTGTGATGCAGTAAGGGGGCGAGTCCAATCAATTCCCTTTTGGGAAGGGGGCATACTGTAAATTTCGACTTGGTAGCGAGGACATGCACAATGTGCAAGAAAAAGGTGTTTTGTCTGGATATTTTGTGAAGCAGGGCAATGACGACGACAGAACCTGAACAGATCGGCGTTATGTGCTTGAATTCTTGGACATTTTGGATCTGTTGTATATACCTATTTGGTTCTGTATGTATTGTCAATTTGAGCCTTTGAAGGACTATGTATAGTATGATTTCCTGTCAATTTCCAAGTTGCGCACTAGTGTTCAAATATTTATTCACATAGGCCTGCGAAGTCCAGCCTGGAGTTCTTTGCCATTCACCTGGAAGAAGAGCAATGATTCAAGCTAGCTACTGCCAACTGGAGAAAGTGATGGTCAAGCTCATTGGGAAACATCAAGACTCATACCCTACATACTCGGCTAGCAACCCCTTTCTACTGGTGATAGAGTCGGCAACGCGGGGGCCGGGGTATATGTCAATATATTGAGATATAGAAGCATTCATCTGTAACTATAATTGAAGATGGAGGAAGGTGGAGGAAGATGAAGAATACTATCCCCAGGTAGAGAATCGAAGGAGACAAGAAAGACGGCAATACATATGCCTTCCGAACCTGGAAGTTCCTTTTGACAATGGTATTTGCCATTCAATATTTAGGCAGTTGTCACCTAGTTTATCAGCCATGAATTATCTATAAATTAAGCTTGAAAGGTGCTGCCCTTTAACAGACAACCTTGAGATTCAAAATCGTGGATAGTCTTGAGTATGTTCATTCGATTTATTTCACAGCTCGTCTCACTGGACAAGATTGTCTATTTAGTAACCTTCCCGAGCACCGGCCGTGACATTCTCGCCATTGGCGGTTTTTAACTCATTCAGCATTCCAGTGCGGAACACACCAACATCTGTGATAACGGAAATCATATCAAAGCCCTGCTGCGCACGAGCCCGCGCATCATTGCCATCAGTGCCTATATCAACATGTCAGAATTATCAACTCAAATGGAAATCTATCTCATGAAGGGATCTGGGCAACACCTACAGAAGATAGCAGCCTTCTTTCCAGAGGCATGAGCAGCAGCCAAAATCCGCTGAATAGCAGCCTCATGTTCCTCACCACAACGAGTCACACCCATCTGTTTAGCGAGATCAAAGGGTCCAATGAAGAGGACGTCGATACCCGGGACGGCAGCGATCTTCTCCACATTTTCAACACCAGACCGTGACTCGATCTGGACAGCCACGGTGACTCCATCATTGGCAGCATTATCATAGTCGGGAGGGTTCAAGCCGGGGATAGAGTGTGGGGCGAACATGGGTCCGTAGCCTCGTGTGCCAAGAGGAGGGTACTTAGTGTACTTGACGATATTGGCGGCGTCAACCTAAGCGGCATAACGGATTAGCCCTGAGCTGGCGTATCTGGGAGACTGTTCCTATCAGGTTTGTCAGACTAACCTCCGAGTGGCACATGGGTGTCATGATGCCGTGGGCGCCGGCGTCTAGGGCCCGCTTGATCATCCATTCCTCTGCGTAGGGCACGCGGATAATGGGGCTAGCACCTTCGGAGCCAATGGCATTGTTAAGCTTGATTTAGTCAGTATCACAGTAGAAAAGGAGAGAAGGAAAGTGCAGGGCTGCAAAGTAAAGTTGCGCGGGATGAAGACATACCTCGTAGTAGTGGTGGTCAGAAATCAATCCATGCTCAGCATCAACCAAAACCCAGCTGAACTTCGTGGAACATCCCGAAGCTCCATGCAGGATAGTCTTCGCAACACCTGCACTGGGAAGTCTACGCCCGGTAAATGTCATCTCGTTAGCTACATATCTGGGGTATTCAAAGAGAGCTGAACATACGTGAGCCAGAATCCAAACGCGGGAGAGGGGCCTTCGAGGCTAGACTTGATGGCTGTTGTAAACGACATTCTCAATGACAATATAAAGGACTGAGAGAAAGAGGAAAGTGCAATTGGAATCAGAAGAGGGGTCGTTACGCGGGGGTCCCTCGGGAGTAATTATGCCGACCTCGGTGATCCACCGGCTTGCAGTGCGGGATGTCGGGGTAACTCCGCATCTGGGGCCGACACAATAAGACAACCTGAGAAGTCCATTCTTGACTACATTCTTTGTGATACAGCATAGCGTTTGTTTATCCTTCGTGTATCTGAAATCGATGTTCCCACGAGGAAGGTCTATTCAAATGTTTGCGGTTCGAGATAACTGATTTTGGCAGTCCGAGCGTTCCAGTTACCAGAGGCTTATTGAAACACCATGGGTGATTCTTATAGATCCCAGGAGCTTATGGATTAAAAGCAAGGGCCTGAATTGCTTTATTCCAGCCTTGCGATGATCATACAAGTGGGCATACCCACTACTAGGTAGAGGCCTGATAAGCATTCCGATCTACCCAGTGCTAATTTATGACTTTATCCGGCAGGGAATCCATCCATCCCTTGTCTGGTGGTGGTCCTCCGTCATGACCTTGAGAGCATCATGGGCTGCATCAATGTCTTGGGTTGTGCCTTAGTAACATTCGATTCAGCAGAACACAATACAGAGCGTAAGAAGCTTCTTGCATGTGTAATTCCAATGTACACAAAGAAACATGAACTTCTGCAAGTTGTAGATGAGGTCTCACAGCTTACCGACAGGTTCACCTTCTGATGGGCGTGACTTGATGAGGAGTAGAGACTGTAATCGAGGATGAATCACTCCATGGAAATTGCCTAATCGGGCAATTGTCTGAGTCCCTCGCTTATCGTAAGGCGCCACGTGTGCTGACTAAGGCCGGGAAGAGATGGGAGCCGAACCAATCAAAGCACAACAATCTGGACGGATCCAGTATATAGTCCGGTCTGCGAGTCTAACGAATTAAGGAGCAGCGCGGTTTTGCTATTACCACCTGGAAATGCAAAGGCAAGTCATCAAACAAACTCCTTTCCTCATACAAAAAGCCCGGCTCCGGAAGCCCACGCTCGTATCACGTCGTTCTGCCATTGCACTCACATCCACCAATTCACCCAAGTGCGACTTGATTCTTCAGATGGGGACCGGAGGCTCATGAACGCGAATTCATACTGCCTCTGACCACAAGCAAAATAAACAAGAAAACACAATGGAAAAGGATGGAATCACGACCGACATTAGCACCCAAAATGAAGATTCCACCCGAGATGAAAGTTCTCAAGGTGCGGTTTATAATTTGTGCCTTCGCGCGGTGAACTCGGTGCATGTCAGTGTGAGCAGTCTTTCGCTTGATATCGACACAGCACCCTCACTATGGGCGACCTCACCTTCGAAATTGCGGGGTATTTTCCGCGGTCAGACTGAAGGCGGGTCGAAGAAGGTGTTAGATGGGGTCAGTGCAGAGATGCCAAGCGGTAGCTTGACAGCCATCATCGGCAGCAGTGGCTCGGGAAAAACCTCTCTGCTCAATCTCATGGCTAGTCGCATGTCATCTTCGAAGATGAAGGTGTCGGGGACGACCACCTTCAACGGAAACGCCAATATTGACAGCATTCGCAGTGCCTATATCATGCAGGAGGATGTCCTTATTCCGACATTGACCGTTCGCGAGACGTTACGGTATTCGGCTGATCTGCGCCTACCGTCACCGATGACTCAGGAAGAGCGATACGCTATTGTGGAGCAGGTAATCCTGGAATTGGGACTCAAGGAGTGTGCTGAAACAAGGATTGGAACGACTGCGCACAAGGGCTGTAGTGGTGGGGAAAAGCGACGGACAAGCATTGGGGTGCAGCTGTTGGCTAACCCATCCGTGTTATTTTGCGATGAGCCGACCACCGGACTGGATGCGACCAGTGCATTCCAGATCATTCGTACACTGAAGCGGCTCGCGCAAGATGGGCGAACTATCCTTGTCTCCCTTCACTCGCCCCGGTCTGAGATTTGGAGCCTTTTCGACAATATGATCCTATTGGCTCGGGGATCTGCTCTATACAGTGGCCCCGCAAGCGAATCACTAGCTCATTTTGAGCAATGTGGCCATATCATTCCACCCTTTGTGAACCCCGCAGAATTTCTAATCGACTTGGCTGCGATTGATAACCGAACTGAGGCCTCAGAAGCCGCATCATATGACCGTGTTGATCATCTCCGAGAAGCGTGGCAGTCTCGGCGGGGAAAAGGCGTACCCGAGGAGCGAGAAAAGCAGGGGGTTGTGCCGGGTCTCGATTCCGTGGATACTGGAGCAAAGAGGAAAGTGCCATTTAGCCAACAATTGCGCGTCTTGACCTCTCGTACCTTCATCACCACCCTTAGAGATCCATTGGGTGTTGCCGGTAGTTTACTTGAAGCCATTGGCATGGGTGTCGTCAATGGCTGGATCTTCTTGCAGCTTGATGAGAGCCTGGCCGGAATTCGTTCACGGGAAGGAAGTTTGTATACGGCTAGCAGTCTGAATGGTTACCTCATACTGCTCTATGAGACTTATCGACTGACAATTGACATTCGACTTTTTGATCGTGAGCGCAATGAAGGCGTGGTCAGCGTTCCAGCGTTCTTGCTCAGTCGCCGAATTGCCCGATTTCCGCTTGAAGATCTACCTGTGCCGCTGATATTCTCCATTATCTTTTATTTCATGGTAGGCTATCGGCTAGAGGCGGCGCAATTCTTCATTTTCTTCCTGCTCACCCTGCTCACGCACTACATTGCGGTCACCTTTGCAGCAGTGGCAGTTGGCATAGTAAGAAACTTCTCCGGCGCTACTCTGGTTGCCAATTTGTCTTTCACCGTGCAATCATTTGCTTGTGGGTACTTTGTTCAAGCGAATCAGATACCAGTGTATGTGAGATGGCTCAAATGGTGTGCATACACATTTTACGTATTTGGGGCACTGTGTGCAAATGAGTTCATCGGACTCGATGACTCTGACCTCGGCCGGTTCTACGACTGTCCATATTCTGAGGACGCACTTGATCCAGCTTGCAAAGAGTACACTGGGCGGTACATCATGGAAAGTCTGGGAATGCCGTCTAACTGGATATGGCGACCCATCGTGGTACTTATTGCATTCGTGGTAGCTCACTACTGTCTGGCTGGTTTATTACTGCAGTACAATCGCTTCGCAATCGATATTGCTCAAGCTCGAGAAATGGAGGCAGATCCAGGAAAAACCAAAGTAGCGATTCGTCCAGCTGGGGAAGTACGGAGACTGGCCATTTCACTGGATCGGTATGCTCTGGAAATTCGAAAGCGCGGTTATCCTTGGCAGGAAACTCAAGTCTTGCCCATCTTGAAGCCCATCACTGCCAAGTTTCATCCAGGAGAGTTGAATGTTATCATGGGACCTTCCGGCAGTGGCAAGACATCGCTACTCAATTCAATCGCGTGTCGATTACAAGGGTCTTTCGGAACCCAATACCATGTCCATGGCCAAATGCTCTACAACGGGGCCGTACCAACGAACACCGTGATTCGTTCAGTGACATCGTTCGTCACACAGGACGATGATGCATTGATGCCATCTTTGACCGTTCGAGAGAGCTTGAAGTTCGCAGCAGGGTTGCGGTTGCCAATCTGGATGTCATCAGAGGAAAAAAACCGACGAGCGGAGGAAGTCCTATTCAAGATGGGGCTCAAAGAATGCGCTGACAACTTGATCGGCGGTGAACTCGTCAAAGGCATCAGTGGAGGCGAGAAGCGCCGAGTTACGATCGCCATTCAGATCCTTACGGACCCGAAGGTGCTCCTTCTGGATGAACCAACTTCAGGTCTAGATGCTTTCACAGCCATGTCCATCATCGAGGTCTTGCACGCCCTCGCAGCCGAAGGTCGAACTTTGATCATGACAATCCACCAGTCGCGTTCTGATCTGGTCAGTCATTTCGCCCAGGTCTTGCTTCTAGCGCGAGGCGGATATCCTGTGTACGCTGGACCGGGGCAACAAATGCTTCCACACTTTTCAAGGCTAGGCTATGTCTGCCCGCAGACGACAAATCCAGCAGATTTTGTCTTGGATCTCATCACGGTTGATCTCCAGCAGGCAGAGCGGGAGGCTATAACTCGCGAGCGCGTACAGCATCTGATCTCTTGCTGGTCTGATGCGGTCCTGGCCCTTGACTCTACATCCCAGATTGCAACACCAGCGGAGCTTGGCAGCTTTTGTCGGCAGAGGCTTCCCTTTCGCATCACATTTCCATTGGTGCTGCATCGGTCGTTTATCAATTTTCGCCGCCAACCCCCGCTGGTAATGGCCCGGTCAATGCAGATCTTGGGGATTGCCATTGTGATGGCCTTGTTCTTTGCGCCGCTCAAGAACGACTATGCCGCTGTACAATCACGGATGGGATTTGCCCAAGAGTTTTCAGCGCTGTACTTTGTTGGTTAGTTGGAAACGCGTATGTTTTCACGCTCATGGCTGACCATTATAGGAATGCTTCAAAACATCGCCATCTACCCGAACGAGCGTGATGTCTTTTACCGTGAAGAATCCGACAACTGCTACTCAGTGGAAACATTCATTTTGTCATACACGGTGACCGAGGTCCCCTTTGAGATCGCCTCCGCACTCGTGTTTGGCGCACTAGCTGCCTACGCGGATAACATGAAGCGCACAGTGACGATGTTTCTTGTTGGTGCCTTCAACTGCTTCTGTATTATCAGCTGCGGTGAATCGCTCGGAATTATGTTCTGCACCCTTTTCTCCCATGTTGGTTTCGCGGTCAATGTGACCTCGACCCTGTTATCCCTCTCGTGCACCCTCGGCGGCATTATGAGCTTGAATGTCAACAAGGTGCTACAAGGATTCAACTATCTCTCCCCAGTCAAATATTGCATTGCCAACTTGGCACCCTTCTCCCTTCAAGGGCAACTTTTTGACTGCACGGCTACCGAGAGACTCGCGGATGGGAATTGTCCCATCACTACAGGGGAGCAGGTGCTGAAACTCTACAATCTGGACAAGAATGGACCGATGAATGTTATGGCACTGGGAGTTTGCACCATCATCTACCGATTAGTCGCATATGCGTTCTTGAAGGCAATGCGATCTCATCGCATGACAGAGCTGTGGTGCGAGTGGCGCCTTTCTCGAAAGAGTCGTTCCCAGTAGAGCAGACGATGACTTTATGTGATTTCTTTTTTTGTTTTTCAGTTAACAATACCCATTATTCCTTAGTCAACGACCATATTGCATTGATTGTTTGGTTCTACGCTGCATCCACAAATCAGGTTCATATCTGGTCTAGGCTACTGTGTCGGAAGTGGCCGGATCTGCGTCATTGCACAGAACTCACGGACAATCCTGACATCTGTGTATCACCGGCAACTGGGATTTTGACTCAATCCACAGGTTGCTATGATCCTAAGCATCGCCAAACTCAGAAACTCGAACAAGACCCGGACCAATTATCAGTGACCCAATACCAGTCCCAGAGTCCAAGTCTAAGCCTCAATAACTCGCGTCCGTCGATTAAACCTTGAACATTCCGTTCCCGACCGTCGCTTGGCGTCCTGTAGACCGTATTGGAAGGAGGGCCAAAGTCTTGTCTTCGCAACTCCCAAATCATTGGATTTTTCTATGGGTCAACCCTTGTAACCGAATGCAATGTGGTGGCATTGTAGTATGATTGGATGAACCACACAACGGGGGTTGGTTCATCCACACTGAGCCCGACCACAGTTCACATCATAGGAACAGTGTTAGACTTGGCCAACACGGCCTTCCTAATGGATAACTCGGCATCTTGAGTTCGGTACCTTTTTTTTTTCTGTTTTTTGCCTTTCATTCGGCCTTTTTGTCTTTTTTGGATGTGGGCCCATCATACAGTAGGGCGATTCGCTCTTAATACTACTCGCGGAATTCCCCCGAACTTCCACATATGTCATAAAACTTGACAAGGCACAGCAACAGGATCAAGAGATTCAGGTCCTGATCATTTGCCCCTCAGACCCCCAGTGGAGACTGCGATGCATCTATAACTGGAGCCCCATCGAATTCAGGGTCTAGGCTCTGGATCTGACTGGCGGAGGATCGACAAAGAAGTGGAGGACTGGATCCACTGGATTCCTGCTTTTTGAAATAAGGGATTTTAACGGCTGCTCTTGGCGACTGATCTTTTGTTCTAGATCTTTGCATGGGATTTGCATGTGGTTTCTATTTGTAATGTGGATAGGTTGGGAAAATCTGCTGTCTCTGTGATCGGAAGGTATCTACGTCGAATGGAGATTGTTCCAGTGTGGATTTTGGTTTTTTCTGATTTTTTCAATTCAACCTCGGTCTATACAACTTTCCCCGTGAACTCCGCGCGAGTTCCTATCATCCATGTTCTAATGGCCTTGGGGGTATTCAACAAAAACATCCAGAAATCATAGCTCGTAACGACATTCTGCCCGGACGGAATCAACCGCGGGGAAAAGACATGTCGATTCAACCGACCATGTACAAAAGTGGGGGACAAAAGTCCATTCAAATCATAATATCAACGTCAAGACATAAAGAGGGTAAAGACGGCAAAAAAACCCTTGAAAGAGTGCTCGGGTCAACCGGCAAGGCAAGAGAAGATTGACAGTCAAATATAAAAAGAGCGCATTTACTGGCCAATAGTCAAAGCCAGGCCGGTATTGATAGGACAGCCGTGGGTTGCATGGTCATCAGTCGGTTGGAGGTAAGCAGCGGCACAAGCGCTGTCACCAGCCTTGCAGACGGCAGAGGGGCAATCACTCGAGTTTCCGCTGTCAGAGGGCAGAACGGAGAAACCGTACTGGGTGAACTCGGAGTTGGCCTCCATGTTGATGCAGGACAGATCCCAGAAGATGGTGTCAGTGCTCTGAGTGTACTCAAATTGGAGCACGTCGGACTGGTCGGGGTTCGTGGCAAGCTTGATGGAGATACCACCACCGTTGGGGTTGGTTCTCCAGGCCTCGGTGTAAGTGCCACCGTTGGCGGAAAGGGTCTGCATGGAACCGACGTCTTCGGAGACGGACCAGGCGTAGACGTCATGATCCAGGTTGTTGGTGATCAGGACGGTTCCACTGGCGGGCTGGGTATCATTGCGCTTGGCCATCATGCCGGAAGGAAGGGCAGAGGCCAGAGTAGCAAAGGCAGCAGCCAGGCCGAAAGTCTTGGTGAACATCATGTTGATGAAGGGGAGTTTTGATATATAAAGACTGGAAGTGGATTGGATATAGTTGGACAGTATGGTCTAACCGGATAAGACTTGTAATGAAAGTGACGAGAATCGATCTCGCGAAAAAGAAAGTGGGATTGGAAAGAGAATGAATGTCTTCAAAGAGAGAGAGACTGGTTTGGATGAGGAATGAACATGGTGCATCAAGTCCCTTTTATAAGTTTGGGGGAGGGCGTGCCTGAGCCCAACTTAGACCCCCGGATAGGTACCGACCAGATAGAACGTGGGTCTAGCAAGCCATGCAGGTTGTGAACCATGGAATGCTCCGAGGGAAAGAGTGGAGCCCTACTCCCAAGGGAGTGGATTGGAGAGAAGGCGAATCATGAGGGGGGCTTGCCTCGAGAGGGCTATCCAGCGTACTCCGACAGAATACCCGAGCGCAGCGATCACTGTGATACTCTGGATCGGTAAAGTCTCATTCAGGGACTCATCTCATCTCGTATCTGCAAGAGGACGCGGTGTGATCTAGAGTTCATTCCTGGGTTTGATGTGCACGGAATGGTCTACAGTTGTAGGTGCAATGGCAACAAAGGCGACGATGAGTGGAAAGAACGTTGGTTTGGGTGGTTTGGGCGGTTTGGGTGGTTTGCCTTGACCCGAATCCAGTAGGTGTGCCGTGGCAATAACCGCCCCCAAACGTCATTCCTAACCGCGGGCTTCCGTGGTTCGACACAGTTTTCTCGAAATCCTCAACGGAAAATCCTTTTTTTTCAACGGAAAATCGCTGTTCCCTTTAGCCGGAGATCAGGGACCATGGAAGGTACAGAAAAGAGTATGAAAAATGGGTATTGACAGTAGCAATGACAATCTAAAATTTAGAATTCTAAAACTCTGCCTAAGTACTGTAACAAACGGCAATCTACAACGGCAATCAACAGGTCGAATTCTAATTGCAATTACACAGATTCATTTGTAACTGGTTCCTCACCGGTTCCTGTAATGTGTCACACCTATGTCAGACTGTTCAACTTGTTCCTGATCCCTTCCACAAATGGTGGCCAAATCCACAAATTGAAAATAAAGATGAAAAAATCTCTTTCCATTCTATGCTCTTCTCCACCGCCTCTGACGTTGCAAGAAACCTTGGGTACCTGTCGATCGAGTCTGGATTTCTTGGAACATAAATTGAAAAGTGGCAATTTGATGGCCATTAGGGGTCCAAGCCCCAAGAAAACCCTGATCCTTGATCCTGCACACTAACGTCCCACAACTGCAACTCGCATATCTGTAATAGACAGATCATCTTCGTTACGCAAATTCTATATTCGCTATGCTCGTTTCCCTGGCTCTGCCTTAGACCTGGGCTAGGCCCGCGGCCAAAGCATACCTTAATGCGAAAGTGGGCCGTACTAGGTCAAGTAGAGTATAGTATGGGCTAGAGGGGCTATCGAGGGGCGGGGGGCTACGGGGCTCAGGGCAAGTTGATCTTGCTTTCCAGAATCACAGATTCTTCTAGACCGCCACTTCGCGATCTGGTACCTGCGCCTTGTCTTCGATCCACTTGTTCTTTGCCTTGGCCACTATTACCTTTCCAGGGTCTAATCGTTCAAGAGTGGACACATGCCAAGATGCCGACGGGGGAAAAATAATAACTAATTCAAGTGTCGATGATGACAAACTAATCTGGTATACTACAGAAAAAAAATGTAATCTCCGAGGTCTCACGCCCCCTGGTGGGCTCCCCGTTTGGCTCATGGGCTCCACTGATCAGCCTTGAGTCACCTTCCTCGTCTGGCGTGACCCTCCCCCGTTACTTTGTGAGAGGAGGAGTGGGGGTACCTGCAGCCCAACGTAAGGCCGGGAGTGGGTTGGATTGGATGTAGCTGGCCAAGAGGGCCTGGTGCGCTGTCCACGGCTTACCAATATGGTGCTCGCATGGCAGACAAGCTGGCCAATGCACCGTCGCTCGTCGACTCCTCTTTCTTACGGTGACCGGCTAGCTCCAGATTGATCTGCCGGTGGGTGTGCACTAACCAATCCACGTAGCTCTGAGCTTCATTATTCCGGTCCTCCAGCAGCAGTCGGGCGAATTCGTACTCGGCCCCGTCCAGTCCCTGCCGCGCCATTTGGATCGCCATAGATTTGGACCCGCGCACCGTTGAGAAGTAGTGTAGGAGATTGCGGACCTGAGCGTTCAGATGCGTTTCCAACACGGGTAGGGAGGAGATGTTGGGGCTGAGGTCCTGGAGGGATTGTGGTCCGGGCCCGAAAAGGTCCTCCAGGAGATTGGGCGAGACTTGCGCATGGAACCACAGCAACACGGTTTGGCCATTGTCTACCAAGTAGGCGCCCCCTTCCTCAATTTTCGAGAAGCTGGCACGCAGCGACGGTGGAATTTGAAGTTGACCATGCTCGTTCGCGAACCCGTCCAGCGGTTGCAAGTTGTGGATGGCAATGATGCGAGGGTAAAGGTAAAGGGAGAGTTCAGTGCAGCCGAACGAACGGAGCATGCGTTGATCGTGAGCCCGGCGGTCTGATGATTCGTTGCCACCTGCAAATATACGTAGTTAGCCACGGGGGTGTAAATTGACGGGCATCAAAATGGCGGTCTTTACCTTTGAAGGCTCTCGATTTAACCAAGCTTAGCATGAACATTGAGAACTCCTTAAGATTCTCGGGCAAAATCATTTGTCCTGGAGGATTAGATCCCGAGAAGATCTTCCGGTAGCCACTGAAAATATCAACCGTCTTCTCTAGGATATTGGCACGAATATCTTTCAGGGACTTTTCGAGTGTCTTGGATGCAGCTGGAAAGCAGGATTAGTATGCGAGACAAGCAGACTGGCCAACGATCGCCTTACCTTCTTTGGCGATGATCGCAACAACGGCATCCTGATCAATAAACTTCATAGTCTCCATACCACCTTCATTGACCGCTGCTACAACGTTGATACACCGGACTCGCCGTTGTCCGTCTGCCGAGGTGTATAGCAATGCAGCCTGGAAGTGAGCATCCAGCTTGGGATCGAGTTTGCCATCGTAGCTGAAAACCACACCGATGGCTTTGTCGGCATCGATACCACCGATTTCGAGGTCGGCACCAAGGGCATGCTGCACAAAGTTTCCGTGGTATGAGGCCACTTGGAGACCATTGGAGCAGCGCACCTTCATCAACGCTTGGTAACCAGTCTCTCGCTTCATAGTATGCGCAATCTCTTGCCGCACCTTCAAGACATCTCGAGGCGCATGGAAATTGGGGTAAAAGAAGGTCTCACCACCTGTAGTGGCTGAGACATGTCCTGGGAAGAAGTTAGCCTTGAGAACCGTTTTCAAGGAATTTATCTTGGATGCGATAGGTCAACATACCGATTGTCGCCACGTCGATATACACGCCACCAGGGGCCGCAAGGAAGAAATCAACACCAACGCCGGCCTCCGCCAGCTTGGTTGCTGTCTTTTTCCAAGCGGGATTCTCGGTGCTGAACAACTTGCGTTCTGCATCGGTTCCATGCAATTTTGGATCCTCTCGCATCTCCAGCTGCCCGGGGCCGGCCGTGGGCAAGCTAGCCAACGAGCAGACAATCTTTCCACCCGTGGGTTGTAATGCGGAATATGCGGCATTCAGTGCGGGGAGCAATGCCGGCTCAGGGTTCTTGATGTGTGCGAAAAGACTGGGTATCCGGCTCAAGAGCGATGTGATCACCGACCTGGTTCTATAGTTAGTAGTCTATACGATACTCAAGACCCGGTAATAGTGAGAACATGCCTTGATTCATACGGATCAACGAAAAGACCCTCGCTCAGTGGCAGGAATGGCTCCTCCAAGTCAGTCATCACCATCATCTGCGCCTGATCGAATGTCGCCTGGATACCGGTCAGTGGGAAGTTGCTTGTGACAAATGGGATTGACATACCGAAAGGTTGTAGAAGTGCACCTCGGAGTCGAAAGTGACAATGCCAATCTTTGATCCAGCTGGAAGCTTGTGCTCGGAGTCATCAGCGCCATCTGCTGTATCAGCGTTTCCATATAAGGCCTCCGCAATTCCTTCACAAACAGCCTTCAAGTAACCACGTTGGACCGACTCGCGGCTCACGTCGATCAAGAAGAGAGTCTGCAGTCCCACGGGTTCCTTATTCCAGTATTCTTTCGGCACCAGAAACTCAACGGTGCCCATCATCAATTCGGGTCGCTGCATGCGGTCCACACGCGCTCCAGATGGATCCAGAGGCGCATAGTATTCGGCCGGAGTATCATTGGGGAAGGTGCACATGTTGCAGATGAACTTGCTACCACCGGATCGGAAGGACATAAAGGGATTGATATAGGTACGGCATCGGCGGCATCGTGGAGGACCAATATCTCCGAAATCCAGGACCGGGATTGGCTGCTCACCAGGGTCTAGAGGGGCGAGCGGTTGCAGAATCATACCCATCGGCAAGCCTGTCTGGGAAAGGAAATCGGAGGTTGCGGGGATGTTGTTGAGGGTGAGGCGGGCATGCTTGGGCGACGAATTGCCTTGATCGTGCGCGACGAACGGGATCGCCGCCGGGGGAGGAAGATGTCGATCCATGGTCGGAAAGACATTGTTGAAGTAGTATTTGGCTGGGATGTCGCGCGATCGAGGGATGCTGGGGATCTGTTCAGGATCAACGCGGCCCTGCGTGGCCACAGAACCCGCACCACCTTCCAGACCTGGTTGTGAAGTAAAACCGGGGGCTGGCTGTCCTTTTTGGGTGCCCACGGCTGGCGACATAGGTCGAGGAGCTTGGTTTAGGCCGGTGTTGAGGAATTGAGAGGTGGGCTGCACACCTTCTGCGCCCATTGCCTGGCTGTATGGTTGTACGGGGGCTGCGGAGGCTGCCGGGCCTGCTCCAATGTCATGATGGGCATGGCGATGCTTCTTTCGGTGCGTTCTTGCTCCTGCTGCTTCTCCTGTCACGCCAAGACCACTCATCTGAGAGACCAAACCCCCTATGTTCGGGTCCGCGGCCATGGGCTGCTGCGCGGTATTGTACGCGACATTCGGGGAATGTCCTGGGTATGGTTGTTGAGGTGGCTGTGGGGAGCCATATGCGGACCACTGGTTCGGTGAGGCATTGGGATACCCTGTTCCAGGTTGTGGAGGGGCGGGATATGGGTGTTGGGACGAGTATTGAGACTGAGGGTTTGAGGGGTCCTCGTCCGCCTGGCCCGTTGCGTAATAGGGAGAAGGGTTGGCCATGGCGAATCAAGCAGAGAGGACACAGATCAGCAAACCAAAACGAGCATATCGGGAAGTTCTAAAGTGAGAATCATAAACCCCGCGATGTTGACGGTATCCCCGATTGACCACCTTTACACCATCGGAATTACGTGGTTCCGAGCTTTCACGTGGTGATCCCGTTTAAACAACGAATCGTTCAGTTGAAATAAGCATAAACAACCAACGTACAGCCACGCTTGGTTCCTCTATGTTTTTTCCATCATCTACTTCATGCTACTCAATTGAATGAGAAGCATTTCATTTGCCATTGCCGGGATCAATGCTTTGATGTAGAATTCGGGTTACATCGGCCAATCAACTCGGATCGTGCCTACTGAATGCCCGATCCAACTAGTTTCCTGCACGTTAAAACCACATTTCTCGCTTATATCCCTTCCAGTCCATGACCATGTCCATTCCCATTCCCCCGACTCGGCGCCGACGTGCATCACGAATCAATTGATTCGCGCTTATCGGTTCACCCCTATTACTAGTTATATGAACTCCGATATGCTTTAGTTGGGTTTAGCTTGCATTCTCACCGTTTCTTTCCTATATCGGACCTTAACCCCTCCATCTGGCGTCACCAAGGTCGAGTAAATATAACCCGTAGTGTAAGTGCTGTATATGTACATCCATTTTCTTCTTTGCTTTTCATTCTTTTTTCATTCAGCTTGCCCCTCCCCCCCCCCCCTTTTTTGCCTTTCCTCTCCCATATCTTGATGATCGGCACTTGATTTCTCTCGAGATGGATCTGATTAGAACATCTCCAGATTTGAATCCTAAATCGAAGAGAGATTTTGGTCAAGTCCATTCCATCCCGTCGGGTCACCCATCAATGGCGACAATCCAAGATGACGATGAACTTCTGCTGGCTCGTATTGGTTATAAACAGGTATTTGCGCCCGTACCTTTCCAGATGCTGCGATAGCTCGATCCGGTGTTGACTAATTCGGTTGCGCGTTCCATAGGAACTACGACGGGAATTTTCCAAATGGTCGACGATTTCCTACGCTATCTCCATCCTCGGGGTGCTCGGTTCGGTTCCTGCAACCTTCGGCTCTCCCTTATCGGTTGGTGGCCCTGCAACGGCAGTTTGGTGCTGGTTGATTGGCTCCTGCATGGCCATGTGCATCGGGAGTTCCGTAGCGGAGCTAGTGTCCGCATACCCAACCGCTGGTGGCATGTATTTTGTAACCAAACATGTCGTGCCCAAAGACCAAGTCCCCATTTTCTCATGGGTTCAAGGATGGTGCAATTTACTGGGTCAGACCGCGGGCGTATCCAGTGTGGCATATACCGTCAGCCAGATGTTGTTGGCTTGTGTCAGTATGAATTCGGATCTTGTAGATGGGCAGTATTCATATTCCCCGTATGATTCAGATCTGATTTCCTCTCCGCGCGAAGATACTAATCTTGCGCATTTAGAACTGCACTGCAAACGGTGCTGGTTTCGATTGGAATATTATGCTTTCTCGGCATCATTTGCTCATTGACAACAAAATCTCTTCATCGGATCATTCTGTGGTTTGCTCCTATCAATAGTAAGATTTTAACTTTTCTCCTTAGCATGTCAACCCTAATGCCTGAACAGTTGCGGCCACCATTGGCATCTGTATTGCACTAATATATCTTACCCCGGATAAGATGCCGGCCTCGTGGGTCTTTACCCACTTCACTGACGGGTCTGGGTGGGGCTCCAAGGTCTTCTCCTTCTTCCTAGGCTTCTTATCCGTTGCATGGACGATGACCGATTATGATGGGACCACGCAGTAAGTCTTTCTTGTGAGGCAATGTGTGACCTGATTTCTCATTTTGGTCTAGTATGTCGGAAGAGACCCACGATGCCGCTGTTCGAGGTCCCATCGCCATCAAGACCGCCGTCTTAGTCAGTGGATTCTTCGGATGGCTGTTGACCGTCTGCATGTGCTTCTGCCTGACGGACTTTGAAAAAATCCTGCATACACCTACCGGCCTGCCGGCTGCGCAGATCTTCCTCAACGCCGGAGGAAAAGTAGGTGGCACGGCAATGTGGTCATTTGCCATCCTGGTGCAGTTCTTCACCGGCTGCTCGGCCATGCTGGCTGATACCAGGATGGCATATGCCTTTGCCAGAGATAATGCCCTGCCATTTTCTAAGTTCCTTTCAAAAGTCAATACCCATACGCATACGCCTGTCAATGCAGTATGGTTCGTGGTCATTTTTAGCATTGGTCTGAACTGCATTGCCATCGGCTCCACTGAAACTGCGACGGCAATATTCAGTGTCACGGCGCCAGCGCTCGATTTGTCTTACGTTTCGGTGATCTTGGCTCACCAGATCTACAAATCCCGGGTCAAGTTTGTGGAGGGTCCCTACACTCTGGGTAGGTGGGGAGCTCCTATCAACTATGTCGCCATTATCTGGGTCTTGTTCATTAGCACAATCCTCTTCTTCCCAAGTCAAATTCCTGTGACCAAGGCCAACATGTATGACTTTCCCTGGAATATGAAGTCGGCGTTTACTGATAAGGCCCCCAGGAACTATGCCGTCTGTGTGGCGGCTTTTATTGCCATGTTTGCTTTGGTATGGTGGTGGGTTGAGGCTCGAGGGTAAGCCGCCGTTCGGCATTGAAAGACCTGAGAACCGATGCTAATTCATTAATGCAGCAAATACACTGGACCTCAAACTAATGATACCATTCACGAAGTCCCAATCGAGGATGACGACTACGAGGGAGATCATGAAATCAGCGTGTAGGACATCATCTGTCTGATGTTTATTTATCACATTTTAACATTTAACGACCAATCTAGAATATAGATCAAGTGGGAACGCAATTGCTGGTTCAATTTGTGCAATAAAGCTTTTGCATGCTACGGTAATGGTACAGCTACGAGTGATAGAATGATGCCAAAATTGAATGTTCATGAATGCTTCCGCTGAACCAGTAATACATAAAGTAAAATGATAAAATACATCTCATTCGTTTAGTTGCCCGCCACAACCGCTAGGCCTTCGTAGATTTTCCTCTTGACGGCGAGGAAACTACTCGCGCCGCGACCCATGGTGGCCTGGTTGGCAGCAGATTGAGCTGAAGCCTCAATCTCAATTCTGCCAGTTCCCGATTTGCGGACAGCCACGGATTTGTCAATGAGAAGAGTTCCTTCACCTCGGAACTCGGCGGTGTGGCCCGCGGCCTGCATGAGCTTGCGAAGATCAGCGAGACGTAAATCGCCGACATGGAGTGGTCGAGCCACGGATCTGGTGCCTGCAGCCATGCTGGCTGGCAAGGTGTCAAGAAGCGGGAACGCGTTCGACCTATCACCGATCCTTGCGACAACATCTGTGGACGGACCGACGGTTGAAGCAGCTGTTCCATCTTCGATCACCTTCATTTTCTTATTGGTTGGGTCAGCATCGTGGTCGCCGTCTTCAGTAAGAAGTTCAGGTCCCCGCAGCTGGGCAGTCAAAGCAACGACACCAAGGCTTCGGACGTGCTGCCAGTTCAAGCGGCGGACAAGGTTATTGCTCAATTTGACCATCCATGCATTTGTGTCAACACTTGCATCAATGACTTCGCCATTGCTGGGTGTGAAGATGATGGCAGCTGCATCTGCTGTAGAAGCAGAGACGTCAACACCAGCCTTCGCCGCTAATAATTTCTTGCATTCGGCCGCTAGTGCTGCGGTCTCTTCCCTGATCCCACCTACAAGAATCAGTTTCTGTGGCTGGATGAGAGGAATGAGCATCTCCAAGCTACGCTTGTCATGCAGACCCATGCAATCAACAAAGGCGATTCTGGCATTGATTGTGATCGTCTCTTTGCAATAAACAGCCTTGGAGGGACCTTCAAATGGCTGGGCATCTGCTTCATCTTCGGACGATACTGCATCATCACCAATGTCGCCATCGGATACAAGACTGAAATCATCGCCTGCACCCGATCCAACCCGTTGACCATCCTTGGTCAAGTGTTGACGCTTGCGACTTGTAGCACCGCCGGATAGCCTTCGCCCGGCAGTCCCTGTGGTCTCGTCCCATCGCCGCTTCTGGCCAAGCTTCGTTTGCGCGTCCGATCGTCGTTGCTGCATGTCTATTTCCTCGCGTTCCTCCGCACGTAGGTACTCCTCAGGACGAATGAACTCTCCATACTCGTCGCCCTTCTTCCTTGGTGCCACATATGGGAACATCCGCTCCCGCCCCTTTTTACCACGTACGTCGTAGTCATAGACATTCTTCCGCCTTAAAAGAATGTTGATACCCAGGTCCTCGTCACTGACTGCCAACTTGTTTCGGTTAGAGTGGGCGAGTGAGGTCGAAAAATTGAGGACACGACCTTGCTGTTCTGAATCCGAGTCTTCTGAAGAAGTCGAGCTAGACCCATCATCCAAAGCATCTGCTGCGTTTTCGAGGGTTTCCTGACCGCCTCGAACTTGAGCAGTGTCCTGCAGCTGGCGCTTAGTGGCAAGATACTGCTGATAAAGCATTTGGTCGGTTGCATCTAGAGGTACTCGCTGCACCTCCGTCCAGGCCAGCTCCCGCCCACCGCTATGAACTTGCTCGAGCAATTCGCCATCGGAAGTCTTCTCGAGGGCTACGCCGTCGCGTCTTTCCTCATACCATTGCCACATAATACTTCCGAGGGAAATACTATATGGAGATCCTGACTGCTCTTCGTACGCCACTTTGCGGTATGACTCTGTCAACAGTAGCAAGTTGTCGGGGTCCTCAGCAACTCGACGAAGAGACTCCTTCGAGAATCCCCAGGCTAACGAGGTGTCAGAAGCAAGGATGACCTTGGGTCCCTTCTCGGACAGGAGTTTCTCGAGACTCTTCTTGCGCTCAACAGTCTTGAGGTGCTTAAAATTGAACGGCCCGACACCTTTGCTGCTTTTCTCCTGACTCTGTCCACCAGTCCGCTGACTAGTAGCTGCGTCTGCGCCTTCAGCGGCTTCGAACTCCCGGATAATACTCTCATCCATCCACTCGAGCATACTTCGAGCCAAGCGCATGGTGGTATTGACTTTGCGACCAGCCAAATACAGACCTGCGCCTTTCAATACATCCTCATTTTCACTCGCCGCTGCATCGCGCCAAGAATGCTCCAGCGCATATGCAAGCTCGAGCACTCGGGCACTGGTGTCTGTTGGAATGAGGACAGTGCCGCCCTTTGCAAGACTGCTCCGGATCATGTTAAGAAGCAGATCATCTCTTTTCTTCCGACCACCAGAAAGAGCAAACTTGTCACCACCCTGGGTACTACAAATTAAGGCGGTCGGCTTGCGTAATTGCTCAATGATCTCCGTTCCACTGGCTCCAGAACCGCCGAACCACGCCGCACCCGCCACGACGCCTTCGCGCGCCTGGTTCCAATCCATTGCGTAGACAATGGACTCCATGCCATGCTGAATGTGCCATATTGTTCCACCAACGGTATGTCCGGCGTTGTACGCAGTAAGCGTAAGCCCATCCAGGGGCGGGGAGAATGGCGACGGGAGAGGTTGATGTGGTTGCGAATACTTCAAAGGGGTAATGAGAGAGAAATAGCGGGCGATTTCCTCAGCGGTCGGCGGCTGAAGAAGTATTCGTCCTGTGCTGCCTGTAGTTTCAGTGTTCCCTTCACCCTCTCCAGAGACCACCGCAGATGCTGCCGAGGATGCACCGGGCTCGGAGATCGACGCCGTTGGAAGGAAAGTGGCAGCAAGTGGTGCGGATGCGTACAGGTCTTGTAAGCTGGTACGACCGAGAGCAACTACTGGGCTTGTCGCATAAATGGGGATTTTGGTGAAAAGAGGGAATGTTTGGCAGCAGTGCACGAAAGCGCCGATATGTGCCGGGGTCGCATGGGTCAGGAGAATGAGTGAGAGGGTCGGAATATGCCTATGAAATATTAATGTTAGCTTAGCGAAATGACAACCGAGACAACTCTCGACTTTGAAACCGACTTTTCGAGCTCCGCCAAATCGCGGGTGTCAAAGGTATCATCCCAGCCAACGTCTACCAGAATCTTGATACCCCCATCGAGCTCCAGAATCGACTGTGAAGCTCTCGATGATGATGACTGTGCGCCTAGTAGCGGGGTGAAAGTAAACATGGTGATCGCGTGTTGTCAGCAGCGAATCAACTGCGACTGCGACTGCGTCTGATCAAGCGTGTCGCGACGCGGTAGGACCCGTCCAATCGAACCGATGGTCTGTGGTCAAGAATTGATTGTGAATCAAGGATGGATCATTGTGTAGGGGTCCAAGTGAGTGCCGAATGAGGGCAATAGAGAAAAGACCGTTGACGTCGTGAACGAGCTTCTCGTTGTCGCTGTCCGTGCCTCTGTCGGGGAAGATGTTTGTGCGGTTTGCAATGGCTAGGTCTGCATCACGTGATACCATAGCAGGCTCTCCCAAGCCACGACAATTGAGTCTTTAAACCTTGAAACTCTATTCAACTCTAGGCTAGCACTACGCTCCTCGTGAAATTTGTAGTTAGGTGTGAGTGTAGTGAGATATAATAATGTATGACGGCCCTAGAGCTTCCTAGTCTTGGGCCCGCAGTCTAAGGTGGAGGAGTGCCGGAGGCATTTGCCTCTCGTGGACTCTGATGTCGTCGTTCAGCACTATGTAGGATTGATAGCTCCAAGAGCTGATCGCACATCCGAACAAACAGACCCATTAATAGCAATGTCATGTTTTGGAAGTTGCTTTAAACAAATGAAAGAATCTGACCTGAGTGGGCGGTTAATTTCTCCGTCCAATGGGAGCGAGACCCGCACCTGTTTGTGGCTTAGGCCATTCCGAACATGATATAGAATCTCAAAAGTACTAGATAAGGCGATACAGAGAGGCTCGAGAACTATATCGAATGCCTTCTATCCTAACGATTCCCTCCTGTGCCTGGTTTGCACCGGAATACACGGTCATGTGATGAATAAATAAAAGTTTGATTGGCCCAAAAACCGGTTCTGGGAGTCCGCGGTCCCTAGCTTCAGACTAACTGCCGCAGGTCAACACGGCTGATGGACTTTTGTGGGAATATTCATCCAGCTGCAGATTTCAGTCTGCCTTGTTAACCGGATTTCGGATCCAGGTTTTCGGTCGGACCTTATAGGCCATGGCGAATATTGTGAATCATCAGGTCGCGGGATGCAGCTTCGACACCACCAGCAGGTCCGTGCCATCAAGCGATCGGGGATTTAAATCCTAACCATTTTTCTCAGGTATTCAGCACTCCGGCTCGTTGGAGTTGGAGCCTATGGGCAAGTGTGGTATGTATGCTCTTTGAAGGGTGTCATGGTCCTCACGCCGGGCTGACTGGTCGGCTTTTAGTTCGGCTACTGATAATCTGACCACCCAAGCTGTGGCTATCAAGAAGATAACCGAACCCTTTCAATCACTGGAGACAGCAAAACGAAGTTTTCGAGAAGTCAAATTGCTTCGACATCTCCGACATGGCAATGTAAGCTGATCCACTTTTCAAACTTTGATCTTCATTAACAATGGCCTTGGTGACAGGTCATTTCTGTACAGGATATCTTCGTCTCTCCGGTGGATGATTTGTGAGTCTGACTTTCAGACCTGTAGTGTCCATCGATTAACGAGTCAATAGGTACTTGGTGACAGACCTGCTGAGCACGGATCTTGCCCGTGTGATTCGGTCTAGACCACTGGAAGATAAATATATTCGATATTTCTTTTACCAAATAATGGTGAGAATCAATTACAACGCTGTATTAGATCTTGAATTGACGTTCAGCAGCGAGGCTTGAAATATATCCATTCGGCCGGAGTCGTGCATCGGGATTTAAAGCCCAGCAATATCTTGATCGATGAAAACTGCGACCTAAAGATCTGTGACTTCGGTCTTGCTCGAACGCTCAAGCTTTCAATGACCGGCTACGTGACGACAAGGTATTATCGGGCACCAGAAATCATGCTTACTTGGCGAAATTATGGTGTTGAAGTGGACATGTGGAGTTCAGGCTGTATCCTGGCTGAAATGATCGAAGGGTCGCCGCTTTTCCCCGGCAAAGACCATGCGCATCAATTTTTAATTATCTCTGATCTCCTTGGCTCCATCCCCCCAGAGGTCCTCCCAGCTATTTGTGCCCAGGGTGTAAGTTCTAGCCCCGTCGAAGTTCCTGTCCCATACTAACCTGTTCTTGCCTGTAGACGATGGAGCGCATTGCAGATCTTCCGCAGCGCAAGAAGCGGCCATTCAAAAATAAGCTCAGGAATGCATCATTTGAGGGTATGTCTCGCCCAGACCGAAACCTTTGCTAGCCTCGTACTAACTTGACATAGCTCTCGATTTTCTGGAAAGGGTGCTTGTGTGGGACCCCAGCCAGCGGATCAGTGCCGCTGAAGCTCTTTTACATCCATACACGAGCCTCTACCATGATCCAGAAGATGAACCGGTAGCGGGCGCACCATTCGATTGGGCCTTGGTGACTGCTGAGTATTCAGTAGACATGTGGAAATGCATGATGTTTGTGTGCTCTGATAAATTCCGCTGTGGAAAGACCACTAACCAGAACAGATACTCTGAAATCATGAACCATCTTTCCCCTTTATGATGGCTGAGCTCCTTTCTCTTGTGTCTTCAAGCGGCTGCTGGCAGCTCGTTGGTTTTGACGGCACAGGTGGTACCCCAACTTCTGCGAACCAAAAGTGATAAGTTTTGGAAAACGATGGGGAAACAGAATATTGACAGATTGAGTATATAGCGACCTGTCGATTGCAACTCCGGCCTCTGCATTTTGAAACTAGCGGCTTATTTTATTTATTTTCAATTCATACCTAATAGCACTGAAGGCCTCGGATCCAAAGAAATACATGCATCTTATAACCCCCGAGGTATCACAAAGTTTACTGTTCCAAATTCTAAAATCCAAACTTTCCGAGAAATATTCCTTCATCACAAGACCAGAGATCTCCGAGTCCTTCGGCTTAATCTTTCCTTTATCTTCGCCGGGTTCAAGAATCTAAATGAAGGTCGGCTTCATTCACAAAAAAATGCATTGCAACTTACATCAAATCTCTTTAAATGGAGAGAAGGGCCTGTCTGAAGCACGGTTCGGAGGCAAGTTCCAATTTCGATGGGTCACTTGGGAGGCTGGAATAGAGGAGCCAGCCCAGGTCCGCACTCTGCGAACAGATTGGGGCGCCGGAAAACATCTTTGACACTCCACAGGATCCTCACAGGTCTTTTTGCATTTGCTGTAATAACATTGGCTCAGATCATGGCTGCTCAGTACTATCCTATCCCGATGTGAAGGGTTGGTTGAGTCACCCATTTCTGTTATAAGTCCGGCAACCTTTACATCATCCTGTTCGTCTTCACCTTTCTTCATGGTATTGGGCTTTTCCTTTTCGTCTAGGCCATAAATGTCAGCTTAATTGCCAATGGAAGTAGAAGAGTTTCAGACCAGGGTGTTGGGAACGTAGCATGCTAGGGGGATAGAAGGGCTGTAAGCATGACCCCATCCAGTGTCATCTATCGAATACATATAGCTTCGATTGGTCGGACGGCATTTGATAGGGTAAGGTCAAGCATCCAATAACTTCATTGCATTACCCCATCTACATCACCGGATCTCTTTGAAAGCATGCAAGAATAAACACAAGAACATGCAGAGTATCAAGAGAATGACACTGAACAATGCAAATCTCTACTCACACACGTGGGAGGCTTTGCCACCTAACTCTTTGTTCGTACCTCCCGTTTTGAGGCCCTCTTTTTTAGCCGTGTATCTTTTGCTATAATCTCTCTCTGCGCTGTTGGCTGGAGCTGCCGCAGCAGGGGGAGATTTATCTCTGGGATCCCGTGAACGACTTACCGCACCAGGGCGGCCCATTGTCCCTTTCATGTGGTGGCGCATCCTGGTAATCAACCAGTCGGTGACCGAAGCTTTATTGTGACCTCTTCCACGAACGGCCATATAAGGACGCTGATATTCCTGGCCAAAGTGGTACCTGGGAGCGCCTTTCATAAGTGGAGGCATCTTCGGCCACGCAGCGACGCCAGCTTCAGGTCCAAAGTGTGTCAATCGCGGCGGTTTAGGGAGATGTGGTAATGGATCTTCCACATTGGCAACCGAGCTCAAATTTATCTGTTTCAGCAGAAGACGCATTTCATGTCGGTTCTGGTAATCATTCAATGCATCCTCGAGGCACTTGTAGGCGAACTCGTACAGCTGCTCTTTGTTCAAATCACCCCATGTGTCTTTTGTGCCATATTGAAATTCCCAGTAAAGAGCTCCAAGACCAATGCTTGAGGCATTAGATTTGGGGTGGCTGTTGTGGTCGAGCCCTTGGATGATCGTTCTGTCTCGATGTGTTCGGATTAAGTCGAGTGCAAGATCCCTGCCCTTCGGGAGGTCTGGGTCATGCTGAAACAGGCGCCATCGAGGAAAAGGCCCGTTACTACCAAATGAGATGACGGGCCAAGTTTTGCGCTCGCCTAGGCTGTCTGTGGCACGGAATTGCAACACAGTTTCGGTACCAATAACAGTCTTGATCATTCCCGTTTCGTGAGGCAGGGGTGCGACCTTGGTCTTTTTGTAGGTTTGAATTTCCATAAATTCTGCTGGCTGTCCACGCTTTGGATATCGGCTTCCTCCTGTGACTACACCTAGAGGTTGGTTTCGTACTATTCCCTGAGGTCTCGTCGCTGGCGGAAGCCATGATGGTCCTGGCCAGCTTGGCACGGTATTCTGAGGTTCGGCCACAGCTGCGAACGTAGACTGCGAAGGTATGACCGGAGTGAGGATAAAAGAAGGCGATTTTGAGACTTGAGAAGGAGGTCGGACTGGAGCCGGAGGCAATCGAAGATCAGATGGAACCGGAGTATTGTATTGCATCCGAGCTGAAGCTGGCGCTCGTTTCCGCGAACCTTTTTTTTGGCCGGAATCTTGACTTCGAGAAGCTTTTGGTAAAGATGGTGGACCCATAGATGAATTTGTTGCACGCTTCTTCAGAGCTTCGGGACTCTGAGGGTCAAAGGCTACTTTATGGCAGTTGGTCGGCAATGTTTCTGAAGAAGATTTTCGTTTGTCGCTAGGCTCAGGTTGCTTGCGCTTGGATGACCTGCGCTTGGATGAATTGACTACCATCGCGACGGGTTGAATCGGACGTTGTTTCTGTTGCATCTACTTAGGTTCCTGGTTTCACTAAGCAAATATGACTATGATGAATTGGACTGCCACTTACTGTGCCTGAGGGATAAAAATTGTCAGTGATGCGGGTTGAGGGATAAGACCATGGTCATGGATTCGGGTCTATATATAACTGGCTAAGTATCGTACTTGATGTTTCTCTTTGTTTCCCATCTGTCCATTGGTAGCTGTGAAGTTTCTCCTATTTCTAGGATAGAAGATGTGGTCCCAGGCTGAAAGACTCCGGGAACACGTGGTGTTGATGCTGTCCAGGTCCAAGTGGCCTCAAGCTCGGAGAAATGGCACGAGGGCCGGAACGGACTTCTGAAACGCGGGATTGACTTGAATAGAATTTCCGAGTTGAAAGAGAAGTCCCTAGATAAAGCCTGGTGTTTTTGGATTACAGTGGTTCTAATGAAAAAGACAACCAGGAGACGCGATCCTACAACCCACAAGGGCGGATCTGCACAAAAATGAATAATGTCAGCAGCCAAGTATTTACAGGTAATTATATTCCACGCTGAAAATTGTGAACAGAGAACAAGCGCCAATAATCTTGATATTGGAGCTGATGCCACAGTACCGAGACTACACATCGAGGGTGATATTGCCCAGAGTTCGAAATCAAAGACGTTGCAACACCTGGGAAATTTTGGAAATTCAACCTTTGAACTTTTCCATCGTTCCGGATGTCAAGGGGATGCAATATTCATTTTGGGGTATTATTCGCTGGCTCTCCAATGATCTGTGGGATCACAATACCAGCCTGAATGGGGAAATCCTTTGTCTAATGAGGCTTTCGAATCATACCTTTGCGTGGGATTGATCGGACATAACCCGTGCTGCATCAATGTTTCTACGGCTCCTGAGTTGTCAAAGAAGGAGGAACCAATCGCCCGATGGATGCTTTGTGAGTTATTAGAGTCGAAGAAATTGTCTGTAAAGAGTTGAGGTTCGACTGTCAAAACAGGCGATTAGCTTGAGGGCTCTGGAATGTGAGCGTGCTACTTTGCTACCCTGGGCACTGCAGAATCTACCCCAAGGTTCGGGGGCAGAGCCGATTTTCATCTCCGAAAAGAACACGAAAAGACTGATGAAACATGAACAATTTGAAATTCTGCCTGTCAGCTGCTATTGTCATTGATAGAGTCTTGTGATATTTATGGATATGGGATTCCAAGACAAAGGCTGGACGAAAGAAGAAAAATACCGAGTCGCAGGAGATGACCTGAAAGAGTGATATCAATTGTTCCAGTCGGTCGAGGGTAGAGACAAAGACACAAAAAAGTATTTTGAAACAAGCTGGGGCACAGACCTCCACTAAGCTAGGCTGCCCTGGTCAAGATTCCCCATTCCAATGGGATTTGGGGATCAGACCTGAAACCTTGAATGCATAGGGACCACATGGCTTCCCAAGCAGATCGGGAGACATGAGTCGATTCGATGCTCAGGCATACCATGTCAAACAAGGCTGGGAAATTCCAGTGACAAATTAGAATCCACGTGCGGAAACGTAATTTAAGGATTTAAGCTTAAAATAACCTAGCGTTTACTTTACTTGAAACACCTTCCGGAACTCGGTAAAGGTTTGTCAATGTATACTGGTGTACAGGATATCTCTTTCCACATACATGGTCATATCTAGAAAAAGGGAAGAAAAACAAAGGGAAAGCAAGAGACAACACGGGAATGCCCCCTTGTCACTCCACGAAACGCCGTGCCATGTCTTCAGAAATACATAACTGTAGGGGGTACTCGCAAGAATGGAAAAGAAACAAAAGAAAATCATATCCTTGCACCATTCAAGTCGCATCTTGCAGAGGCAAACACCATCCAGAAGGGCAATAACACGAACAAATATAGAACACAATGCAAAGAGTTCCTGCTGTTTGCCCACACCGAGATAGACGACAATATGGAAAAAGTGGAAAAAAAGGAAAAAACAAGCGCCACGCTGGAAAGGGTATATCGGTCACCTCTCGTAGGCCCTGCTACAAGGAATTGTAAATTATAAAATACAAGACGCCTCCGGGGCAGCTGAGATTGAGATCGGGATTATTGTAAGGGAAGAAGAGTCATGCGAACAAAGGAGAGGGGAATTTGGCAAGTATTCTCATCTTCAGAACAAATGCAGATAACGTATTAGCCGTTGACCATGTCGTCTAAAGCCATTTTGCGGCGTTTGACTGGTCGTGGCTCGGGCTCAGGATCAGATTCTGTCGTGGATGGAGCCGTACGGGCTCCAAGCGGTGGAGAATGGCCCAGGTGAACAGGGCTTGAGAGGTCAATCGGACCGAGGTGCCGTGGAATAGGATCGCGGGGCCCTGTCGTAGATGAGGACGAGCGATGGTGACTGGGTGAGTGGGCGAACATAGAATTCATGGGCCTCTGTGATGAGAGGGCACGTGGGTCTCTGCGGCTTTCTTCTCGTCCAGTAGTCCAAATTCCAGGATAGGGATCACTGAGTCTGTGTGCATGGTGAGGCACTCCAGGTGGTGGACCTGGAGGTGGTTGACCGGGACTGGCGGTGGCCTGATGGATGGGAGGCAGTCGGACGGGGGACTCTAGGTATGGCTCGCGAGGTCCTGGTGGTCGACGGGGGTCTGCTATCGTAGGGTGAAGAGACCCACTGGGAGACTCGGCATATGGAGCGAAAGGAGCTCCTGCTGGGTGGTGGTGCTGAGGAGGAGATGTTGGTGGAGGTAATGCTGGACCATAAGAAGGAAATCGTCTGTCCAGCCCAGGAGGCAAAGTCCCTGTTTGAATCACCGGGTTGAACCCGCTAGTCATCGGGATGAATGCTGGGGGTGGGCGTGCCAATGGGGTATCCGACGGTGCACCGGATGAAGAAAATGGCCGCCGAACTCCAGGGTGAGGGACTGCAGAAACCGGGTCCATCGGTCGAGTCAATGGAAATACCGATGCCGACCAGCGCTGCTGGCCATGTGACGTTCTCATGCCGGCTGTGGCGCCCGGAGAGCTAATGGTATGTAGATCGGTCATCGGTCGAAGTTCACGGGACGACGTTGGCCGATGCACGGTAGTTCGATGGGCTATCATAGATGAATGCGACTCGGCCGGGATTGCTGGATGGTCTAAATGTGTCGTATATGGTCGAACGGACGAATCCTCGGCTTTCAGTGGGGGTCGTCCTCGTTTCTTATGAGTAACATCCACACAGGACGCCTTGGATCGAGACAGTCAGCTCCGTTTCGGATCGATGAATAAACATCAAAACATCAATCTAAAAATCTAGAAATGAAGTATTAGATACTCACAGCCTTGCCCGCAAGAACACATCTTCGACATGGACGTGCTGGGTCACAACCCAGATGCTTCTTTTTACAGTTCACACAGGCTGACGCTACATGAGCCTTTGTCCGTCGTGTAGACTTTGGTGCTAGGGAACGACTTGACTGTCCGGCGAGGGATGGGTCCAGGCCTGATAATGGATATTGAGGTGCTAGTGCTTCTGGTGGAAGTTGTGGAGAGCCAAAGACAGGCGGCTGGTCTCCATACCGTGACCGGATCGGTGCTGATAATGGATCATGAATTGCTGGAGGTAACTGGGATGGACCCGGGCCGGTAGTCAGAAGGGCTTCCCCGGCCGATGTCACTGTCGGTAAAGAAGTCGGTGGGTATCGAGGCCGAGATTCCTCGGATGTCACCGCAGGCTCTTCGAGAGGCGAGCCAGACATAGATTGACGAGGGAGAGGAGCCCGTGGGCTGCACCCTCGAGCATTGGTCGACCAAGGTCGATTCAACGGAAACCCCTCTGGGCCCGAGTTGAACCGGGGCTGTCCAAATTGGGCGGTAGTGAGGCTCGGTGGAGGGAGCACGAGTGGTTGCATCGGGCGTCAAGCAAGATCGAGGATAGGCCCACGGGGCAGCAAGTCCTTCTCTATTCCCCTTCACCTCTTACTCTTTCACCACTTCCACTTTGTCGTTTTATTGTTTTCTGTTCCGTTTTCTTCTTCTTCCCTCCCTGTTGCCGTTCCGCTTTCGCTTCTCAGTCGGATTCTATTGGCGTGATGTTCACAAAAAGGGACCACTGGCTCTCGGTTCTGCACTTTGGGGCAGCATATCTGACGAACGAATCCCTGGCAGGCTGGACTAGGAAGGGGGAAATCAAGGTCAGCGGTGTAGGGGTTGGGCAAGAAGGTTCAATATCCGTCATCCAGCTCCTCCGAGGACCACCCAAGCTTATAATCGATTACTAGAGAGATCCGCTATTGGAGGAGTCAGAAAATAGACTGCATCGATCAGCGGGAGATTTCCAGATCATGACAGCAGGGTTACTCATAGCCGCGCATGTCTTTCCCCTCCCATATTTATTGCATGGCGGTCGATCATTGAGCTAGGATCAAGGTGCAGTAACGCCTATTGTCAAAGCCCCCTCTTCCCCCCGGTCTCCTCTTTTGATTTTTCATCGGGGTTTCTTTTTTTTTTTCGTCTCCCTTTTTCCCCAATATTGATGTATTTTTTGTTTCTGTATTTGTTTTTCTTTTTTGGCCCCAACCACACCTTACCTCGATTCACGGGTCCATGTTCAATGCAGCTTGCAGTATGATGCTCAAAAGGGTAATGAAGGGTAATGAAGGGAGAGGAAATGGAGGGTTTCTTGTTCTAAACTCACCTTGAGAATTCAGATCCAGTGCATGGGACGTTGATCTCCCCCTCGTTCTGAAGATAGACAAGGGCCCAAGAGAATTCGAACTCCCCAACTTGGAGTAGCACACCCGACCTGCGGGCCTTCAGGGCTTATACCACAAGGCGGGTCCTCGGTACAAGGAAGGAAAGTAGTGGTCTGTGCAGAGAGACACTAGTAGCTGATAGACTTGATCTCCGTTCATGGTAGATCTTTTCAAATAATGGAGTGCCCAACGGTACGGTACTGGTGGAGTAGGAAGGGCGGAGTATTTCTGGGTTTTATTCTATATGGCTTTTTTTTTTCTCCTATCGGAAAAAGAACGAATGAGAATAAATCAATAAATAGGAACTGGGAAATGATGAACAAAAACGAGAAAAAAAAAACCAAGCAGATACCAGAACTGTACTCGGCAGTTCTCCTGATGTGTGTAGGGTTAGGGGGGGGTTCTCTGGCTGAAGTGGCTTGCATTAGATGGGGAAAGTGACAGTGACACCTCTCAGTAAAGGGATCAGATTCCCACTAGAATGGAAAGGGTAAGCCTACGTAAATTACGGAGGAATAATTAGTTTCTTCTCAGGAGGGGGCACTATTTGGCGCGATACCAATCAGACCAAGGACGCAAGGCGAGGGATTGACGGATCGACGTCGGCGCCCGCAGCCATTGCCAATAGTCGGACTCGGCAATGAAATGCGCATTCCGTTTGACAAGCACAAAGTACTTCTTGGCAAAGCACATGAGAGTCACAAATTGAGGTGATCCCACATCGTATTACCTTTCGGGGAGGACGAGGCTAAATTTCTGGAAATTCCAGCTTTTGGATCCCAGATTTATAGGTTGAAGGAACAAATCAGGGGAAAGAATTAAACCGGAGAAAATGGAGAAAAAAAGAAAAAAACAAGAAAAGATACAGGGAAAAAACCGGAATAGAAATAAAATCAAAATCAAAAACAAAAACAATAAGAAAGAAAAATAAAAATAAAAATAAAAAATAAAAAATAAAAACCCGAGACTCCAGAGTCCAGACTGTGGGAAATCTAGACAAAAACCCAATGATCACCCCGTATTGATACTCGATACCGCGCTCGATTATCCTCCGTAGATTATGGAGTCGGTTCGATTATTTTCATTTATTTATGCTCCGTTGTACAAGGGGTTACTGTTACAGTCGAGCCCAACACTGCAGATCAGGGTCGTGGGAAGTCTCACGGTTATGAGTCGGACAGCTGGGGGGGGGGGGGGGGGACTGTGGTTAGATCGACAATGGTTCGTGAGAGTGATACCGATGACGAAAGCTTGGTTCATCAATAATCAGGGCCCTGTCGTGGTACTCCCCTGTACTTGATTATGTTTGTTACCCCTCCAGGGCAATCCCCATGTTACCTCGAGACTCGGGATTGAAAAGGGTGTACACCTGTTCGTCTTTATTTTCCGGGGACTCCGTCAAGATGTGGCTGCAGATGAATCACGCGTGCGCATTGCTCATCCCTTGGGCACTGCAGGGAAAATCTCAACGTCATTGACAGGTGCAGAGAGAACCAATCATAATGAATGGGAGCTACCGAGGCCAAGCGGCTCTCCTGAAAGGGGCAAGGGGGTCAAGTATGTGGAACATGCGGCACGCGGAGCAGTAAGGGGTCTGTCACCCCGTTCATGCACGAGGGATTCAATAGTGCGAACCATTCTCATCAACTTTCCCCTGAAGTGGTATGACACGGGAGGGGGGATTTGTCATGAAATTCGCCGGTAAACTAGCACATAGCTTGAGCCAATTTCAAGGATAATATTCGAGTTTAGGCCCAACGGTGATTGCCGACCTCTTCATTGGATCGGGCTAAATCCCTACGAATCCTACGCACGAGCTCGAAGCAAGCCAAGTCGATCGTTCATTATCAAGGTTGACAAGTCCAGAAAATTACAGTTGAATTTGGAAAGCATGTGGTATCTCCGTACGTATTTAGGTATAGATCAAGTTATACAGACTTCCATTAACGCTTCTTCTTCGATGGCCGTCCATTCTTGTCACGACGCTTCTGTTGCAGATTGCGCGCCTTGCGGATATCATCGGTCGAGCGAATCTCACTCTTGCCACCCGCGCCGGCTCCGACTCGTTCGCGGGCTGCCTCATTCTTCTTCTTCATCTTGTCGTAATCGCCACGTAGGGGATCGGCGCGCTTAGGCGCCCGTTGCTGCGTGTGCCGGAATCGGCCTCCACCACGCGGACCACCACCGCCGCCGCCGCGGCCACCAGGCCCATTGTAGACATCTCCAAGCCCAGGGGTCTCGGCCTCGCCCACACGAGGCATGTTGCCCATGCGCTTGCCCTTCTTCCAGCTCTGGAAGCGACCACTGCGGAAACTGGCGGCAATTTTGGCACCACTTTCACCGCGCACCAACCTCGTGCCCTTGGATCCATCCTCGTCGTTCTGTCGAGAGACGTACTTCTTGTGTCGCTTGTCCCAGCGCATTGTGGATCGGGGCTCTCCAAAGCCGCGCTGACCTTCGTCGCCGTTGAGATCCATGGTCGCAACGCGAGAGGCCTGGGTGAAGTTCTGGTTTGTACCGGAGTGAACACCGTACGCCCGATCCTCGGCAAGGTCATTGTTGTTGGGCGTGTAACCCATGAAGTAGTCGGAATTCTGGAATGAGGTCGACATGGATTCTTGCGACTTGTCGGGCTTCTTCTTGGATTGGGAGTAGGCGGAGAAAGTGACCTCCAAATCAGACTCGTCGGCCTCGGACATGTTGTCACCAGCGACCTCGGGAATATCCTCGTCGGCAGAATCTATCTCCTGGTATGCGCCAACGCCAAGTTCGTTCATCTCCGATTGCTCCTTGGCCTGGGCACGCTGCTTCTTCTTATCTACCGTTGTGCGAAGCCGCTTGATCGTTTCCATCGCGGGGTTCTTCTCCTCGGTCTTGCCAGCACGTCGGTTGTGCACCTCAAAGATGGTCTCATTGGGCCGGAAGCCACCAATCTTGGCCAAGAGCTTCTCCCGTTGGGCTTCCAAGTCACTAGTCTGGTCGTTGAAGAGTGGATGAATGGTAGACCATTCTTCTGTAGCTGTGACTTGCTTGGCTCGCTTGGCACTTTCGAGCGACGCAGCATTCCGGGTACGCATGTACAGTTTCTCACCACGTGTCGCTACCTGGCGCTGCAAAGTAATATCATGCATCTCCGCCAGGACTTTGTTGACCCACTCGCAACTACGAGAAAGGGCATCTCTGGGGAGCGAACCAACCACGACATCCTCGGCGAAGTTGACGGGGCCAGAATTACGGCCTAGCTTGAGTGGTCGGCCAAGGAAAAGTTGAAGATCCAGCATATAGGGGGCATCCGAATCTCGGACCAAGCTGTAACTCCATCCCTTCTGACCGGCACGGGCGGTACGACCAACGCGATGGACGAAGATTTTGGGTTGCGAGGGGAAATCGTAGTTGATGACATTGGCAAGAACGGGGATATCGATACCACGGGCGGCCACATCGGTGACAACCAAGATGTTGGAAATGCCTCGTCGGAAATTCAGAACCTGGATCTTCCGTGCAAGCTGATCCAAGGAACCGTAAGCGTATGAAGTAGCAAAGCCAGCTTCATTCAGGAGAGAGTAGAGATAGTCGACGTGGTGCTTTGTAGCAGCGAAAATGATAGTCGAGTGTTCGGTCGGTGATTCCTTGTGCGGTTTAGACTTGCCATCATCCCTCTTCCGCTTGTTGCCAAACTTCGACGGGGGACCCTCTTCTTTGAACCTTTTAGTGACTTCTGTATCGCCAGTAGGCATCTTAATGATATCGTGAAGAATATGCAACAACGCTCCTTCCTTATCCGAGGACTTGACGGAAAAGAATGCATTCTGCAGATCTGGAGAGATTTTACTTTCAGCATCCAAACGGATCAGGGTTGGCTCCTGGAGGCCAGCGCGTGCAAATTCGACGAGAGATTTGGGCAGTGTTGCAGAGAACAGAAGAGTCTGTCGGGTTGTGGGCAGGCCGTGCAAAATCTCGGTTAATTGCGCAGCGAAACCCATCTCGAAAAGTCGATCAGCCTCATCGAATACCACGTAGCGGATACTAGATAGATCCAAATCCATCTCCACCTGAAGGTGCAGAAATCGACCGGGCGTTGCGATCACAATGTCCGGATTGCCGGCCATCAGTCCGAATTGTTCCTCCAAACTGTCACCACCAACTAGGAGAACCGATCTCAGGTCTGTGCCACGTCCCATTTCTTTCACTACCTTCAGCGTCTGCAAAGCCAGCTCGCGAGATGGCGACAGAATCAGTCCGCGGGCTCCAAACTTTGTGCTGTGGCTCTTTAGTTTCTCGATCATGGGGATGACGAAGGCAGCCGTCTTTCCGGAACCAGTACGAGCCATTCCAACCACATCCTGGTCCTCCATAATCACTGGGATAGTCTTGCGCTGAATCGGGGTGGGGACGGAGAATCCTTTGCGGGTGATGGCCTTGAGCAGCTTGCCATTCAAACCCATTGCTTGAAATCCACCACCTTTCTTCACAGTCCGGCCCTTGAGATTGGATCCTTTTCGGTTGGCAGAGGCCTGCTTTGAGGCAATGAATGCTTCGTCACCATCGTCATCGGCGCCGAGAAAATCGAGATCTTGTGTCACGGCGGACTTCTGTTGGGGCTTTACGCCCGAGTCGGAGTCGGAATCGTTGTCATTCTGGAACAGTGCGCTTGTAATATCAAAGTCGTTCTCCGATAACGCGGGAGAAGCCTCGCGGTGAGACATGTTTGCGGAGTTGGGTGCCGAGACCCAAGTGATGCCGATCCGGCGGAACAAGAAGTAGATGAACGACGATACAGATCAATCTGTATAGTTGGGAGGACAATAAGATAATGCAACAGAAGAATGCAGAAAGAAGACTGTGGCAGTTGAAGTGAAAATCAACTAGGCTGCATCCAAATCTGGAAATATTGACAATGTTTTCCAGGGCGATAGAGGTTTATCGATTCTCGTCGCAAAAAAAAATCTCAAAATCTCCAAATCCGAAAGGCGGTGAAGCGGTGTTTCTTTAGGCGGCAAACAGTGCAAACAGTGCAAACCGGTCCCCGCGACGCGTGCTTGACACGCTCCCCGATTGAGTAAAATGATTTTACAGCAACTGTTCGTACGCACACACAACACACAACACACACTTACACATCATGGGTTGGTCAATCTTGATAACATTGCATTTTAACAGTGCTGAAGAATATGGTAGACGGTGGATCCAAAAACTACAACCCCTATGGCGGTGCAGGTGGAGGCGGCGGCTTCATGTCCGGCGAGACTAACAGTCCCTCTGGAGGCAAGGTAAGGAACCCATCATGATTTGATGTGGACGTGTTATTTGCTGATATCGAATCTGAATCAGAATGGGGGTGGTGACAATAAGACTCTCCGTCCTGTGACAATTAAGCAGATCAACGATGCAACCTCCCCGTACCCCGAGGCGCCTTTCCAGGTCGACAATGCAGATGTCGCCAATGTGCTCTTCATAGGCCGGGTGCGCAACATCAGCAAGCAGAGTACCAACATCACATATATCGTCGACGACTATTCAGGCCGAGTGGAGGTCAAGAAATGGGTTGACGCGGCATCCATGGACATCGATGAGACGAAGGGCGACATTCAGCTCGGAACCTATGTCCGTGTTCTCGGTGCAATCAAGTCATTCGGCAACAAACGATACATTGCTGCTCACAGCTTACAGCCGGTGACGGACGTGAATCAATTCTTCTGCTCTATGCTCGACGCTACCGCCTCGCACTTGTTCTTCACTCGGGGCCCCCCTGGTGGTGATAGTAACGCCGCCGGCGCCAGTGCTGCGGGAATGGAAGGAGGAGATAACTACAATGGTCATGACAGAGTCCTTTCCAGCCTGAGCCCCTTCGCGAGGGATATGTACAATCTCTTGAAGACGGAATCTCACGATGCCACCGGTCTTCATTTGCAGACAATTGCGTCGAGGCTGGGGCTTCCTGCCATGGATATTGGCAAGGCTGGTAACGAGCTTCTCAACGCGGGCTTGATATTCTCTACGCTAGATGAGGAAACATGGGCTATCCTCGACTATTAGTTCCACTCCCCAAAACGGTTCGCCATAATCTCATTGTTTAGACTTTCCAAATGATATCATGATTCATCTCTTCACAGTCAATCGTAACTTATCCTCATTTCTAATTTGATCTAGGGTAAACACGATAGTAATCTGTATATTTAGTCGCCAAAGCCGGCTCTGGAAGTCGCAGAGGGGAGATACAGGTACAAATCAATGTAGGAATAGTCATCCCCAGAAATCCTTCAATACTCCTCGTTATATGCACAGATAGATAATCACTATATATACGATTCAAATTAGCCTAGGTCAGCAGGTTCCGCTGTTGAGCCTCTTCAACTGAATGCTCCCAGCTTATCCGAGTAATGAAAACTGCTTCAGTTGCAGAAACAAGTAGTAGAGCCAACGCAACACCGGTCCAGAGGCCCATGACCCCCCAGCCGAGCCAAAAGGTTGTTCCCATGCTAATTGGCATAGCAATGACATAGTAACAGAAAAGCTGAATATAGCCGCCGATCTCCTGGCGGCCCAGACCGCGAAGAATGCCATTACAATTGGCAGCTAGAGCATCAAAGAGTTGAAACGCCGCACACAGAGGAAGAACCTTGGCCACAAGATCGATGACCTCTGGGTCGGAACTGAAGAGTCTGGGGATATAGGAGCGCAAAGTGGAAAGCAGAACCATGTTGAACAGCCCGACGATGGTGGCTCCACAGAAGCTCACCTTGGCCGTGGTCTTTGCGGCACCAGCCAGCGAGGCACCAATCAGATTGGCGATTCGAGTGCTACCCGCGATAGACAGGGGGAATGGGATCTGCCAGGTGATACTCGAGAGAGTTGAGAGGATAGATTGCGCGGCCAGCTCGGTGGTGCCAAGGTAACTTGATGCCAAGGTGAGGACTTCAAAGGCTAGACATTCGGCTTCCACCATGATCAAACCTGGCAGTGCGAGGCGGATCATGGGGCCCCAATTTTGGAAAGCCCGTCTGGAGAAGCCGCACCAACACTCGCTGCCAACAAAGAAGTAAGCGTAAATGAACAGGCCTATGGGGAGAAGAGTCTCCGTTGTAGCAACTGCGATGGGCGCACCGATGAAACCCCATTGTAATTTCTGTGCATATCCCTGTTAGCTGTTGTAGGCGGAGGTACAGGAAACATTATCACTTACCCAGACGAAAAACCAGTTCATGAACGCATTCAACGGTGCGCAGACAATCAGCACATACAGAGACGCTGAGAAGACGCCCTGAGCCTGCAGGTATCGCTTTCCACTCTCGAAGCAAGCATATCCAGGTGTGCCTAGGAGGGCTACTTTCAAGTACAGACCAGCCATCTTTGCAACTTCTGGCTCAGGGACGATCTTGGCGAGGATATGCTCGGAAAAGTACCAAAGTACGGCGATGGGGATTGTCACAATCCATAAGAAATAAACCATCCGCAACATTTGTAGACCCACCAGCTTCCGCTTGCCTGACCCGTACGCCTGGGCGCAGAGAGTATCTAAGCTTGTTGCGAGACCTGAAAAGACCGCATTTCCAGTTATGCTGACCGTCATGCTCGCCAGGCTGACAGCTCCCAGTTCTTCCTTGCCTAAATGACCAATTGTAAAGATGCTGGCGACCGTCAGGGAATATTGCAACAAGAAGGTTACCATCAACGGCAGGGAGTATCGCGCGATGACTTCCGTTTCCCGCTTCCAGGTGGTGTTGATTAACCCTGCAATCACCGCTTCTTCCCATTTCCGATCGATCTCCTCCGGATCCATCTCATTGTCACCGGGGGATGCCAATAAAGCCGTGGCCTCGGTAGGATCCTGTCCGGCTCCCCTGTCTCCATTTGTCGATGTGGTTCGGACAGAGCCGTATTGTCTTGATGAACTTGCGTGCACCTGGCTCGGAGACGTGGAGAAAAGGCTGCTCAGGTTATGTGACAGTCGACGAGGCCTCTGCGCGATCGGAATGACATTGTTATCGCCTAACAGAGCGTGTTCTTCTTGGATCGCTTGTTCACGTTCGCTGTGGGTCAAGGGTTGGTAGTCGCCATGGGCGGGAATGGTTGTGGTGTGATTGACAGTGGTGAAATAGCCTGGCCGGCGATAAGACCCGGCCAGCGAGTGCGGATTTGTCCCGGCATAGCTGCTTGATGGACGCACTGTCGAAGATCCTGAGGTATCTGTGGCAAAGGAATCATCATCGGTGTAGTGGGCCAAGTCGCGCGAAATGGCAGCTTCCGCAATTGGCGAACTGGAGGTGAAAGACCGGCCATACCGGCTTTGATGCTCGGCGGAGTCGGCGGAGTACACATTGCGGGGCGGCATGATGGGAGGAGAAGGCAAGAAACCCTTTTTTTTGAATTTTTTTTTTTACAGCTCCTTCAACATGATCTATAGGGAAGCTCTACAACCCTCAAAACAAAGAGAGAGGAAGAATGGGAAGCTTGAAAAGATTATGAATGAAACCTTGGAAACGCAAAGTGGGGGGAGGGCCACTTTGACGGCTTTAGTGCCGGTCTTAGCGTTGTTCGATAGGATAAGTCGATAGGATGATAGGATGATTGGTCTATAACTCTGACCAATTGCTTTACCAAAGCTCAAATAGGGAGGTCTAAGCAGCAAGGTTAGACTCATGAAATCTAAATGACTCAACGGGTGCACCTAAATGAAGAGTCGGGGACTCCACGCGGCAATTTGGATGACCCACCTCTGTGGTGCACTGTTCACCGTATTTTCCCCTCGACGGACACCAATCTTCTCGTGTATCCTATTTGATGTACAGTAGTTTGCACCTTCCCATGCATGTTCTCTGAGAAGACAGAAGATCTCAGATCGTAGTGATGTCATCAGAGTTGAAAGCGGTCTAGCTATCACCTGATCCAGGTCCCCTGATCTTTCACCTGTTCTACTTCTTCAACCTCTGGCCTTTCCTTCAAGAGACAAAAATGGTGCGACACGTTGATAGCGGTGCTGCTTTGAGCTTACGAGGACCCTACAATCCGATCATCAATCCAACACACTGCCGGCCCGCATTGGTAGAAGAGTAAGTTTAGTCTTCAAGCTCTGTGGCCGACTTCCATAATCATTCCACTGTCTTCTTTTGACCTGATTCTGTCTCTCCCCTCCACTCTCTATTTCGTTCATGATCCATCTTCCAAATATCTGGCATATAACCTCGGCTTGGCTTAATGCCTTCAGGATTATTACACAGCACGTGCTCCCCACTGACTGAATGCAGGCATGTCGAAGATCAACACCATATCCTCTGTTCCGCACCCATCTTTGGTGCTCTCCTCTTCGAAAACTCTAGCTCCGATGCCCGTGATCACTGTGCCAATGAGCGCACCTTTCTGTCATGGCTGCGCCTGTCTATGTATCTGGCAGTGGTCTCGCTCGCCATCATCATCTCCTTCCATTTCCGAGAACAACCCTCTGTCCTGGAACGGCGAATGGCATTGCCCCTCGGCATCGTCTTTTGGGCCTTGAGCATCATGTGCTTGGCCAACGGGTTTGCGAATTACGCGCGCACGGTCATGAAGTATAGCCGTAAGGCCGCGTTGGTTCAAAGTGGCTGGAAGACTCAGTTGGTTTTCACGATAATTGGGACTGTGATCCTGGGGAGTTGCATCTTGTTTCTGTCCACGGATCAAACTGGCTAAGCTTTAGTTGCAGGGCACATTTTGAAAGCTACCTCGGGGTTTGTTGCATTGCATTGTATCTATTCTGACTGTCTTTTAGCAGGGCATTCGCGTATATTCAGATTCGTGTACTGACAATTCTACTGGCCAAACAAACATTGGAACTGATGATAAGTGACTACAAAGCAGTATTATGGAAAGGAGTGGTACCCCAGGTAGGTGGGGGTCCTTCCCAAATGACTTTGAATTAAAATCTTATGTGCCGAAATAGTGCAATATGTAGGTGAATAAAAAACGAAAAGGTATCGTGCCAATGCATCGAAATGGAAGCTTACGGAGAAAAAAGTGCCAGCACAAGGTGTAATCATCGGCCAAGCTCACATCCGGCGGATCTCCTTCTCACCCTTGTACTTGTCTAGGGCCGAGGTGCCGAGGTGGCTCCACCACTCAAACAACATGGAGTTGCAAATCAACTTGAACCACGGAGTGAACTTCAGGTCGGTCTGCTTGAACATCTCCTTCAGTTCATCAGCGGAGACGTAGCGAGTGTCCCGCACCTCATTTGGATTTGGCTCCAAATCAACGTCTGCCTGGATAAAGAGAATATAGTCGACTAGGAACGCGTGTTAGACCAGAACATTCTACACCATCTCAGGGAAAGACATACCTTCATGCTCTCCCCACTTGCCATCACTGGGGGCCTTGTAGTGAATCCGAGTGAAAAACTCAAACTTGTCCAATGGCACCTGCTCGGCCTTGATACCCAACTCGTGACCGAGCTTCCGCTGAGCAGCGCGCTTCACACCCAGTACAGCAGCGTCAAGCTCGGCACCAGTCTCGCCAGGAATTCCAAGAGGGTGGGAGCAGCAGGTGTTGGTCCACATGTCCGGGAAGGTGATCTTCTCGGTGGCGCGCTGTTGGAGCAGAAGGCGATTGTTGGAATCGAACAGGAAAACGGAGAAAGCGCGATGGAGAAGACCCTTGTCAATATTGGTCATTAGATGGCCTGCGGAGGAAAAGCAAGGTCAGTATTGATTGTTAGTCATCCAGTGTAGGTCATTACCCCTCCTTCGATGGATTTTTTGGAAGGCGGGGTGATTGTGATAACTGACAGATCTTTTTGCTGGCACTGCCGATAGGCCGATCATCATTATCCAAGACAATGCACACCTCGTCCATCAGGCGGATCTGCTCCTCGTCATATCCCTCAAGTTCAGTACCTTCGCGCGCGGAGTCGTTGTTTGCGGTGGGTAGAACATCCCGAGCCAGCGAGGTGTCAACTTCGGGAAACAAGGTAGCCACATTGGCGGCTGTGATCTCCGGTGGCGCAGTGATTGTTGTAGTTGTGCTCATTTTGGCAGCAATTAAATTGTCTGGACTGGTTTCAAGGAGAAGAAAGATTCCTCAAAAACGAAATGCGGGCGGTAGCACGGGGCCATGTTCCCAGGGCGGTAATGATCTGCCACTCGTTCTCCATTATGTACGAACATCACAACACGGGTGGAGCAACATCAGATCTTTTCACTCGTCTCTGCGTTATATGATAGAAGTCTTATCGTCGGCTGCAATTGATCACTCAGTATAAGTTAGAGCTTACGCAGACGCCTGGGTGCGTACCCAACATTCCAATTTATCCATCCATAACGTTGCAGGGGTTATATCTCGAATTGGTGCCTTTCAAAATAGATTATTTTCAGTAGACAGCAGTTCCTGGATCTTGGATTCAACAAGATCCAAGAGCCTACCTTCGTGATATGGGTCCTTCTGGGGTAAGCTCTATGATTGCCGATAGGTGTTGTTAAATAGGATATATGCCCAGTATGCCCAGGCGATGCCTATCAAATCCCAAGTCCTAGCCTGGAGCTTGAATGCATTATGCCTACTTACTAGATATCTATTTAGTTACATACCGTATATCAGGCCTTTTCTTAAAACATTTCATTCCTGTGTGGACGGCAAATATAAATTCAGAAATCGCGAGAACAATCCCTAAAACTATCGAATCAGATCAGTGAGTGGCGCATTGCAAGATTTATAGATCGCGATCTCTACGACATGGCCCTGTATTGCCGCAAGGGAAGATTTCATGCCCACTGAACGTTGTTCACTGTGCATTCTTCTAACGTAGAATACTTTGGCCATATCTGCCTTGAACATACGCTTTCGTTTTCCAACATACATTGACGGGATGGTTAGATTATCCGGAGGAGCTTGCTCTGTCAAAGATGCGGTAAGCCTCGAGGTTTCGAAAAAATTCTTTGATGAACTTTTATTATTCAATATTGGAACGAGTTAGACGATGAATGTCAACATGGAAAGGAACGACGAGAACCAAAAGGGATAAAGATCTGCAATCGATTCTGTACGAACTGTTATCCATATCCCACCAGTGTATGTCACGCAGGGTACCGAGTACACACACTCTAGGCCTGGGTCCACATGATACTATCTTATGGACTCACAGAAATATTGACCATTTGGCCTGTGTCGTCTACCAACAACATAGATAACGTGGCCCTATACATCTGCCTCCACCCAATAAATAGACGTACTCCACAGTTTTCTTCACCGCTTCCCACTTCTTTTTCAGCCCCCAGATCATAACAGATCCTGCGCCTCATTCTTCACACCAAGCCCCCTGGCACGTCCAAAGCGAAAGACGTTAAAAAAGCCGTGATGGGTGCCAGTCATGTGCACGACCACTATTCGAGCTCCGAAGATTTAGAAGAGCACAGTCCCTCGGTAAATTCCGAGAGAACTCCCACCCCAAGTCCCCTCCCCCTCTCCCTCGGAGGAAGTGGAGGAAGCGACCCGCTAGCCCCGTGCAAAACCTGCCGACTAAGAAAGCCAAGGCTGACTTGGCGTCTGCAACATCTCAGCAGAACACCGACTCTGTCTCTGACACAAGAACCATAAAGCCGAGCACCGACACTGACAATGGCACAAGCACAACTGTGATCACAAACCCGAGCACTGACCCCGTCGCGGACCTGCTCCGGGCATTCAAGGGGCTGACCCCTGCTCAACAGTCCCTGTTCATGAAGAAAGCCCCTGGCTACCTGGAAGGCTTGAGCAGCAAGCCTCTCCCCGAGGTCGGAATCTCGAGCGAGCTGGCGGGTCAAGCTCGCGGCATCAAGGCTTTCAGCGAGGAAGAAGCCATTAAGATCATCAGCGATATTGAGAAACTCCCTTCTCAGATTAACGCATTGCATGAACGAGCTAGGTTGGAAGATAGCCCATACATCAAAGACTTATGGAAAAAACACTATGCATTCCGCATTTACAAAAAGGCTGTGTTGTCTTCCATTCGTGACATGAAAGAACGGATCCGTGATCATCCAGAGCCAGGACAAAAGTGGCTCCATGCCTACCTAGCATCTGCTACCGGTGGCCTTTACTTGAAAGGTAAAAATGATGAAGACGAATCTGGAGACGAATCTGGAGACGAATCTGGAGACGAATCTGGAGACGAACCCGGAGACGAATCCGATGACATCTCCGATAATGAATCGATAGATGATGGCGAATCTGCATCCGAATCCGAATCCGAACCCGAACAATGATTCACTGATGCTGGAAAATGGGAAAGAAACGGCGGAGAAGAAGAGGATATTCGACTGGCTCAAAGCGTGATGGCTTTCGCCTCTCCGACTTGTAAGATATAATTTAATCTTTTTTTTTCTGTTTGCTTTTTTCGATGATACCCCGAGTGTGGAAGCAAAATGTTAGACACAATATGTCTGTCCTCTGCCATGATCTACGTAAAATATTATTCTCATTGGCTATCAGGATAGTATAGCGAGATATTGAAGTTCAGTCTACAGCAAATTTTCTTCGTACATATTTATAAAAAGGGTGAGATGAATGCAGCCAAGAAATATCAATCGGTCTTGGCATCGTGCATAATTACTGTGGTCGTTGGTCGCGTCTTGCCATTTCGATCCTCCACAATCTCCCGAGCTGGCAGTCCATCACCACGCTGCCTCTTTGGTTGCAAGGCCTCTGGAGAGATCTGGAAGACTGTAGCTGGCGAGGAAATGGTGTAGGGCTCCGCGTTGCCCTCAGCAAGTAGCGGGTATTTGGAAGCGCGCCGACAAAGACATTGCCTTCACTATCTACTGACAGATTATCGAGCGGGACTGAGATCCAGTACATCAACTTGAACCGATTTTTCGCCGTGCAATTGGTAAGCCACAACAATGCTTGTTCCTGATTATGAAACAAGAAAGTGCCCATTGTACAATTCCATTGGCCATCTGCCTTTCTCCCGAAGTCCGATTTACAGTAGCTGACACTTCCGCCCCCCTTGCAATTCCAAGGCCCGATCAAGCCCGGCTTTGATCGTATGATCATTGGTAACTGCGAATTTTCTAAACCCCTTTTTTGTCGAAATGTTGCAACATCGGCATAAATTCCAGCTGTCGGGTAGGCTTTGATTGCCGGGGTCCTAATATCACGCAAGATTTACGGTCTACCGCATATTGAGATGTGACCCCTTATATTAATAACGACTTGAATAATGCTGAAGCTCGGAGCTCTACTCGGTTGAAGTATTAGGAAACTCTAATATCGGGATTTGGAGACGGTTTGCGTTCATCACATTTCGAGTCTTGTCGTCACATTAAATATAAACCGCGAGGGTGCTCAGAAATTATGCACGACTCATAAGCAGTTGAATGAAAGCTGAATTACCTCGAGACTTCTTCATTGCAGCTCCAATATCTTGATGCTCGATAACTCCTCAATCTCCTCAGGCCCCAGCAGTCCTAGTGCCTCTCTCCGAGTGGGGGCACTGCTACTAAAAAAAGGCTTCTCCGCCAAAGAGGTCACCCGAGTACCATGTCGAGGCTGTGAGCCTTCATAGTCCCAACTGGCGTTGTGGATGGTGATTCTGCTTGATCGTGAGTATCGAAATAGGCTTGAAGTTCAGGCAAGGAAGAGTACATACCGATTATCCCAGAGGGCGCTTGTGCGCGGACTCCATTTGAAACGAACTTGAATATCCGGATTCTTCTCATAGACGTCATGCAAGTATTGTAAAACAACATCACTCTCAGCCTTGTCAAGTCCGATAATTCGCTCGGTCATCGCCCTATTGACCCACAGCGCCTTCCATCCCGTTGCGGGATGAACACGGACTAGAGGGTGCTCACGCTCCACGTACTTCGGCCCGGCCACAGGGTTATTGCGCTCAAGATACGGGTGAGAAGATAGATAGATGGCGGTCTTGCCGTCGATGAACTTGCGAAACTCGGGGGAGAGTTTCTCATATGCAGCGTATCCGCTTGCCCAGAGTGTATCTCCTCCCACAGTTGGGACGGTATCATTGTGAAGATGTGTTAACCCTGCCGGCTGCCTCTCATGAACCAAGTCGCTGTGCCATCGAGATGCGCCACCTGGTCGACGGAAGCTGGCTGGTGTCTCGGTGGCTTGCAGTGCGGGCCACATCACGGACACGCCGGGGATGCCGGGGACTTGAGGCACTTGTGGCTGTAGAAACAAAGTGAGCTTCTTCAATCTTCTTACATTTGTCAAATGCTCGTACATGGATTTCAACTTCCCCAAAATATTCGCCCAGGTCTTTTTGCTGCTGGGGAGAGATGTCTTGGTCACGGAAGAAAACGACGCTTCGTTCGGCGATTAGCAGGGCCAGCTCGTCCTTCTGCTGGTCGGTCAGATCTTTCAACTGCAGCCCGACGATCTCGGTACCAATATGTCTCGTGAGAGGAATCACTTCCTTAGCTGCGGACAGGAGCGCCTTCTTTCCAGGATCGGCGCGACTTCCAGGGTCTACGTGCTCGCGGTAATAGTTTCGCACATTGTAAACGTCATCCAAATAGAGAGGACGTGATGGCCGATAGGGATATCCAGCACTGAGATCAACACCCGATTTCTCCAACCGCTGCCTTGCAGGCGCTGGTAGACCGAGGGTGTCCTTCCGCGGCGGCGCCACGTCTACAATGCGAGGGTCGATGGGGGCAGGTGCCATGATGGTAATCTGGCAAGAGTCTCAAGACCGGAAAAGGAAACAATGATCCTGATAGCCCGTGGTAAATTGCCATATCTATGTATCGTTGTCCGTTACCTTAGAGCTGGACACATGTCATGCCCGCACTTACCGTCGTTTGACACCCGTGGACAAAGGCCTCGAGCACATCATTATCGCAATGCATTACGTCTTCTGTCAATCCCAGTTTCAAGTGCTGTCGTTGGCTGTGAGTTCTTCTCATCCAACCGGGGATACCCTTTACCCCTCATTTGTTTCCCAGAGGGAAATGAATCTATTTTGGTACCGCGAACTAGAGCCTTGTCATTCCTGGTCATGATGCTCACGGGCCAAACCCCTAATGTCACAATTCCGAAGGAAAATGGTGACGACAATTCTCCATATGATTTCTAATCTAGTCGTTGCCGTTTCTTCCGAGATGCTTTGGCTTTCGGTGGGTCATGAATTTGTAGGATCGAACATTCCATAGGAGGGTCGGCGATATGGTTCATCATTAGCTTCGATTGCGAAATCTGAAGTCACAATAGTTTCATGATGGCCTATAGTGGAGATTAAACAGGCCATATGTTTAAATACCCACAAACTCACCAGGTTATGCTCAATATTTACTTTCCTCACGCCAAAGCATTATGGCCGACAGGGCTATCCAAAGTGTAGCCATTATTGGAGCCGGTATTTCGGGGGTTGTTAGTGCTGCCTACCTTTTGGCAGCCGGAAAAGAGGTGACCGTCTTTGAAAGAAGCCAAGCAGCAGGCGGAGTCTGGTAGGAAGTTAATTTGATTGCAATTGCAAAACACTGACCCGAACTACGATCCAGGCTCTATGATAAACGAGTGCCGATCGAAGCCCAGTATCCATCAGTTAAACCACTTGATGCGAAACAGTATGTCCAGGATGGCCGTGAGGGCAAAGAAAGGCAGAATCTACTGCATGCACCACCTGGGTAGAGCAAGTCCAATTTGGTCATTCTGCGATTTATACTGATCGTTTCTAGTCCATGTTATGAAAGTCTGACAAACAATGTATCAACGCCATTACTACGCACTAAGTTAAATGCTTGGCCGGAAGGAACTCCGCATTATGTCAATCACAGTGTTCTGAAGGATTACATTCAAGATACTTCCAACAAATCAGGTGTCAGTAATGCGACTATTTATGGTGCTTTGGTCACGAAGGTATACAAGCAAGAGCAAAAGTGGCATGTCCATTGGACTTCATTGAATGAGGATCTCCAAACGGCGAGTTTGGTTGAGAGTCACAAATCAATGGTAGGTAACTTTCCCTGGAGCTAAAGTACTGCTTATTAAGAAGTAGATATTTGATGCTGTCGTCGTAGCATCCGGCCATTACCACACCCCCTTTGTTCCAGATATCCCGGGTCTTTCCCATGCGAAAGAAAGATGGCCAACGAGAATCACCCATTCGAAGGCATTTCGAAACGCTGATGGCTTTGAAGGAAAGGTAAGCTGAATGACACCAAGTACCAAGCTTTTGTACTCAAACTACCGCAGAATGTGCTCCTGATAGGGGGTGGGGTATCTTCAATGGATATTGCTCGAGAAATCAGTACTGTCTCGCAGACCATCTATCAAAGCACCCGAGGGGGCAAATTTGACATTCCCGCTGTTGCACTCCCAGAGAATGCCTCAAGACTCGAGGAGGTCGCATATTTCCAAATTAACGAGTCACCGAATAATCCCAATCAGCACTTACCGGTTACTGTGTGCTTGAAGTCTGGTCAAATCCTGCACAGTATTGACAGAATAGTTCTCTGCACGGGCTACCAGATGGACTTACCATTCTTTCCCCAGTATAACGACAACTCAGTGCCTGTGACGGAGGCGGATGACTCTATACTTGTCACGGATGGCACACAGATCCACAACCTGCATCGCGACATCTTTTACATCCCCGACCCAACCTTGGGGTTTGTGGGTATTCCTTTCTATACCGCTACATTTACCTTGTTCGAATTTCAAGCCATCGCCGTTACAGAGGTTTTCTCGGGGAATGCACAGCTGCCGCCAACCAAGGACATGAGAGAAGAGTACCTGGACAGAAGTCGAACCAAGGGCTACGGGCGGAACTTTCATTCGCTAAAGGGTGAAGAGGACACTTACGTGGAACAACTTCTGGATTGGGTGAATGGTGATAGAGCCCAACAGGGGTTATTACCGATTGAAGGGCATACTTGGTCTTGGGTGGAGGCAAAAGAACAGCAAGCTGAGCGATTGAAACAACTCTTCCAAGGATCTTTACAGATTTACAAACCCGAAATTGGCGCTCAGGGGGTGGGAGTTTCCGCATAGATCTTAATAGTACCCAAAGATCAGGCGCTGGGTCATGTAGATTTTAATGTGTGCATCTTTGAGATTGCTTAGATTTGGAAGAGCCAAAGAGACCCATGACCAATTACAGGATTGCTAAAGAAACAACGAATGGCAGATACGGGAAGGGCCATAGCAGAAGCTAGTATTAGAACCCATATGAAGTTACCTCTCATGCATTGAATAGACATCTGCCGATACTAAGCCAGAGAAGAAACATCAAGAGTCTGATAATATAAGAGCCTCATACGCAGCCCATATGCATAATCGCCGTAAATATTTTCATCGGATACACTCATCGAAACATTTGACGAGGTAAAGCTGTAGGTCTGATTGAGCTCCCAACTCATGGTTTCATTTCTGGAAACTTGAGCAATAGGCAACTGTTAAATCATTCTGACCGACTTGAACAATTTCGTACATGTTTCGGGAAGTCAAACCCCATGGGGCGCGAACAGCTTCGATTCAAGTGGCTGGTAGCAACAAATTTTAATTTCTTTTCGGTGATTTGTATTGCTTAAATTGGATCTTGAAATAAACGTTGCATCGCGTGCACTTCAAAATGTGTCTCGCGTGTGGCGGACAAGATGCTTGAGTCCCTGGTCACTTATTTCAGAGCTTCCCTCCCCTCGGCCTCGACAAAACAAAACACGCTCAACTTGCTCAACTGATCCAGCCAATTTAATAGACAACATTTCGTCTCTTGATCTAAAGCTTAAAGGCTATGACACTAAGTGCACATCCACTCAGGCTTTCGACCGGGAGCCTATCCCGAGTGCCGAGTAGGAAAACGCCTCCACCACCGGTTTTCGTGGGACATCAGTCTCCGAGATTCAGCAAATATTTCTCCAACATGGCACTAGGAAATCTCTTGGTAATGCAGTCCGATTAATCCTTGGGCTTATTCCAGATTCCGGATGCATCTATGTCCACTGAGGCTCACTTAGTCGGCGAGATCATCATAGAGCATGCTAGGCAGATACCATATCGCTAACGTTACCACTCCAATCCTAAAGCCTGGTACTAGTGACTAAGTCTTGTTGACAATTTGCTGTCCAAAAACAGTATTGGTATAAAGGAGTGTAAGCCTTAATCTGGATTGGAGACATATTGGAAAGCGGGGGGTGGGAGGTGGAAATATAAAAAATGTAGAATTTGTGTGACATTACTGGAGATAGAACTGTGTGATTGGTATTACTGACAAAGAATAATTGTTTTAGTGGCAATGAGGAAAATTCAAAACATGAAATCAAAATATCAGGATCAGATCCCTTGGTATTGAATTTAATCAACTAAGGACGTTGGGAGAGCAACCAAAATAGTTGAGATTGTAGCTAATGGCCTAGGTGGCAGCAAAAGCAAGATTATTCCCATGCATAAGTGCAAACGGGTGAGGTGGAAAGTGTGGCTCAAAGCCTCCTTGATTCGTCTCTGGGAGAAAAGATTCCTTTAATCCACTTGGGTCACCGCTGGGCCGCGTTTCTCTCCTGCCGATTCCGTCTGCATTTCCGTCATCTTCTCCGATTGAATTGCACCCAGCTCCAACTGACGAACGTGCTGGAACTGGACACTGGTCTTCCAAGCCCGCATTCCTGGAGTAGTGAACATAGTCTCCACCTCTTCCAGGGTCTTACCGGCAGTCTCGGGGAAGCAGAAATACACATGGACCGTCATTGCAAAACAAAAAACTCCAAACACCAGGTATACCTTCCACTTGATGTTCTCAAATGCTGGAGGCACAAAGTACGACAATGCGAAGTTAAAGATCCAGTTGGAGGCCGTTGACAGGGCAACTGCCTTGCCACGTAGTCGCAAGGGGAAGAGCTCGGGTGGATAAATCCAGCTGACGGGACCCCAGGTTGGCGCATAACTGGCGACAAACAGATAGGTGCAGGCGATGACTCCCTTGGCCGCTCCAGGGGCGGCAGAGAGATCCCAAGACTCCTCGGCGACATTGTCCACTCCACCCGGTTGCGCAGGCTTTCCGTACGACTTCATGATACCTCCATTGGCAAACATAAAGATCATCATGAGAGTGGAGCCCACCAGCAGGGGGAGTGCGACGACCCCAACGGTCGATGAAGAGTAAAGCAAGCACGGTCATTACGACATTGATCACGTACTGAATAGAGGAAGCAACCAGGTTGGCATTGCCTGAGAGGCCAGCCATTCCAAAGACGTAAGTAATGTATAGCATCATCACGTTCATACCCGTCAGCTGCGACCAGATCTGAGTGAACATGCCTATGTGGGTACGGTAGATCATATGGCCCTTGAAGAGCTCCACGTACGACGCGTCCTCGTTCTGACGCTCAAAGTCAACCATATCCCGGATCTCCTGCAGCTCGGTCAAGACAAATGGGGCACTCGTATCACCCTTTGCGTGAACCAATGCCAGCACCTCGTGAGCTTCTTCCCAACGGTCATGCTTAGCCAGCCAACGTGGGCTCTCGGGCAGTAAGAAAAACATGAAAAAGAGGAAGACGGCAGGAACCATTTGGAGACCCCAGGGGAGACGCCAGGCAGCGGGTCCGGTTAAGAAGCTGCTGCCATAGGAAATATAGAACATGATCAGAATGCCCCAGGTGATGGCCCATTGCTGAGCCCCCACAACCTGACCACGCTTGCTGGGCTGAGCCAGTTCGGCGACATAGACCGGGACCTGCGCACTGAGAATGCCGACCGATAGACCGTTGATGAAGCGACCGGCAACGAGTTGACCAATACTAAAGGATGAACAGACGATGGCACTTCCAATACACCAAATGATCGAGCCGGTCTGGATGGCTCGCTTCCGACCCAAATAATCCGTGATGAAACCCGAGATCAAAGCCCCAACAAAGGAACCACCTGGCATGGCTGCGGAGATACCACCCTGTGTGGACGAGGTTGGACCACCACAGTCTCCCTTATCATTGTGACCGGTCTGGTTGAAGAAACATTTGTACTGCTGGGTGCCAAGACTGTGGAGAGGATTTGACGAGGTCAGTGGAGGTGATCTTCGACTGTGGAGTATGGAATTATTCTCGTGGAGTCGCATTACTTACATGGCCGACATAGAAGCAATGTCAAAACCAAACAGTGCACCGCCTATGACGGCCACTGCGGTAATGATGTAGATATTTCCGACCACGTACCCCATGATGGGCGATGGGGGTGTTCAATGTGACAAATCTATAGAACAGGGAAAGACGAGAAGAGGAAGAGAGAGAAAACAAGACAGGGAAGGAACGTGAAGATATACAAACGACGGCAAACACGGGGTAGAGTTGTATGCGGGGGAAGAAATACAAACTATACAAAGGGTCCAACTCGACCAATGGAAGGACATTCGGTGAACTATCAATTTCCTACTTTACACTAGCGCATGCAACTTCACCTCATGGTTTCATTCAATCCTACCTAATCAAGTCATCCTTTGGTTGTGCGCCAGGTTCCACGGATCTTACTATTTGTTCGAATTCAAATTCAACCTGAGAAGATCTGTGCATTCTATTTGGGATTTTTCATCTACTGTACGCCATACCGCTGCATCATTTTCGAAGCTGCAAATGTGGCCCGCCCCCGCATTCCCATGATTGGTTCCGGAGTTGACATCTTGGCATTCGTCCTTTTTCTCCCTTTTTCTCTCACATCCTGCCAACTTCCAACACGACTGGGCTTGGACCATCTGAAACCCCGGGTTGCCAAGCCGGTAGAATCTGAATTTTGCTTGATTATGCGCTCGGCTCTCTGTTTTCTCAATTTTGGTTGGAGAACATGCTGACTCGTCGACTCGGCCCCCGAGTCTGTATACGATCGACAAGAAAGAGAGTTTCACCACAGCCAGCCCAGCCTCCCGTCCCACTAGTCACCGCGTGGCGCTCGTATCGTACGACCCAGGCTGTAACTTAGCACGAGACGGGTGTTTACCCCGTACTGGTGGCAGGATCCTATGAAAGGCGGGCGCCGGACGCCACCACTTCTTTCCCTTGCTTCTATGGCACTGACCTCCACCTCATCAATTTAGGTCCCCGGGGTCCCCCTGTCATCATAGGGCGGAATCATTCACCCGTCTTTTGTCCATCCCCCACGGGGACGAATGGGCTAGGGGCTCCAAGCATTGTGGTCAGGCGGCCCGTGTCTGACGGTCTGACCCAGAGGATCAAAGTGCATAGCGTGAAACAACCAGCAAATTTGTACCGCAAGCCGCTGACGAGAGTGGTGACCAGTACTACCACTATATCACTCTCGTTCATTCCGAGCGCCACCAATTAGAGCCAAGAGCTTGGTTGGTCCAGAACAGATCCGGATCAGATCGTCTTTCCCGGGTCTGAGAGTACAATGCCGAGGTGCCGATGCCTTGGGTCTCCTCCATATCTGTATTATTCTTTGCGGTTTCCTATTTGATCAATTTTGACGGAGATCCAGCCTGCAAGGCAGGTAGTTCCACAACATACTCATCTGCCCCGCTACACGTTTTTCGGGATATTTTTTGACGGGTAGATACTCCCAGGGTATCCCTGGGTCGAGTGGTGCTGTCTGTGTCACCGGGGCTGATGGCCGGGTGCGATGAGCGGATGGCTAAGCTCCGGTTCAGGTATACTTGGATCGGAAATTTATCGGCTAGTCCGATACATCATATCTTTACCTTTCATAGAGATATATTTCGGGACGGGAAAATATGAACGTTATATGTCTTCAGACATCACCCCGGCTATTGGTTGTCATTTTGAACTGACAATCTTTTTTTTTATACCAGAAAAGCCGTCTCGGTGAAGGTTCTCTGATTGCATCATTCAGGTTCGATTCGAGAATGCGAGACAGACGGATTTAATTAGTTCCTGGACTGAGGGATTTTCTAATACCACTGATTTCCCCAGATGGGAGATACTTGAGTGGCCTCGTCTGTGAGTCTTTGTGCGTAGCCGATTCTACCTGTGCCAGCAATTGAAGCCTGGGCTATTCAGAATTTGACACTTATTTCACTCCAAGAATCACCTGCTCTTGGTATGTAATGAATTCTAAAGGGTGTTGAAAATGCACAGAGCTACATGCTTTACTGCACATTGCGTGGCCCCAAAGCGTCTGTTTGCTTGATTATTTTACTTTGAGTCAACCATGACCTTATTACTTTTCAACATTAGGTAAATACAGTTCGCTTTTGTCCATTTCTTCAGAGGTATTTCCGGAAAGATGCTTAGGCGCTGGACTATTTGGCCCTAATTAACGTAGGTTACATTTTCATTGAATATGATGCATGCAAGGTGAATCTGGAATAAAAGACTTGGTTCTATATAACAATATACTAGTTCAATTCACATGACCCAGCATCATTGGTCTAGTGGTAGAATTCGTCGTTGCCATCGACGAGGCCCGTGTTCGATTCACGGATGATGCATTTCATTTTTTGGATTTTTTTTTCTTCCATTCGGTATAATACCACCCTGAATCTCCTACAGCCTTCCAATCTCAAACTTTGCACTCTCAATTGTTTCAACAACCCAACGTCACCGATTGACATATGTTTTGCATTCGGCCAAAGAGAGCAGACAAACCTTTATAATCAATGCCTTCCTGATGTAGTAGTGGTCATACCTAAAAGATCTTGGTCATATATATGTATATGAGTGTCCCTTACACCTTGGCATCATGATGACAAATAGAATGGATTGATTCCGAGTCTCAAAATAGCCATTAAGCGATCTAAGAAAGACGGGAGAGTCCATTAACACCAAGACACCGAAGGCCATGCCTTGAATTTTTTGTGCACCCCAACAAGTCAATACCGCTCAAACAAACACGAGAGCGCCAAAATCTGATAAACAAATTGAGGTCCATATACCTAATAAACACTTGTCGTTGGTCTTACACAACTTGCTACAGCTGTTTCGTTGTGAAGGAAAGCAACGTATCTCCAGGGCTCCAAGGTTATACGTCCATGATTGAGGTTTTATCTCGGTAAGCACAGTTTCCTTGCAATTTGCACTGGAAGTGGAAATCCGCGCATTTTTAAACTTGCAGATTCTTCCACGCGGCATACTTTCGGTAGATGTCACGGCGGAAGGTTTGTTTCAGCGAGGATATCACTTCAACATCAACCGGCAGCGCTGCCTGGATAGCACACAGGCCGCAAATATTGTTTTGGCGATCAATAAACCAAGTAAATGTCAGACCACCGCCCCATGTAAGTGTGTGCTCACCATACCAGCCATCAATATTCTCGAGCGTCAATAGTCCGCCTAGGCCATGGCCCACCTTCATTCCAGGGTCAGTTCCCACACGAAAAAAGGGACCCGCTGGGCTTGCTAGCGCAGCCTGGTGACCAGCCATTGCCTGCGGATTGAGGTGGTTTTGAAACATATTGTCCACAGTGGCGGCCTTGAGGAGCTTGCCATCATTAGCCAGTAAAGAATGTAGAACTTTCATGAAATCGGCGCCCGGCAAAAAATAGCCATGTCCACCAAAGTCACCAATGGTACGCTTATTCATGTCGCCACCACCACCGAGCACAGCACGGCCAAGGGCATCTGGATCATCAGGATTTAGATCAACCAGACGGCCTCGTAGGTCCTCGCGTTTGACTGGGTAGAACTGGCCATCGGTGATACCTAGTGGATCAAAAATCCTCTGCTGCATGCGTTCTCCCAACGTACATCGCGTCACCCGCTCAACCACACGACCGGCCCAATCAAGTCCAGGGCCATACATCCATCCATCACCGGGCTGGAAAGCGAGTGGATAACTGAACAACTCCTCAACCGTTCGACGCTCGGTTTGGGAACCAGCGAAAAGCTCACGCCACTTAGCGATGATTGGATTCAGAAAATGATAAGAAAGGCCAGAATTATGTATCAGCAGCATTTTCAGGGTAATGGGTTGAGTCGCAGGCTCGAGCAAAGGTGTTGTACCATCTTCAGCGAAGCCAGTCAGGATCTGCTTGGCGCCGAGCTCGGGTGCGATAAAAGAAAGATCATCATCGAGAGCCAAAATTCCGTCATCAACGCATTGGAGTGCCGCGATGGTGGAGATCAGTTTTGTTGCTGACGCTAAAAAAAGCACATCGTCGAGTTGTTGCGGTCGCGTCTCGCCCGATAAAAGAGTACGCTTGCCGAACGCTTTGTTGAAGACAAAAGAACCCCCAGAGTCGGTTGCACAGAGTACAGCACCGTTAATTTTGCCGGCCTTGAGAGCGGCGTGGAGGCTATTTTCAATTTGGTCACCCATGGTGAAGAGAAATACTCGAATGACTCAGTTGCTTTGTTCCGGTGCCGTTGTAAGCCTTATGCGAGAACTCTGGAGTCCAGGAAGCTTTGCCTTATAAGGAATGCCCAAAGGCTACAGTTTATTGCGATTTGCTTAGATTTTCGAATAATAATATGAACTTTCAGACATCACCTTTCCAGGATGCTGGTTAACGGACCGGTGGCTATTTGAACCCCACGGCGTTAAAAATAAACTCCGAGAGCTAGCAGCTTATTACGTACTACCTGCTGGCCAATTAGAAGCGCTTAGTCGGAATGCTGTACGGAGTACCTGATTTCCGCTAACTTCAACAATGTGTTTATTGTGCCGACTTTGTATTTTCATATGGACAAAATCATCATTCTACCAAATGAGAGCTTCCATTCGGCTCGTCCCAAGAACATGGAAGCGCCTTCTGGTAATCCAGTTGGTATAAGCTGGGATGCATGATTCAATGATAATTCACAATTTCACTGAATGTCCTATTGGTCGCTCATCTTGAATGTCAAATCCTAAAAATTTTCACTCTCTGTCCGTAATCGATCGTAATGCACCACAGCTTCAAGGAGAGCTTGGGTACCCAGGGCACTATCCTCATGCATTAATATCAGAATAAATGTCGGAAGTATTATGGATCTTACCAATCTTCAGGGCTGCAATACTCAGTCGGGTGATGACTGACGCCCTCTCGGCATGGCACGAAGATCATAGCCGACGGGCAATGCTTGCTAGTATATACCGTATCGTGACCGGCGCCACTGGTCATGAGCATAGATTGCTCTGGACCAACGAGATGATCCGCTGCTGCCTGGATAGATGCAACACAGTTCTGGTCAAACTTGACAGCCGGGGAGTCTGTATCCAACGTCCAGTCGAAAGACACGCCCTTGCCATCCTGGGAAGCGATTGTAGCAAATGCCTTGAAGATTTCATCTTGCACAGCATACACGACGCTGTCATTTGGGTGTCGGATATCAAGAGTAAAAGTCGCATTTGTAGCGAGAGTGTTGGTCGATGCATTCGGTGGCACTTTGAAAATGCCAGACGAGACTAGTGCGTTGTGTCGAGAGGCAATTTCGTTCGACACAGCGATCATCTTAGAAGCCGCCCGTACAGGATCCTTGCGGGTGCTGAGCGGTGTCGTTCCAGTGTGAGCGTCCTTCCCATGGATAGTGACAGTAAACCATCTGTATCCCTGAGCTCCCTGGACGACACCGATCGACCGACCAGTCCCCTCAAGGATAGGTCCCTGCTCGATGTGAAGTTCAAAATGAGCCCCAAGAGGATATCCGATTTTTTCATCACTCGAGCAGGGAATATCTCCCAGATACCCATGCCTCTCAAGCTCAGACCGGAGGTTTACGTCAGGGTTGTGAATATCGCGCAAATCCCAAGCCTTGCCGATTGGAATGGCGCCAGCCCAGACACCGGAGGAACACATGAACTTAGGGAACCTAGCACCTCCTCGCTAAATTTGATCCAAGTCAGTCATAAGCCAGAGTAAGCAAAAAAATAGTAATGGCAACGCACTTAGTCCAGTTCACAATACCAACATCGTGATTAGTCTTGAATCCACTATCTTTCATAGTCCGCAACACTTCCAACGCAGCCATAACTCCAAGGATGCCATCATAACGACCACCCCGAGGCTGGGTGTCGAGATGGCTACCCATCGCAATCATCGGTGTAGACGACTTGAGTGAGCCTGGCTGCCGTGCGAACATGTTACCCATCTGATCAACAGAAAGTGTGCAACCCAATTTTTTGACTTCAGCAGCAAGCCACGAGCGTACGCGAGCATCGTCATCCGTGAGTGTGAGACGAGCCATACCTGTCTCCGTTGACTTTCTACGATCATGTTAGAGATAGTTGTCTGTATACTGATAGTGAAACAAGGGATGGTGCATACTCGCCATAGTGATGGGCTGCTCCCCATTCACAAGTCTTGTGCAATGTCTCCCATAGTCGATCAGAATTGATCCTGAGCCCCGAGGGTGTATGTCGGCGGGCGGAAGTTGAAAATTGTCTGGCGCTTAAGCGGAGAGTATGGGATGCGCTGCTTGTTGCGTGCATATTGCAAGCTAGTCTTGATACTGAACTTGACAAAAATCAGAAGACGATATCACTGCTATCCGCTGAACATATATAAGCCATAAAACCAGTTTATTAAGAAGCAGGGAGTTTACACTGGTGGGTTCAGCATGGGTAAGGTGCTCCGACGCCTTCTATGAACACAGTAGGGCAAAGACAGATCCAATTTGCGGTTGGCTCAGCACAAAATTTAGATTTTCAAATGTATGATTTTTGATTGGATCAATTGAAAAGAAACCTTGGAAGGTCGGTGAATTTGACAAGCAACGCCTTCTAGTGACATAGCCAAGTACGCCAAGCCCCCTCGGAGCAACATTTGGGTTGAATAGAAAACAGCTCGGGTCACCTCTCGTTTTACCTCCCGCCCATGGTTTTTACCTTTCTCTCCTTGTCTTGTTTTCTTCTTGTGATTTATTCCAGTTCCCCATTTCTTACCTTTTGCCAAGGATCCGGGCTATATTTTCGAATACTAGTACCAGCCTCCAATTACAACTAAACCAATTTGCGCATTGATGGGTGTATGCGCCGCTCATGGGGAAGTTTAGAGTTGGGTTCGGAGGCATTATGGTATTCTTTTCATATCTACTATTTCCATCACTATGTTCAAGAAGCTATTCCCGGTGACCAATAAATTGTCGTTTTTTATACCTTCGAGTTATGTAGTCTACGCCCGCAGTTCCCCGCAGCGAGCCGTAGCCGCAACAACGATTTCCTTGATTCATTATTAACACCGGACATCGCGGAAATGAATAAGCCCTATACGAACCCACGGATGGAAAAAAATACTTTCGGTCTTCAAGGTGATACTGTGTACATCCTCTGATGATAATTGAACCTTGATTATCCAGCTACGCTAGTACATACATATCAGGAATCTTCCAGCGTGACTATAATACTCTTTAAAGATAGAAGATTACTAGGCCTGTAGTGACGGGAAAATAAGACATTTTCAGGTTCAGCCGCATAGACAGCAAGTGTTTCTCGAACTTACGCTAACCTTCTTGTCCAGCTCTCCTACGATCGGCGAGTAAGGTGTAGGACGATCTAGAGCGACGCCTCCGCTGGGTAGTTCAAGCCTCGCTCCTTGGCATTACGCATGATTTATCACGCAGCTTGTATAAATGAAATGAATGCAAATCACGAAGACTTAACAAGCCAGCTCGGTCAGCTCGCTATTTCAATGGTGATCTTGGTATATTCAACATCAAGGAGATCATCGCCTTTGGACTAAATGTAGATCAATAAGTCTTAGAAAAACGTATTTCAAAGCGGTAAGTATGGAGCGGCCGAGAAGGATTCGTGAACGCAAGAGCGGTTGAAAATGCCATGGCAAAGGTCACCGAGCGACAGACTGAGCGACTGATGCAACAAAGGCGACAGGGAGGCCCACGGGTTGACGGCTTCTTCCTTGATGGGGAGGACATGATCGGCCCGGATCCTTCTCAAAGTCTTGAAACATCACAAGCGTGGCAAAGACTGCAAGGCATGATTAGGTTAGCTGAGGTTAAAAAGACCGTTGAAGGCCTCATAGACACAATTAAATACAACTATCGTCGCGAGATAGACGGGCAACCTATGGTTGGCTACAGCCTCAACCTTTCTCGGAAATCTTGGAACTGGTAAAACGTCGGTCGCAAAGATATATGGCCAAATTCTGGTGGACATTGGCTTTCTATCAAATGGCGAAGGTAGGTGAGAACCACAATACTACTATTAACCCCGCTGACGAAAATACAGTCGTTGTTGAGTACCCATCAGATTTCGTTGGGAGCGTTATTGGTGAGTCGGAGAAAACACAAAGGGCATTCTCGCAGCTACATTGGGGAAAGTTTGGTCATAGACGAAGCCTATGTATCGTGTCTAGAATTTTGGCTTAGCGGACCTTACAGCAATGGCAGCATAATCACCCATGATTATCTTCATCCATAGACTGAGCTCTTCACCAAATCGTCGTCCATTTTGTAGTCATTCTTCCATATTAGCTATCCATTTTCGTTCCTGTTCAACCTACCTCTCCACCTCCAATTGGGCCCAAGTTGCACATTCCTTCGAATTCTGATCAACCATGTTTAACGGAAAAAATGGGATCCACCTTTAAATGTGACCTCGCTTACACGGTAACTCTGAATTCCCCCTAAGTAGCTTCGAATAGTCCCACACAGTCGAATTCCTTCCAGTAGCCCATGCCGAGGCAACTATGATCTTCCTCCGAGATGGACTTGGCTGATGGGCGCAACTCTAGTAAAATATTCCATTGTTGCGCATTTCATGACGATAGAGGTGATCCACAGCATCTAAGGGATGAAGGTCTGATATGGCATCGCCATTCATTTCCAGCGTCTCATCACTTTGCTGTTGAAATATCAGTCTCTGGATCAAGGAATGAGATAAATGTGCTATGAGGTGACAAAGGCGACTAGAACACTTCGACATTTTTATTGTCTAGTAACTGTTTAGGACCCCCGAAGCTACACGAGTCCGTACCCCAGTAATCACTCGAGACAGGGCCAGTTTGAACTGGCATAATTTGGCCATTTTCAATTGAAGCTTATGCTATGAAGCGGGATGTCCAAGACCCTGACCTATTGAGACTTAATGTCTGGATTCAAGGTGCTTCCTGAAAGAGACTTGAGGCGTTTAAAGGATGACTGGGTCATGGAAAATCGTATTCAATCGCAATTTAGGCAGCATAAAGGCCAATCTGACTAGCTGGATACCGTCTGTGCTATGACCGATGCCGATGAGCGGACGAGACGTCTGATCGCGGCATTCGTAGATCAAGGTGCACAAATCGTGGCTGTGGTCCATGCACTATGGGTTGTCGCCTAATTCTCTAGCGTTGATCATTTCATTTTTGCTTGATTGACCAGATCGGCCATTCAAATACTGCTGATGGTGAAGTCAAGTCCCATGGACTGCTCGTAAAGACTCCCCAGGTGTGCCATAGGCTTCCTCGGTAACAACTGCAGAGGCACAAGCTTGATTGTGACGGCAGGTAGCTTGGCTCCAGGTCCCTGCGGCACGACAACTTGGTTTGCAGGTAGATAAAGATTGGATTGTTTTCCCAGTTGATGATCATTGCGCCTCGAAATTCCCGCACTTGCATTGAATATACTTGATGTCCATCGACATCGAAATATGCTCCAGTCATATGCACAAGAATTAAAGGTGGAAACCGTTCACTGAGGAGAAATGGAAGATCGAGCCTGATGTAGAAGATTTATCGATTGAAATCAGGTAAAAATGGGGAGTCTGGAAAGGGGGACGTGGCTAACGGAAGAGCAACACATCCCGCCATCGCGTCGTGCCCATATTTCATGTGGATTCACCAAGCCGAGCCAATTATAATATAATACTATTTTGGGATCCTGCTGGTGCCGAAATAAGCATATCGAGTCCTCACAACGTCTGTCCACCCTGATATCCCGATGATCAGGAACCAGGACATTTTGCCCCCCAAAGGATAAGCAACCATCTTCTTACGTTGACTCTTTTCGCGGCAATAACCGATGAAAGGTTTTATCAGCCAAGAATTATCTCGCTCCACATGCCGTGGATAATTAAGTGAGCACTCGCCGAAAACTTCACGGCCCCTTGGCCCGAATGAAGTATTTATCAAGCTAGCCAATAATCCCGGCTACCCACTTGGTCATGAACGTTGGGCGGTCAATTATACGGCTATCATCAGTTCTCGTGAGACGTTTTAAACCTTATTGGGCTCGCCTGACTTTCATTTAAACCTCATCCGCTACAGTTGGCTGCATCTGCGTTTCCTTCATCCCAGCTTGGCTGCGCTTACCGACTCCTCCAACTCCAACGTCGTATATATGGCTCCCATCTCTGCCTGCACTATGAGGGAATGGGCGTCGCAATTGCATTAGCCGCCGACGCCCAGCTGTGTTATGTTTTTCAACCGAGTGAGCTACTTCTGCATACCGCACCCACTGACGCGTTTGACCTGGTTCTCCTAGGCCAGATGGTGGACCTGATGGTGTCGCATGCAGAAAGTTTACTCTCTGTGAAGCTACTAGGCCCGTAGGATTCCTTCCACTGGGAATGCCTTGACTGTAACCCCCGCCACGCGAGTTGCTGAGCTTACGTTCTCGCCCACCACCACGTTTGCCGCTATCTCAGCGACAAAACCACGCGATGTCAAGATCACTGCCGCTATACATGTCAGTCTGGCTGGGTTGACATCCATCGCGCAATTTCTAAGCTCCAGGGCCGCCATTACACCAGGACCATCGAATATTATTGCGGCCGTGTCTACCCGAGTCGTACTAGACTCCGGCAGTGGAAGACGGGCTATACACGTCGTGCTGATTGACACGGGTTGAAGTTTCCGGGACTTGGCAGGAGCGTGCTCGCATATATTAGGCGGAGTACGAAAAGGGCATCGGTAGGGAGTATGTCCCGGCGCACCGAAAGTATGTGTCGACTTTGGTCAAGGTTATCAAGAACCTGCTGACGCCGATAGAGCCGCCCAGCGATATGGATATTAGTAACATAGGGTCTAGAGTGTAAATACGGGCGGAGGGGGAATCCGGCATTACGTATGGTGGGGTTGTGGAAATGCTTTCACATCAAGAAGTTGATTTGTGTGGACAATCCGTGATCAATTGGCACCGCGGGCTGGTTCATTATCAGGCTTTCCACGCCGCAGGGCAGATGCAAGAGTTTTGTAAGATCCTTTGAAGGATTTGCTAAAGAAATTCTAGGACACGAAGTAAAGGATAGGAAATTTCTGTTATCTGATCTGTTTTATCTCCCAATTTGAATAAATTGAACCTGGTTCCATTTTTCTCCAGTCGTATTTTAAAAATGTAGTATCTTCTTCGATCTAGAGCTATGTAACAAGTCTCTGGTCATAAAGCCTACAGGGGTATTTTTACTCGCTTATCCTTGGGGAATAGTTTGCTTTTCGGAATTGAGTGTTACAAGCCGGAATGATTGCCAGTTTCTAATTTCAGCACTGGTCCTTTTAATTGGCTACAAATACTTCTGCTCCCATGATTTTTTAAATTGATCCAAAAACCCCCAGACGAAAGACCGAAGGTTAGACGGGAACTATAATAATATTATCTTTCAGCGTGCACGAAGCTTTGGTCGTCGTGTGCAGTATTATCGCAAGCTGGTCTCTCTAGAACTATGTAAATCCCATCACTATGTACAAGCCTTCTCTCCGTAGCTACTGGCCTCATGAATTATGGCGAAATAATTGATTATTGTCTTTTTAGCTTGGAGATCGCAGAAATGAAAGTCGGCAGGAGTCAATCAAGAAGAGACGGGACAGAGTCGCCCGTTGTTGTTCCACGAGTAGGGTAATGGATCAGTGGTCTGAACCTCCCAGTCTTCGGCGCCGACAGCAGTAAGAGCGAAGAAGAGACCACTTGGATCATACTCCTGCTTAATTGCATAAAGACGTGGGTAGTTGGTACCGTAGAAGGCTTCCTGGAGATTTGGCTCCAGGAGATCGGCCTCACTCATGTAGGCGCCAGAGTCGGGGGCGATCTCACGGAGCACATCCATCCACTCTGTCACAAAGAGTGAGGAATCCTTGATCACATCCCAGGAGGAGGTAAAATTCCATTCGGAGCCGACGATAACGTGAGTGAGGGTATCACGCCATGCGGGGAGTACGGAGGAGTCCGTTGGTGGATCGACGGCAATTCCGGTACCGCTAACGTGGAAACCGGCGATGAAAAGGCCCTACAATTGTGAGGATCTAGCAGAAAGAAGATAAGAGGGAGCCCTTGTGCGAATATTGCTTACCTTCTCCACAGCGTCCTTGTAGGCAGCCGAGGTCTTGTTGAGGAGGGTCTCGTTCTGGAAGACACTACGAGGAAGTAGACGGGAAGCGGTCTTGACGACGTCGGTTCCGACATATTCCTGGGGAAAAGCATTGACCCAAACATCATGGCTGATAATGCGGATTAGCAGGGCACCGAAAATAAATTTGCGCCAAGTAGAGAGAGCAAACACACAAGTTATCCGCGTTGTTGTACCACGGTGTGTAGGTGACATTCAGGCTGTCGAGGGTTTTGAACCATGGGGCGACCAGGGCCTTGGTCTCAGCAAGGGTCTTGTTCGGCGCGATGAAAGATTCCATGCGGAAATAGTAGTCAGTGTCACCGGCATAGGTAGTGCCAATCTCAGCCGAGGAAGCGCCAATGTAGTAATAACCATAGGTACCAGCATCAACAAAGTCCTCAAAGTGGTCGAGGTACGACGAAACTGCGGCCCAGAAAGCATTAGGACCAGGTGTGTCGCTAACAGTGAAATTGAAGGTCACAGTAGTAGTCTCCAACTTGGGCAAGGCCTTGACAACCAGAGAAGTGACGACGCCAATGGTACTACCACCGCCACCACGGAGCATCCAGAAAACATCCGCATGCTCGGTGGCGCTAGCAGTAATGAATCGACCATCCGCAAGAACGACTAAGTATATTTAACAAGGGGACCCTGCAAGGAGTTTGCAAAGGGTGATAGGAAATTTGACTTACCTTGCATGGAGAGGACTTGATCAGATGCCATACCGTACATGCTAGACAAGGGGGAGTGACCACCACCAGCAGTGTAGCCACCACCCAGGCCAACAGTGACCGCCTCGCCTCCAACGACGGAGTGGCCAACAGATTTGGCAAATTCATAAGCCTCCCAGACCTGAACACCAGAGCCAAACTTGATAGCTGGGCCGACGTAGCCATTGGTGGCCTTGTAGTGGGGAAGGTACTCCTTGTCCTTCAAATGATGAGTCCAAACGGAGAGTGCCCCCTTGCCAGCGGCTTTGCCATTGAAATCATGGCCAGTGTTCTTCACCACGAACCGCAGGTTCAGGTTTCGGGCAAAGTTGACCGCCAGTTGAACCTGGGCGACGGTGGAGATGTTGACAGCATAGGTGGGGTAGGAACCCTGCGTGCAGGTCGAAGTGTAGTTATACGGCGACGGCAGACAAGTGCGACCCTCATACAATGGCAGCATGATGGATGTAGGGTCACTCATGTGCAAGTTCGAGGTAAGCCACTCTGCAGTGATAGTCGCACACTTGGTGGCATCATACTCTGGCCAGTCTGGGTAGCAAAAGGCGGCCAGAGGCTTTGTCTTGATCAGAGACCCGCCGAGAAGGATGTCAAAAATATCCCAAACTATTTCAGAGGGCCACAGCAAGTCCCCAGGCATAGGTTTGCAATGGTGGCGCACGGCACGCTTGGTAACGGTGGAGTTGGAGTTGGTAAAGTTACCAAAAGCAAACATATTAGCAATCGTCTGATTTTGCAACGACTGAGACACATTGACAAGTTCGCTCTCGGTCAGCTGCAGCTGTTCATACGAAAACAACGTAGGTGTGGTGATAGTGGCCGCTGCTGCTGTGAGAGATACGGTCGACAGAGCCTGGGCGAATGACGCGCTGGCCACCAGAGCCAGTCCACTCACACCCTTCATGTTGACAATTATCTGACCAAGAGATCAACGAATGCAAAGAAGAGGTAGAAAGAGAAGTCTTTTGCAGGAGAGTGAAAGTAAGGTTCAAACCCCTGTCAACAACGTGGTTATATACCTTGAAAGGATTGATTACTTAAATTTAATTGTATCAACGGCACTGGACCGACCACGCGGCAAATGACTACCAATCAAACTTCCCGGCGGAAGCGACCGGATATTCAATAGTCAGAGAAATTGTTGACGCCTCCATCAGATTTTAAATGAATGTGAATGGTGGTTGGTGGACTAAGGAACGCCGCATGCTTAGCGGTGCATTAGTGATGTCGCTAATATTGCAAGACGCCGCCAAATGGTCAATTAATTTAGCACGGAAAACGAAGTACGCCGGTGTCTCACAATTAGGCCTACACAGCCTGATCACCATCATCCAATTGCCCCTTATTGCAAAATCTTCTGCATCAAAGGAGATATGTTTCTATATGGTGTAAAAAAATCCACATGTCATAGAAGCCATGGAATTGTGGCATGTTTTGGTTTCTTATGACGTCCCGTCGTTCTGACTTCCGGTCTTGGCCCCCTCGGTTCCGGGTCTGTCTGAAAATCGATGCCAAGCAACTAAGATCGCAACAGCTATTCCTCATTGAGATCCTCCTAATGCCTTGTAATTTAGCGTCGGAGGCGCGGCCAATTGAGGACAATGACCAGTGAAAGCCTTACTCTGGACTAAATTTGACTTTCACAGGATCGCAGGGGTGTACCGAAAGCCACAATATGGAAAACAAAACAAAAGGACTGTCCAAGACTACTTTAACTCCGGCTGCAGGGATTAATACTCAAAGACAACAAAACCCTGGTTCGCCCAGCTGAAGATTTTTGTCTAGCACCCAGCGAAATTATCCTTATACTCTTAAAGAGTGGGATATGCAGCGAATAAAGAGAAATGAGCTCCAGTGACAATCTACAGCCGCAGGCTATTGGCCTGATTTTTGCATTTCCCTGTCTTGCGACCGTCGCCGTGGCTCTACGCATTTACAGTCGCATGTTGACAAGATCCTTCGGTGCAGGTCAGTCTGACATCCTGACCATCGATTCATTATCGTGAAATAGGTTATCCTAACAATTATTAGATGACTGGGTTATTTACATCGCATTGGTGAGTCGCGAAGCCGCGCAGACCATCGGTTCATCTCATTAATAGATCGGCAGATCTTGTACTGGGCGGAGACGTTTACGTCGTACAAAGGTAAGATCTGCAAAAGAACACTCACGGGTCTTGCTCCATAAGGCTAAAACTTCTTTAGTGATCATATATATGTATATTGGATACAACGTCAGCGACGTTCCTAAGGACTATCCTGCGATCCTCGGTAACAAATACGGCTATGCGGTGCGTAAAGAGTGTTCGCAAATCACGGTGAGATGTCCTCGCTAACAAATATAAAAGACTGAGCTCATCTACAACCCAATTCTGGCTCTTGTCAAAACGTCTATCCTCCTCTTCCTGTTACGTCTGACCGGCCAGAAAAAGTCAGTACGTTACTCCATCTGGGGACTACTAGTCTTTAATGGAGTCGCCGCTTTGGCTACATTCCTCATCACTGTCTTTCATTGTGTGCCCGTCGCCTATAACTGGAATGCAGCCGCGTATCCTAACGGGAAATGTATGAACTTTGCCGACTTCGTCACCGGCACGGCCTCCGTCTCTATCTTCACCGACGTTCTTGCCTTGATACTACCTACCTGGATCGTTTATGAGCTTCAGATGCAATGGAACCAGAAGCTTATGCTGATCGGTATTCTCTCATTTGGTCTCTTGTGAGTCCTTTGACTCTTTTCAATCGGTTGCACACTAATCAAACCAGAACCGTTGCCGCGGGCATTATTCGCGTCGTTCTCCTTGATAACTACGATCGTCATATGCCAAAGAATTACACTCATTCGGTCTTATTCTGCGTATCCACCATTGAAGTCGGCTTATCCTTTGTCGCTGCCTGTGCTCCCTCATTCAAACCCCTGGTTGCGCGGCTTCTGCCAAAGCTATTGGGCGGCTCGTCCCGAAGCGGCCGATACCACAACGGCTCCACTGGCCGCAGCGGTCGGGCTCGAAGTTACAATCTCGAGAATTTTACCCGACGAACGAACGACCAGAGCCTGACCGTCGTCGAGGCAGGGGAGAATGAGCGAAGTTACAGACCTGCCGAGCCAAGTCCCAAAAATATGATCACCATGACCACGCAAATGGAGGTTACTTGGGAACGCCCGCCCACTGGTCAGGGGCAGCATACCAGCACCAGCAGTACAGAAAGTCTTGTTCATGCGAAGTAGCCTTTGACTAGTGATGCAGGCTTAGAGGCAAACTTCTCATGTTCATATTCCACATAGCTTAGGATTATGTAAAAATCAAAATGGAAAATTACCAGCAATATTCTTTATATATCCATCCACATACTGTATTCAATATTCCCTGTATCCTATCCATGTGGATTCGAGAACCACCGATGGAACATAAGTTTAGCCCCACTCCGTCCCGTAGACAGAGACTTTTTATATTCAATAAGAGGCCCAAGTATACAATGGGTGAAAAGTCTTATTGCTAAAAATTCGATCAGAAATCACAGTGGAGTCGCTTAATTAATTAGGCCTAGCGCTTAGGGGACATCCCGTCTTTGTACCGCCGAGGTCCACACGAACCTTCGAGGCGGGATCTGGATCCTTTCACCAGGTCCTTGTGGATAGACGCCACGGCTACCCACTTCCAATGGAATCAGTATGTTTAGGAGACCCGCGATTCTCTTTGCCGAGCAAGTCTTAACAAATAATCCAGAAGAGTCCTGAATGACCGGGAACATGAGTGGATTGCAATCTCACCACAATTAACATGAAGATAGCAATAGCCTCTAGAAAAACAATTCCAACTTTGGAACCAGGAGATGTCATTGACTCAAGAAAGAAGTTTTCCCCTGGGCTCCTGAACACAGTTTTGACCATATCACGAAACAGAAATCTCCAACACGAAATCGTATTGGAACTCATCAAATCATCTCGGGAGACTCTTTCGAACCAGATAAATAATCTGTCAAGAACTAACTTTAGACAAATACATGTGCTTAGCACCTATGGGCTCTACAGAATGGGACCACCTGGGTATAATTACATGAATAGGCTGGCATGAGAGGAGAATCGTGGAATCCGACCTGGCTTTACGAAGTACATACTCTTCATTTTCAAGCTCAGTCACATGACTAGCCATGCTGGAGATCAACGCTACGCTCTATTATCATTATAATTATCTTCTCATCTGTCTTAATTCAGAAAATTATTGTTTTTGTGTCCTCGTTTCGTCTGTAGACTTGGCGCTGATACATATACGCTCCATTATTACTGTCTTCTCTGACAGCTTCGACTAGCACCTGACATCCTGGTATAAAGAACTGCTATGTACATATTTGTACCCTCCTATGAAACAGCCGCAGTTTAAATTATGGCTTCGCCTGAAGTAAGCCTATTCCCCCAACCGATTATTATGCTCCCCCCTTAAAATCATATTCTTCAATTACATTCTCATAACATCACTCTAACTTTAACTTTTTCTTTTTCTTTTTTCTTTTTCTTTTGTTTTTGGAAAATAAGGACATCATGTAGATCAGCAAAAGGAAAATCTTTTTAAAACTTTCAAGTATTAGAGGGATGATATTGAAATGTAGACAGATCATACAAACTTGACAGGGCTTAAATAACAGTCGGTTAGATGGACAGAAAGAATTAAGGCGAAGCTACAGTTCAAACTGGATGGGCACTGTATAGCAGGGTACAATTTGCAAACCCGGGGTACAAATTACAATTCTTCTGGAAAATATATATATTAGAGTGAGATTTGCTGGAAAGACTTATCGAGTGTTCTTTGGCCGGGCACTACGTTTGACAAGTCAACAAGCCTGATGACATTCTACACGGCAGCATGGAGAATAGAGACAGTATGGAAATACCTCATATTGCCAATACAAGCGAAGTTGGCTGAAGAAGAAAGGTTCATAGAAGCAATTTCTTATCATACAATTCAGAAATTTGACATTTATGTGGCGAATTCGACGACGCACAATTTCAGTATCGTCTGGACTGTCAACTGTCTCTCAAACAGTTCCAGCGGCCAAAACATAGCCACCATCAACGACGATAGTCTGTCCGTTGAGGTATTGGTTCGCAACGGTAAAAAGAACAGCGCCTGCCATATCCTCATCCTTTCCGGGGCGCGCGGCAGGAACCTTGGACTCATACTTTTCCTTGGGGATTGAGCTCTTCTGTTTCTCATCACTGTCTTTAGCCGTCATCTCCGACGGGAAGACACCCGGTGCAATATTATTCACACGGATCTTCAGGTTGGAAGACATGATTTCGTGTGCCAACATCTTAGTCAGATGAATAGCAGCTGCTTTGCTAGAGTTGTAGGCAAAGTGGTGTTGAGCTGTCTTGATGATACCCGAAATGGAAGTAATGTTAACCACAGTGCTGGACCAACCACGTTCGTCCTCTGTTCCTTTGTTGAGTAATGGTAGAAAGGCCGAGGTTGTGAAAAACAGCTGCGTAACATTGGTTCGCATCACATCTTCCCATTCTTCGATCGTGCTCTTGTTGTGGAAAAACTCTTCTTGAAGAGCTTTCGGATCATTGTGCTCCGTCTCGTAAGTAGTAGAGCTAATACCGGCGTTGTTGATCAAAATGTGTAGCTTGGACTCTTTGGAAGAGATTACATTGACAAGCTTCTGGATAGACTCCTTGGAGGTAATATCGGCCGTGATTGGGATAATCTGACCGGGAATATTCTTTCCGTATAGCTCTGCCACCCGCTCTAATTTCTCATCCGTGCGACCTGTGATGTAAACTTTGGCACCGTTGACCGCTAGTGATTGAGTGGCCATTAAACCGATCCCCGACCCCCGCCGGTGACAAGAGCCACTAGTAGATAATTAGCACGATCCGCACGAGAGAATGAATGTTGAGACATGGTCAACTTTGTGCTCCACTTACCTCTGTCCTTAACATTGAAGATATTCTCGAGCCTGAAGTTTTGATTGATATCTTGTGCAGTCATTTTGAGATACGTATGGTGAAAACGCTTAAAGGTAAGTCGAAAAGCCATTGTTGCGCAAGCGGGGGCAGAGCTTTTAATTATCAATTGATCCTTTACGTCAGTGAAATTTGCCCTCGAAACAAGTGTTGATCGGAAAAGATGATTGGGTGAACGTCAAGGATTTTGTAATCCGGGGATGAAGTCAATGGTAGGTAAGAATGTGGTCATAGCTGAATTGATTGGAGAGAATGAATGATTAGATTGGACGGCTTTCTCTGTGTAATGTACAGTAGGTCCGAAAGCACGCGTCGGCTCGGTTTGTCATCCGCCAATCAGAACGCCCAATTTTGTTATGGTTAAATGAATGACGTATGCCAAACCTCTCATAGTCTCAAGGCAAGGCTAGGTATATATTTGACTTACAGGTATTATGCCTTTCAAAGGCTGCTACTGTAGGTGCTTCAACCGGTGGAAAAAGGTACGTCATTCATCTTCAGAGTACGGCAGCCGTGGAGCACACACTTGTCCGGAGTATACCTTCCAGCATGCAGAGACTTTCTATAGCGTCAAATTATCTGCCAATCTCTTTAAAACACATTGAAGGCATTAGGTATGAGGTAGTGCCATCTAGCGGTGACTTTGTTGCCCGCCTTGGGGGTCCCATGAGTCATGACTACCAGTCATTTGTGGCTGGAATAGCCGGGAATGGAGACGAACGGGAACGACAGAAAACGTCAATACCGCTTTGGCGAAGGTAAATGTGGTCGCAGTATACTTTGACGCCGCACTGGCCCAGAATCATTATATAAATTTTCGAGTTGCCTGATCGGGAACGCGTCTACAATTGTTACCTTCATATGCCGCGTGTAACCCCTTATCAAACATTTTCAAAGCTTCCTCAGGACCGCTGTGGCTGAGTCGCCGTTCTATTTTCTATCTCTCACGGAAATTGTTCTAATTGTCTTCATGAGACTGCAAAGTGGCCATTTCCCACAAAAGGTGGAAAAAAGCTTTTTATGACGGCTCCCCAGTCTAAGGTTTACTTTCCAACGGCGGTGATGGGCTGCAATAGTATACAAGATTTTCAACATTCGTTAAAAGCTGGTCTTTGCCATGTAACAATATGGACTTTGCGGTCAAATAGCGCCCCAAGTTATAGAACTCGTCTCATGCCTAAACAAGATTGCCTTTATACCCTCGATCTATGATTGTGCAGATCTATTAAATTTTCTTTTTCTGCAAATGAGAGGCTCTTGAGGCACATGCATTTGATTCGAGACAAAGCCCTTACGATGCAGGTCACTCTCCACATTATCTGATAGTTCTGTATGGCCGGCAGTGTGAGTTACATTTAAATTTAGTAACCAGCTGACTCGCCACATGAATCGAAATTTAGAATAGCTGGTTCAAAGGGCCAAAACCGGAAACATTGAAGTTGTTTTGAGGTCTTTCTGTTCAATCAGCAACAACAATCCTTCTTCTATCTTGCCCTTTAATGGAGAAAGTAAGCTAGTGCGAGAGACTGTACTCTTACCAGTTCTTCATACTAAGACTCAAGGAATAGTAGAAGATTCGCACTCCAGCTTTTCTGTCGAAGTGGCAATGGGTTTACGAGGAAGTGGTTTCAGAGGTCATATGGCCAGAACCTGTAGGTCGATCAACGCTTCTCCCTCTCGTTCTTCTTACTTTCTCATCACCAACCACAGTACACAGAGTGCTCTATCTTTTCTGCCCTGCAGATAAGAGTATCATCTTTCGCTATTGAATGCTCAGCATTTTTGTATTTTGCGAAAGTCAGAGATGGAAAGCCTTAAAGTTATTAAAATGGCCATCATTATATGTAGTAGTGGTTGTGTTAACATACCTTGTCCAAGATGTAGTATAGTAATGGCGAATTATTTGTTACTTATTGGCTTATAATCAAAACATGAGTTGGATTCAATATTGTGCCAACTAAGGATAATCATGAAGAACATGGTACCTATGAACTACAGCGTATGTGAGCCCCCAACTGCTCTCTTACCTGTCTCTATGATATGATCAGCAGAGAGCCCACTACGCGCCGGGGCGAGTTTCTATGTCCAGTTACGTCAGCCTACTCATTCAATGTAGATACTAGCTAATTAATTCACTCTCCTGTGATTTTGATATTGTAATAAAGATAATTTTCCTACTGGAAGGGCTCCGAAAATAGGAGATGTAAATAGGTAATAGGGAGTTGTGCAGGTCATATTTCTGGGACTCGGATCACATTTTAAAACAAGCGACTTTGTATTATCAAGAATATATCCAGGATGAAATAGTAGAAATAGCGCATTTCTATACAAAATCTCCCCTTTTGAAGGTTCTCAAGTTTCGCGCTTACAACGACGAGGCCTTTCGCTGCGGAACCCAGGGTAGATCTCTTAGAAGCCGTTTTATTTGCTTTTAAGCTCTAACACCCCAAGAAACTGTAAATTCTGAAAGAATAGCATTAGTCCCGTGAGCTTTGAATAGGCATCTCTTTCAAAAGTGATGCGGTACTGGCTACCCTTTTCCAGCTGTAGCGAAAACAGACGTAATGATATGTCACTATAGGCTGGCATTCACGCTCTAATCAGAGAGAACTTTCTTTCCTTTCCATGGAATCAACTTCGTAGTTAGACCTTGGGTTCTGTGTATTCTATACCGCAAGCAAATGGCTTTTAGCAGAGTGTGTGTCACCTTGAACTTGGGTAAGACTTTGTTAAAGGGTCTACATATAATTAGTACCATTTTTCCTAGGCATCATTAATTCGCCGTTGCCCTGTGAAAAAACCTTACCAATATGCTTACCGATTAAAGGGAATAGAAGGAAGGCATAAGAGCCCCTATTTTGAAATTTCACACCAATTTGGATCAACATATCTCAGGATTAAAGAGACCTAAGCGTCGCTATCTATGAACAATTGGACTTAATACGAATCTGGAAATCATTCACATAACTCTACAATTATATGGCCCGCCTTATCCCTTCATCTATGTTGAGCTCAGCATTTGGCCCTTGAGGGTCTCTCATTTATCCACAGGGCCGGCGATTTCCAATCGATTATTTCCAAACGCTACCGCTTTTCAAGCCCTAGGGGAGGAAAAGAGACGCATGGTCGCTGCTCCTTTATTTTTGAGCACGTAGCAACGCGCACCTTACGAGATAATGCGCGACATGTTGACTAGATCAGCACGGCAGTAACTTTCTGATATACCACATCGTTTTACATGCTAATGTTTTTGGAAATTTCAGAACAAGCTTTCACTGGAGACATTCCACTTGAGTCATAAATTTGTGCACGGAAAGACTACTCTTGTCGTGCTTAGTTGATTGTGAATATTGCCAATGAATCCGGTCCATATAATTGTATGTAGTGTAGATCTAGGCCTGAACGTCCACCAGTATTTTACAGTGCTCATCCCTATGCTCAAGCAGTGCTTTAAATCCTTTCTCCACAACTTCATCCAATCTGATGCGCGAGCTAATCATACCTTCCGGTTTCAGTAGGCCTGCTCATATATTCGCCGTGATTCAGTAACGTTGATTCACCCAGGGACGTCAAAAAGGATAAAGAAAGTCAAAAAGGTACACTTACCATCATTGACTGCGCGGATCGTATCCAAAAACGAAGTTTCGTCATACAGAGCCGCTCCCATGTACCGGAGCTCTTTGTACATCAAATGATTCACAGGAATAGAAGGCGACTTCTCCCAAACAGCAATGTTAACAATCGTACCTTGCGCTTTACAAGCGGGTATAGCCCCGATCAATGCCTTTTCCACGCCCGCAGCGTCAAAAATAACATCTGCACCGACGCCACTGGTGATCTCTCGCACGCCTTGCGCGACATCGCCCTTGCGTGGATCTAGAATATGTGTTGCGCCATAAGTCCTGCAAAGTTGTTGGCGACTCTCCATTAATTCAGACACCATGATATTCCTCGCTCCTTGCAGCTTGAGGACCTGCACGACGCCGACCCCAATAGGCCCGCCTCCGACGAGCAAGACATTATCTCCTGGGTTGAACGGTGACAAGTTGACTGCATGCCATGCGACGGCGAGTGGCTCGATGAGGGCCGCAGCTTCAAGTGATATGGTTTCGGGAATGGAGTAGAAATGGCCAGCTGGGGCAACGATCTTTTTCGACATGCCCCCGCCGTAGCCTGGTAAAAGGCTTTAACTTAGCTATTCTATCTTATATGTCGGTAGATGTCTTACCGCTCAACCCAATGAATCCAATATTCTCGCAGCAATTTTTGTGGCCTTGTTTGCAGGCAGAACATGTTCCGTCGAAGATGGTAGGCCGCACGACGGCGCGCTGGCCTGGGGAAAGGTGTGTTACACCGTCGCCAACTTCTTCGATGATACCACCAAATTCATGACCCATTGAGATAGGATATGTCGATCCAGTAATACGATGGGGTGTTTGTGGTATCAATACTGGGCCACTAGTGTATTCGTGGAGATCTATGGCTGTCAGGTGGATCTGGAGAATTATAGAATAGAACAAACCCACCACTTCCGCAAATTCCGACGTAAGCTGGCCTCATCTGTAGACTATCACGTTAATATTGCAACTAGTACCTTGCACCATAATGCAGACCTTTACTTGACCCTTGCTACACATCGGCTCTTCAATTTCATCCACGCGGATATCACCTGATCCGTGAAAACGGACAGACTTCATCATCGGGGCGCTCTTGAGCGTCGTATGCAGTGTGTCTCCAGACTGAGTCGTTGTGTTCAACATGCTGGCTGAATATGAGCGTATCGGCTATTTCGGCATCTGGTGAGCTCAACGTTCTGTTGAGAGGATTACTGCCTTCATAAGTTGGGTAGCGATAGGCCTTGGAGGATATTGTGTTTATATTTGTCCTAATAGAATATTGTGGCAAGATTGACCGATACATGCATGACATCAGAGAAATTTCAAGATTATAAGGACTAGTCGGAGAAGGGACCAGCCATAGGGACAGCGTGTAGAATATCAGTGAAATCAAAATCTTCAGACGTCATCTATCGTGGTTGCAGCAGCCAGCTTGCGCGTAACAGGTTACTTGATAAAGCGAACAGAATAGCTGAGCTAGCCTTGATTCCAGAAACCTACTTTCTTGGACTTCGGGAAGCTTTCCAATTTGCTGGGTTCATAAAGGAAGAGTAATCCATCACCGCTATTTCACTAGGGGCTCATTTCCAAATATAAATTGCGCTCTGATTGGGGGCGATGAGGGAGCTGGTCAAGAACCGGCTTTGATTACTAAAATCGTGAACAGCATGAGGCCGAAAGGCCGCGCGGTAGCTGTCAAAAGCAAGAAGACCTGCAATCGCAGAATTTGGCGTAAGGAGCTGGGATGCACACTGCACGGGAACAGGATATAGTGAGCCTCCAATAGAACATTCGAAGAATGAGAGAAAACGGCGTATGACTAGGTTGAAAACGCCACTAGCATAAAGATGAAATCACAGACAGCAGGGGTATTTGGATAAAAGTGTCATACATCATGACCTGGTCGAGGTTCCACCAATGAGCACACGGCCGCGTTGACATAAATCACAATGGAGGGTCGCTTACCAGCCACGAATGAGGTCCCTTCAGATTGCCTCTGCAGTTCCGCATAGGCGCCTAGCATTGAGTCTAACCCCTTGTTGGGGCCAAGCAGCATCGGCTGTGAAAGTTGACCGCCCGGCATACCTAATGCGGTAATGCGGTAATACGCTAACTACGATTAGCTGCGTACTTGCATTATGGTGGAAAACAGGGTTGTGTACTCCAGGTTGATAGATTATGGGATTACGCACATGTAGGTGTAACTAAGTATCTGAATTACCCAGTCAGTGATAGCTATTGCCTATAATTCACTGTAAAATAGAGATAAAATTACTATGTGTATAGCTGACATGCCAAAAGAACAATTGACTGGATAAACACTTTCTCCGCTCACCATAGAATTACTCTCACGTGAGAGAAATCTAATGTTCGTATACGTAATCAGGCGGTGGAACAGTGATCAATGGGTGTCCGTCCGAGTATATGCATCTGTCTGTCCATTATGTTATTGGTGCGCACGCATCTCATATGTGTGCTTACTAATATCATGTGATCTAAATAGCTTACATCATCTAATATGCTGACATCTAACCCGGTCGGCTTGGGATTAGACTGAGAGAATGACTGCCCAATAGACTGAAGGGCTAAGTATCCTACAGTAGAGGGTTAGGCGGTTATAAGAAGTTCGGCTAAATCTCACTTTTAAGTCTATTGGGGACAAGCGCTGTTATCTGTCAAGCAAGCCAGGCTCCACATTTTTTCTGTAGCGATCGCGTCGAGCACATAGTATAGACCGGGGTTGTTTTCAGAAATCAGTTAAAATTGGCTATTCTGGCCCACATCCTTCGCCACCGCCTGCAACTGAGTTATCTCTATCTATAGAGGGAATTATCTGAGGGCTTGAAGAATTAGCCCCGATTTCAGATTCAAAAACTTAATGAACAAGAAACCTTCAACAAATGGCACCATATCTCGCTGCTATTATGCAATGTAAAACAGTGGGTTTAAAACCCAGGTTGCCCCCAACTGTTCCCTAAATTCCTACCACTATCTAGTAAACGATCAAGAACCACCGCAATTAGGGGAATGTACTTCACATGACCTTATTATTTTATGAGATATCATTCATCACGCCAATCACGCTAGTCTTCTCTCAGTTCTCTGTGATAAACCGGGACTTCTTCTCTCCTGGGAAGCAGGTAGCGTTTATCTAGTAAATGGCCACCGCCATGTACTCAGATTTAGCTGAAGGTGATGGATGAAACGGTACCAGCCAGCCAATGTTTCGTCACATAAACTCTGATGATTTTCGGCATAATGAGTCATTAACTCCCAAGTGTCAGTCACAGCTTTCTTCAAACTAGCCGCAGACAAGATCAAGTTTCATACATTCCAAACATGGATTTGCACCAACCGTAATAAAGTCCGAAACGATGCATGTAAATTGGGGGTTATGCATTATATTGAGGATTTTGTCTTGTCCGCCAACGCTGATATAGTTTGCACGGTAGACCGTATTCCCACCGAAGCGAATTGTTCTGGCACGTCGATTTCCGCTCAAACAACCATCGGTGGCGCTTGGTCGTTACATGAGGTCGCATGAGTTTGAAATTTGGATCAGATCTCCATATACAGCGTCGGGACCAGGGCTGGAGATGGTAATTGGATGGAAGGTCAGATCGGAGCCAATAGGTTGACGGCTATGCGGTAGGAAAATCTTAACAATTATGGCACATCCGTTTATCTCGCGAAGAACAGCTTGTGACCTGAGAAAGCCACTTTTATCTGCAAAATTTGAGATAATCACAGTGCGAATTCGCGCCTCCGGAAAATGGCGAACCGCACCTGTGATCATCAATATTCACCTTCATGCTTTGGCTAATTTCCTAGGAGACACATGATGATAGCTTGCTCAACCTACTTCTTCATTACAAGTTCAAACTCGTGAAATCCAGCAAGAACGGGGTTAAAAACGCAGTCCTGCCCGGTGGATGAGAAGGTCAAGAACAACTGGCAGTAGTAAGTGGTAAACATTAAATCTAGATAGTCTTGCCGACGCCGCGTGTCATTATTACAGTCACGTTATCGGAGACGTAGTATAACTGGCTGAATAGAATTTAGAGACTATTCAAAACAGGGAATACGGATGCGGATCTTGGCGCTAAATTTGCGATAGAATACATGAATTTTCCTCATCCGGACATAGAGCCCACGGGTGGGCTTCATCGGGCCAAAAAACCAAACTGACCATCCCTACAAGGAGCTACTTGGAAGCGACGCCATTTAATGTTGTCAAGAAATTTTGATGTTTTTCTATCTGATAATTGTCACATCCCCACATCTCTTCAGAGGAACGCAATACAAAAAACTATCAGGCGTATGCGAGGCAATTTTTCCCTGGCGCAGGAAACCTTGACATTGGTTGTCAGGAATTTTGAAGATCAAGACTGAGGAAAAATTAAAACACAGATGCGTGGTTCTTCCTCCATTGAATTTCCTCGCCCAGGCTCAGACTTTCGTACCATTTAAGCATCTGGTGGAGTCCGGGCACTGTCGGATCAACCCCAATATCCCTGATGAAGCTTCTCTCTCCTTCCATTTCAGCCAAACACTCTGCATTGTAATCCCATTTGTCAGGCTCAGTGTAGTTTTTCCGTGGCCCCAAAAGTTCTCTAATGCCAGGGGAAACATCCTCTGGGTTATTGATTAACCCAGCTTGACTTCGGGAGCGAATGGTTATTTTAAACGCTCGAAACAAATGCCTTCCCACCTGGGATCGGCATGCAACAATCGAAAATGCTTGGGTCAAACTCAGGAAATCAGGATCCCGGATATCAAAGTCTTTCTGCGCAAGCAAGCAGAACAACGAGACGTTAATTGCATACATAGAAAACTGATGGCTATATTCCAGCCCGTAATCTGTTCCAAACTTCCGGATAAGAACCGCTATTTCTCGTGCAGACAAAATAGCAGCTTTTTGGGGATTGAAATCGTCATCTGATTTGGCTAATTCATGATCACTTGCTCCCGTGAGCATATCACTTTGGAGGTCATGGCAGCATAAATTTATTACCATAGTATGGTAGCGCATTCTGTAGCATATTCCATCGTTAATAAGGTCAAGATATATTGCAATCACCAAATTTGGAAAGATGAGACAAACACAAACCTAAGTATTAGAATGTACGGTGCTGGGTTCTCAATCAGCTTCAAGGTAGAGGGCAGCTCTTTTTCCCACTGGCATAGCCGCCCGTAAAGTTCTCGCTTTTTGCTTCCATTATCAGTTCGCAGGATGTTCCAGGAGGCGTCTCTTGCTATAAAAGAGAGCTTGCAAGCTTCATCAAAGTACCGACTCATATGAGACTGACGACAATCACCCCTTTTCGGGTAAGGCGTCCACACTTCATCTGGAAGAGTCTCATCTCGAGAAATTCGATCCAGGTTTACGATTTTAATCTGGCTTCGTTTGAGGAAATTCATGTGGACAATCCTGTAGCTTTGTCAATCCGAATACATCAATCCTCACGTTTGCCAGGGTGACGATGAACGCACGTATCGATTTGGAACAACCCCCACGCAGTTCTTTGGAGAGAGCGTTTCATATCACTAGTCAGGTGTGGGGCTTCCAAATTTAACATCCTCGTATTGTTCACTATGCCAATTGATTCAGCCATCCCTATCGCTCGATGAAGCATTGTGTATCCGTAGTTGTCATAGCCTGACAGGGAGTATCTGTCAATAATTAGAAGAGAGTCATGGCAGGTTTTTCTGTTAGGGTGAATGCTTGCTACCTTTCATATAGTAGAAGAGATGCCTGTAAAGAGGCCAGCCGTATATCGCCCCTCCCATCAGTTTGTTGCGATTTCAAGTATAATTCTGCTTCGGCCAGAAAATGAGCACCCTTCCTTTTTACGTCCCCAGGTAAACTGTACGCCTCGGTGTAGTCTGAGTAGAACTTTCTTAAGTTAGTATTGCTTGACGATAGTACAGTCCACGGAGCCTTGTTACTTACACATGCGTTGGCGAGAAGCGCATTCACCAAGAAAGGACTACAGAAGTCCGACTGAAGATGCCCGACTTGCATGTGTTTCACAAACGTTTCAGCGCAGAAAAATGCGTAGAAAGGGTAGCCCCAAGTGAGGTAAAGGGATATTAAGTGCGATACTAAGTCATCGCTATCCGTGACAGTAGTCCACGGTCTTGCTGGAACCCTCACTGGAGCAACTTCACACAAGTATTGAATATCCAAAACCCTTGGCCGAGCTCTCGGTAAATTACCTTCCATTTCCATTTCCATTTCCATTTCCATTTCCATTCCGGATAGAGCATTAACTGGACGACTAGCAATTTGATCATTCATTTCAGCCAATCTTGCATTCGCTAGCATCCCGTAAAGGAATATGCGGACTTGCTGGGCAGTTTTGCCATCTGGCATCTGACTGAACAATTCCCGTTCGCGAACCCGATCTTCCTGCTGAATTGCCTCATAAAGTTCGTATATTATGCCGTGATACGCAGTTGGTATGGTTGCTATAGGATGTTTCAGCGCAGCGCCGAGCTGATCCACTTGCGATGGCTCCTGGTCATGGAAACCATCGCTAAACACATTTCTCGTATTTCCCTATCAAATATGTATCAATATCGGCTTCCCTTTCCAATGATCCCTGTCTGATTTTGAGCGCGCATCGAGATCATTTGATCGGCTTACACTTTGCTCATTCGCAGGTCCAGTGTGCGTGGAGATGTCGGCCGGCCCCTTCAATCTGTTGGACATGATGACACAGCGTGGTGAGGCGTGGTTTTTTGTTCGCCCAAAGATTTCAGTACTTGTAAAAGATTGTGTCTATCTTCCAATCCAAGCACGTTGCTAGATGTTGCCAGGTATTAGGCGTATACCTGAAATCCTTCGAAATTACTATATCATGACGTCATCTTCTCCGAGCGGTCACAACCACCTTGAAATATTGTGCCCTGGATTTTGACCGGCTTTCTTTCCACCAATATCTTGTGGGAACCCATCATACTCCATCATTCTCTATCAGTTGTTATATACCTAAAATCGGTCGACAAGGGAACATAGACTTTCAAGGCCGGATAGCGCCTCGAGGGCAGCGATAATCCAGACAGCCTTGTTTCCTCCATCTACTAAACACTCGAAGATGTCAAATGAGACACCACCGATTAGCTCATCAATGATTTCTCTGAACCCTGAATCCCATGGGAAAGCGAAGATTGCGATCCCAAGACAGCGTTCAATTGTTGCACCGAAGCTAGGCAGACGTGTTCCACGGGCATGCGAATCATGCCGGATAAGGAAAACCAAATGTAGTGGCGATGCTCCGAGCTGCAGACAATGCCGAGAACTTCGAGTGGTTTGTTTATATCCGCTGGGAATGCGTGAAAAGTTGAAGAGGTGGGCGAGTGCAAATCATTTTCGTACCGAATTCACGTTGACCAGCCCGAATATCAGACAGCAAGAAGACCTTTCAGTGAAACTGCAAATGTCTCAGAGCCTATTGAAAGAAGCAGAGCAATTTGTGCCCGGGCGCACAGCTCAACGAATCAAGGAATTTTTGGTAAGGAAAAGACTTCTCAGTGCACGTGTGCATTGAAGTTGATTCACACAGAGCATATTGCGGCTGATACTAGATGTTGAGCCTCATAGCAGGATTCAGACTCTGGATATGTATCCAACGATATTAAAGGTGATAAATTTCGCGACAGTCTGGGGGAAATATCCCAAGAACCGGCACATGAGCATGCCAGTTCGGATTCTTCCATTGGGTCACTAAGTGCTCTGGACGAAGTCGAATACGATGTCAATCTGACTAAGGAATCTCGAGCCACGGGATATATAGGAAAAAGCTCGGAAATCACTTGGATGCAAAGCCTGCAGCAGGAGATCCTACAACGCACCAATACCCTGAACAAAGACCACACCACGGGCGATCATTTAGGCCCTCATGAGATTAATTATCACGTTGATGATTTCGATATAGGGGTATCAGAGCCAGTACAAATGTACTGGGTGCCCCCGCGGCCGCTAGCTGATAAACTCCTCGACACTTACATGCGTGTGGCCCACCCTTACATCCCTATTCTGAATCGTCCTTTATTTTGTAGTCAGTATGAGAGATTTTTCGACAGACCTAACCTTCCTGGTGACAAATGGATGGCTATTCTGAACATTGTTTTTGCAATCGCCGCTACCTATGCTCATACTACCGAGTTGGATTGGCGTGGGGACCCTAAAGATCATCTACTTTATCTGACTAGAGCTCGAATGTTAAGCATGAGCGGAGATGAGGTATTTCGCCACCCTGACCTCCAACAAGTTCAAGTGGAGGGCTTAATGGCTTTCTATCTTCTCTCCACAGATCAAATTCATCGGTAATGCTTATAACAACCCATACCCTTGACCCAGCTGACGGCCGATGCAGGGCCTGGAGAATGTCGGCATTGGCCATCCGCTCCGCAGTGGCTCTTGGAATCAACTTGAAAAGCTGCAACCCAATGATTACGAATATCTCGAAAGAGGTTCGGAACAGGGTCTGGTGGTCGCTCATTACAATTGAGAACAAACTCAGCCTGATGACAGGTCGGCCTAATTGTATCTCGGTGAGCATGTGCGCTTCACCGCTGCCACTGCCGTTCGATGAACAAGATTTAGACCAGGAACCGGCTACCTCTCTTCTCAACAATCCTCAAACTCGGGAAGGTCAAATAAATGAAGCCATGAGTAGCTCGTATTTTCGGATGGGCCCCTCTGCCAGATCCAGAAACGAACGGCATACACCATCTCCTCCTGCATGGCTCCATTCACTCCCCGTTTCGACTGGACTATACTTTTTGTATTCTTGTGACCTCACATTACTGGTGCAGGAACTCCTAGACCGTGTGTACGCGGCAGATGCTGTTCATCAACCATGGAAGGATCTTAAAAATCGAATTGACGAGATCCGAGAAAGAGTCGACATGTGGCTTGGCTCACTTCCGCCTGACTTAGATTTCACTCGCCCGAATGATTATCGTCAAGCCCCCGAAGAAAGGACCCGCCTGGCTTTCCAATATTACAGCGCCCGAATCATACTAGGTCGCCCATGCATTTGTCGACAGCACAAAGAAATGTCGCACAACACAAACGAGGAATATTGTTTCACGAGATTCATGGCTGTATCTGCCATTAAGTCTGCCATTCAAATGGCCCATCTGATCCCAGAGGAGCCAAATACGGACGTTTCCGAAGCAATTTGCCACTGGTGGTGCCTTCTCCATTATGCCATGCAGACGTTAACAGTCATTATTCTTGAAATATCCTACGGTTGTGTTCATCTGCCGGAGGAAGCGAGCAATCTACTACAGTTGGCGAAGAAATGCATAAAATGGCTCGATAGAATGTCCACACACAGTGTTGCTGCTCATCGAGCTTGGCAATTCTGTGACAAGTCACTCCGCCGGCTGGCAGTGGCTATGGATCTCGACGTGAGCGATTTGCCCTCGCGCCGCTATAAGCAGCAACCCGTCGATACAAATCCCTATGCCTTCCACTCAATGGAAAACCATCCCACCTCTGTCACTGATATTGAGATACCAGAATCTATCATATCAGGCCCTGATGCAGGGTTTGACTCGCCCCAGCTTGTGATCCAGGGTGACTTCATTGCTGGATCGGGAACAGATCCCTCATTTTTAGGAGCAACAGGAGCCGCTGATCAGTGGCATTATGCTCATGACCGATTCGATGAAAACTTTGTAGATCTGTTTTTCCCGGAACTATAGAAGCAAATCAGGTATTGCTATGTATATTAATATTAGACAAAAGGGATTGTATCTACATTGCGTAGCTAATCACCCTACACGCTTCAAGAAATATTCCACATTCTAGGTCAGAATTGTCTCCGTAATTGCCCCGAGTACTGCTTACAAACCCTTTTGGCTCGGCAGGGACAACTCTTTGATTAAACCAGGTACAATAAGTGGATGTAGATAAAACAATTAATCCCCTATGTATGAGCATTTGCTGACGCCATCATTCAGATTAGTAAAGTAAGGCCAGTATTATCGTTATTATTCAAGAAAATGTCATTTTGAAGGAGGCATTGATCTGTTAACACCCAAGCTCGCGGTGTCATGGAAAATAATTCTTATTATTCAGGCAAATGCATTATAGGGTGGCTCTGAGTACGGACCGAGATAAAGATCCCGTGTGTCCAAAGAGTAGTCTGATTTAGAATTCTACTTTGCCTGGTTATCAATGAGATATCTAGAGTTCGAGTGGTGACCAAAAATGTCATTTCTGATCATATCGTAGGGAAAATAGATGCAAAGGAAATACAACAAAAGGAAAACATAGGGAATATTGAAAAGCCTAGACTTATTTGAAAACAAGCTTGGTACTAGGTATAGATAAAAAATGGTACCCGATGCAAAATACCAGCCTACTCAGTGTATCAGAGAGATGAATTGCCAGCGGGTTTTCCAGCCTGAGGCATGAATGGAGTGCTGGCAGCAACGTTTTCGCGACGGTGATCAGGATCTGATATGACCCCTTGGTCAGCTTGAGTCCCTGCAGGCTTTCCAGCCTGAGGCATAAAAGGTGTGCTAGCAGCGACATTCTTGCGGCGACTGTTATCCTTATCTGGATTTTCGCTGGGGTCTAGTTTGTTGGATATTCCATCATGGTGAGAAAAAAATTTGCCATGATCGTGTGCATTTTCTACATGGTCGTCAGGACGGCCCTGGGTTCCTGCGTTTTTCATTAGATCTGATAAGTACATTAAACAGCTGAAGAAGCATCAGAATAGTTTTACCTTTGTCGCCGTTGACTCGAGGGTCGAGTTCATCGAGCTTGGAATGGCGAGATCCACCGTTCTTAGACTGATCAGACATAGTATATCGTATATAGTAGTGCCGGACAGGGGTATAAAGGCTGGATATACCTACTTTGCCAATTCTTGGAGGGGTTTATAATGTCCGTTTCTGTCTAATTGTTCACAGATTACGTATTAGATACGTCATCAAGCTGGGGGAAATCATTTGGCTCGAGTTTATTCATGCAAAGATACATTTACCACTGTCGTCACCAATGGCCATAATGGACTTCGCTAGCCCGGTAATGGCTTGCCCCATTGTTTGTGAATAAAAGATGTGACTAATTTCTAATTTATACTCAATCTGAAAATAGTATTCATCCATATGGGCTTCAAGATAACTTTGACGAGTATATAATAACGAATGCACTTGAGAACTTTTAGGGGCGTCATATTGCCTTAGAACAACCACGCTAGGAGAAAGCTGTCACTAAACTGGCAGTCTCGAATAGATAATGAACAACTGCTTGTGACTGCATTTGTTTTCCTGAAAGGCTATGCATGATTTAATTGTGATAAAATGCATCTAATGATATAACAATGACGCAATATCACCACTGGCCAACAATTAAAATACAACGCCCGGATCTGGAGGAATGACTAATCGCACAATGCCCGCCACTAAGTTAGTTATATTGGAGCGTCATGTGAGAGCTGTTACCCTCTGTAGTGATAAGAAAGAAAATGCTTAGCCTCATGAGATCAGATTATTCCAGCTACACCCACAAGGTGATCTCTATTTCCATACACTGCTGAATTATGCCCGAGAAATCTGTTCCAAATCACATAAAAGATTAGGTTCTTATCATAGTCAGTAAAAGCCATTATCAAATCAACAGATGAGAAGATCTAGGGAAGATTTCGAAGTGGACACGAAAAGCAAAGTGGATGACACGACCTATTAAGGAAACCAATGACTTATTACAATGCTGTGAAATGTACGCTTGGTTTCTAAAGCTCGCGCTCATCAAAATGATATCAGCAATACACACTCTAAATAAGAGAAAGAGCTAATGTGAAAGATCTAGTATACCAGGAGACAATTACTCCCACGTAGCTAAACTCTGGCTTCATTTTGCCAGAGATACCCTTACAGTGGACCATTATGTTAGACCGTTTGGACATACCTATATGCTTTTTTCGATCCTTGCTTTCCTTTCAGAAATTCCCTAATACGTCCGCCGATAAATTTACACCGGGGTCTACCCGTGGATTATGATAGACTAGTTGAAGTGCTTTAGAATCAAGTCGTACCAGAGTGAAAGGCTATTAAGTTGAAACAACAACTTAAGACCCACCCCTTGACCTAACATATCACTAGCAGGCTCATGACTAGCAAAAAAACAAATTTGGAAAAGAGTATCAAAGTCCACACGTATTACTACCCATACCTGATAGACTTGTCTGTATCTTGATCAAAAAGAGCGATGCTATAATGATGCAAAAAAAAAAAAAAAAAAATTTGGTATCCACTTCATTCTGTGAGCATAATGGAGTGGCCTTGATAACGAAGATGAATTCAAATTAAGGAGACTGAGTGTCGTAAAAATATGGTAAGCACAATTATTTCGACATTTTATACTGAACTAAGAGATAACAAGGAAAATGGGAATGTGGTGGGGTGGAGGTTGATATTGTCACATCTAATTGATACAGATGATAGTGAGGGGACATGATGAACGTGTCATATTGGACGCTAAGGGTCACATAGGCACAAAGAGGTCAAATCTGCGAAAGAGTGTGCGCAGGTATGCAAGGAAAGATCTACATTTCAAACAGATCGGGCTAGCGAGCTCCACATTCCAGCCACTTACGTAATTCGCTTTAACGTAATTCACCACTAAGCGAGCCGTCCCGGTCGGGCGAGCCGACCCAACCAAAACGCGTCAATTAATTAGACCTATCTTCTTCAACCAACCACCATGCCACCAATTCGCTCTCAAAATCGTTAGAATTTGATAGAACAAGAAGGTCGTATCTTGCTTACTATCCAAGCTATCCAGAAGCAGGAAAAAAAGCTATCAATTACCGAAGCAGCACGCATATACAATATCCCTAGAACAACGCTCCAGCACCGGCTCAGCGGACGAGAAAACCGCGTCGAATTTCGCGCAACCTCCTTTAAATTAACTAAAATTAAGGAGAATTCGCTTAAAGAATGGGTAATCTCTATAGATATACGCGGAGCAGCTCCACGACCTTCTATAGTCCAAGAAATAGCTAATCTCTTACTCGCCACACGTGGAACCACCCCAATCCAAACCGTCGGCAAAAATTAGGTCACAAAATACGTTAAACGACACCCAGAACTCGATACAAGGTTCTCAAGACGCTATAATTACAAGCGGGCAAAGTGCGAGGACCCAAAAATCATTATAGAATGGTTCGACCTAGTTCAAAAGACGACACTAAAGTATGGGATCTATAAAGACGATATCTATAACTTTGATGAGACGGGGTTCGCGATAGGCTTAACAACGACCGCAAAAGTCGTTACAAGAGCAGAATATCCTAGTCGACGCTCTCTTTTACAGCCTAGAAATCGTAAATAGGTTACCGCGATTAAGTGTACGAGCGCGTCTAGATATAGCCTTCCTCCGATGGTTATCTTTAAGGCAAAATTATTCACGAAAGGCTAGGCTTAAGAGTTAAAGCTTCCAGGTGACTAGCAATTCTAGGTTAGTCTAAATAGATAGACCTCGGACAAGATCGGACTTTACTAGCTTAAAAAGGTCTTTATCCCATCGACTTCCTCGAGGTTAAAGGGGATATATTAACTCCTAGTTCTAGATAGTCATAGAAGCCATCTAACTCCAAAATTCGACGAAATTTGCTCTAAAAATCGTATAATTCCGATCTACATACCACCGCACTCATCACATCTTTTACAACCTCTAGATATAGGTTATTTTACTATCTTAAAGCGTGCGTACGGAAAGTGCGTCGAGAACGTGATGCGGTTAGGTCAGAACCATATCAATAAGTTAGACTTTTTAGACGCCTTTCCAGACGCTTAAATCGAAGCTTATAAAGCAGAAACGATCAAAAATAGCTTCTCGGCAACCGGTTTAGTTCCATATAATCCAAATCGGGTTATTTCAAAGCTCAATATTCAGCTCCAGACGCCTATACCACTACCATCTCGAGGTAGCCAAAGCAGCATATATCAGACACCATCAAATTATAAGCAGCTCCAGAAGCATGAAATTTCGATCAAAAAGCTCTTAAAAGCACGCTCTAAGAGCCCACCGAGCCCGCTACTTTCTCATATAGATCGGGTGCTTAAATCATATCAAACCCATATGCATAATTATGCTCTTCTAACTCAAGATGTCAAGCTTTTACGGGCTAGAGCGGAGAAATCAGAGTCAAAAAAAGCACGTTCTAAGCTCCAGATATCGGCTCTAGAGGGCATATCTATCGCTGAGCTTCGAGAACTAGCTCAAAATGATAGAAATGGTCAAATTGAAGCTCCATCCGACCAGCCAACCGGTCAACCAGAAGCACAAGAACGACGACCTGGGGCGCCACCAAGATGCTCAGAGTGTAATATTCAGGGTCACAAGAGAACACATTGTCCAAATTTGATTAAATAGCTTAGATATTCAATATTACGTTATTTCGGTTAAATTATGCTGGTGTGAATTAATTGAAGTTGATGGGGCGGCTCGCCCGACCGGGACGGCTCGCTCAGTGGTGAAATACGTTACCGATCGAATCGCCAAATCATGACCAACTTGCTGGATAACTTCGGCTTCCCTTTTTGGCGTGTCACAATATCTTGTACTGCATTCCGCTGATACCTGATCATTTTGCTTCTCGTCGAGATCGCGAACTTCAGCTAGGTGAAGGAAGAAAGTAAGTCAAAATGTCTCTATGTTTTGTTTTTTTTTTTTTTTGGTTAGACTGGCCCTCTTCCATGCCTGAATCGTCGTCGGCTGTTTGGAGCCCCTTGGTTTCCATCCTGGACATGTATTTCGATATTCACTATAGGCTTTTAGTCTACTAAAGTTGAAATATTGTAGCATATTTTTTGATCTACGATCATGATGTTAAAAAGATTTGTTTGAGAATGCGTTGCTTTGAGGCTTTTGGATCGAGATATAAATTATCTTACCTTACAGGATGAGAGAAGAGTTCAAGAAGATTGTATTTCGATGCGAGAGGAATCAAGGTTAAGATATCGACACTCAACTGTTTAGGTGTCGAAGCCTTGCCATTTACTTATTCTGGGTGTCGTACTTGGGTTTATCACCCACCACTAAATTTAACAGCCTTCAAAAGATTGTAATGATCCTTGATTACTGTGTGAGCTGAATAGCAAGGACCAACACGAAGCACAAGGATACGTATGTAGTATTGTGGAAGTGCGGCAAGGAAGAAAGAAGAGGATCTACGAGAGGTGAAGCCTAAGTAGGTGGAGGACGGAAGGTACTAGTCCTAATCAGGACGTCAAAAATTACCATCGATTTGATCTTAAGCACATAACATGACAATGACTTTCCTATTGAAGGAGCTGAATACCTAATAACAATTTACCTTTCTACTAGGCCAAATCGCTTAAAATTATATGTTTTGGTAGATCTTATCGTGAAATAAAATATACTAAAATCTTAGACTCGGACGAGCTTGAAAATTAAATCTATCCTACTCCTAAAAATTTTAACTCCATTCTACCCCTGAACCACTGTTCTTCCCATACTTAAGAAACCTTAATTAAATCTATCCTACCACGATGGAATTACCACTATGGGTTAGAATCTAAGAAAAGACCCATTAATATCTTTAAAGAAGCACTTATACCCAATCTGTGGTAGCAATCCTCATCCTTTTCCCCCAAAACCAAATAGGGACAATGAGCAACGAAAAAACCCCCATGAGCGCTCCAAATACCCCAAATGGAATAGCTGGACCAGAGATTGTGACCCATTCGCCTGCAAAGAACGTCCAGGAAAAACTTACGATAGCTCTCATGCAAGTCACTGCCACGAAGCAGTCCGCAGAAAGAGGGCCATAAGC